ACTCATGTTTGAGGAGGAAAATGGGTCTAAATTGCTTAATAAGTTGTATCATAAATTAGGAAATATCATCTTTAAACGTGTCTACTAATTTATACTATACTGCTCGTTTACGTGCCGGAAAAAAAGAGCAAACAACAAAAAAGTATAAACCTTGCTTGAGCTTGTTACTATTTTCCTCTTTGTTGAGGCTCTTGGAAGAATTGACAGACTCTCTTTTGTATTTCTGGTTGTTAAATTTGTAATGTTTTTCTTGCGATTAAAGCTCTCTAACACTTATTGATGGACATTGATCAGGCACAAGATAACTTGATGAATCTTCCATTAGCAAACGGGTGGGGCGAAAAGCATAGTCTCTTTGTTAAGTGGAAGTATGTTGAAGCTAAGGTACAGTTTGGACGTCTTTCTCTCTCTTTCTCACATCATTGGATCTTTAGAATTCACATAGATGAGTGAGAAACTTTGTTATCTGTACAAGGCTTCAATTTTTATCTTCTGTTTTCACTAAAATACTTGGTATCTCTGTGTATTTGTAATACCAGGCTGCAGCTTACTACTACCACGGTTTGATTCTTGATGAAGGAAACACAGAGAAATCACATGGCATGGCGGTTGCTGCTTTACAGGCTGCAGATGAGTGTTTCAAAGAAAGTAAGAAAGCAAGTGAGGCATTTAACACTTCTTCACCCACATCAAGGTAAATCCGTCTTCTGTGCCTTTGTGGATGGATCACCTTGTATCTCTCTATCCATCAGTCACTAAGATCCATCCACATTTCTTCAGGACTCCTCCGCTTTTCGGGACAATGAAATATCTATCAGAGAAAATACCGAAAGAAACTTCAAGTAAAGTCAGGATAAACCGTGATCTATACTCTTATGAAAAGTGAGTTTCAGTTTGAAGCTTTGTCGAGTTTTATCTCTTCTTTTGCTATGATATTATAAGCTCAATCTTTTGTCGTCCATCTATGCCAAATTATAGGATCATGGAGACAGCACCAACGCTTCCCGATTTCGCCTTGGCATTGAAACCCGATGAGTACCAACTTCCTTCTGTCGATGCGTCATGGTCTGAAGCCAGTCTAGGGACTAAAAACACATCAAATCACATGTAGGGCAACCAAAGATAGAGCAGTGAATAGAATGCATATCACCTTATAGAGTTACAAAGCCAATGGCCGCCATAGAAACACAAATGGTATAGCTCTATAACTACACTAGTTATCCTCCAAATGTCAATAATATATAAGCTCTCTGGGTGTGAAAAAACTACCAAATGGATTTGGATTAGTTTTCAGATAAAAATGTGGGAAGATGTTGTCTGTATTCTCTGTATGTTGTTGTAATTTTGTTTGTTTAGTGCAATAAAATTCGATTCTTTCTGTTCCACATTCATTATTATTACTTGGACAACATCTACACCAGACAAAAGCAAACTGGTAAGGTTCAGCTTTTTGTTTTGTTTTACCTTACTAGTACTACAAGGTTTGGTCTACAGAACTTACTAAATTACAGAATAGGTAGAAGTTGAACTCCACTAATCACCAGTGAGAGCTTGAGGGCTATGATCGATAGTGGAGAGAGACATGCCCGATTGAGCCACGGCTCTGACAAACGCCATGTTTGCAGTCAATGTAGGAACTCCCCATCTATCACCTGTCCCAAACACAGTCTTGTTCTTCATCGCTAACTTCCTCGTTGTTGGGAGGCTCATCACACGTTCTGAGGGATTGTCATTTACCACCCTGCACCAATCACAGTTGTAATGAGTAAAAGTATTGAACTTTGAGGTTCTCTGTTGATACAAAGCATAATGTGAATTACATTAGGCTCTTCAACAACTGCTCAGCTCTGAGTTTCTCATTGGATCCAGCATACATGGATACTAACTCCTTGAACTCTGAAAGAACACTGTTGCATACAACCCCTCGCTTCCCTGATAATACAGTTCCCATTTTGACAAGACCTGGCTTCTCAATTTCAGATCTCGCCTGCATATAAAAATTGTCAATTTCACAAAAGTTTTATGTTTTGAGGCAATGGTGAGTTTATTCTCTCAATGGGTAACATACATACCTGAGCAATGACAAAAACAGTATTTCCCTTAAACTTTTCTTCTAATTCGATCTCAGGCATATCCACGATTCTCTCTGCACACCCGTTACTGATTCCAGAAACGAGAGCAACAAGAGCCGTTGTGTCCAAATTTATGAGACAGTCTTCACCAAGCAACCTCATGGAGGAGACTACAGTAGAAAAAGCATCTTTTTGGCTAAGCTCTGTGACCTCTGCTTGAACTAAAACCTCAGTTTCAGGAGAGGCAAGTGAATCACATTGATCTATGAGCTTGATCTCAACAGAAACTGCTTCTTTATATGATCTGGTTCGAACAACGTTAACCCATTCGCAATCGAAATCATCGAGCATTGAAATATCCGAATCCGAATCCAACCCAAAGAAATCGAAATGCACAGCTCCAAATTCGTCTTTCAGTTTCTCGTAAATTGAAGAAGGCAAACCATTTGCGAAGAACAGAATCACCGAAGAAGGTTTTAGCGTGGTTGTGGAATTAGCAGCGGCGAGAACCTGTTCGATTCTAGATCTTAATCCTTTGCTTACATGGCGGTCTCCACTCCAGGAGATGTATCTAGGGTTTCTATCAGAGACGATGATCCAAACAGGAACTTTTCCGAGAGTACAAACCAGATCAACATGAACGCCACCAATCGGAAGAGGAATCGGTTTGCAAACGCGCGAAACGCCGGTGACGGAAGGGAGCTGCAAAATCCGTACAACTGATTCAATGTGGCCAATGTTGACACTGTGGTAAAAAAATCAAAGTGAGAATCAGAGCTAACGAGAGTGAGAGAGAAAGAGATGGTCAAAATCATAGAACCTGAGAGGCTGTGGAGAAGGAACGGAAGAGAGTGACGAGAGGAAGGAGAGCTCGGAGGAAGCGAGCTTAAGGAGAGTGCGACGGCACGAAGCAGTGATTGCAGTTGATAAAGGAAGATTCTCGATTGTTCTTAAAACCGATTCGCATCTCTGTTTCGCTATCTCTATCTCTCCGATCTCCATGGCCAACACCGTCGACTGCTTTACCGGAAACTCGAAACGAGTCGTTAAAGTTCAGAGAGCTCCGACACGCTAACAACGAAAGAGACTAACCGGCTCAAAACCTGTACATGATTATACCGGTTTTGGGTATCTAGCAAACCGATATTCGGTCCGCTATGTTTCTCAGGCCGCTTGTTTATATCCCGGTTACATAAGTGAAATTCCAACAAATGCTTCATTAGTTTAGCTGTAACCATATGATTAAACTAATTACGATCCACAGGTTCAAAAATTTCCTACACCTAATCGTTAACCCAATAATCTAACACTTAATTAGACAACGACGAATACATATAGTCGAATGATTTGTGTTAATGTCGTTGATGCATTGTCAATAAATTTAAAATTGTTAGTTTTCATAATCATTTTTTCAATTGATACTAATATATACAATTATTGCAAAAAAGAAATTTAGTATCTTTATACACATGGACCACAACTTAAGTAAAACCTCCATCAAACAACATTCTTTTAGAAAGAAGTCCGATAAAAAGTTCTTTAAAATCATATCCAATTTTTTTATATAAATCCTCTCCACATCCCAATTTATCGTCACTTACAAAATCCTAAATCGATTTTGAGATCTAATCCAAAATCTCTCGCTCAAAAATCCATCATATCTCACATTTATATCGTCGAAATCTCTCTACATCAATCGTTCAACGTGGACGATGGGATGGAACATACAAACATAGTGGAGTTTTATCCGCATAAGTTTGAGCGTCCTACTTGGTTGGTAGACATACGCAGGTGTCTCGTCGAGAATCAAGGTACGCGCTTCACTAGAACCGTCTACCGCCCGCTCATAGGTCTGGACGTGCTAATGGCTCAGGCTAGAGAGGAGAATTATAAGTTTTCGATATTTTATTCGTTAATTCTTTTTAGGTGGGTTCTCTATAGTCATATTGATGATATTAGTCTAACCGGTACAAAACTTGTACATGAATATACTATTTTGCATAGCTAGCAAACCGATATTCGGTCCAGTATCCGGTATATTTTTCTGGCTGTTTGTTATATTCTGGACTTCTCGTACATAATGAAAATCTCAACAAATGCTTTACATTAGTAGTGTATAAACAACCATATGATTAAACTAGTTATGTTCACATATTCAAAAATTATGATTAAACTAATCGTTAACCGGAGAATCTAACACGTAGTCGAATGGTTTATGCTAATGTCGTTGATGCATTGTGTATACATTTATAATTGTCAATTTTCTTATTGATTAACTTAATCTTTTTTTCCAATTGATACTAATTAATCAATAATTAGTGACTGTATATAATATTGCAATAAAGTAATCTTTGTCCATAGGGACCACAACCTAAGAGCATCTCCATCCATCAGACACTGTGTGGGTGTCTTAAAAATACTATTTTAATCAATTTATAATAAATAGGTTATTTATTTAAATTATAAATTATAAAAAAAGAATTTGGCCAATAATAAAAAGACAAGTGGAGACACAGTTTCTCAAAGTTTCTCAAACCAGAAACTGTGTCTACACTCTCTCCTACTTTTATATTATTTTCTATTTTTTTAATGTTGAGACATTCCTCCAGACATTACTGTTGGAGATGCTCTAAGTAAAGTATCCATCGAAGAGCATTCTTTTTGCCCCCATACCTTTTATGTTATTATCACATGAACCCCAAGAAAAGCAAAAGGTCCACAAAATCTGATTTTGCTTCAAACAAATGAAAATCACGCAATATTCTTTTTTGTTTACTTGCTTGCACACTTATCTTTTCCCCACTTTTATTTCTAACGAATAATCTTCTCCCCTATCCTTCTCCTTCTACTCCTGTCCCCTTCACAGCATATTATTGTGCCTTAAGGTATCTCTATATATATACATTGTGGTTAAACCAAACTACTTCATCTCTCAATCATTTTATATTCTTGAAGAGAGTTGAAAAACATGTCATCTTCATCGCAAGCTATGCTTCAAAGATCGGATTCAATTGCTGACAAAATGCCTGATGCATTGAAACAAAGCCGGTACCACATGAAGAGATGTTTTGCCAGGTTCTTTCAACTTTTTGATTAGTTTTTTTTTTTTTTTTTTGCTACACTTTGATGCTATTTGGATTCCTTAGTTAAATGTTTGTATGTGGAAACATTTTTGTAGCTTTGTTGGAGGAGGAAAGAAGCTAATGAAGCGTGAGCATTTGATGAATGAGATAGAGAAATGTATAGAAGATAGCGGTGAACGCAGTAAGATCCTTGAGGGACTGTTTGGTTACATTCTCACTTGTACTCAGGTAATAAATATATCTTCATTACCATTTGCAATTAAAAACGGTTTAGTTGCGTGTTCATGCGAAATCACGGTTTAATATTCTCTGTTTTAACTACTCAGGAAGCGGCAGTGGTTCCACCGTTTGTTGCATTAGCTGCAAGGCCAAATCCTGGTTTCTGGGAATATGTTAAAGTGAACTCTGGAGATTTAACAGTGGATGAAATCACAGCCACAGATTACTTAAAGCTCAAGGAATCTGTTTTCGATGAGTCATGGTTAGTAAACAATCTTACATACTGAGATTTGGTAAAAACCTGAGCAATATTTGATCATCTGGTGTAATCTTTTTTTGAAATGTTATGTAGGTCTAAAGATGAAAATGCATTGGAGATAGACTTTGGAGCGATTGATTTCACAAGTCCTCGTCTTAGTCTTTCTTCTTCGATTGGAAAGGGAGCTGATTACATCTCTAAGTTTATATCTTCTAAGCTTGGAGGCAAATCGGATAGACTAGAACCTTTGTTGAACTACCTGCTTCGCCTTAACCATCACGGAGAGGTCTTGATTGAATCATTTCTTGTTTCCATTCTCATGCATCTTCTTGAAAGTCTTAAAACTCATTAAAATTGCTTTGTCTTTTGCAGAATCTCATGATCAATGACGATCTCAACACGGTTGCAAAGCTCCAGAAATCTCTGATGCTTGCTGTGATTGTAGTCTCGACTTACCCAAAACACACACATTATGAAACTTTTGCACAAAGGTAAAAACAAAACTGCTCAAGAAATAGAAACATGATGGGTTTCTTTATCTTACTTGAGGAACTGGAATATAGATCTGATTGAAAAGTTACTTTCTTAGGTTGAAGGAGATGGGATTCGAGAAAGGTTGGGGAGATACAGCAGAGAGAGTGAAAGAAACAATGGTTATGCTTGCAGAAGTTCTTGAAGCACCAGACAATGTGAAGTTAGATTTGCTCTTTAGCAGGCTTCCCACAGTGTTCAACGTTGTGATATTCTCTGTCCACGGCTATTTCGGTCAGCAAGACGTGCTCGGATTACCAGATACCGGAGGCCAGGTCATTTACTTATACAACTCTTCAGTTTTATATTACCTGCAAAATTTGATATCTAGTTAACAAGAAGAAACTTCCTTGTAATAAAAATCTTTGGTGTATGATGATCATATAGGTTGTTTACATTCTGGATCAAGTAAGAGCTTTGGAGGAAGAGCTTCTCATTCGAATTAACCAACAAGGTCTCGGATTCAAGCCTCAGATTCTTGTAGTGACAAGATTAATACCCGAAGCAAGAGGAACAAAGTGTGATCAAGAACTAGAAGCCATTGAAGGAACTAAGCATTCTCATATTCTCAGGGTTCCTTTTGTTACGGATAAAGGAATCCTCCGTCAATGGGTTTCTCGATTCGATATCTACCCTTTCCTCGAGAGATTTACTCAGGTAAACTAATCATCTTTCTTTTAAAATGTTTTCATACTTTCCAATGACAAAAACCCTCCTTTTTAAACCATTCTTGTTTACAGGACGCAACGAGCAAGATTCTTCAACGCCTTGACTGCAAGCCAGACCTCATCATCGGAAACTACACAGATGGGAATTTGGTTGCATCTTTAATGGCCACCAAACTCGGTGTCACTCAGGGAACGATCGCTCATGCTTTGGAGAAGACAAAGTATGAAGATTCAGATGCAAAGTGGAAGGAACTAGATCCGAAATACCATTTCTCATGTCAGTTCACAGCTGATTTAATCGCAATGAATGTTACTGACTTCATCATTACCAGCACATATCAAGAAATCGCAGGAAGGTTCGTCTTTTTTTTCTTTGCATCAACAATATACAATGAAATTTCAAACTCATAAAACTAAAATCTGTGCTCTTTTGATGTTGCAGCAAGGACAGGCCAGGACAGTACGAGAGTCACACCGCCTTCACAATGCCTGGTTTATGTAGAGTTATCTCTGGCATTGATGTGTTTGATCCAAAGTTTAACATTGCTGCTCCTGGCGCGGATCAATCTGTATACTTCCCTTACACAGAGAAGGAAAAACGATTCACCAAGTTTCATCCTTCGATACAAGAACTTCTTTACAATGAGAAAGACAATGCCGAACACATGTAAGTAGTATAGTCTCATTGCAAACACTCAAAAATTGAACACCATATGACTTACTAATTCTGCCTATGTGGAAACAGGGGATATCTTGCGGAAAGAGAGAAACCGATAATCTTCTCAATGGCGAGACTTGACACAGTGAAGAACATAACCGGTTTGGTTGAATGGTATGGCAAAGACAAGAAACTTAGAGAGATGGCTAACCTTGTAGTCGTTGCTGGATTCTTCGACATGTCAAAATCTAATGACAGAGAAGAAAAAGCTGAGATCAAGAAAATGCATGATCTAATTGAAAAGTATAAGCTCAAGGGGAAATTCAGATGGATCGCTGCTCAAACCGATAGATACAGAAACAGTGAGCTTTACCGATGCATTGCTGATACAAAAGGAGTCTTTGTTCAACCTGCTTTGTATGAAGCTTTTGGCTTAACCGTTATCGAAGCCATGAACTGTGGACTACCAACGTTCGCCACAAACCAAGGTGGACCAGCAGAGATAATCGTTGATGGTGTCTCTGGTTTCCACATTGATCCCAACAATGGTGATGAATCTGTTACAAAAATTGGAGATTTCTTCAGTAAATGCCGTTCAGATAGTTTGTATTGGGATAATATCTCTAAAGCTGGTCTCAAACGCATCTATGAGTGGTAAGTAAAGATAATCTTGAAACACAAATCTTATCAGTTGCTTATTTATGGATTTTGTATTGTCTGTGCAGTTACACATGGAAGATTTATGCAGAGAAGTTGCTTAAAATGGGAAGCATTTATGGATTTTGGAGACAGGTGAACGAAGATCAAAAGAAAGCTAAGCAGAGATACATTGAAATGCTTTACAATCTCCAGTTCAAACAACTGGTGAGTTTTTATAATCTGAAGATTACTAGTGATGATAGCTACAAAACTAACCTTTACATCACTATGGTTTCTTGTAGACCAAGAAAGTGACAATCCCGGAAGATAAACCTCTGCCTCTGAGACTGGCTTCACTGCGTAACCTCCTTCCCAAAAAAACAACACCTCTTGGAGCAGGAAGTAAGCAGAAGGAAGTCACAGAAGCCGAAAAGACGAAACAGAAAAGTAAAGATGGTCAAGAACAAAATGATGTAAAGGTTGGAGAAAGAGAGGTGAGAGAGAGTTTGCTTGCAGCTGAAGCATCAGAGAGAACGAAGAAAGTTTTAGAAACTTCGGAAGAGAAACAGAAGCTAGAGAAGATGAAGATTGCGTATGGACAACAACAGAACCAAGGAGCTTCACCGGTTAGAAACTTGTTTTGGTCAGTCGTGGTTTGTCTCTACATCTGCTACATTTTGAAGCAGAGGTTCTTTGGTGCTAACTCGGCTCAAGAGAGTTAAAAAGTCTGACCTCGGATCGAGGAAAAGTAAAAAGTTGAAAATCTGTAATGAATGTAACTACCATCGATGTAAAATTAACTAATAAAATCTAAAATCTAATTGGTCAAGAAAAAAGGTTGTAATTTGGCTTTGAGTTATATTGGCTTACCAAATTGGCCAACTGTATATAATTACACACGTGTATGTACTATGTGCAGGTATTAATTATGAAAATTGGTTGAACATATATTTGAATTAATATCTTAAGATAATAAATAAAGTAATGAATCGGTCCATATGATAATTAAATTTAGGGATAAGCTATATGGAGCAAACGAAGGCAGAGACTGTATGTGAATCTGGTTCACTTTATTCAAGGTCCCAAAATAAATGTGGTAAGATGAGAAATTTATATCAAGGCTTTAATTGCTTCTTCTTTTCAGCCTAATGTCAATATTTTAGGAATAAAATAAGGCACACATGAATGGTAAATTAAAGACCAAAGTTGATAATAATAAGAAACAATATAAATAACTTTTCTTCCTAAATGATTATCTCATCAATATCAAAGAATTGGTGAATGATACACAAATTCATTACACTATCTTTAGTTCATCAATAGTTTTATATTTACTTCACATTATAGCATTTATAATCTCTAATGAAATCCATGATACGTTTCTATATCATCCAATAATGAAAACATAACACCAAATAGAAATTTCGCAAATCAGTTTAATTGTGAGATTTGTTTTTAATAATCAGGTTAGTAATATCATATTTTTCAGCTAAGACTTAATATCGTCGTTGTTGAGGAAACAAAATTAGAAATCGCATGCAAATTCTTTTTGTCAACGAAAGTTGTGTATATTAAATTCACATTGTTGTCAAGTTTTCAAGTTTCAACCATATTTCTTTCGTCCACAGGTTTCTAATTTCAATGTATGAAGTAAAAACAGTTTGACTTTTTGATATACACTTCGAAGTGAAAAGAGTTAAGACCAAGTGAGTAGGAAACAGCCAACACATCGAGACGACCCAAATAGGCAAAAAGACAACAACACCAACTTAAAAAATAAAATATAATGCTAATTAAATTAAAACATTTAAACAGATCTAAAAGTAGCTAATTATAATCATAACTTATTATATCAAAGTTATGTTATTTAAACAGTCTTAAAAAGTATTGAATAACGTGTGATGTTGCTAAATATGAATATATGATTAAATCAGGTAAAGTATAGAAAATTATAAATTAGTGGAACGTTCCATGCATTCATTGTATTCAGTAAATATTCTTTACTATTGGCAATTTTGTCTAAATTATGACCCGATTTAATAGAAGACTACAGTGTAGATAAATTGTTTGTCTATGTGTAAACGTTTTAATATTTTTAACCGTGGCCCGTGGGTAAGAAATGTTTGCTTTATTACACGAGTTAAAACAATAATTACTAATTAAATATCCTTAAATGTTAATGTTTTTGAGAAAAGTAAATATCAATAATCAAAAAAAAAAAAAAAAAAAAAAAAAATATCAATAATCTATAAAGAAATCCATTTTAAGTTTTGATCTTCATTCACTATTTACAAAACAAGTGGCGTTTTAAGAAAAGTGAGAATCTATTACAAAGTAATTAAAATTGCCTATATACAGATTTTCTCATGTTTCCTTTTGAAAAAAGATTATGTACCATAATAATAAATCTTTATTTGTTTTTATTACAATCAAATTAGGCAAAAATTAGAGAAAGTATAAATAAAAGAAAACTTGGGAAATGAGAAAGAGAAAATATAAATAAACAAACCAAAGAAGAAGAAAATGAGATCAGCAAAATCCCAATAAAAGTTAAATTTTGTCATTATACGAGGTGAGAAATTCACCGGAGAAAGTGGATAAAGTCCTCTCCTTTTTTATCCAACCACCGTCGATTTAACCCTCTCCGGCGACATAAAAATTCACCGGAACTCAAAGAGAGAGTTAGTTGTATAGAAAGAGAGAGAAAGCAAAAAAAGAGAAGAAGGTTGGTTCGGTCCTCTCTCTCTACCCGAGTATGGTGAGAGTACTACTTAGCAGTAATGGAGAGAGCAAGAGACTTTAAAACCCTCTTTCTTTCTCTTTCTCTCTCTGTTTTTTTCTTCTGTCAAAAACACCATTTAAAACCCATCAGTTACGCCAATTTCTAAAGAGAGAGTTTTTGTTTGCGAATCTGTAATGAATGTTGAAGAAGCAACAAAAGGGTTGGGAAGCACTAATGGCGGCTTAGCTTAGGTGAAAAGTCTTTAGAAGAAGAGATCATATCTCTCTCACTTTCTCTTTCTAGGGTGGCTCTGTAGAGAACTTAGAAGAGACATTATTACGGCTAAAATAAACCTATAATCTTGAATTTTTTGGGTTTTTGGATTTGTGAAAATTCCTTTTTTTTTTCTTAAGTAATCAATTTCTTGCCTAAAGCGAAATCCTTTCACCTCCCGAAATCATCGCCTTTGCATCTTCTCTTTCAGATTCTCTTCCGTTTCGTTTTTCTTTCTTTTAATCTCTCTTCCTCTTCCCTAAAGTTTGAGTTTTTTTTAGTGGGTGCATAAAAAAGTTTGAACCTTTTTTTTTTTGTGTTGCTCTGTTGGGGTTGTGTTAATGGCGACAGTGGTGTAAATGGTCCATTAGTAGTTTGTGGTTGGGTGAAACTAAAGAGAAACAAGTTTGTTAGCCACATAGAGATTAAAGAGTGTTTTACTGTTTTCGAAACAGAAAAAAAGATGAGTTTCGTCGTCGGCGTCGGCGGAAGTGGTAGTGGAAGCGGCGGAGACGGTGGTGGTAGTCAACATCACGACGGTTCTGAAACTGATAGGAAGAAGAAACGTTACCATCGTCATACCGCTCAACAGATTCAACGCCTAGAATCGTACTACACAATCCCCTTTTTTTTATCTTTTGTCTAGGAGAAATTTCTTGTTCTGTTTTCATTTTGTAATCGTTGAAATTTGAACAGGAGTTTCAAGGAGTGTCCTCATCCAGATGAGAAACAGAGGAATCAGCTTAGCAGAGAATTGGGTTTGGCTCCAAGACAAATCAAGTTCTGGTTTCAGAACAGAAGAACTCAGCTTAAGGTTTTGTCTCTCCCTCTCTCTCACTTTCTCTTTTGAGTTTAAAATGTAATTCTGAATAAGAAAAGAAGGGATTTTGATTTTTGGTTGTGGTACTGTTTTGTGTAGGCGCAACATGAGAGAGCAGATAATAGTGCACTAAAGGCAGAGAATGATAAAATTCGTTGCGAAAACATTGCCATTAGAGAAGCTCTCAAGCATGCTATATGCCCTAACTGTGGAGGTCCTCCTGTTAGTGAAGATCCTTACTTTGATGAACAAAAGCTTCGGATTGAAAATGCACATCTTAGGGAAGAGGTTTGTTTTGTTTTGCCGGTTTTTATCGATATTGGATTGATTCAAAACATCATTTGACTGTAAAAATTTGATCTTTTGCACAGCTTGAAAGAATGTCGACCATTGCATCAAAGTACATGGGAAGACCGATATCGCAACTCTCTACGCTACATCCAATGCACATCTCACCGTTGGATTTGTCAATGACTAGTTTAACTGGTTGTGGACCTTGTGGTCATGGTCCTTCACTGGATTTTGATCTTCTTCCAGGAAGTTCTATGGCTGTTGGTCCTAATAATCTGCAATCTCAGCCTAACTTGGCTATAACAGACATGGATAAGCCTATTATGACCGACATTGCTTTGACTGCAATGGAAGAATTGCTCAGGCTTCTTCACACAAACGAACCTCTGTGGACAAGAACAGATGACTGCAGAGACATTCTCAATATTGGTAGCTATGAGAATGTTTTCCCGAGATCAAGTAACCGAGGGAAGAACCATAACTTTCGAGTCGAGGCATCAAGGTCTTCTGGTATTGTTTTCATGAATGCTATGGCGCTTGTTGACATGTTCATGGATTGTGTAAGTAGCTGAGACATCCTCATCATCATGTTCTCTTTCACAATTGGTTGCAGCATTTATTAACATCTTGTCATCTTTTTGCAGGTTAAGTGGACAGAACTCTTTCCCTCAATCATTGCAGCTTCTAAAACACTTGCAGTGATTTCTTCAGGAATGGGAGGTACCCATGAGGGTGCATTGCATTTGGTAAAATTTGATAGTGACTCTCCTTAAATTTGGATTTCAGATTTCCTCTTTTATAATAATAACTTTGCTTGGCTTGGCTATGTAGTTGTATGAAGAAATGGAAGTGCTTTCGCCTTTAGTAGCAACACGCGAATTCTGCGAGCTACGTTATTGTCAGCAGATTGAACAAGGAAGCTGGGTTGTTGTAAATGTCTCATATGATCTTCCTCAGTTTGTTTCTCACTCTCAGTCCTATAGATTTCCATCTGGATGCTTGATTCAGGACATGCCCAATGGATATTCCAAGGTCAACTTCATTTTCCTCTGTCTGCTAAATTATGTTTTCATGTTAGAATATCCCCAAACTGATGAATTGAAACAGGTTACTTGGGTTGAACATATTGAAACTGAAGAAAAAGAACCGATTCATGAGCTATACAGAGAGATTATTCACAGAGGGATTGCTTTTGGAGCTGATCGATGGGTTACCACTCTCCAGAGAATGTGTGAAAGATTCGCGTCTCTATCGGTACCAGCGTCTTCATCCCGTGATCTCGGTGGAGGTGAAAACACGTTGAATAGACTTAAGTTTCCATTGCTAATTTCATTTTTAATCCTTATATAACATATTTGAGAAACTTTTTTAGTGATTCCATCGCCGGAAGGGAAGAGAAGCATGATGAGACTTGCTCAGAGAATGATTAGCAACTACTGTTTAAGTGTCAGCAGATCCAACAACACGCGCTCAACCGTTGTTTCGGAACTTAACGAAGTTGGAATCCGTGTGACTGCACATAAGAGCCCTGAACCAAACGGCACAATCCTCTGTGCAGCCACCACCTTCTGGCTTCCCAATTCTCCTCTAAATGTCTTCAATTTCCTCAAAGATGAAAGAACCCGTCCTCAGGTACAACACATGATTTCAAAATCTTCATACTTCAAGATTTAGCTGAAGTGTTTAATAATGTATATATTGTTTCTTTGTTGGTGGTGGTATTAGTGGGATGTTCTTTCAAACGGAAATGCGGTGCAAGAAGTTGCTCACATCTCAAACGGATCACATCCCGGAAACTGCATATCGGTTCTACGTGTAAGCGCCTCCCTAACAACCGAGTGATACAAAATTTTCCGCTTTTCTGTTTTACTCATTTGTTTTCTGTATTAGGGATCCAATGCAACCCATAGCAACAACATGCTAATTCTGCAAGAAAGCTCAACAGACTCATCAGGAGCACTTGTGGTCTACAGTCCAGTGGATTTAGCGGCATTGAACATCGCAATGAGCGGTGAAGATACTTCTTACATTCCCCTCTTGTCCTCAGGTTTCACAATCTCACCAGATGGAAATGGATCAACCTCTGAACAAGGAGGAGGAGGAGGAGCCTCGACGAGCTCAGGACGAGCATCATCAAGCGGTTCATTGATAACGGTTGGGTTTCAGATAATGGTTAGTAATCTACCGTCGGCAAAACTGAATATGGAGTCGGTGGAAACGGTTAATAACCTGATAGGAACCACTGTACACCAAATTAAAACTGCCTTGAGCGGTCCTACAGCTTCAACTACAGCTTGACACACCATTAAAAGCTCTCTCCTCTTTCTTCTGGGTGTCTCTTTCTCTTCAATGATGGAACAGAGAAGGGAATTAACTCTTCTTTGCCTTCAATGCCAGAGAGAGAGAAGAGAAGCTCATTAACTCCAATTGTTCTGCTGCTTCTGTTGGTGCTGTTCTATTCTTGGACAAACCTCATTAAACAACTTCTGTAAGAAAAAAACAGCTGGATCCTTTTATCTTCATTTGTTCTTTTTTTTCTTGGGGGTTTTTTTTTTTTTTGGTTATGAGAATTTTAGGGTCTTTTTATTGTTTTTATTACTTGAAGAAACTGGAAGTCAAGAACGCACCATGCAACTCTGACTTTCTTTGTATGGTTCGGGCATTGACTTCTATTGCAAAGTTTTTTTTTTTGTTTTTGGTCTTTGAAAGCAACTTTGTTCATCTCTTCATTGATGGTCTGTTTCTGCTTTATTCTTAAATCTTCTTCCTCTTTGATCAAAGTGTGTGTTGTGATTGATCTAAATGTTGTTGTTATGGGTGGAGAGAGAGGTTAGGTGATGAAATCTGACAAGTTGATGACTTTTTTGAAAGTTAGAAGAGAGAAAGAAGAAACAACAAAGATTGATAAATGTGATTTCTTTTGGTTGGTTCGCTTTAAAAGGAAATTGTTTTCGTACGGAGACCATAAAAACCCATCACTCTCTTGTTGGATCCAAATCTAATAATACACTTTTATGATCAAAACTTATGGTGAAGAATCATGTCACGTCTCAAACCTCCTTTGGACCCAAAACTATACATCGAACGTGCGGTTTTTCTTTTGTTTTTTAGATTAGATTTATCATTTATCAAAATCAAAACTATTTTTCTTTCAAAACGATTGGTTTCACACTTTCAAAAAGATTGGTTCCTTAAATCGAACGTACCGTTTTCTCTTTTTTGGTTAATAATAAAAGTCTTTTGTAGGGTTGATCCATATATATAAATCGTAATTAATAATGTATCAATAGTAAAGTAAAGGTACTTTCTACCTAAATTAGGTCCATGCCATGATCATGATGCATGAACTTCACGTTACTAGTCTAAGCTAGACATCTTTTATTTTTTAATAGTAGTACTAGTTTCAAAAAGAAAAACAAGTAATTCTGATATTGATAGTGAATTATTGAAATTATGACTAGACCGTTAATTAGATCGATAATTAAGGACTTAACTTAAGGCTACTACGTCACTTACAAAATTGTAAATTAAGTAGATAGATAGTATATAAAAAGGTGAATGGGACATGAGAAATAAATTTCTTACTGGTGTAATGTGTTGCAAAATTTAAAGAGTTTTTTCATTCTTCTAAACAATATGTTTTTTTCTTTCTCTGTGTTAATATTTTGAAGAATTAGAAGATCGTTGAAGTCATTATAAGTATTGGGCTGAGAGTTATAACGGGCTTGAATATAGGCCCATAATATTTGTTCATAGTAAACTAAACCCAATGGGGAAGACGAAAAACCAAAAATCACTCCATCCAGACTCCAGAGACAATCTTGTTAGAGAAGAGAACCATTACTAATTTCATCCTTGTTCGATCGTCATCTTCGTCTCCACCCCTAGAAAACGTTGGAACCCTAATCTTCTGATAATCTAGGGTTCGAGAATAGATTCTGAAGAACTATATTACGGGACTAGAATCGAAGACGATGGCAGGTAGAGAAGTTCGAGAATACACAAATCTGTCTGACCCTAAAGGTGAGACATTTGATTGAATATAGACTATATAGTTCATTGGTTAATTTCATTGTAGGGTTCTCGAGAAACCCTTTTTTGAGCTCTTTTTTCTTTTTGGGGCTCGTTGTTGCAGATAAGAAATTAGGGAAGGGTAAGATAGATGATGAAGACGTCACCTTTCAACGGATGGTTGCAAAGGTTAGCGCATCGCCCTCTCCACTGTTACTTCCTTATTCTTCTTTTGAGCAATCTTTTTGTGCACAAATTGTATGCGTGAGCTTATCTGTGTATGTATCTTTGAGTTCGATTGGTCTTTTGTGCAGTATACCATAGTGATTTGATTAGTGTTGTTTGTATGCTAAGTGTTATTGATTTGATTAAGTTCCTGTTTCTTTGTTTTCTTAGCATTGGATCAATATGTGGTTTTATTGATTGTTTTGGTATAGCTAGGGAAGTTGTAGTATTGGTTATTGATGTGTGTGAAGTGATTCTTGTGTTTGATTCTGTTTTGGGACGCGACTTTTCTGATAACATGCCCCGGCAGGGATAACGGCCCTGTCACATTTTCTGGTTATTGCATATAGATGCAAGAGGTTGCTGGTGAACGTGGAGGCTATCTTCATGGACGGGGCGGTACCAATCTCTCTTCTCCCTCTTTTATTTTTGTTTCTCATCTTTTATAGTTTTGTCATGGCCATAATTCTTGAGTTTCCTGTAGCTTTAGACAGCGACGATTTACTTTATCTGAAAGAACAGATGGAAGCAGAGGAAGATGCAGAACGCCTTCTGAGACGAACTGAGAAACGGGCTTTTGCTGCCTTTAAAATATCCTTTCCTTAATGATTTTGATCACTAAGTTACTGTTATATGACTTGTTTTGATCTTTCTTGACCATATATCACAAAGCTGCAACCCAAGCTGATTCAGCTCCAGCATCTGTTCCCTTACCACTTCGTGTTGAGCCCAAACCAAAAAGTGGTATCAGGTGGAAAATCTTTTCTTTTCCTTTCCGCTTTATTCACCTCATAAACTGGATTTTCACTCGGTGACCAACTTTTGTGTGTTTTTCCAATGTCCAGGCAGCAAGATTTACTGAGAAAAGTTGTTGAGGTTAAACCTAAACGTCCAAAAGTCTCAACACTGTCAAGCCCAAGCTTATCTCCCCCTGTTAGAAGTGATAGAGCTCCAACAGATGCAAAAGTTCACCGAGATAAGCAGAAAGAAGAAGCTATGACTGTGTTGAAGAAACTGGACAGACCAGAGGAGCAACCTGGCGCAGACAGAAATGACGGTAAAGCTACGGAAAGCAATGGGCAAGGTCAAAATGCTCTGAAAGGCTTGTTGGGATTAGCGTATGAGAGTTCAGATGAAGAAGACTGAGAGGAGTGATGAACCCTGTATAGGGCTCTATCTCCTATAAGTCTTCTTGCTTTTAATTTTGTCGTCTCCAATATTTATGTCGAAACCTTACTAGAGTTTAGCTTTAGGGTTCAATACATCTTTTGCCATCTAGCCCTGCACTTGTTGTAATTGTTGAAACCAAATGGGTTTTTTGGAGTTTGAAGCAGAGAATCTAATGAAGATGATTTCAAAAGGCATACGGGTTGTTAGATGTTGTTGGTTTTACTGGGGTGTTGAGTTTTATAGAGTACTTAGATCTGAGCAACTTTGGAGTTAAAACTATTACACAAATTTGGAGTTACAAAAAATCACATGGTTTTGAGTGAATATACATCAATACAAAGAGATCTACAGAGGTGGAGAGTGTTGGTTCTTTATTGATTCCGAGGATCACTGTCTCGTCTGTTCAACTGGATTTTGAAGCCATTCACTAGACGAGCCGAAGGGAAGAAGGAGATACGATCTTCCTTAAGTTGTGTCCACCTAGAAGATGCAAGAAGAATGGATTAGCTTTGGATTCAGACAAATTAAAACTCAGAAGCAGAACAGGTACTGAGTACTGACCTGTATGTGGTGATGAAGTAATGCAGAAAGAGAGCAATTTGTAGGCGAGCCAGTTCTGCTCCTGGACAAAACCGAGTTCCTCCACCAAATGGGCAATAGAAAGGGCTCGTTCTCCAATTCCTTTTTTGCTGCATTCACATCAATATGAATGTTAACTTATAGACTAATACAAGGTGTCGGAAGTAATGGTTCAATGTCAAACGCAAAGTAAAACCTGAGTTTCAGGGTCAAGCCATCGCCATGGATTGAAGGAGAGACTTTCCTTGTAATAGCTCTCATCTAAGTGCACTGCCGAGAGAAACGGAACAACAAAGCATCCCTTGGGAATGACATAATCTGCATTAAGAAAAGACTTGATTTTAAGACCATGTTTTTGCCTGCATATACCAATAACAAAAGACGCACCAACTTACCTTGATATGAGACATCTTCTTTCGCCTCTCTCATAAGCCATATCGCAATTCCCCCAAGCCTGAGTGTTTCATCTATTACCTGTTGAGAAATCAAGAAAGCATTTAGTGAAAGGTTTATCATCTAAGACCATAAGCAGAGCAGTTTCTTGGGCTTCTTAATTTACTTACGCATTGAGTGAAGTCCATTGTCTTGTAATCTTGCCATGTTAGCGTTCCTCCAGCGAGCCTATCGTGTTCCTCCTGCTCTTTTGCAGAACGTTTCATAAAGTAAACAAAACAGTGAAGCAAGAGGAACTAATTTGTTATCATTCAAGAGGCCTTATATGTACCAGGAGTTGGGTCATGGCCTTAGGACAATGAGTGAGGAAGTAAACCGCAAACAGCATTGTTTTTGAGGTAGTTTCATTTCCGGCAAACAGTAGATTGATGATAAAATCTGCCATGGATTCGTTTGGCAAGCTTTCTTCTTCAAGCAATCTTCCAAGTACACCATTACCAGCAGTATCTGATGTTTCTTTGTTCTGCAACAACTTCTCTACCATCTTGTTTATCTTTCTTATGATCTCCTTTCGTGCCTGAATAAGAAACAAACATATCTCATTCTCAGCAAACAAGCTCCAAGGTGACAAGTCAACCATTGATTCAGATGTTTGGAGTTTTATTTTGGATTGTTTAAAAGTTACCTTCATTGCTTTGTGGTATGTGAAACCAGGCAAGTCGATAGGAACAGAGAGACATCCATCAACAAAATCGGAGAAAAGCTGAGACATTTCATCGACTTCTGATTCGCTCGACACACCGAGAAGTTGGTTAACCATAAGATGAATGGCAACCTGAAACACAACTAAAAAAAGATTAGAAATCAAGAAAATCTCTTAAAGGTTGCTTCTTCTTACTCTTCATATTCAATCACTTGCCTTTCTGCAGATATCCTGGAGAAACACGACTTCACCGTCCTTGAAATTACTCAATGTCTGAAGCATAACCACTGGAATAACCTCAAGAAAATGATTCTTGAGCTGGTCATGACGCATCATGCTCGATGCTATCGAGTGAAGTCGTTTCTGCTGATCACCGTGCACCGTGATCACTCCATCTTTCCCAACCAAATCCCTGAAAGACTTTGGATAACTCGACTGAAACAGCTTGCCTTCGTTCTGCATTATGAACCGGTTAAACGCCGGGTCAGCTGATACCACTGCCCATTTCCCAAACAAGCTACACAAGAATATCCTCCCATACCTAAAATCAATAAAACCACTATAATCAGAGCAAAGCATTTATGAGTATTTTCTTTTGTTTCGGGGGCAAAGAGACGAACTTTTTGATTTGTTGCTCAACGAAGCTTGAAGGATGAGAACCAGAGACGGCTTTGAGCCAAGCGAAGGTGTCTCCGATCAAAGGCCATCCTCTGCTTCCCGGAGGCAGCCTATGAGGCTCTCTTCTCTTTCTTCTTGCTATTCCCGCAAGGAAGAAGATGATGATGAAAGCAAGAAATGTGGTTGATGCAGCAGCAGCCGAGAGAAGCCAATAGGATCCTCCTGCAAATTCCGCCATTAAAATCAATTCCCCTGTCTCGGTGTGTGTGGAGAGTTCGTGGAGAGTTTTATATACAGATTTTTACAGCTAAGACTGCAGAACAAGTAAGCAGCAACTGATGAAAATTTAAATTATAATATAAATAAAAGAAGAAGTGATAATGTTAAGCATTATAAAAGAGAGAAAATAAATAGTCGTCGTTGTAGTGTTGCGAGGTTGCTTTGACCTCAAGTAGCCTTTTTGGTTAACGTGACGGTGAAGGAATCATGAAGGTAAGGTCAAACTTTATGGAGCCACTAAAATGAGTCAAAAAGTGTGGTTTGGAGCCGCCTAATGGCTAATAATGCTTCTCATAGGGCTCAATATTATACGCGCCACGACACTTCGTGAGCCGCATCAAAAACCACGCGTTTTATAAGCAAACGCGGTCTGTTTCGAGTTTTTTAATCACAACATATATTAGAGTTAGTTATCGAAGAAAAACATTAAAATAATTTTACATGTTTATTTCTTTGACTTACAGACCAAAAGTATTTTTTTAGTACAGAAAATATGCGTATGAAAGAAATATAAGAAATGATTATTCTAACACAATTGGCGTAAGGAGCCAGCAGAAGCCAGCTAAGACAATCTTGGCCTCTAGGGTAAGCCTCCGAGTCAGTCGGAGACTCCTGACTTGTTGCTCAATCATACTGTTACACGCTTCAGTGTTTACACTTCACACCATTGCTATAATTGTTTTATACTAATATAGGGGGTGATTGGATGAGACTTTGAAGACTTTAAAAAGTTTTTTAAAGTTTTAAAAGCCTTATTTTACCAATCAAGCTTTTTTGGCTTTAATAAATTTTAAAGTCTTCAAAGTCTCTTTTTTATTTTTTACTCTTTACTTTCAGTTTTTTTCTAAAGTCACGTAAATGAGACTTTAGAAATAAATAAATTAAAAGCTTATAGTTTTTTTCTTTTTCTTTTTCTCATATGTATATAAACTCTTATAACTTTCACAAATAAATTAATTTTTGAAAAATTTCAGTAGATTTACAATTAATATTTTTTTCTTGTTCTTTTAAGATCCATTTTCCCACATATTTGGTGGTTATTTAAAATTGTAATTTCTAGAGTCATAGTTTTTACCAATCGGTTATAAAATTTATACAGTCAAAGTCTTTACAGCGAAAGTTTCTACAGCGAAAGTTCTTACAGTCAAAGTCTCTACAGCGGGAATTAACAGTCGTTACCAATCGGCCCCTATAGTGTTAAGTTGAAGTTATTGTAAACCTTGACATGTATCAGATTGATAATTTTTGTGGACCAGAAATTTGAGACCCATAACTTAGGGCTAAACAATTAGTGGACTACACCATCATATTTTGCGAATGGACTAAACTGATCAAATTTATTTTTATGTTAAAAACGGTTTGTAATTGTTTGGTTCGCGGATGATTTCTTTTATGTTTTTTTCGTTAGCACCACTACATATTGCAAGTTATGAATGATAAACAAAAGCCAAAAGGTGGTCCAATTTACAAACATTTTTGTTGGTTCATCCACCACGACTATTTAAAGCCACAATAAAAGTACTATAAACTATAATATATTCTAGAAAATAATTAAAGTTTTAACTATATTTCACTCTCTCCGTTTCACAAAGAGTATCGTTTTAAAATTTTATTTTTGTTTAATAAAGAGTATCGTTTTGTATTTTCAATACAGTTTTTAAGATCAGTTCTCTTTTTTATCTCTACTATTTTAGTTTATTAAATAGAAGGATATTATTTGTGTATTAATAAATAGTAGAAATGAAAATTGTTTTTTTTTTTTTATAAATATTAGAATAACTGTGAAACAGAGTGAGTATTATACTCTAGAAAATAAATAAATAGTTTCTGAAAAGTGTGATTAATTAACTAATAGTATAATATTGTCATTATAGGACAATTACTAGTTTTTTTTTTGGTAGGGATAGGACAAATACTAGTTAATGCAATAATACATGTTTACTGTTTACAAAATATTTTATAATTTACAACCACAGATTATTATAGTTTATTTTGTCCGAAAATGAAAGCTTTGGCAAATTTCACGGTGCAAATGTTGTTGATCATTAGACTATGTACATTGGTTGAAAATTACAACACCCTACTTTTTACCTTTTAACACTCCACATCATCATCTCTCTCCTCCACATCATAATTCAACACTCATTTTACTTTTATATTTTACAATGGTTTTAAAAAAAGATTTCATAATTTAATTTTCTTTTATGTTTTTATTTAGTGATTATACATATTACTAAATAAAATTATTAATTAAAATTATAATAAAATAATTAAGAGTCAAATAACTTTTGTATGCATTTTTATTTAATATATTAATTTTTTAAATAAAATAAATAATATAGTAAGAAAATATAAATTTTTTTCTATGTCCAAATCAAATTAAACAAATCTCTATCTATAGATTATGAAAAATGATGAATTTTGGTGTAAATTATTTATGTATATAAAATAATTTATTATAAAATAATTGAGTTTATGTAATTAGGATGAAAAAAATATATCAAAAATCTTAATAGCCAATGAAATCACAGCACATGACAAATCATACCCCACCAACTAAAATTCACGGTGTTGATAAATTACAACACCAAATTTGCCACATCCTTTACAACATTTATTAAAACAACCATTGCACTATCTTCAACTGTTGAATACTTTTTTCAACATACCCATTGTAAGTAGTCTTATAGAATCACAACTGTTTAACAAAAAAAAAACATTGTAGGACAAACACTAGTTAGTGGATTTACTTGATTGGTTCTGCGTCTTCCTAGTGCTATATAGGTAATTGATATTTTATTCAAAAATCATAAATGAAAAAAAGAACTAAATATTTAGTTAATTTTTCTTCGAGTGGAATCTCTCAATCACAGTTCGATATGTGATATCTATATACCTTAATAGGTGGTTGTTTCTCATCGACCTATATATCATAAAAACTACGCAACCGAGTAAATGTGTAACAAATCGAAGTATTTTACACAAGATCTAGCTAGTGGCAACAAGAACAAGATGTGACGAGCAAGTATCTCGAAAAGAAAGTATGAGAGACATCATGGTTCCAAACCTAGCTATTTATGTACATGTTAAAAAGGTCGTGTGTTCGGCAAATCAATTCTAAACATAGCTTATGTACATACTTTCGGTAGTAGGTATCCAAACATGGATAGATATTAATCTCTTAAGGAATACACATCAGAACATCAGTTATCGGGATTCGAATTCATTCTCACTCGATTCCACCTTCTTTTGTGAGTGAACAATATGTTGTAGAGGAAAAAAATACTCTCAAATGTTTTAAACACTATCGCATTTACATAAACGTTTAAACAATATCGCATTCACAAAAACTCTATACCGTTGCTATATTTTCTAACACTCGTTAGAGCAATAATCCATGTTGATTGTTTACAGAATGTTTATAATTTATTTGTCGGAAAATGACAGCTATGGCAAATTTCACGTTATAATTAAACTAAGATATAGTTAATCATTAAATTTGAAACTTCCTTATTATTTTCTAGGTAAATTTCGTCTTTTTGTGAATGATTTGTTATCAATATCTTTTACCACCATCGACATTGTGACAGCCAATGCTTCTATATAATGATACACTTTGTGACCTTCTCAAACACATCAAACAAAGTAACAAACTCCAAAAACACAATTGGCTAACAGAAAGAAACAACCATGAAGGCTACCGTATCCATCACTGCCATCTTTCTCGTGGTCGCTTTGGCCGTACCCTCTCTAGCTCGTCCAGACAATCATGTCGAGGACTCTGTAGGCCGTTTACTTCGTCCTGGTCAAACCTATCACATCGTACCTGCGACTCCTGAGAGTGGAGGAGGTCTTTTCTCGAACAGTGAAGAGATCTGTCCTCTCGACATCCTCCAGTCAAACGATCCCCTTGACTTGGGCGTACCCATCAAATTTAAGTCCGAGTTATGGTTTGTTAAGGAAATGAATAATGTTGCCATCGAGTTCGAGGCTCCCAACTGGTTTTTGTGTCCTGAAGAATCCAAGGGGTGGAGAGTCGTGTACTCTGAACAATTCAAAAAGAGTCTTATAATAAGTACTGGTGTTTCATCAAACCCAAGTGGTGGCTTCCAAATCCATCGAGTTGACGGAGGTTCTTACAAGATTGTGTATTGTACGACCATCTCTCCTGCTAAGTGCATGAACGTTGGCATATTCACCGATATCTCTGGTGCACGACGCTTAGCCTTGACCAACGATGAGGCTCTCCTAGTTAAGTTCCAGAAGGCAGCAACTCCAAAATTTGATTTGAAGACTAAGCTGAGGATGTTCCCTTTCTACTAACTAACAACTTGTACCAAAAAAGTGCCAAAAGGTATGGCCTCTTGAATGATGGTTGAGACAATACCAACAACTTGTGATTGGTTTAATTTGTGTGTGTTTTTCTGGTATGATTAGTCTGTCATGTGTGTTTTGCTTTGTATAAATGAATTACATAAAACCGGCTTTGTCTCTTTAATTATGTATACTAAATGTTTTCTTTCTATATTTGAGCGTACGACATCTTATTCTTTCGATCTCCCAATAACTATGTAAAATTTGACCAATTAACCCTAAATAAATCTGTTGACCCAAAAAAAAAAAAAAAAAAAAAAAAAAAAAAAAAAAATCTGTTGACCCAAAAACAAATATACGTTCTTACCTTACTCCTAAAGTAACGACTTTGATTACTAAGTTATAACTACCAATTTAGTATCTGTATAACTACTACTATTTTCTCCTTGCAAATTTAGTTGTATAAATCGAATAACCGAAATTTCACTTACTCAAAATGTCAAACTTTTCATACGGCCTCACGTAGGAATATTGTTTGTAAACAAGATTGTTGTTTTTCTGAGGTAATGTAATCCGGTAACGGCGGCAAGTTCTTGCATCATGGGAAAACTAGTTTCATTGAGTAGTAATATTCCATATTTAAACAATAATTGTTTCCTTGGGAAAATATCTACTAAACTACAAAAAATATGTTACACAAAGATTTCGGGAGGCGAAAAACGTGCGTAAATGAGATGGATGACAAAGACATAAAGAACGATACAAACTTCAAATAATGTTTGGTTACAATTTTTTTCAATTGTTAGCATTTATTTTTGTTACATAAATTTACATATGAATATGATAAGCTATCCAGTATCCACACACCACAAAACAATTTCTCAAACTCTAACCCAATGAAGAAGCTTACTCTGTCTTTCATCACTCTCACCGTTCTCTCAGCCCTCTTCACCGCAGCTTCAGCGGCCGATGCTGTACCAAGCCAAGTAGTCCTAGACACAGCTGGACATCCGGTTCAGTCCAATGTCCAATACTACATCATACCGGCCAAGATCGGAACCGGAGGTGGTCTTATCCCTTCGAACCGAAACTTAAACACACAAGACTTGTGTCTGAATCTCGACATTGTCCAATCATCATCTCCATTCGTCTCAGGCCTTCCCGTAACTTTCTCCCCACTCAGCACCAAAACCAAACATGTTCAGCTCTCAACTAGTCTCAACCTCGAGTTTGATTCTACGGTTTGGTTATGTCCTGAATCCAAGGTATGGAGAATCGACCACTCTGTGCAACTAAGGAAGAGCTTTGTAAGCACTGGTGGTGAGAAAGGTAAAGGTAATAGCTGGTTTCAGATTCAAGAAGATGGAGATGCTTACAAGCTTATGTATTGTCCGATTAGCTCCACCGTTGCGTGTATTAATGTGAGTTTGGAGACTGATGATCTTGGAGTTCGACGTTTGGTTCTTAGCACTGATGAATCTTTCGCTGTTAAGTTTCAGAAGGCTTATGATTCAAACTCCAACTGTCATCTTAAGTCTAACTCGAGGATGTTCCCTTTTATGTAAGTGTGAAATCTTGGTAAATTGTTATGCTTGAGAGAATGCCAAGATGTGATGTAATGTAACCAACGGTTTATATGAAATAAAACATATAGTTATTGTGTGTTTTAGTATCTAATGTAACAATAGTACAATACTATATGCATAACCTAGAAAGTAATTTTGTGTGGGGTACTTTGATATTTTATAAAATCTTGGGGAAAATAAGAGAAAACATGGAAATATTTGTTATTTGTTGATAACTCCAAAACTATGCTATATTTCACTTTGGTGCCCCTCGTTCGTGAGAGTCTGTTTAGTCCGTCGATGCCGCATATGGAAGCAGCCGAGAGAGTCAATTCGGCGGCGCGTCTTGGAGCTGAGAAAATGGGCGAGGAGGATGATACGGTGGAGGAGATACGACAGATGAGTGGTTACGGCGGAGATGTGATAGTAGTCGGTGGATTTCCGGCGTCGGAGTCGGAATCGGAATCTGAATCCGATTTGGCGGCGGCGGAGATTATGGTTATATGGGCTATTCAAGGGCCAACTTCTTTTGCTCCAAACGCCCTCGTTGCTCAATCTTCTCTTGAGCTGCGTCTCGATGCTTGTGGCCACTCACTCTCTATTCTCCAGTCTCCTTGTTCATTGGTAACTCATTAGCTTCTCTGTTTCAGTGTCAAATTTCTCGTTTTTTTAGGGTTTGTTGCAATCAAGTTTGCGTCTTTCGGATCCTTATTGAGCCCGGGTTTGGAGAAGATAACGAGTTTGTGTATATGTGTCTTGTGGCTACCATCAAACTTACATTGGCATGTTGTTAGAACATGTTTAGTGATACAATCAACTTTTAAGTGGCTTTAGCTTAACATTGAAGAAAGTGACTCTTCTTGCGTTGATCATGAAGCGTGTTAGAACTATGTTTCTGATATTTGTTTCTTGTGTATTGTGAAGAACACGCCTGGAGTAACCGGTTCAGTGATGTGGGACAGTGGAGTGGTGCTAGGGAAGTTCTTAGAACATTCTGTTGACTCTAAGGTTCTTTCTCTTGAAGGCAAGAAAATCATCGAGTTGGGTTCTGGTTGTGGCTTAGTTGGGTGAGCAAAAACCGCAAATCTTTCTCCTCTGTGCTTTATTATTAACGTGTTAAACATTTAGTTAGTTTCTTCTTTCAGTTGTATTGCAGCACTTTTGGGAGGTAATGTTGTCCTCACTGATCTTCCAGATAGACTGAGGCTACTCAAGAAGAACATTCAAACCAATTTGCACCGTGGGAACACACGTGGATCTGCTATTGTGCAGGAACTTGTTTGGGGAGATGACCCAGATCTAGATTTGATCGAACCATTCCCTGATTACGGTATTCATCACAGTTTTATTTTTTCTCCTTTTGCCTTGTACACACCATCATCACACTTTTTATTTGCTATGTACTTGTAGTATTAGGGTCAGATGTTATATACAGCGAAGAAGCTGTTCACCATTTGGTAAAAACGCTTTTGCAACTCTGCGGCCATCAAACTACAATCTTCCTAGCAGGAGAACTACGGAATGGTTAATCTTTTTCTCTTTGTTGTTTTCAATCACCTTTTATTACAAGAACACAAGGTATAATTTTGCGCTCTCCTTTTTTCTGTCAGATGCTGTTCTTGAGTACTTCTTAGAAACCGCGCTGAAAGATTTCGCGATCGGGCGTGTGGAACAAGCACAATGGCATCCGGATTATCGCAGCCGTCGAGTAGTGCTTTACGTTCTTGAGAAGAAGTCGAAGAGATGCCTCGCTGATGACTCTTCGCTTAATCAATCTTGTTAGCCATTGAGGTTTTGTATGTATTGCGTTTCAAACAGAATCAGGAGCAAAAAAAGGCTTAGCATATGCGTTTGATCCTTCCTTGCATATTCTCATACGTCATTCTCATAGTGTACAGATGTATTATTCTTGTGTTAACTTCTTTTTCTAGTGGAGACAAACTAAAAAAACAAATGGATTTCAGATCTTTGATGATATCTGATTTGCGTTTTGTATCAGAGACAATACATAATAGCGAGGACAATTAGCTGGTAATTTTGTATTCCGTTGAAATTATTATTATACAAGTTGGGAGGATCAAGGGTGCAAGATTTTCCCATTAAAAAATGTCACAATGATCTGTCATGATGAAACTACAATTGTATGATGGAGACTTTTCTGGGTTTCAATACCAAGATGCAATAATTGTCCTAAAATGACATTGCCACTCAGAAACTGAAAAACGAAATGGCTAACAACTACGTTTCCTCTGTTCTGAAGTTGCAGCTTGTGCTTCTTCAACTTGTTTACTTGAGTCAGCAATATGTTGATTCTGCCTCTATCGTCAAGTTTCTTCCTGGTTTTGAAGGCCCTCTTCCCTTTGAGCTCGAAACCGGGTTTGTTTTTGATCTCTTAATGTGATTAAATCCGTGTTCTGTGTTTGGAGATAATCTGTGTTTGGTTTATTGTGAATGAAGGTATATTGGTGTTGGTGATGAAGAGGAAGTGCAACTATTCTACTACTTCATCAAGTCTGAGAGGAACCCAGAAGAAGACCCTCTTCTGCTCTGGCTAAGTGGAGGGCCTGGCTGCTCTTCCATCACTGGCCTTCTTTTTGAGAATGGTGAATTTATAGCAATGATCTTCTTCAACTCGTTCTTCTCCTCTGTCTTTGGTGATGACTCATTTGACTTCAACAGGGCCTCTGGCTATGAAGCTTGATGTTTACAATGGAACTCTCCCTTCTTTGGTCTCTACTACATATTCATGGACAAAGGTAATACAAAGCTGTTTATTCCCATATGACGATCACCAAAACCCGATGATCAATATGTTCTTGATCATTTTCTTTAGACTTCAAGCATAATCTTCTTGGATCAGCCCGTTGGAACTGGCTTCTCCTATTCAAAAACTCAACAACGTACTAAACCTAGTGATTCAGGAGAAGCCAAACGGATCCATGAGTTTCTTCAAAAGGTAAACAACAAATCTTGGTGCCACGTTTCTTTGTGCATTGACATTTAGGAACCTTTTTCTAATTTTGTTGTTGTTGTTGTTGTGCAGTGGCTAGGCAAGCATCAAGATTTTTCTTCCAACCCTTTCTATGTTGGCGGAGATTCTTATTCCGGTTTGGTTGTTCCAGCTACCGTTCATGAAATCTCAAAAGGTATATATAATTTTATATTATCAATCCCGATGCCTTTAACTCAACCAATTATTATAACAGAAGAAACATGATGATGCAGGAAATTATCAATGCTGCAATCCTCCAATAAATCTTCAGGGCTATGTGCTGGGTAACCCGTTGACAGAATATGCAATCGAAGTTAACTCCCGCATTCCATTTGCCCATGGAATGGCTCTGATCTCTGATGAACTCTACGAGGTACTGAAACATGAAATTTGCTTTTGTTTCTTGTCACCAGAATGAATGAAAATAATAAGAAATTTAAAAACATTGTTTTGTTTGCAGTCGTTGAAGAGAATATGCAAAGGAGAATATACACATGTTGATCAACGCAACACAGAATGCTTCAAAGTCGTTGAAGAATTTAATAAGGTTTACAGACTCGATCGACAAATTTTTAGCTGATGTTGTGTGTGTCTGCCTTAAATAAACTAATTTAGTAAACTCGGAAGTTTTTGTTTGTATTTTTTTAGCGTACAAACAGAGTAGGCCAACAACATATATTGTATCCAGTGTGCGAAACTGAAACTCCAAATTGCTATGTAAGTAAATGCTTTTATATATCTTGCCCTCTGTAAACAATTTGAGAAAAAACATTTAATACAATGTTGCTTTTACAGATTTATCGGTATTTGCTAGCTACGTACTGGGCCAATGATAAAACTGTACGCAAAGCTCTACAAATCAATAAGGTGCATACAGTATATATATACATGAGTATGAACAGATTATTTTTAAGGTTCTTGGTATAGGAACAGTGTCATTCTTATATGATTGCAGGAGAGTATAGGGGAATGGGTACGATGTTATTACGGTATTCCTTACAATAATGACATCAGAAGTAGCATACCTTACCATATGAATAACAGCATCAATGGTTATCGATCTCTCATCTACAGGTCAGCAGAGTTTGAGTTTTTGCTGATCTAGATTCAAGACTTTTGTTAAATTTTCTGCGGTTTTTGGTGAATAGTGGTGATCACGATTTCGAAGTACCTTTCATTGGAACTCAAGCTTGGATAAGATCACTCAACTATTCTATTATTGATGACTGGAGGCCATGGAAGATCAAAGATCAAATCGGAGGGTATATAAACCGATTTTTGTCAAGTAAATGGGATTCTCGCTTTATGAGACTCAGTTTGAAATTGACTCTTGACTCTTAACTTGGCAGATACACAAGGACATATGCCAATAAAATGACGTTTTCTACTATCAAAGCAAGTCTTTTACCTTTCTTTTTCTTGAACACTTTTACTGTGGTTTGAACTTGTATTGAGTTGCGGGTTTTGATTATAGGGCGGTGGGCACACAGCAGAGTTTAAAACAGATGAAACTTCTATCATGGTTCAAAGGTGGATCAATGGCCAACCTCTGTAAAAGAAGAAATTATTATTTTAGTAACACATCCAAATATAGACCATCATTATCAATAGGCTCTTAAACAACTCTTAAGTTAAGAGTTGTCTTATAACTAACAAAAGTCTCTTAACTAAGAAACTTTAAAAGATTTTTGTTAGTTATAAGACATATCTCTTAACTTAAGAGTTGTCTTAAGAGCCTATTGATAATGTTGCTCTCCCCTTCCGTGTTTCTCTGTTTCCTTTGTTCATCAAATCTTGAATAAATCATATTTTTCTGTTTCTCTTAACTTTTTTTATTTTATTTTATTTCCCGTAGCCTAAGATTCAATAACTAACTTGGAAATAGAACAAAAATTCACAATTTTCGTTTGTTTGGTTATAAACAGAAACATTTTAACAACCACAAATATAAGTCAATGATCTAACAAGACAAAAATTTATACAAACGGAAAACGTGGTTTGAATTTTGATGTTGGATCGTTGATGATTCAATATTTCTTTTTGGTATCGTTTTGATAAGTAAACCGGGATTGGAAAATTAAATGATTCGGTTATAGTAAGTGGTAGAAGTCTCAGATTGGTTCAGATGGTTTGAAGGAAAGGAGCAGCAAGAAAAGACTCTTGCCGATTTGGAGGGTTTGCTATTATAAGAGTTAGTGTATAAAAAACTCAGCTTTCTATTTTTTCTTCTTTGACACCAAAAAGTTTCAGATTTATCTTGTCCATTGCTTGGGTTTGAGCACAGCTATACTTCACGTGATATAGTGGAAAGCTAGTGAAAACCATGTACCTCGGTATAAGCATCAATGGCCGAACCAAAACGTTCTTTCTTAAAGCAACTTTTCCGGTCTACTTTTAACCGCTCGGCTTGTTTTATCCCCATGGTAGAGAAAGAGATATTTTTGTTTAAATGGATTCTATAAAGATTAAGAAACTCCCATAAGGCCATGCGAGTCGAGAACAAGAAAGTCTAACGTACATATAATATTGGGAGAACCGGCGAGATCGACCGAGATCGACGATCGAGATGATCGTCCAAGATTATGGAAATCATGAAGATCGAGAAAGATCTATAAGTTATCATATCTTAAGTTTAGGAAGTTTAACATTATCTCTAAATATATTATTTACATTTATATTTATCTTGAATTAGGAAATCTCATCTCTATATAAGAGAATGTAATTTATACATTTAATCTTATGAGAGTCTATTAAAATTCTTCCTAAACACTTTTGTGTTCTTTACTCTCATCAATTTATCATATAATATTGGTAATTGTTTTGTTTGGCTGTCGTAGTGATTTCTCTGGCTAAGTCATTCCTTACATATTCGCAAATGTCATGCTTACAGATCACAGATGTACTATTTTTATGTCAATTTTTTTCTTGTAAGAAATCTTGAAGAAGATCGACCAAAAAAAGGATTCAGATCGTTGAAGAGATTTGGTTTGCGTTTTGTATCTGACACTATCATAGAGCAAAAGTTATTTACATAATTTGTATTATATACGAGGTCATGTAGCCAAAATTGAAAGATAGAGTTGGTAGGCGACTTTTTTGGAGTTCTAGTATAAAAATGCAATAATTGGCCGTAAAAGGCATTATTGCTATTTAGAAAACTGAAAGAAAAAATGGCAAGCAACTACATTTCCTCTGTTCTGAAGTCGCTGCTTCTGGTAATTCACCTTGTATTCTTGAGTCAGATCCATGTTGATTCTGCCTCAATCATCAAGTCTCTTCCTGGTTTTGAAGGCCCTCTTCCCTTTGAGCTCGAAACCGGGTTTGTTTTCGATATCTTCGTTTGATTTAATCCGTGTTCCTGAGTTTGGAGATAATCTAAAAAAAGTTATATACTCTTTCTTGTGAATGAAGGTATATTGGTGTTGGTGAGGAAGAGGAAGTGCAACTGTTCTACTACTTCATCAAGTCTGAGAGGAACCCAAAAGAAGACCCTCTTCTTCTCTGGCTAACTGGAGGACCTGGCTGCTCTGCCCTCTCTGGCCTTCTTTACGAGAATGGTGATATAAAAAGAAACATCGATATTTTTTGTGTGCGTCTAGGATTACTCGTTTTAATTCTATAGATCTATATACACAGGCCCTTTGACTATGAAGCTCGATGTTTACAATGGAAGTCTCCCTTCTTTGGTCTCTACTACATACTCTTGGACAAAGGTAATACAAAAGTGTGTATTCTTGATATGGCGATCAGCAAAACCCAATGATCAAATTTTCCTCAGACTTCGAGCATGATATTCTTGGATCAGCCCGTTGGAACTGGCTTCTCCTATTCGAGAAATAAACTTTTTAATAAACCTAGTGATACAGGAGAAGCCAAACGGATCCATGAGTTTCTTCAAAAGGTAAATTATTGACAAAGTTAAATAATTGTCTCTTGAAGCAACGGTTCTTAGTAGGAGCCTTTTTCTTTTGTTGTCATTCGTGCAGTGGCTAGGCAAGCATCAAGAGTTTTCCTCCAACCCTTTCTATGTTGGCGGAGATTCTTACTCCGGTATGATTGTTCCGACTACCGTTCAAGAAATCTCAAAAGGTATATATGGTTTTATGATATCGAATCCCCCAAGCCCTTTTCTCAATCAATTATTATAACAGAAGAAACATGATGATGATGCAGGAAATTATGAATGCTGCAATCCTCCAATAAATCTTCAGGGATATGTGCTTGGTAACCCGATAACAGACTATAAAATTGACGATAATAACCGCATTCCATATGCTCATGGAATGGCACTGATATCTGATGAACTCTATGAGGTATGAAACATACATGCTTTTGTTTCTTGTCCCTACAATGAAAACTTAATAAAACAAGCTGTTCCAAAAACTCTAATTTTTTTTGGGATAGTCGCTAAAGAGAATCTGCAAAGGAGAATATGGACAAGTTGATCCACATAACACAGAATGTTTGAAACTTATTGAAGAATTTAATAAGGTATACCCTATATACACTTAGTGGAATCTTAATTGATGTTGTGTCTCACTAATTTAGAGTCTTTGTGGTTTTTTTATAGTGTACAAGTAGATTATACAGATCACATATATTATACCCATTGTGTGAAGAAATTACAAATCCAGATTGCTATGTAAGTAATCTATTATTCTCTATGTTAAACGTGAAATCATTGAGAAAAATGAATTTAAAGATGACTACTTTTACAGATTTATCGGTATTCACTAAGTACCTACTGGGTTAATGACGAAACCGTACGCAAAGCTCTTCAAATCAATAAGGTAATATATATATATACGTTAATCCTAATTGAAATATATACGATAGCAACTAAAATAATGTTCTTTTCACTAAAAGACTTATGGAGGATTTATTAAAACTACGTACATGAAAAGTAAATTCTTACAAAACAAATATTAATAATTTAATTTTACTTGTCTATAGTAACATATAAAGAATAACTAAAATATTTGAAAAAAATTGAAATAAGTAGTCGCCAAAGAGGTAAATAAAAATAAAACAATGAATATAAGTATGATCAATTGATGATTGCAGGAGAGTATAAGGGAATGGACACGATGTAACTGGAGTAAACCATACACTAAAGACATTATAAGCAGCGTACCTTACCATATGGATAATAGCATCAATGGCTATCGTTCTCTCATTTTCAGGTTCAGAGTTTAACCTTTTGCTGATTATAATTATACCTAGCTACCAATTAGATTGAAGTATTAGTAAACTTTTCGGTGAATAGTGGTGATCATGATTTCGAAGTACCTTTAGTTGGAACTCAAGTTTGGATAAAATCTCTCAACTATTCCATCGTTGATGACTGGAGACCATGGATGATCAACAATCAAGTCGCTGGGTATATATATACTAATCTTTTTTCATAAACAAAACTGGGATTCTCTTGTTTATAATTGCTCTATCAGACTCATGTTGAAATTACTCGACTCTTCCTTGCAGATACACAAGAACTTATGCCAATAAAATGACATTTGCTACTGTCAAAGCAAGTCTTTATTCTTTCTTTAATTTTTCCAACCATAAATATTTTTATTGCGGTTTTAAACAGTATTTCTTAAATTAAGATGTGGGTTTTGATTATAGGGAGGTGGGCACACAGCAGAGTATAAGCCAGATGAAACCTTTACCATGTTCCAAAGGTGGATCAATGGCCAACCTCTATAAAAGAAGAGAGTGGCCTTTACGTATAAAGGACTAGTTGGGTCGTTCAAAGCTCGTTCGTGAAGCACACACCCATTTATTAGTATATACTGTATCTGACCCATTTACGGAAAAAAATTTCTGCTAAAAAATTCTCCAACATTTTTTTGTTTGTAAATTTACTTTCCAACTCCAAAAATTGTTAAAAACAAAAAAGAAAAGTATCTTCAACTCACAATAACTCCGCAATATAATCATCCGAGGTCGACGAGGGCGTTCTCATAAATAATAATTTAGGGAAAGATAGGGTTTTAGACTTTAAGTTTGGTTTTGGTTTGATTTTCTATAACGAATGAGATTCTTTTCACTTAACAGATTTTCTATAACGAATTTGATTTGAACGTTTTGGCCTTTTGGGAAAGAAAGAGGAACCCAAGTAAAGCTCAGTTTTGTTATTTTTATCGGTTCAATCAGGTTTGGTCAGTATTTCAGCACTCTGGTCGCAATTTGGTTAACTGTTAATAATTTGATCGTGCTTTTGAAGTGTGAGTTTAAGCTCGTTAGTTTAAAATTTTAAGGGTGCAAAGTGCAAACTAACTCTATTCTTATAAATTTATAAAATATTGTTTGTCAATCTATCCTATTAATTAACTTTTGCAAAATTAAATCAACAATAAAATTTAACATTATAGAATAATTAACAGAATGTGGACGATAAAAATTGTTAGAATACATAAACACGAGATACCCAATCAAGCTATAACTAATATGATAAAATCAAATCTATTCAAGTTTGACAAAAAAGATCAAGTTTTTATATTCGAGAAAGATATGCAAGAATTAGAAAAATAGGAAAATGGATTTGTTACATACTAATTAATAAAAGCGGGACATGTGAATTGTCATCTCTTATTATTTAATTTATATTATACATTTAAATTAAGCAGAATATAACTCGTTAAAAACTCGGTTTGACTTGAAGAAACGTGGGTGGAAAGTGGAGTATACAAAAATATATAAAAATAGATAGTAATCTTCTCGAATCCGCATTCCGCATGCATGAGATTAATTAAATGTTCAACTGCATAATTTTGAAGTTTAATAATTCAAAACCTAAGCCTATACTAACATTTAAACTCACATTTTCTTCACCCACCCAGTAACATTTAAACCAGACGCAAAACTACAAAAACCAAAAGCATGAATCCTATATTTTTAGAGGATGAGAGTCATAACTTAAAAGAAGACTGGTAATAAAAAAAAATATGTGTATTCCTCTGTTTCCTTTGTTCATCATATCTGGAATAAAACATCTTTCCTCTCATTCTTTTAATTTTTTTCTCTGGTTTCAAATTTAAATAACTTGGAACTAAACCTAAAATTTCCTCAGTTTTTTTTTTCTGTTTATAGATACAAACATATTAACAACCACATATAAGTCAAATATTATTACCATGTTGTTTATTATAATATCACATTATCGATATATAAAAGTTCATCACTTAAAGCATATCCTTTGGCATCTTCTCATTAAAATTAAAAGTTTAATTTGTTCCTGGTGTACGTTATCCTTCTAGATCTCCAAACTAAAATGGCATGCACATGATGACACTGAAATTATAAGTGAAGATATTGAAAGACAAATACGCGACATGTATGGATTATGTGCCCATTTTAGTTGGTTGACTCAAATTGTGCTGCAATAGACATTAAAAAAACGTAAACAAATGCATTCTTTGCAACTATTCTATATCTGAAGATATAATTCAAACCAAAGGAAAATAATAGAAAGAAGCTTATCGTTGTTTCGGTAAATTTTAACCGGTTCTTAGTAAAACAGCTCTACGAAACAACGCCCAAAGAGATATTTTATTCATCAGTAACTTTAGTTGACATAACTTGAAATAATAGCAGATCAGAATCATCTAACAAGTATCAAAGGAGAATCTAGGTGTAGATCTCTGTTAGAATTTTTTGGTAGAATCGATGGAGTCATCGTAATGTATAGTTACGCAATGGATCATCGGTGATTTTCTTAGGCCATGGTCATTATTCTTCATTGTTATATTTAACAAGTTTTCAGGGGTTTTTTTTCTTCCCATTTTTCTCCTACCCCCCTCTCTTTTTTAAGGACTTCTTCAACCCCTAATTTAATTTAGATTAATAGCGACGTGTCACTAAATCCTACTAATTTATAAGGATTAAAGATGACGTGGCAATACCAATATTTACGGAAATCAGGCAATGATTTCATTTTACCCAACAATCGTTTCAAAAAATTTGGAGTTGTCAGACCACCATTAACGGTGGGTTCTTAAAGAGTTCTTAACAAAATCTAAAATCAAAAATTAATGACAAAGCATGTAAAATACTAAGCAACGTGCCTTAGTTAAGAGCCATTATTCCTAAGAGCCATTATTAAGGACGTTAATTCGCTATAGCTCTAAGTTGGATTATACCGTATGCAAATACTACATGTCGGCAACGTTGGTTTCTGCCTGAGTAGACATCGATTGTGGATTTACGGAAATGTTTTGTTGTTGAATTGTGGAGCGTGATCACTTAAGACTCTTTGTTCATGAACTAAAACGGAGTGGTCATGTGAATAATTTGGATCATGCTTATGTTCCAGTTAATGAGACTGAATGTATGTAATGTAAGCAATTTTTTTTTTTTTTATAAAGATGTATGTAAGCAATTTCCCCTTATTGGTGAATCGTACTATGAGAATCTATCAAATCACGATGTTATAATGGCACATGTTTAAACGTTAAATAACCTCGATGTTATCCATATCCTCTAAATAGTTGGCCACATGATTCACAAAGATCGATAGACATTTTATAAAGTTAAACTAGAAAAAATTAAAACGAGCTTAAATTCACATTTCATATGCATGTCATGTGCCGATGTGCAGACCATGATCAAACTATTAATGGTTATTAAAAATTGCGACCAGTAACAGAGAATCGCGAGAGTTGTGAACTGTGCACAAATGTGATGAAGTTGGGTACAATACTTCTATAAAATGTATAAGACCGAAGCATATAAAATGCACAAATAAATACTAGAACTGGACTAAACTGAGGCTTTACCAACAATAATTTAGTTAATACATGTTAATAAGTAATAAAACAAAAAAAAAAACCAAAGTGCTCACACTCTTTTTTTTTCTTTTTCAAACCAGACTGAACCAAAAAATAACAAAACTAATTAAGCTTTGCATTTAGTTGTACTTCTTTTCAAAAGCGTAAATCGAAAACCTATTAAATCATATACATACATATATATATATATATATATATATATATATATATATATATATATATATATATATATAATATCCCCTAAGTCGTTTAAAAAAAATAAAAAAAATCGTTCTGATATGAAGAGGCGTGGGTGGAAAGTGGAGTATACAAAAATATTAAAATAGATAGTAATCTTCTCAAATCTGCATGTGTTTTAAACTTTCGACTGCTTAATTTTGAAATTTAATAATTCAAAACCTAAGCCTATATACTAAATAAGCTATATGTGCATATGTACTACACATCCGTGTATAAATACTGGTTACATTAACTCACATTTTCATCTTCTTCCAATAACATATATATCAAATACAAAACCCCAAAAGCATGAATCCTCGGTTTTACTTCCTTCTTGCCTTTGCCGCAGTTTTGGCCGCCACGACCGCAAACGCACAACCTGTTCTCGATATCGATGGAGACATCATATTCGGCGGCAGCTACTACGTTCTTCCCGTCATCCGTGGCCAGGGAGGCGGCGTGACTCTCTCCGGCCGCGGTGATCAGCCATGTCCTCTCGACATCGTTCAGGAATCATCCGAGGTCGACGAGGGTATCCCCGTAAAATTCTCAAACTGGAGGTCTAGAGTTGGGTTTGTTCCCGAATCAGAGAGCCTCAACATCGAGACGGACATCGCAGCCACTGTCTGCGTCCAGTCAACCTACTGGTGGATTGATGCGACGTGGCGTGTGACAGCTGGTCCGAAGCCAGAAGGGTTCGGAGAAGATTCCTCGCGTAGTTTCTTCCAGATCCAGAAAGCTGACGAGCATTTCTACAAGTTTGCGTTTTGTCCTAACGTTCGTGCAGGTAGCAGCAAAGTTTCAGCGTCCGAGTGGGGATGCGTCGATGTTGGGATACTTGTGGATGAAAACGGCGTTCGTCGTTTGGCTTTAGCCAATAGGCCATTCTTGGTTATGTTCAAGAAAGCTAATGTGCCAGAGGTCTCCGCCAAGACTATGTCTACCTAAGAGAGAAAGTTACTAAATGAAGAGGATAATAATAATCATAAATTAAGACTGCTAAAATAAAAACTCGCACTGTGTTTCTCTGTTTCCTTTTTTCATCACATCTGGAATAAAACATATTTCCTCTTTTTCTTTTAATTTTCATTCTCTAGTTTAAGATTACAAAAATTGGAAATTGAACAGAAACTTGTCTTTTTCTTATTTTTGGTCCTTTATAGATAGAAACAGCTTAACAACCATATATATATAAGTCAATGATCTAACAACACAAAATTTTGTACAAATGATAAAACGTGATTCATGCAGATATATGGGCAAGTGAGGCTATTGAAGAAAAGTTGAGAAAGTCAATATTTTCGATGTTGATTTCATTAGAAGAATAACTCTTATGATTTTGTGTTAGTTCCGGGTTTCTGCTTTTGGATTTTCTTGGGCTACTCTAATAGAAACCCGACTTTTGTATGATCAAATTATCGAGAAATTAAAGTTGCCAATATCGAGTAAGAAAATTTCATCACTTAAAGCCTATACTTTGGCATCTAGTCATCAAATTTAAAAGTTTTATCCTTAGACCACCTCTAACAAAGGGTTTTTACAAAGAGCTCTTAACAATTTTGATTTACAAAATAATGATAAAATGTTAGAGGCACGGCCACTGGCAGGTTTACACAGGGGAATTGCCAGCCTCGTGGGATTAGTCCTTGGGCCTAGGAAGCCTTTGGGAGACCCGCGGTTATTCAAAAAAAAAAAAAAAAAAAATGTTAGAGAAGTGCTTAAAAGAGGAGAGAGGGCTCTTAAAAGAGAAATTTATGCACTTTCTCTCCTCTCTTAAGAACTATTTCTTATTTTTTAATTTATATTTTGTAAATTTTTCTAATATTTTTGAGAACCTATGATTTGGGCTTAGTTTCCCGGGGATATTTATGTCTTTCGCCGGTTTAGTTTCCGAAAGAGTTTCGATTCTTGTCGGTCTTGTATTTCAAAACCGTATTCTACCTTCGTATAATATAATGGAATCATTCAGACCAAAAAAAAAGAAAAAAAAAATGCTCTTATAAACTATTCTAGACTAACGTGACGTGTACATGGCATTGAAAATTGAAACTAAATATGAATAGTTTACCTGGATAAAGACAAATACATGACATGTATGGATTAGAATCAAAGTATTATCAATAACTTCGATTACGTGTCCGTTTTGGTTGGTTTAATCAAATTGAACTGCAATAGACACTTAAAAAGCATAAACAAATCTTGGTTTGCATTCTTTGCAATCTTTCTATCTCTGAAAACGTAATCAAAGCCATCGAACGAAACATAATCTTTTAAGGAAACTGGAGTTGTTAGGAACGGATAAAATTGTATACGTACTAAATCAAACTAGAATCATAGATTTATTTCTCATACTTTCTAAATAAAAATTCAAATTCCAAAATCCGTACGTGTTGACTGGTGACATAGTGATCTCGACTCTAAAGCTAAGAGAGTAAATTTACTATAGCTCTAGGTTGGATTATACTGTATTTTTAAGAGATTTGTCCACCTCCAGATTAATTAGTCAAACACTTTGACAAAACTGAGATTAGCCAAAATATTCAAATCAAAAGTAACGTGTATATAATGTTAGTAGATATGATCATGATCATCTTCTCAATGTGTAGTAAAATTATATATATATATATAAATATTGGCAGTTTAAATTTCACAAGTTAAGTATACACTAGCCGCCAAAGCCGCCTCACCTAGTCACCACTGACTATAATCATACTAACGTGTTTATAAATAAGTATATCTTCTTCATCCACAAATAACCATTGGCTATAACTATCACAAAAACTACCAAAACCATGAACCCTACCTTTTACTTAGTTCTTGCCTTAACCGCGGTTTTGGCCTCAAACGCATGTGGTGCCGTTGTCGACATCGACGGCAACACCATATTCCACGAGAGTTACTACGTTCTCCCTGTCATACGTGGCCGAGGAGGCGGCCTGACTCTAGCAGGCCGCGGTGGTGAGCTATGTCCTCTCGATATCGTGCAGGAATCTTCAGAACTCGATGAGGGCATTCCCGTGAAATTTTCAAACTGGAGGCTTAAAGTTGCATTCGTTCCCGAATCACAGAACCTCAACATCGAAACAGACATCGGAGCCACGATCTGCGTTCAGTCAACCTACTGGCGGGTCGGTGAGTTTGACCACGAGAGGAAGCAGTACTTCGTTGTGGCTGGTCCTAAACCAGAAGGGTTTGGACAAGATTCGTTGAAGAGTTTCTTCAAGATCGAGAAATCTGGGGATCTTGGTGCTTACAAGTTTGTGTTCTGTCCTCGGACTTGCGACGCTGGCAGTCCAAAATGCAGCGATGTCGGGATATTCGTGGATGAACTCGGCGTTCGTCGTTTGGCTTTAAGCGATGAGCCTTTCTTGGTTATGTTCAAAAAAGCCAATGTGACCGAAGTTTCGTCAAAGACTATTTAAGAGGACAAGTCTCGATCTTTACTTTGACTACTAAATAATAAAACCTCTCTGTTTTTTTTTTTCATGATAAACACCTATCTCTCTGTTTTCTTGAAAACTACATACTATTGAATAAAGAGAGCTAGTGAAGCACATGCCCATTTATTAGATGTTCAATCATGTTCATCTTCTCCATTTTAATGCCCGATATAAATCAAAGGGAAAGAGTGGACATCCATTTAAATAAAAACAGCTAACAATACGTGGCCTCATTTATTATTGTGTATTTAATAAGAGAATGAAAGCTTTGAAACAGTAGCCATTCTCTAGAGATTCTGATGATGGTTGTGATATAGAAAACGATAAAAATAATTATTACTCTAGTCAATAGATTGGATAATAACTATAGTGTTTTCATTTAGTCTAATGACTTTCAGTTTGTCTTACATAATCTAATTGATTTTGTATCTTCTCACTTCTTTTATTCTTTAATTTGAGTTTTATTTTTGTTTATATTTTAGCAAAAGTGATCGAATCAATTCACAACAAATTATTTAGGTAATTTTAAAAAAGTTCTGAAAAATTGAATCTTTGAAATAAAAATTTTAGTTTGCAAATTCTGCGTAGAAATTTACAGAAAAAGATATTCCTTTTGTCGTCGATGAATCAATTAACGACTATAGAACTAAATTGGATAAGTTTATGCAAAACACAGAGAGGCTTATGAAAATGTGTGGAGTCTACAAAAGTTTTACAATAATAGAAGTAAAGTTGTGGAAGCATATGCGAAATTGTCCAGATCAAAAAAAAAAAAAAGCACAGCTGAAACAAAAAGAGAAGCGGTTATAATATGCATTGGGTTAACAACTGAAACTCACTCACATTTCATAACCATGCCATGTGTGGACGACGATCAATATATTAAGTTATTAACGGTTAACCGAAATTGCGACTGGAGTGCTCAAATTCGGACCAAACGGAACCCAAAATTTAAATCAATAAAAGTAAGCATTATTTGAATTAATTCTTTCTTTAAAGCAAAAACTTATGAACTATCAGAAGAACTATAGTGAAAAGAATATAATTGAGTCGTGTAAGAAAATCAAAACCTAAACCAAGGTAAAACCATATATTCCCCTAGAATCTTCTTAATCATTTAACATTGCGTTTAAAACTTTCAACCGCTTGATTTTAAAGCTAATAAATTCAAAACCTAACGTATACTATATACCAAGCTATATGTGCATATGTATAATGTATGTATATACGTCCGTGTATAAATACTGATTACATGAACTTACATTTTCTTCATTCAGTAACAAAATGTATCAAACACAACACTACAAAAACCCCAAAAGCATGAATCACTTGTTTTACTTCCTTGTTGCCTTAACCTCAGTTATGGCCGCCACGACCACAAACGCCGCCAAGCCCATTCTCGACATGAACGGATCGGAGAGATCATAAGAGGCGGTGCTTATCGGGTTTTCCCCGTCAGAAACTATTGGGATCACAACAGAGGGGGCGGCCTGAGTTTCGCTAGCCATGGTAGAAATCAATGTCCTCTCGACGTGGTGCAGGCACCATCCATGTACGACGATGGCGTTGCCGTAAAATTCTCAAACTGGAGGTCTGGACTTAACTTCGCTCCCGAAGCAGAGAACCTCAACATCGAGATGGCCATAGCAGACACGTTGGCCTGCATTAACTCAAACTACTGGCGGATCGATTATGACAGCGGGCGGGTGATGGCTGGTCCGAAGCCAGAAGAATATATACGAAGAAGATGGTTTCTTCCAGATACAGAAATCTGACTATCATCATCACTACAAGTTTTCGTTTTGTCCTGGCTTCGGAGGAAGCAGAAAACTTTCATGGCCCAGCTATGAATGCACCGATATTGGGATACATGAGGATAGATTTGGCGTTCGACGTTTGGCTTTAAACGATGGGGATTACTGGCAGGCTGATTACTGGGTTATGTTCAAGAAAGCTAATGAGACAGGAGAGGCTTTGTCCAAACCTATGCCTATGTGACTGAAAAAATTAAGAGGGATAATAGTCTCTCTGTGTTTTCAAATAAATAAATTAAAAGAGATAAGACTGAAAATTAAAACTCTGTGTGTGTTTCTCTGTTTCCTTTGTTCATCAAATATGTAATAAAAGATCTTTCCTCCGTGTGTTTTAATTTTGTTCTCGGGTTCAAGAGTCAGACAACTTGGAAATTGAACATAATTTTTTTCACTTTTGTTTAGCAAGCTAGAAACATTTTAACAACCACATCCACGCATATAAGTCGATCATTAAAACTTTGGTTTAACAAACCAAAACGTGGTTCATGAATATTTTGGCATCTAGTAATATGCTATCAAAACAGTTGATAACAGATGGGCCTGTTTTGGGCCAACGAGATTTGGATGAGTCGATTTTAACACTAATTAGAGTTTTTATCGGTGAAAGTCAACGGTTTCACAGTTCCCTGGACCCTAAAACGTTTTTTTTAAGGTAAAAAATCTTGCTGACCAATATCGTCTCCCCGATCTCTCAGCTTCTTCCATTGACGCCAAATCTAGCTAGCCTTTGTCTCTTTGAACGAAAATGGCGGAAACCATCGGCTCAGGTACATCTTTCTCAATTAATCTGAATTGAAATCTTTCGTATGTCGACATTTGTATGGAATCTACGTGCGATTGTTCTGGAACTACAAATGTATGGACCATATTGATTGATTTTGATCGAGCCTCTTTTGTATGGTCTTTAATGTATGAACTACAAATCTTTCGCTTTTTTTTTTTTTTTGTGCAGAGGTTTCGTCGATGTCTGACAAATCCGCCAAAATCTTCGTCGCTGGTCATCGCGGTTTGGTTGGATCTGCCATTGTTCGCAAGCTTCAGGAACAAGGTTTCACCAATCTTGTTCTTCGAACACACGCCGAGCTTGATCTCACCCGTCAAGCCGATGTTGAATCCTTCTTTGCTCACGAGAAGCCAGTTTATGTAATCCTAGCAGCAGCTAAAGTTGGTGGTATTCATGCTAACAACACTTACCCTGCTGATTTCATTGGTGTCAATCTCCAGATTCAGACCAATGTGATCCACTCTGCTTACGAGCACGGTGTCAAGAAGCTTCTCTTTCTTGGATCATCCTGCATTTACCCCAAATTTGCTCCTCAGCCAATTCCTGAGTCTGCTTTGTTAACCGCATCGCTTGAACCAACTAATGAGTGGTATGCTATTGCTAAGATCGCAGGGATTAAGACTTGTCAGGCTTATCGGATTCAGCACGGGTGGGATGCGATCTCTGGCATGCCTACTAATCTCTATGGTCCTAATGACAATTTTCACCCGGAGAATTCTCATGTGCTTCCTGCTCTCATGAGGAGGTTCCATGAGGCGAAAGTGAATGGAGCAGAGGAAGTTGTGGTGTGGGGTACAGGCAGTCCGTTGAGGGAGTTCTTGCACGTCGATGATTTGGCTGATGCTTGTGTTTTCTTGCTGGATCGATACAGCGGGTTGGAGCATGTTAACATAGGAAGTGGTCAAGAAGTGACGATCAAAGAGTTGGCTGAGCTGGTGAAGGAAGTCGTCGGTTTTGAAGGGAAGCTTGGATGGGATATCACTAAGCCAGATGGGACACCGAGGAAACTGATGGACAGCTCAAAGCTCGCGTCTTTGGGTTGGACACCCAAGGTTTCTCTCAGAGATGGTCTTCGCCAAACTTATGATTGGTATTTGAAGAATGTGTGCAGCCAATAAGTAATGGTTTCTCATATATATACACAACTCTTGAGTCTCAGGTAAATCAGCTTATCACCAACCTTTCTTTGAGATTCAAGAATTGCTTTTTATCGACATTGATTCATTTAGAGTTTTGTTGAGGAATTTACATTGTCCGAGATAAGACTTGCCTCTTGATGCAACATTGACTGAGGAATTTATATTTTGGATATCCGAGTCTGATCTTTTATTAGCTCTCTTCTATACATTCTTGAGAAGTTTCAAGAAAACAATTATGATTAATCAAAAACTATATATGGAGTATCATATATAGTTTGACAGAAGACAATAAGACATATAATGAATCTCGGCCCAATGGGCTGACAAATGCCTTGTTAAAGATAGCGTGAATAAAACGCACCGCGATTCAAACGTGAAAATTAAAAAGGCTAGTGTCCAAACGCACCGCCTCTAGCCCTAACCTCTACCTTCGTCGTTGGCTCACTTACTTGACTTCACGACCCGCTCAAGTTCCGACACGAAACTCATTTCAAATTAATTCTTAAACACAAAAAAGGGGCAAAAAATAATCGCCGGCGATTATGCCTTCACCTCCGGTACCGGAGACGGTTGTGAGCCACCGCTTCGCAGCTTTTCTTATCTGGCAATCGATTCCTTCATCAGCCATTTTCTTCTTCTTCAACCTTTTCCTCTTCTCCACCACTTCAATCATCTCCTTTCTCCTCACTTTCTTCGTCTTCCATTCCTCACAGCTTCTCTTCTCCGTCTCACTAGCTCTCCTCTCTTCTCCGACTCCAGATTCTCCTCTCTCCCCTCTCCAATTCACTCTCGGCCTTCTCCGTCACCTCTCGGATCCCGAGTTCCGCCGCCGTGCTCGCGTATCTTTACGCATCGTGCTCTTCGTCTGTGCTACTTCCCTCGCTGGGTTCTGCTCCGCTGCTGTCTTTTGCTTGTCTAGTGATTCTTTTGGACCGATTGGAAGAATAGGGTTTAGGGGATTTGTGACTGGATTGCTTTACGCAGTCCTCTTCGTCATTAAGCAGCGATGGGTTTTGGAGTTTCCCATCATTCAGGTTTTGTGTCTTTGCTTCTTGATTTATGGAATATTTCATCAATTTTGTATCTTTACTGATTCTTACTTGTGTTTTTCCAAAACAGCGTCCACCGTTCTTCAGCTTCAAGATTGGTCTTCCTTCAGCTCTAACACAAGCTCTGAAGCTATCTGGTGTGCTTTATGTGTTGTCAACGATAATGCTATTGTTTCTGCTAGACTGGTCCGGTGGGCTTGTGTCTGTATCGAGATTCTTGGGTGAGCAGGTCTTATCTTATGCCGGCAGTTTCTGTTTGATTCTCTCTTGGGAAGTCACTCACCATATACATAAGGTTAGTTAAGTTGTCTTTGTTGATTTGCTATTGATAGATGTAATTGGTTGGTGATATAGCCGTTTAGATTGGTGGTATAGTGTTTAGTATGTTAAGATCCCTGTAGCTTTATAGTGAACATTGTTGAGGTGACATGTTAGATTGTAGAAGAGTTAGAACTCACTATTACTTGAGTGATGCTAAACTGAACTGAGAAAAATCTGAAAAGCAACGGCAAGTTAGCTGTGTTTACCATTATGTTTTGCATTGATACTGTGTGGAATTGTTTTCCTGTTTTGTTTGGCATTTCTGTTTTGGAAGCCTATGTCAAGGTCTGTCTGTCTTCTGTTTATGTGGATCGGTTAAAAAAAAAACTCATATAAATTTGTATCGATATGCATAAATTGTTTACTTTTCTTGGATAGCTTAACTATTCCTGCCTAAACACTTTGAAGTATTTATCTATGAGCTTTGTTCTGTGTATAACTTGTTACTCTATCAAGGAATACATAAACTTTAGCTACTTTTCCAGGTTCTGAGTTCTGACTACAAAAGAAGTTAATTACAATTGTCGTTTTCTTTTCCAGGTTCTGCACACAAAACGGTTCAGCTTTGCTCCTCCAAAAGGATCTGCTGCAGCAGAAACGAATCCAAGCGAGCCTCTTCTTGCTGCTTTAGAAGGGAGCGCTCCAGGTTCCCTCGAGCAGTCTCTTGCATACCTTGATCTCTACATGGTGTCTCAGAATAATGTCGACACATGGCGTCGTGCTGCTTTCTTTGAGGAGTCCACCGAGACGTACAAAAGAGTAATCACTCTATGCTTGAGGCCTTTGGAAGAGCTCGCCTCCAAGTTATCTTCTGGGCTAGACCACACCTTTACTGAAAAAGGTTATCAGACACCACTCCAGCCACCAACCGAGTCATTTATCGATCCAAAGTTTGGGGAATCACTTAAGTCTTTCCAGGTAAACTGCAATTCAAAGTTCATCCCTTTTCTATGTGAAGATTTGTTCAGGTAGCTGTAACCAAAATCTGTTTGCTCTGTATCTGATATCTGCAGCTATATGCATGGTGTGCTCAAACAACTGCATCCCTGACTTCAATCTCTCACAAGGAAGACAGGCTTGGAGTAGCTCAACTGTCTGGTGGAAATGCTGATGTTGTCTCAACACTTCTATCGCTTTTGCTAGCTATCGAAACGTTTATGGGGAAGAAGACTAATCTTCAATCACCTCAACAACTGATGGGACCTGCTAGTATCAAATGGGCGACCTCGAGTATGGTCAGAAAAGACGTTAAACCCATAAAAAAAAGTATCGGGGGGATGTACTCCTACGCGTATGCAGCGACAGATGTTTTAAGGATATCAATATACCAGATTCTGTCCACATTCCGCGATGAAATGCTCAACAGCGACAGAGCAGGGCTTCTTGGTAGAGATTGGATTGGATGCAAGAAACCGCCTTTTGGAACAAACGACATGCTGCTACAGAAGCTTAAGCTCTTCCTCGAGTTCCAAGCTTGATGGAAGATTAAAGAAGTACAATTCCTCGATTAACAAGTATCATGATTGAAAGAGCTGGAAAGAAAAAGGAACTAGAGTGAGCCTTGTATTGAAAAATGAAATCCCTCGATTTTGCAGAAATTTGGGATTAAACTTCTTTTTGGTGAACTACATAATTATATAAGAATCAAACTTTATTGGTAAGTTTTGCATCTTGAATCTTGATAACATAAATTTTGGAGAAGCCTCTATATGTTTAGCAGTGTTAATATGAACGAGTTCCAAGAGATCTGTAACTCAACGCATTTTACAAAGAAAACCAAAATTGGAATCTGTAATGGGCCATAGATTTAGGCCCATGGTCGCTGCTTATAGTAATATCCGAAGGAGAGATCGTGACCGTTGGATGGTGATTAGACAAATAATTGTATAGAGTGTTAAAGCTGAGATTGGCTACAGACACCATTCGCATTTACTTAAAGGGCAAAACCCTTCAGCGCCGCTTGGATCTCTCTCTCCTCTCTTTCTCTTTTCCCTTATCTTCTTCTTATACCCTTCGACCAAAGAAGAACCCTAATAATCGATTATCAAGGTAAAAGTCACTGCAATGAATTGTTCTTTCTTTTTCATTTTAAGATTTTTGATTGTTTCCTTCTGAGTTAGCCGAAGGGTCAATATCAATTTCCTTTTTTTTTTTGTCTTTCGATTCATAAAAATGTCTTCATTGATTCGAGATACTGTCTTTTGTCATTGATTATATTGTTTTGAATTTTTAGTTAGTTAAAAGTAGTGTCTGTGTAATGGAGACCTAATCAATTGGAAAAAAATTGAAACTTTAGGTTAAGCTCATTGTAAAAATACGAGCTTTGTTCTTCTTGCGACACTGTGCCCTTAGTCCTAGCGTGTTAAAATTGTGGTTTGCGACAACTGAACATGTAGCTAATTGATTTAGTTATTGTGTATGTCTAATTGATTCAGTCAAGTGTAGATTATACGAACTTCTTAGTTACATTTTTGGGCTTATAGGTTTTAGCTTTGTTTCTGTGTTTTGAAACACAGATGAATAGGGAAAAGTTGATGAAGATGGCTAACACTGTCCGCACTGGCGGAAAGGGGACAGTAAGAAGGTATTTTTACTCACAAGTCTTATTGTTCATTTGTTTTCTTACCAAATTTATGTTAGATGTTCTCTAAACATTTTTTTTATTTTCATTTCAGAAAGAAGAAGGCTGTTCACAAGACCACTACAACCGATGACAAGAGACTCCAGAGCACTCTTAAAAGAGTTGGAGTCAATTCCATTCCCGCCATTGAAGAAGTTAACATTTTTAAGGATGATGTAGTGATTCAGTTCATTAACCCTAAAGGTAAAAAAGTCTAGCTTTATAAATTACAGGACTTGTGATAAAACTTCATTGTATTAATGGTTGTTGTGTGTCTTTTTCAAATGTTGCTATTGCAGTTCAAGCTTCTATTGCTGCTAACACATGGGTTGTGAGTGGTACACCACAGACGAAAAGTAAGTGTTTATATACACACAGATGATCCAATACTCTTCTCGGTTTAATTTTCTAATCTGAAAATCTGAATTTTACTGCAGAGTTGCAAGACATTCTTCCTCAGATTATCAGCCAACTTGGTATGCATCATTTAATGTGACACTCTTCGATATCCTTCATCAAACCAGTGATCCCTGAAGTTAAGCATTTTGTTTTCTTGCTTTGATAATTGCAGGACCAGATAACTTGGACAACCTGAAGAAGCTAGCAGAGCAATTCCAGAAACAAGCTCCAGGTGCAGGTGATGTCCCAGCAACAATCCAAGAAGAGGACGATGATGATGATGTCCCAGATCTTGTAGTTGGAGAGACTTTCGAGACTCCTGCTACTGAAGAGGCTCCCAAAGCTGCTGCTTCTTAGAGGAGGAAGGAGAGCTCCCCTGCAAAACCCATCATAAAAATGTTTGTCGCTCGACCTTTTTTGAGCACTGTCAGATTCTTGTTTTCTCTAATGCTTGCGAACAGAAAGACTTGGTTTTATTATCACTTGATGCTTTTTGGTCCGAACAGCAATTTTCCTTTTATTAAGGTTAGATCGCTTTTTGTTTACCACCTGTTCAAATGAGTGCTATGTTCTGTCTCTTCTTGCAACACAGTTCTTTGTTTTGAGTCAACCATGTTCAAGAGATGAACAATCAACAGTTTCGTACATTTAAATGGAAATTCGAAAGATTTTACATATTTCCAATTATTGGATGTAAACATTCCATAGAAAACACAACACTGTGAATGCAATCAAGTACTCATGATTGTTTCATTTTCGATCTCTTCCGCTTTCCCTTGTTGTGCTAGTGTTTCGTACAGCGGAGCATTTCGCGTTTCTCTTAGCCAGAGACTCACTACGCCGCTCAGCACAGACGCAACACCAAACACGATAAACGACATCATTGCGCTTTCCCTTCCCAATGCAACTAGCAGCGGTGCTGCAGACGCTCCTAGCATAAACGCTTGACGCAATAGCGAGACAGCAGTGTTCCTAACGTTTGTTGGGAACAGCTCGACACAGTAGACATATAGGACGTCATACGCTGTCGAGGATGCCATAAACCCAACCGCCTCAACTGCAAGTTGTAACCATTTCGCAACAGATATCGTACGGATCACACGGTGGATAGAGAGAACCGCGCAGAGTAGACACGCAACTCCAGCGAGGTATGATGAATTCGAGAATAGTGGACGCCGGTTCATGACCCCGAGGAGGAAACTTCCGATGAAAACCGCTGGAAACTCCATCAAAGCGTTAACAGCAACAGTTAAATAAAGATTGAAGTTGAGATTTTCAGCATTTAGTTGAATTCCATAATAAACAAAGCCACTGCCAAATCCAGCCATCATAACCATTATGATTCTTTTCACTGCCCATTTTGTTTTCCAAAACTTCTCCGATGATGAGGTTTGATCATCTCTCTCTGGAATTGGATCGACTAGGCTTAGATCCGCCGGAAGTTGTTTCCCGTTGAGCCTCGCTAGTTTCTTCAAGACCACCATGGCTTCTTTGTTACGTCCCTTGACAAGAAGCCATCGAGGAGACTCATAAGCAAAGGGCAAGAGACAAACCGCGTATCCAAGAGGAAGAAAGGATATGATCCGGTAAAGATTTCTCCATGACTTTCTCTCCAAATAAGCCATGAGTGGCAGAGATAGAAAACCTAACGTGAAGAAGAAGAAACCGTATTGCCCTACTTGGCCTCGCCACTTTTTGCCAACAATCTCAGTTGCGAGTACGATACAACAAGACCCAATTCCCGATCTAAAGAAACCATTGGCAAAACGCAAGAATGCGTAAACCCATACGTTTGGTGAAAAAGAGATCGCAAAGGCCGTGACAAAAGTTAATACACAAGAGAGTAATAGCGTCTTCTTTCGACCAAACCATGAATCAGCAAGATATCCATAAACACCAGAACCTGTAAAATAAAACAAAAAAATCATGTAAAAGATGGTTCAATTTTCGATAAACACTCTCCAAACCGTAAATATCAAACTTTAGAAGGTAAATATCAATATACCGAAAAGAGATCCGATGAAGAATAGAGTGGAAGGAACAGCAACAAGAAACTTATGTTGACATATGAGATTCCACTCAGAAACAACAGTGTCACTCTTTGATCCAATCCATTCCCATTCTCCACTCGCCAATCCACACAACGAGGCGCCCTCCACGATGGCACCGGTTGCAAGAAGCCTCGCAGCGGGCTGAGCGTCGGAGAAAATGGATATAAGAGTGGTCTGAGCATCGAAGATCCAAGCGATGGAGACCAAGACAGCATGCAAGATCTGAGCAAACCCAAGTGCGCCAATGTGTTGCTCGATCACCTCGTCAACTGTGAGTGCGTACCTATTGTTTGGTAGTTGTTGTTGCCTTGTTGCTTCTCCTTTCTCGGATGCTGATGAATCATTGGATATGTTTGGTGGTGTCTCCATGAGCTTTGGAACTTCTTGTTTTGAAGGTTCCATTTTGTTTATGTTGTTTCAGGTAGAAATATTTTTGTTTTAAATTAGGCTTGTGGGCTTGATTGATATATGTCTTAAGTTAGCGAGGGTATATATACACATGGTCAGGGAGTGTTTTGCATCCAATTTCTCACTCTCGAATAAACATATCTAATCAAAAGTGATTGTGCATAACGAGTCATTAATATTTTCGTATATAAACAATTAAACTTTTTCTTATATTGTGTGTCTATATCATCTGTTGCGTTTGATTGGTACACGTACGTTCATGAAGTTTTCATGATCATTTATAACTCTAAATTCAATTATGTTGAAAAGAAGAATTACTTTTGATTTGTGAGCGACGTATTAACATAAATGTAACTCTCTCTTTTTGCCTTCTTGTTTTATTTGTCTATACTTCTCTTTCATCTTTTTGTCTACAAATGTAACTCATTTTTCTTTTTGCAACAAACGTAACTCTTTTAGTTCCCACTAATTTTAAAAATATTGAAAAAAGAAAATAAACGACAAAAGTTACGGTTAGAATGCATGATGCGTGATGAGAAAAAGAAAAATAAAATTTATGATGCATGAGAACAACACATAGCTATAATTACAAATTGAATAATATGATGTGTAACCAATGCATGTGGCTTGATAGTTGATACTTGTCAAATATTATTTTGATCGTGATTTCCAAAGTTTGGTTCGTTTTGCGGGTTTTTGGCCGAATAAAACATGAAATTTGAGTTTATAATTTGCAAGAAACTCTTTGTAATTAAGTGAACGTATTCATCCGTAAGTAGTTGAGTGTTACGTATGGCATACTGCATACACACTCTTTGCAATATAAATATACGGTTCAGCGATTATGTATAGTACTAGATTTCTTTACCAAAAAAAAAAAAGTAAATGAGAAATTTAAGCCAATCATGAAAATTATTTTATAGTTGATCCTTTTTTGGCTTTTTCATAGTATTCCATGACCATATAGTAAAGTTGATGAACAGAAAAAAAAAAAGTTAACTATAATAAATCTGATTAATAATGAAAAATGGAACAAACAAATCTGAGAAAAAGTTGCAAATAGAAATAATTACTTGGAAAACGTAACTAGGTTAACTTTTAGCACTCAGTTTTATTCGCGTTTTCACAACTAATGGACTCTGCAAGATTGCAAACCACTCAAGTTTTCGATTTAGATTATTCAATTATTAAAAATTTAGCAAAAAGTTTGTTGCATAATTTGCATTATTAAAGATTAGTTAATTAAAGAGGTGCGATCATCCCGAGAGCCCATGAAGAAAGTGGGATAAATAGTAGGATTAGGACATTACGTGAGGTGAGGGGTCTATTGGTACGTAATATATTTTCGTATATTTGATGTACCTATCTCTATCTTCCTTTCTTAATTAACTTTTTCCTATTATTCTCTAGAATGTGAAAATTCATTTCCCCTTGAAACCTAGGTCTAGGCTCTATATGACTATACCTATGTAAGTTTTTGCAAGCTATCGATCAATACAAATTTTTTTGAACAATTCTTGGGTTCACCCCTAGGGGTGAACCCTTGTATTCACCTCTTTTGTTTTTAACCAATGAATGTGCCATGTCATCTAACATTTAATTAAAAATGGAAAATTAAACAAAATTAATAAAATAAATTAAGAAATAAAATCATTAACTAAAAAGATTAAGTTAGTTAACGGAGACGTCTCCGGTGTTAGTATTTCACGTTAGGGTTTTGATTTTTTTTCCATGGCCATTGATATTTAGCATTATCAATTCACCCACTTCTATTGTATTAGAACTTTCATAATTTTGGAATTGTTTCTGCTGCAACCTCAAAACTTTTCTCCTCTTTTATTGATCAAGTAAAGAAAACTTATGAACCTTCGTTGCTCTATATGTTTTGATTCGAAAATGACGTGTCTCTCTCGTTACGCGACTTACCTTACATATAGTCGAGCATTATGAAATGATAGTGTCCTAGTTGGGATATAATATAAAATGATCATTGGTGATATCCAGTTGGGAGAAAAAAAGAAGAAGCATTTAAAATGAACGGATGATTTTTACGAAAGTGGGACGTCGGGAAACCAAAGACAAATGATGGTATAAGGTTGACTTTATCTGTTAAAATACTTTTGTCTTTGCTCATAAATAAAAGCAATAGGTAAAGAACAAGAACAAATTTGAAAACTAATTGCAGGTAGTGATCATCTCTGATTTTTTTTTTTTTTTAGAAAGTTAAATTTCATTGTGTGAATATGGAGATACGCATACGTGTGTCTATATACACATAATACAATTCCTATTGTGATTTGTAAAAGACTACAATATGATGATGCTGAAACTTAGAAACTTTAAGCTATGTCCATTTCATAAATCTTAGGCTCCATCATATCCTGTACGGAAAATTGAACAAGTTAGAAAGAGAAAACAAACAATCACTAGCAAAAGTTGAACAAGTCAGGTTAATAAGAGAGACCAAACCAAGTAATACTCTTATACCACTTCAAACTGATAAGCAATTTTATGAGAGCTAATAATTGCAGGTTCACAGAAAATTAAACAGATTTGGAGAATTGTGATCCTAGAAGACGAAAATCATAAAATTGCCAAGGTAAACCGTTCGTCGTCGTCTTTCCCATATCTTCACGTTTCTTCAAACGATGACGACGTATCAATGGCCATGGAAAAAAAATCAAAACCCTAACGTGAAATACTAACACCGGAGACGTCTCCGTTAACTAACTTAATCTTTTTGGTTAATGATTTTATTTCTTAATTTATTTTATTAATTTTGTTTAATTTTCCATTTTTAATTAAATGTTAGATGACATGGCACATTCATTGGTTAAAAACAAAAGAGGTGAATACAAGGGTTCACCCCTAGGGGTGAACCCAAGAATTGTTCAATTTTTTTTCCAAAGGTCGTTTTCCTTGATAGAATCATCCTTGTTTGTTGTTTACAAAACATTACACAAACACGAACATCACTAGCAAATATATATATTTGGACTTATTATTCTATCTGGAGTAACATATCGTTCATGAATCTTCGTCACGTGAATACTAACTATTATTTGTGTTAATGGTGTTAGGCGAAACTTCTTATATAAAATTTCAATGTGGTTGAAATATAGTAATATAATCTTGAGGGTGAAAATGTTAGCACTTGTGATTACGTCTAGTATTATCGTCTACGTTAGTATATGTATAATCATCTATAAACTTTTTCTTGATTAAGATAATACTTTTTATTAGGATTTAGGAGGAATATGCGTAGCCAAAGCTCCTTTTTCATGTGTTTTTCTCGTATGTGGTGACAATTTGCGTGTGAATTTGTTATTCGTTTATATATCGTGGACAGATGATAATTAAAGTGTTTATGTCTATGGGATATATGGCATATTCTACTTTTGATTCCATGGGACTGTTACGTACATGTCTATAGTTTTCGAAGTCTTTTGTATATACTATAAATCGTGGAATTATAAGTTTTAGGAGGCAGAAAATTTGAGAAAACAAATTCCTGAGATTATTTTGAATACAAGATTTGGATGTTTCTATTGAGATATATATGCAAAATAAAATAATTAATTAAATCGGTGTAAAGAAGAATAGCGATTCAATGGTCGAAGTGTTCTTCCTTCTTCCTGAAAGGAGGAGAGACTATGGTCCAAACCATTTTAGTGCGATCTCAATCTTGGCCACTATATGTGTTTTGAATCCCCAAATGAAAGAAAAACGTTAATTTTCCATTTATTCTGGAAATTAGTCTAGACTTTGGTAAAGCATTTACCCGATTATCTAAAAAAAAAGTAGTATGGCTGATAAAAAAACGAATATTATGTTCCGTTCGCCATATATATATGGCACTAGAGTATCGTAGAAGTGTAATATTATTAAACTATGTCAACCAGATTTTCACAAAAATAACGAGTAAATCTTTAATTCAGTCCGAACACACACACACACACACATATCCATATATGTATTATACTGTAATAGCTAATGCTAAGCATACCTATGTGTATCCGAGTGTTAGTGAACCACATCACTTTATGTTGCAAAGTGACATAAGAAAGAAAAGAATTTGGTCTGCCTTTCATCAATCAGATGAAAGAAGCATAAAAATGAGGAAGACCGAATATACACTTTCACTAGTGGAAGAACTAGTAATGACACGACATAAATGCAATATACTAATACTACCATACCAAATGATCATCCAATCGTTACTTAATCCATTTATTTTCCACAATACCAAATCCAAATGTCTTCTTATCAATTATTTTCCACAATAATAAAGAATTTGGAATATGTTGTACTTGATCAATAATTAGTGGATGACGAGTTGTGGGAACACTCCAAATGCTCTGTTAAAGTTCGGCAAGCCTATATCTTTCTATAAATAAATAAAAACACTATCTCTTGGTTCACAATCTCTTGATATTAAAGGTATTACAACCTAATAGTTAAAAAATATCAACAAATAAATGGACACAAGAGAAAGCATTGAAATGTTTTACAGTTCTGTATACTTGTATATCCCCAAAAGTTTTTGGCAGTTTAACCTGTAGTTGATATTTTATTATCCAATTCTTTTATAGTGAGTTTCATGAAGAAATGCTACCCTACTTCTCATGCTTTGAGGAACTTGAAACTTAAAACTATCCACAATTAGTTAGTAATCACCAGAAGTAGACGCTTAAATCTGCTTCTCCTTAGGAAACTTAAATCTGCTTCTCCTTCAATCTTGTCAATTTGTGAATGCTTTATGAAGCATAAGAGAAGTAGACGCTTGATATCAACAAGTGCATATGCAGAGAAGGATGACATTGAGAGAGAGAACTGCAGAAGTTGCAGTGCTTTTTTCTTGAGATCATTGTCGCTATTGCTGAGATAAATTTCCAGGAGTCTCACGCCTAAAACATTTGGGAGGAACTCAATGTCGATTTTGTAAATTGGAAAAGCATCCGGGGGGGGGGGGGGGGGGGGGGGGGGGGGTTGTGAATTTTCTTATTTGATCCCTATGTCTCACGTTAATCTCTCCCTCTGACCCTTTTTCTTGCTAAATTTTTAATTTTGTTGTGTGTCTTTAGTCTTTTAATACATAACTCTCATCATTTTTACATATTAATCTTGTTTATTCTTTTCATTCTTATATAATTTGAGACAAAATTATTATAATTCATATTTACCATATTTTCTTATACCAATATTTACAGAAAAAATAAAGTTGGGAAATGATGAATAATATGAGACTACACTTATATCTCAACAAATAGTTAAGTATTTCTAAAAATGTGTATCTATTTTAATTGAAAAACAACTACAAGTTATAGGGTTTGTATATTGATATTATGTTTAGTTATATTTGATTTAAAAGACATAGTACTTAAGTTGCACACCAATATAGACTAAAGTGCCAAAAAGTGCAATGATTTCTTCGGTTCTAAAGTGTTGTGGCATTGTTAGTCTCTTCTTTGCTTCATCTTGAAGTTCTCTATAGAAACGAACCAAAAAATCCCAACCCAAAGAAGTTGGCTGAAGTATGATCAGGGTGGTCTTCAAGCTTGGTTTGGCTCAAGATAAGCTCCAGTTTAAATCATTTTGTTAGCAGTTGGGTTTTTATTTAAAAAGTATGCATTAAGTTATAAAGCACGTTTTCTCTTATTTTTGAATATAATTCAACATTATAGTAAAACCTCTATAAATTAATAATGTTGGGACCGAAAATTTATATTAATGTTTAAAAGTATTAATTTATCGATTAATTTTTTAGAGAGATTTTACTAATTTTGTAGTTTTAAAAAAATTTCTTTCTGAAAAGCAATTTTTTCTTTATAATAAATATATATATTTTAAATCAATTACAAGTTGAAAAGCAATTATTATGTTTAGAAAACAACACAAAAAATTCCGATCAAGTAAAAATATTAGAAATAAAATCTACCAAGAATTAATACAAATTTAAGAAAAATAAATAATAATAGTCATATTTTATTAAATATTTTACATATAATATTTTAAATATATATCATAGTAATTCATATATAACATATATAAATTAATATCATATATAACTATTAAATTATATATATTGATAAGTTTATACAATTATTAATTTATGAAATTGATGAGACCATATGTTTAAAGAAGAGTTTTAGAAAAGTTATTCTCCTATTATTTTATCGATATGTGTCTTTTTTTATATTGATCCCAACTCTGGACCGGAAAAAATTTATTCATTTGTAGAAGAAATTCCTTAATTTATCGTAGTTAAAAAAAAAAAATCTTCTGCCTATGTCTAAGGTTTAAATATGTACTTGTATAATCGTACCAACTAACCGTTGATAAAAGAAAACCGGTTTTGACATATAACCGGGTTAAGGGAAATTGAGATTGCAAATAAAGAAGATCGAGAATTGAAAGTCTGGGTACTTCGCCAATCAAATCTTGATAGAATTTCAATGATATACCATATTAAACAAATAGTTTCTAGTTTCTACGCATACTATAAAAGGACTTTCTTCAAGCTTTTGGATAATTTTATGGATCATGAATTGGATTTATAGACTTAATAATTGTGACACTTTCTTTTTTTTTTAAAACCAATTTTTTTCGAATTTCGATTTGGGTTTTCTTATCTCCAACTAGTAACAAACTCAAAACCAAATCTACTATACACAACTATACACGATTTTCAAAAGAATTTAAATTTGATCTAGATTAGGATCGGATATAACCAAATTAAGATTTATTTACGGATCTTGAAACTTAAAGCTATCCACAATAATTACCATGGTGAGAATCACACTTGAGGTTAAGCCATTTTGATCAACCAAAGATCAAAGCTTTCATAGCAATCTGATAAACAGATTCACAAGAATGCTAAGACTAAAACACCCGCATGAACCTCGTGCTCCTAGTCTCTGTTACACTAATTACACTAAAAATATGCATTTGATCAAAGATATAAGAAGAAAATGGGATCCACTAGAGTCAATTTAGTGAATGTGTATTGGTCTTCCATATTAGGTGTGCCTTTATTAGTAGTCCCCAAAAAAAAACTGATATTTTTCATTGTTGTTTTAATCTCTTTTATATAGTGAATGACTAAGAGAGACTAATTATCTAAAACGTGGGAGATGTTAATTAACTTGAATATTTATCGGTGATAAAAAAGAAAAATAGATATGAACTTTAAGTACCATTTCAGATTGGTCATACAACGTTGAAAATACAACACATAAAAGAGAACCACGATCTTATTGTCTTGTTCTTGTTCTTGTTCTTGTTCTTGTTTTGAGGTTCAAAACATAATAAACAAAGAATTGCCGCCAGAAACAAATGGGCCTAAGAAATTGAGCTAAGCCCAAGCGAGAATATTGACCATAATTTGTAGCCGTAGTCGTAATCTCTGAGATGAGCATATCCGTTGCATCACACGGTCCAACACATATAATCATAACACTATAACCACTTCACTATAGTACAACGATTTTAAATTTGTGGATAATAATAGTAACTCATAGCGTTGGCGACATAGCGACTCGGAGTAGTGTGATGAGGATACGACAACATATTGGACACGTGACTTTAGCTAAACAAAGTAACAAACCACTTTCCCCACGTGTTAAAACAAACAATATCATTTTGAGATTTTTTTCTTTCTTTCTTTGACATCTCAATATAATTCGAAGCTTTAATAGGAAAATGCTTTATCACAAAAACCAAAAGAAATTGCTTAGAGGTTCATAGAATCCAGCTCGATCATTTACACTATTTTTAGAAGCTATAACATCTATTTAGAGACTATTTAGTGAGTTAATTAATTATTTTCAATGTCCACTATCCATTTACACTAATCTCTTTACCTAGTCGGTAGAACTTTTAAACTTTTTTTATTGCTAACCACAAATGGAAAAAAACTTAGAACATCGAAAATTAGTAAGAATACAAAACATGATTTAGAAAAATAAACGTATTGATAAAATTTGAATAATTGAAATGAAAAAGAAAAAAAGAAAAAAAAAAAGACAGTGTAAAGAAAGAAACAAAAATTGAAAAGAATAAAAAGAAGAAGTAAAACGCGAGAGACCGACGCAGTTTTGGCAAACACGCGTCTAGCAGTAAACGCACTGCTCCGACACAACACTTTTTAGTGTTTGTATCCTTCGCTCTTCTTATTTCACTCTCACATTCTCTCTATTTATTTAATATTATTTTACTTGTGTAATTATCTTTCTTCTGACTTTTTTTAGTCTAATAATTAAGTTTACGTCGGTATTGACTCGTCCTATGTTGGATTAAATATGACGTTTATTACAAATATCTTCAACAAGAATCTCTGAAGTTGAAACCAAGATTGAAACATTTTCTCATAGCAATTTACCTTTTGCTATTTAAATTCCCCAATTTTGCAAGTTTGACTTTCAGCATATTAGGAGGAAAACAAATGTTGCAGATGAGATAGCTAAAGCAGGTAGAATTAATCCTCAGAAATATGTAATATCTTGGTATTAACTCTGTAATTTCCTGTTACAGCTTAATGAATCAATTTGACGAACAAAATAAATATGCCGGATATTAGTTATAGTTTTATCAATTGTAAGCGCTTACATAGATAATAATTCTGATTTTTTACATGTTTCGGAAATCATGATGATTCATTTTCCCTAAAAAAAAAAGTAGGATAAAACCATTAATTCGTAAATTATTATTCGTTGACCCAAAAATGCGTAAATTATTATTTATTGACTGAACATAAGAACATTTTTCTTTATTAGAGAGCTCTATAAACTATATAATTTGCTATACTATAAGATATTTTTTTGTGAGAAAAACTAGAAAGATATTTTACCTATAAAGGACATGTAATATCTCTCATAAAATCTCTACATAAAATAACCAGTAATCAGCATTGAACAACTCTTTCCGTTTATTAGATTTGTCTTTACAGTTTCTTAAACCATTATATTAAAAAAAACCATTAAATATTTTACGTCAATAACAAAACTTACGAAAAAAACAAAAATCTTATTAATGGCTGTTTTCGAAAAGCTTTATCACTCACCGCACAATTTTAAAGGGTTATTTTAGTTGTTATGCCTAACGTCCTCGTGATCTCCAAAATTATATTTAATCCATATTTAGCTAATTATCTTCTAAGATAAATACATAATGCATAAGGTCATGAACACATTCGATGTATAAACAAAATAAACTAATTACCAATTAAATTTTAATGTGACTAGATTTTTGGTGTACTAATGACGTAATCATGTCTACACTTTCTAAACTTTTATTTTAATTTTGCTATCTATAATATACAAATATGATTATTAATTGATAATGTAATAATAAATATCGCAATCCTCTCCTTTTTAATTCAGCTAGATACGAGTTGCTTTTTATTTATTATATAATTAATTTATTTTGTTAGAAAGAAACAAAAGTCTTCAGTTTCATACTTTGGGGTTTGGTTTATAAATAAAAAAATTGGAAATTAATTACAAGGATCAGAGTGAGTGAAAGAAAGAGAAAGAGAAGAAGCGTTTCGTCCTCTTCGTTTCCTTCTTCCATTAATACAAAGCAAATCCTACTCAGAAAGCTTTATTCAATCTCTCTACTTCAGTTTCTCTGTCCCCATTTTTCATCTGAGAGTTTAAAAGAGTTAAACTTTAACCTCAAAATCTGGGAATAAGTAAAAAAGAACCCAGTTTCTGATTCTCATTTTCCCTTTATAATCGAAAGTTTCGATTTTTAAGAAAACCCCAGAAGCTGTGTTCTTGTTTTTTTCTTGGTGAGAGTAATCTTTTTTTTTGGGAGGGTTTAAAGGGAAAATTTTGGGTGAGAATCTGAGTGTTGGGATTTACATAAAACGATAAAAAGGAAAGAGCTTTATATTGGGAATTATAAAGCTACCATATTGGGATTTGTGGTGTTTTTATTAATGAGAGAAGACCAGAAATTATTAAATTTCCAAACTTTGTCTTCCATTTCGTGGACTCAAATTTGTTTATAAAGATCTCAAAATCAGAGAGATTGAGAAGACCAAGAAGAAGAATTGAGAGAATGTGGTGGTGGTCTTCTTCAACAAAAGGTCGTTCGAATCTGGAGAGGTTTCTTTTAGGAATCACTCCTAAGCCTCCTTCGTTCTCTCTTCCTCAGGTAAATCTTTTTTATTCTTCTTCTCTTGAGTAATCCTCGATTTGGGGGTAATTAGAGTTTTAAGTCTCAACTAATCATATTTTAAAATCTATTTTAATCGGTTGTCTCTCCCCCCAAATCTTGTCTCTAATCAACAGATTTTGTCCTAAAGGTCTTATTTTTAATCAAGGGTGATGTATCAGACAACCTAGAACTTGTAATAGTTTAATGATTTGGTGTGAATTTTCAGATGAGATTTTGGCAATAGAGACAATAATTGCATGGTCCATCAAGGAGAAATTTATCTATATGAAATATTGAAATCTATCTATCTCCTTTAAATGGTGTCACATCATTTTTATGGATTCTATAACACCACGTGGAAACGTGCGACACAGAATTTGCTTTACTCAACTATTTTTTATATTATTATTATATTCAGTAATCCAATTGCTTAGCACTGAGGTTTGGTTGAATCTTCTTGGTTGCTTTGGTATATCCTCTGGGTTCGGTATCATTTAGAGTGTTGTCTTATTCAGTAATCATGGTTTATATCTGTGATTATGGATTAGGAGCTTTATTGCTCAATACATGTTAATCCGTAGTTTTGTACTAGTGTAATGAATAGAAAGACCAAGTTGGTCGAGAAACTAAAGATCATGTTGTTGCATAGCTGCTTGAATTGGTCGCAGAGCTGAGTGAGTTGATCTTAACAATTTGTGGCAGGAACAGGGAAAGGAGGAGATTGAGTATTTCAGGCTTGGTGATCTCTGGGATTGTTATGATGAGATGAGTGCATATGGCTTTGGAACACAGGTTGATTTAAGCAATGGCGAAACCGTTATGCAGTACTATGTCCCATACCTATCTGCCATCCAAATCCACACTAACAAACCCGCATTGCTTTCCAGGTTACTTTTCTCACATGATTCTGTGAATTTTAGTCTCTTGTGATGAGCCAACATTTGACAATGGAAGTTTTAGGACATTTCTTGATGTTTGGTTTTTGGGTGTTGCAGGAACCAGAATGAGGTGGCTGAATCTGAGAGTAGCGAGGGTTGGAGCGATAGTGAGAGTGAAAAGTTGTTGTCAAGGTCATTGAGCAATGATTCGAGCAAAACATGGGATGCTGTCTCTGAAGACTCGGTTTTTGATCCGGATGGTACGCCATTGCTGAAAGAGAGACTTGGTTGCCTTGACTTTAAGTACATTGAAAGAGATCCTCCGCACAAGCGAATTCCCTTAACCGACAAGGTTCTCTTCTCTCTTTCATTTCATTTCTTAGTAACCGCACTTTCACTTTTTCTTTTCTTAGTGAACTTTGGTTTTGAAACGAAAGTACTGTTCTTGGTTCTTGTTCAGATAAACGTATTGGTGGAGAAATATCCAGGACTCATGACCTTAAGGAGTGTGGACATGTCTCCTGCAAGTTGGATGGCTGTTGCGTGGTAAGTATTTCGTTGCTAGTTAACACAACCCTTCCTGTTTGGTTAACTGCTAGAAATAGTGATTGAGTGATGATTTGATGAATTAGGTACCCGATATATCAGATCCCGACCTGCAGAAACGAAAAAGATTTGACGACAGGCTTCCTAACTTATCATACTCTATCTTCTTCTTTTCAAGGTACGTATGATCACTAATTTTCTTCGAATTCATTGCTCAGTGACGTAGAAACAAGCACCGTTTCTGGTTTTATTAAATGGTGTTAAAAAGTGCAGATAATGTGGTGGAAGGAGATCAAAGCAACAACACAGGCAATGAAGAAACAGAGTTTTGTGAAGATTCTGTTATAAACAAGAGAATCCCATTGCCTCCATTTGGTGTAGCAACTTACAAAATGCAAGGAGATCTTTGGGGGATGACGGGATTTGACCAAGACCGGTTGGTTTATCTTCAAAGCGCTGCGGATTCATGGCTGAAACAGCTCAATGTTGATCACCATGACTATAACTTCTTCCTAAACTCAAGCTTCTAAAGATCAATCGGGTCGTTCGTATGTTTGTCCTTCTCCAAACCTAAAAAAAAAAACTCATAACCCTGAACTTTTCTTTGTTGTTTTCGAAAGCTCCTTTCCTTCTCTGTGTTTTTGTTCTTTTTGGGCTCGTTGTGTTGTTTTAGGTAGCAACCGCCGCCATCGCGGAGTTTTTTCTCCTGTTGCAAGCCAATCATGGAAGTTTCTAAGAAGAAAACAGAGCTTTTTCTTTCTTTTTTACGGTGTTGAGAAAACAAGAAAGTTGTTTTCTTTTCTTGGGTGAGATCATGTAAATTGACCTTGAACAGAGAACTCTGTTTTGTACTTTTCTGTCTAAATATATAAAAATCTGTCTTTCTTGTATGTCGGTAAGAGAGGACGAAGAAGAATACTCTTTTTGATAGATTTGATATGTCCTTTGTTGTTTGTTTTCAAGGCTTTTAATTAGTGTTAGCATAGTCACTTAGTAACATTTCTTTTTCTACGTTCTTTCATTAACTAATAGTTTAACTTTAAAAAAATTGACCTAAGAATTGATATCTTCTGCATAGTTTAACTAATAGTTTAACATTAGCATAGTCACTCACTCTACAGCGTATTAAGAAACAAGTCAGAACTTCAAAGAAAAATGTCAAATTAGAACAGTCAAACTTTTAGTTCAACAAAATTGTTTTGCTATATCGGGCTTATATATTTACTGTTGACAAAAGTAGATTTTTTTTCTCTTCCAAAATGTGGGTGTGTAGTCTTGTGTAAAATTTCATTACGGTTTAATAACATTTACGACGGTTTATGCAATTTTGGTTGTCGTTTTGGTATTTATTACATTTAAATCGGTCGAATCCTAAATTTTAACATGTAAATCAGTGGCAATCGAAATAATTAATGCTAACTGTATATGAAATTACATGTAGTAAACTTAAAATTATATAGACCGTTTAATAACATTAACAATCGCAACCGACCGTTTTTGCAATTTTTGTTGTCGTTTTTTATTTATTGCATTTAAATCGACCGAACCCTGAATTTTAACATGTAGATCATTGACAAACGAAATAATTAATGCTAAACCGACCGTTTTTGCAATTTTTGTTGTCGTTTTCTTATTTATTAAATCGACGGAACCATGAATTTTAACATGTAGATCATTGACAAATCGGAATAATTAATGCTTATTTTGTATGATATAATTAACATGTAGTAAATTTTAAATACTATTTTGATATAATTTTGAGTTTAACAAAAACATAGATTTTTGAAATCTTATATGTCTATAGAGATTTGAAATGAATTTATGTAAATTGTCATGTATATACTCTATAGGTAATAAAATCTAAATTATTATCCAATTAAAATAATAACATAAATTCAATCATAAAATCAATACTAATCAAATCAGTAAAGAAAAAATCCTATTTCATATTAATATTTTAAGAGATAAAAAGTTGTGATTTTTTTGTTCCAACTTCCAACTAGTCAACTATTCCATTTATGGTTGCTTTTCTTATTTATTTCCTGATACAAATTTTCTCTATATTATTTGTTTTCCGTTTATTTATTTTGAAAATATTAAGATTCGCTTTTTGTTAGCTGGATACTCTTCTGATAATAATGTTTTGTTTTTCAAAAAAAAGAAAAAAATTATTTGGTTGGAATTGCGAGTTATCAATCAAATTAATATCTTCCAAGTCGTCGTTTCTTCTCTCTTTCTATTTCCTTCATCTTCTTCTTCCAAGTGACATGAACAACTATACAACATTACGCGTTTTCTTCTCTTCTTGATTCCTTCGCAAGAAATCTTCTCCGCTAGTTGAAAATCGAGAGACTTGTGGTCTTCCCGGAGATGGTTTCGTTTGCGGGTTTCGCGTTCTTATTTGGAATTCTACTGGGGATTCTTGCGATCGTTACGGCGGAAGTTGTAGGGTTTTTGTATATTCTGAAGCGATTGAATCGGAAGAGAGATCGTCAGGAATCGAATTCGAGTTCTGATTCAAACTTTAAGAATTTCGATCCTCGCCAGTCCATTGATTTCAGTCTCAACAAACAGGTGATCATCGATTTTGTGAACCACCTGGATTTAAAAGTTTTCTGCTTTCTTCTTAGTTCCGCAGTGAACATTGAGTTTCTTGCATACGAAACCCTAATTTATTTGGATAACTAAGGATTGAGCATCTTACGGTGAAGTAGATAGAGAAATGTGTGTTCCAATTAGTCATAATTTAGTTTGGTTTAGTGGCAATTTTGATGATTTTCTCTATTTTTGGATATATGAAAATGGAACGTGTTTGATTTCATTGTCTCGATGCATTTGATCTAATATCTCAGGGAGTGATCTGGATTTTGGAATTAGATGAAAATGTGAAAGATTGGATGAAGGAGAAATTACCAAAAGAGCAAAAGAAGAAGAGAGTTGATCTCTTGGAGGTACATCCAGTTAGGAGATTTGCTCGTATCAAAGACCATAAGCTCTTCTTGTCAGATTCATTAGATGGTACTCAGACTCCTATTAACTTGAAAGGTTGCTTCGTTGACGCTGTTTCAGGCTCTGGACCCACTAGAAAATGGTAAGACCGTCAAAATGTGTATTTCGCGGATCCGTTTTCGAATATGTCTCAAGTTTCTGATTCATATCCCTTTGTTTTATGTTTTCTTAGGGCTAAAAGATTTCCTATACAAGTAGAAAGCAAAACTTCGGTCTTGTACAAGGGAAACCGAGTGTTTTACATTTTCTTAGAGACTTCTTGGGAGAAGGAGTCATGGTGTAAAGCTCTTCGTCTTGCTGCTTGCGAGAATCAGGAAAGGTTTATTTGGTCCACCAAATTGAAAGAGGATTTCCGAAACTATCTGGCTTCCCTTAATGCTGCCTATCCTTCTTTTATGAAACCATCAGCTGGGTTTAGTTTTGAGTCTTTGGACAAGGGGCTTAAAGCGGATGGTCCTTCATCAAAGATTCGTCTATTCTGGAAGAAGTTTTCAAAAAAGTCCTCAACAAAAGTGAATTTGCCTCCGTCGATTCGTGATGACAAGAAGACTTCAACCCGTTCTTACCAAGATTCACAATCTGCTGGTAGCTCTGGAAAAAGTACCCCAGCAAGGAAGATGCAAGATAACATCCCTGAGGAAACCGATGTCCAAGTTTTCTCACGTACCTGGAGCCATAGCAGTCATGCATCGGATGTAGATTCAGAAGACAAGTCTTTTGATGAAGGAACATTGGCATTGAACGTACTAATTTCTCGGCTGTTTTTTGATGTCAAACAGAACACAGTGCTGAAGAATTTTGTGCGCGAACGAATCCAGGTCTGTTCCTTGTATATGAAAGCTTCACTATATCAGGATATTGGTTGCGTTTATTTTTTATCTGTCTATTTTTTTGGTTAAACAGCGGATAATGTCCAACATGAGAGTTCCCAGCTACATAGGTGATTTAATCTGCTGTGATGTGGACATTGGAAATCTCCCGCCTTATATACACGGTACAAGAATTCTTCCAATGGAGATGAATGGTGTGTGGGCATTCGAAATAGATATTGAATACACTGGTGGTGCGGGACTTGAAGTTGAAACTCGGGTTGATGCGCGAGAAGAAGATCTGGAGAAAGGCATAGCTGAGGGAAAGTTGCAGCCAAATTCTGCTGGGGATGTTCCACCAGATCTCCTTGAAGATCTTGTAGATTTTGAAAAGCAATTAAATGTCCCCGGTGGAACTGCTGATGCACAAGATGTGAAAAGTGGTGGAACCGATAAAGCTGGTTAGTACGGTATTTGCTGATTGGTTTATGTATTCATCTAATCATCTTGCTTTTGATTTTGCATAATGCTTAGAAGCATTAGACTAAGGATGAGAAATTATATTTATTTTTATCTGTGCAGATGAATCTAAGGGTCCAAAAGGTACAAAAGCAGGTTCGAGCAATGGATCCAAGTGGAAGTCTATTCTGAAGAACATCGCTGAACAAGTTTCCCAGGTTGATCTTCGTTTCTCTGTTATGTTTAGAAGACAGTTTTGTTGCTTGTTGCGCTCTTGGTTCCCCCAGTGCCCAAGCTTCACGAGCTCGGATTGTGGCGTGATTAATAGGATCTGCAAGCAGAATTAGGAACACCTTTTTCTTAGCTCTTGTAGTATCTTAGCCTATCTCTATCTGTAAAACTGCAGGTCCCAATTACTTTGTCTATAGGGGTGTCTTCGCTTCGAGGGACTCTGTGTGTACACATGAAGCCGCCTCCATCTGATCAACTGTGGTTTGGCTTCACAAGCATGCCCGATATTGAATTTAACATTGTCTCTTCTGTTGGTGACCACAAAATCACAAACAGCCATGTTGCTATGTTCTTGGTCAACCGGTTCAAGGTAAACTGTTGCATCTTTTTTTTTGTTTCTGAAGGAATTTGAATAAACCATAAGACAAAAACAAATTCTGCAGACGGCGATACGAGACGTCATGGTGCTCCCCAATTGTGAAAGCGTTACCATTCCTTGGATGACAGCTGAAAGGGATGATTGGGTCGAACGCAATGTCGCTCCGTTCATGTGGCTGAATCAAGACTCGACCAGTGATCACGACAGCTCCGAAGCTGCAGAAGCGAAATCTAAAGCTGACAAACCCCCGACTTCTGAACAAATGCAGAAAACTGCCATCGTCCCCCAGAAGCCAAGAAACGAGGAAGAATCTGTGTCTGCTGACACTGCACCACCAGCTAATCCCACAGCTCTTATAGTAGAGAGTGACAAATCCTTGGAAGAACTCAAGACACCGCTGCTGGAAAGCAGCGAAAAGCATGATACGATATCGCGAGGAGGCAGTGCGGGAGATATTAATCCGGGTATTGTTCAATCACTGTCTAGGTCGACTGTTTCGAGCGAAGAGGATGATTCAAATTCGAAAGGAAAGAAAATGGGGACAGCAAAGGCGAGGATGTTCGATTTTAGGAAGAAAGTGGGAGAGAAGTTTGAAGAGAAGAAACGTCACGTTGAGGAAAAAAGTAGACAAATTGTTGAAAAGATGAGAGGACCTTGACACAGGGTTTGGAACAAGGGGAAGAAGCTTTTTTTTTTCCTTTTTTTTCTGGTTTCAGACAGAGAAAAACTGATAGACAGAAGAAGGAAGTCAATAGATTTAGATTATAGGGTATTGGTACTTGTGTTCATATATTTGGTAAAAAGATATCGAGCATTGCGAAATCCTTCTTTATTCTTATTATTACAACAAACAAAGAGTAGCATCAAAACAAAGTATCTATGCAAGTGATTTCATCATACAGACAAAGTGAGCTTGAACAACTAACAAAAGCAGTGGTGAAATGAGGAAAGTTCCATCTAGTAATCTTCAGGAGCCAAGGGCTGGTGTACCCCATGTGTGTGGTGGGTAGGTGGTTCGGTGGGTATGACCATGTACTCATATATAAGAGCGGCTAAAGCACTACCGATGAATGGCCCGACCCAGTAGATCCAGTGGTCATGCCATCTCCACCCCACCAATGCTGGACCAAAGGCTCTAGCTGGATTCATCGAAGCACCAGAAAATGGTCCACCTACTAAGATGTTTGCCCCAACTATGAGTCCGATTGCAAGTGGTGCTATGATCCCGAGGCTTCCACGTTTTGGATCAATCAAAGTCGAATACACGACGTAGACTAAGCCAAATGTTAAAATGATCTCTAATACAAGTCCATTAACCACTCCAACACCTGATGCTACACGGAATCCAACTGGTCTCTGCATGAACACAAAATCTTTTTAAGTCATTATCTGTTTAAAATTCATAATCTTATATTCTTATATCATTGTAGGCTCCATCGTACTTGAGATATAAGATAACAAAAAACATTGCAACACAAAACACAAGCTCACATATATATGAAGTTAATTATTGTTACCATGCCGTTTGTTGCGAGCCTTAACAAGAGACAAGCGAGGATGGCTCCAAGAAGCTGAGCGACCCAATAGTAGATGGCACGGATCGCTGAGAGTCTGCCTCCAATAAGAGCACCAAAAGTGACTGCCGGGTTTACGTGTCCACCCGAGACATTGATGGCTGCTGAAACAGCAGCAAACAGAGCAAACGCATGAGCCAAGGCCACTAAAATCAGTCCTCCTGGTGTGTTTGTCCCCGCATGAGCCGCATGGTCCCAATACAACTTATCTGAGGGGAAAAAAAAAGACACAGCTTTGAGAATCATATCACATATGCAAAGACTCAAGTATAGAGTCAGAACGGTGCATGTACGAACCAAGGGAGAGAATAGAGCCTTCAGCTGCAAAGACGAAGACAAAAGTGGACAGAAACTCAGCTAAAGTGGCTCTAATGGAGTCAGGGTGTGTAGCCTCGTCGGCTCTACCGAAACCGTATGCTCTACGAGCTGATGTTGCCATTATGATCAAACAAGAAAGTATGAAGAAAGATAGAAGTGGGAAGAGAGAGTTTAAAAGAAGCCAAAAGAAGCGAAGTCGAAGTAAAAAGGGACAGATGTGAGACTTGAGTGTCTTAAGCAGGACACGTAGCTTTAAATTGCATGCAATTACTTAACCATAACTTCAATGTATTTTCTTAGAGTTGGTGTTCGTGCTGCTTTCTTATCTTCTCTTGGTGATGTTTTTTGTCACGAACCTTACAGGTTCGGGATATATAATACATGTCGTCGTATACGTGTTTATGTATGTGTATGTGTTATGTTGACTATCCATGCATGTGTGCCAAGTAGATAAACAAGCATGAATCTTCTAGAGTTGAGAAAACAGTAAAATTGCATTGCTGCACGGCAGATTAATCGGAGTTAATGAAATTGTAATATGTTCTTTATGATAATTCTGCAAGTCAATAATTTTTTCTTAGTTTAAGCATAACATGTTACAAAATCACTGAATTTGAAGCAGAGTCCCTTAAGTTTTCACTTTTTAACATAGTAAAATTGCGGCTGCTTTCTTCTAAGGCTTCTTCTGATTTTGGCGGTGAACAACTGACAACAAAAATGTTTGACAAAATGAAAAACAACTGTTTACATAATGTTTTTTCTGCCTCTTCTATAGAATCTCTATTACCATCAAAGGAATCTCAAAACTGTGATCTCCATTGAATTTGATATAGGAGTGGTGACTTCTTCAATCAGGCGTTAGCTCCAGAAGCAGCAGCAGCGTCGGCTGCTTTCTTCTTCTCCCTCTTCTTCTTGTTTTTAAGAGCGTTCTTGCTCATCTCTCTGTATTAACACCAGAGAAGCATCCATCAACATATGAGCGACAGTTTTCGAGATTTATGTATGTACTGCAAGATAGAGACTTACCCTGCTGTGCTTACTCCAAGCAACTGCAATTTCAAATAATGAAAACTATCAGAGACATATTGATATGTGATGCCAAATGTATCGAAAACAGTAGTAACAGTGAATATTTAAAGCCAAAACCTCCCACTGGTGATATGGTTATGCACAAGCATATTTAAGAGCTCATTGGGAGAAACTTTCGTCAGTTTCGTTTTCGTTTCAAGTATGAATCAGAATAATAACTGTGTGTGGTTAATAATTAGTAATTTGATATCAGTGAAGAGTATAGAATTACCTCAGCTTGAACAGCGGCTGCGTGCTTAGCATGCGGAGGTCGATATGCAGCCGGTTTTTGTGCAATAGGGTTGGGAGCAACAGCTTTCTTCTGAGCCGATCCTTGTCCTAAGGTAGATAAGTAGAAATCGTTTAGTAACATGATAAGTTTACAGAGATTTCTCATAATCAGCAACAGTTTCAAGTATTTAAACCAAGAATTTCCGACCTTGCGATTTGCCCTCGCCGAGTTTCAATGTTTCAACTGACTTGATAAGTTCACTGATATCACCGAACCTGTCTGGAGACTCTGGTTTCCACTCAGCCTGCAGGTGAAAATCATGGCACTCCAGTAAGACAATTAATAATTAATGTATGCTTTTCAAATCTGTTTAAGAGACACACACCTGATACAGCCTCTCAAACATCTTCTTAAAGTAACGCTTTCCGTCGTAGTTGAAGATTTTCATCCTTCAGTCAGGACAAAGACGAAGAATATAAAACACAACTTTGACATCTTAAAACTGGATGGTTCATAAGTCAAAAGATATGTACTAAAATAGGCGGGTATGAAAACAAACAGTTGATGCATGATGCACAGTATTCATTGTATCACTCGATCTGTTTGAATAAGAAACCAAACTCAATTATGTGCCAATAAGTATTTAACATACCCATTGTCAATTTGACGTCTTGGTGCAGTTGAGGCAGTCAAGAAATAACGCCCATCTGGAGACCATTCACTTGTCACAGACCACTCGGCTTTATTACTTCCTAGCTGCTTCTTATTGACAACATCCCAGAAGGCCTGAAATATAACAATTTAGAAAGGATCGTTTTGAAAATAAAATGTAAATTGCTGACTAATTGTCACCCGAAAATTGAAAAATATGAACAACACAAGGGATCGTTATTTACCATATCACCAGGCAAGTTACCGAATCCAGCCACACATAAAACTGTGGAACATTGATTTAAAGTTACAAAAACAGGTATGTACACATATCCTCTGTTTTAAAAGAAACAAAAACGAGAAGATAACAGAAAACAGGGAGGAAGAAGAGAATCATACCTCTCCCTTTTGGGTTCCATCGAAGAGTGTTATAAGGACCTTCGCCAATTTCCATCAAGGGTTTGCAATTCTTGTCAAAGATTGTCACACAAGCAGGCATAACTGAAGTCAGAGTTGAGGAAAAACAACGTACGAAGAAAGCAATGCCAGAAGGAGTACATAGATGCAAAGCAAAATAACATCTTAACAAGAACACAAAGATATTAACATGTCAACTGATAAACATTATTCCTAAATGAACTCGTAGTCGTTATAGCTGATGGAAAAAGGATACAGCCATATACAACTGCAAACTCTGAGCCCGAAAAGGACCACTGAACATCATGAACTGGTCCTTCTTTACCTGTTAAAGTACCAAAGAGTCAGTACAATCAACAATCACAACATCAGATACATAAAGGTTAGAACTTAGGACTTACGTAATGGAACAAGGCCCTCATGTGTGCCGTCTATTGTAAGGTAGTGTAGCTTCGTTTCCCCATAGTAACTTTGGTTGGTCTTGTCAACATCTGACTGTACAACCACTAGGAGTCCAGTGGAACCATGGTTCCAACTAAACTGCACAGAAGAACATCGGAAAAAGCTACGTCGAGCACTTGGCTGACTCTGCAATCCTTCCCCACATCCAAATATCTGGACACTGCCTGGACTCCCCTATATATGAATGAATTGACATATCAGAGTTGCTTGTCTATAGAGGAAACAATTATGCACATGATGAGTCTGCAACTTCAGGATGAAAAATAGACAACTTTTTGAATGAGAAGACAGTAACAGATTTAGCATATAGAAGAAAAGATGTTTTTTGGCTATTTGAAAGTAGAATGTGATAGCCCAAGCAATGAAAAGCACCTTTGATTCTGGAACAAACACAGCAACATGGGAAGCTGGCGTTTTAGAAAGCTCAAATGCAGCAACCCCAGGAACTCTGATCCGGGATGTTATTCCTTTTGAGAAATCTTTCGGGTCAAAGAATTGGATCTCATTTGTAGCTAACCGGCATGCAGAAGATTCATCAAGACAGAAGCGAATTGATGGCCTACAGAGTAACCACGCCATTATAAAAGCAGTATAATGAGTATAAAAGACTATCTATATTCATGCATCATATACTGGCAATTAAGCACTGAGACCTGCTTACCATGAGGCTTTAGTAATGGATTTTTGGTAATGACTGTGTGCTAGATCCCCAGTCTCAATATTCCAAATGGAGACGTTTTTCTCCTGCGGAGTAGTGGGTTTTTGAAAAGTCTGAAGATAAGTCCCACATGGAGATAGTTCAGCAGCCGTAACATTTGCTATAGTGAACGACCGCACTTCTGTCAAGCTGGTGGCATCATAGATACTGATAATTCCATCTGATTTCATCGCCATTAACTTCGATCCATCAACACTGAACTTGGTGTTGGAACACGAAACTCGTTCAAGCTTGAGAGTGGGCTGGCCATTGGTGAATGGAGGACCATTCCACACAGTGAAACCTTCAGCTTCTCTAACTACAAGAAAAGTGACTTTAGAGAAAAGAGAGACATTTAAACATAACCCAGAATAAAATTGAGTTTCAGAGTTATGTACCTAAAATCTCCAACGACGGTGAAGAACTCATTGCTTACTTGAGACACCTAATTTATTAGTAGTACACAATTAAGAATATTATCTCAATTTACAAATTGAAGTCAACATAAAGTTCTCAAATTTCTACTGAAACCCTCTTCACCAATTCCTAGTTTACACAGGAATCGCGACGTAGGAAACGAAAATCACAAAATTACTTTACTGGATCAAAGAAAAGCATTGAAGTAACCAACTTTCATATATAACAACCTGTCAAGTTGAAGAAGAAAGTACCTGAATGAAGCACGCAATAACAGAGACGATCCGGTAATCGGCGGTCGCTGTGGTGGCCGGCTTAAGCTAGAGATACCCTAAAACATCAGCCTTTTGAAAACCTCTAGGTAAACTAGAAGGTTCCTGTAATTTTAATATTTATAATTTATGACCAAAAAAAAAAGCTGACTTTTTTATAAGCTAGAAGTTGTAGTTCTCTGTGGAGTACGGCTGCATCGTCTCTCTACCAGGTGAATCTCTTACTATTTCGATTCAAGTTAGGTTTTTTCCTTAGAGAATCGTATCTGTTTATTAAGAATTGGCTTTTGAGTTGCGGTACGATTTCATATTTGGTCTCTTTACTAGATTGTTCACCAAAGCTCGTCGTAATTCCTCAGTGAAAACCTAATCTTTTTTTTTCATCGGCGAAACTATCTGTAGATTGTTTCAGATATTCAAACAATAGGTTATTGAGCCATGTTCTGTCTGTCAGATACTGTCACTTTCCCAAAATTCAAACTTGTGGATATCAAAAGTTCCAATTCTGTTATATTGTTTTGTTATTGTACAACGACAAAGGAATTGACTTTGTACTTTAACAATCCAAATTTCTTCACCATTTTTCTGATATTTGTATATATGTTTACTTATTGGATGATTTCATTAGTAATTTGAGGGATTTCAAGCTCCAGTTTTTCGAATATGGCGGAAGTAAGTCTTGGTATGCTTATAGACATTGTGGACGAGGAGTGGATGAGGGACACTTTGCCTGATGATGGTATAACCATTTTTTTCTTCCTCCCACATTACACCTCAAGATCATAGTGTTTCCTTTTGTTCATTTCATAAGAGATTATTGTTGTGTTGTTGTTGCAGATCTTCCATTGCCTCCAGTGCTTGTTGTTAGGACTGATGATACTGAAGAAACCAGTATGTCTCTTTGTTTGTTTTTGCTTTGCTTTACATAGCTATTTGATTCTTTAGGTCTAAATTCTTCGGAACATAGTCGTCTCTTAAAGCTGCTAGCTGTGAATCCACACTCGTTATGTATATCTGATCCAAGATCTTAAACACCCATATTGAGATCTTGAAATGTCATAAGGAAACCAATGGAGACAAATACACCACTTTTTTTTTTTGTGTATGTTTCAAACATAGTAAAGCTAAATTGTGAGCTTTGTTTCAGAGAGTCTCTAAGCTTTTACAACTTTCTCTTCCAAGCTACCTGTGATAATCTATATAGCTTGCTCGACTAATATAATCCCTCACATTGTGATTGTTTCAGATCAAGAAAATCAGCAAGCAGATGCAGAAACTTGGCGCGATCTTGCACTGGATACACAATAACAGCCTAAGTACAATGGATGAAGCTTCTTAAAAGTCTTGTTTCTCGTTGTGTATTATCAAAATCAAAAACAAAACTTTTCTAGGCTTTTGTATGAAGAAGACAGCATTGCTTGCTTCTATTTAAGTATTTATTATGTTGGTGGGATAAATTTGCTTGTTAATTATGACGTCAGAATTTTCGCTGACGTGTCTCGTTTTGATTCGTCCTCGTGGTTGGCGAATGGTTCATATTTAAATCTCGAACGGAAAAAAAAAAACAATTTAGCTGAGGAGGAATATGCTGAGCTTATCACTGAGTAATCATGTTCCTCCATTAACGCTCTTGCGTCATGAACGAAGCTTCCTCAAGCTCCGATGTCGATCTTCTCTTCTCCTTCACCAACTCTTCAACACTAAATTCCTTCACGTTTCGTCTTCTTCACCTGGAGTTGTTGCTATTTCGGCATCTTCGTCTCCACTCGCAGTTCCAGAATCAGAAGACGAAGACCACTTCGATGACGAATTACGGCGTCTATTGGCACTGGTACCGGAAGAGATACGTCGGACATTGGAGGAGCACCCTGAAATTAGTGAACTCATAGAGATAGTGTTGGATTTAGGTCGAAAACCTCTGGCGCGATTCCCTTCTGGTGATTTTGTTATCTCCGACGATGCTGTTATAGTTAAAGATCTGGAATTCGCTGTTTCTCAGGTTGGTGAGTGTTCTTCTCTGGTGAAATTTTCGTTTGACGAAACATCTATAGTAGCTGCTTAATAAGACACCATGAAAGTGAAAATGCTCAGGTCGGTGAGTTTACTAATGATAATCGAGCTGGAATCAGCCGGACGTTGCATCGGATTAGTGCGATAAGGAATCGGAAAGGAGAAATTATTGGATTAACTTGCCGTGTTGGTCGATCTGTTAGAGGAAGCGCTAATTTGTTGCGTGATCTTGTTCAAGATGGGAACTCATTGTTGCTTATTGGTCCTCCAGGTGTGGGGAAAACTACAATGATTAGGTTTGTGTTAGTTTCTTCCTATATTGATCAGCTTGATCCATGAACTCTTCTCATTGTTCCTTTAGTTCATGGATTTTTTTTATATGTAGTCATCAATTTGCTAATTCAGGGAGGTAGCACGAATGCTAGGAAATGACTATGAGAAGAGAGTAATGATTGTTGATACTTCCAATGAGATTGGTGGTGATGGTGATATACCTCATCCAGGGATCGGTAATGCTAGGCGGATGCAAGTCCCTAACTCTGACATACAACACAAGGTTGGTTTGTAAATAGCTGGATTTTTGTGTATTTAAGTGAGGTGGGTTTGAACCTACTCAGGAGAGATGGTTTATATGTGTTTCGATTTTACTTTACCTTCAGGTGCTGATAGAGGCAGTAGAAAACCATATGCCCCAAGTGATTGTGATTGATGAGATTGGAACTAAACTTGAAGCGATAGCTGCAAGTACAATAGCAGAACGTGGAATCCAGTTAGTTGCCACTGCTCATGGAGCCACCATCGAGAATTTGATTAAGAATCCTTCATTAGACCTTCTGGTTGGAGGTGTACAGGTTAGACATGATATGAATGCATACCCTCCAAACCCAATTCAAAATATTGTTTGGAGATTTTAGTTTATCAGTTTATGAGAATCTCTTACCAATGGTCATTAATTCTAGCATAAATAATTGCCAATATGGCACTATACTTCTCAAGAAATTAGTTAAGTGGATGATGTTGTCCACTTCCCATGGATCTCTTGCGTCTCGGTATATCAGCAAAACAAGAGACAGGGCACAGGATATTCATGGAGACCTTTGAATTGAGTGTATAATGTTGTAGGGGGTTCAATGGTCTATAATTCTGGATCAGTTCTTTTTCTGAAAACTAGTTATACAGCATTGTAAATCTCTATTCTCTAATAGGTTATTCTTTCAACATATTAATGGAGACCTTTGGCAGAGTGTGACTCTTGGAGATGAGGAAGCGACCAGAAGAGGTGGCCAGAAGACTGTCCTTGAAAGAAAAGGTCCTCCAACATTTAACTGTGGTGCAGAAATAGTTTCAAAGACTGAAGTTCGAGTTCATCGTAGTCTTGAAGCAACTGTTGATGCTGTCCTCGCAGGTAGATTCTGTCTTTTTAAGTTGGAACTGTTGATAAATGCGGAGGACATTACATAAATGCAGCATATATTTTGATACAACAACATATTAAGATTCTGGCTTCAGCTAATTTTCTTCTTTTGGCTCATCTCCTGGCTAAAAGGTCGCTTACCAAACGTTGAAATCCGCAAAATAAAGTCTCATGGTGTAGAAGTTATTATGGAGAAGGAACCTTTCATCAACGAGACGACTGTGGATAAGAAACATGAAGAGGAAGCATTAGATGTTTCGAAGCTCACTAAGGAGGAAACTATCTCTGAAGTTCTTCCAACTAAGGAGATAACTGAAGCAGAATCTTCAGAGCGAGAGACATTGATGTATCTATATGTCTATGGGGTAAGATGAGAATGACTTGTGCAGATTCTCCAGTTTCTAATAGTCTTATGCTATCTCTATTAATTTCCGAATACTAATACAAAGATTCGTCAATTTCTCCCCACCCAGATTGCAGAATCAACTGTTCTTCAGGCAATCAAACAACTGGAGATGGAAACTGCAGTAGAGTTAACTGACGACATTAGCGAAGCAGAAGCCTTACTTGCATTGCAAGCGAAGATCAGGAAGAATCCCCGGATTAAATCATTAGCTACATCTCACGGTATACCTGTCTATGTAACAAAGGTAAAAAATAACTTAGAATGTGTTGTTCTTCAAGTTTTCTAGTTTCAGCTTCTTTACCATAAGAAGCTCTTCTTCTTGCAGACTAACTCAGGTATTCAAGTGGCTAAGGCGATACGAGCATTACTAACTGATTACGAAGACGGACTCGGAGAGTTTGGATCAGAAGATCGCCTAAAACTTTCTGAAAAAATGGACGCCTTAGAGGTAACTAAAGAGCTAGTCAAAATTTCTTTGGTAGTAACCACAGTTCACTATTGCTTAACACCGATTCGTTTATATGCAGGAAGCAAGATTAGCGATAGAGCGGATAGTAATACCGAAAAAAGAAACAGCTGATTTACTCCCGAGGCCACCTAGGATTGTGTCTCTTCAAGGAAAGCTAGTCAGGAAGTACAATTTACGATCAGAAAGAAAATGGAGAGGGGATGAGATGTATCTAAGGATCCTCCCATATGGGACGGAAGAAGACAGAGACGAAGGTGAAGATAAAGGAGAGTTTGAAGAAGAGAAAGGGGAAGAGCTTGACGAGTTTGGTTGTGCCACCAGCGAGTCTAATGACTCACCCTCTGGCATCGATAGGTTACCTCTGTTGCCTGACTAGTTTTATTTGTTCATCGTTCATACATTGTTATAGATACATTTTTGTGAATGAGAAAAATATTTTTTAAAAAAAATGATAATTGGGTAATTTATGAATTGAAACTCAAACTAATCTAGAAATTTTGTAGAATGCCTATTTTTTCACTAAACACGCTTAGCTGATACAGTATGGCTTCGACCAACAGAACGAGTTGTCACTGATCGCAATTTGACTCCAACTAATTTTGTTATTTAAAGTTCTTGAAAACTCACTTATTTGCATATCATTAGACAAAGTGATAATTTAAATTTAGAAAGATATGATATTCTTAAAAAATAGTTGACTTTTACAGCAAATCAACACCTTTGAAAAAAGGTTGGGGTAAGAAAGTTGTGACCTGAGTCACTGAGTGACTCTATGCATATCGTAACCGTCATTAGAAATTTCTTTAAGTTATCTTAATCAACTTTTCAGTGATCATGATCCATTTTAATCCTATGATTGTTATTTAATTCAAAAGATAATTGATAGATATAAGCATATAACAGTAGACAAGAATAGAAATGTTATTTATTTTATTTATGTATTCGATCGAGTTGAATGGAAGAAAAAGTTTGGATAAAATAAGAAAGTGCCGTCCAGATGAGTGAGAACCACTGTGGGAGGTAGTTAGCTTATATACCTTAACAACCCTGAGAGGACCGACTATTCACTTTACTAGTGCTTTTATTACACGCAGATTTTCTATATCCCATTATGTACTTTTTTGTGGAACGATAGTAGTTTGTACACAAATTCAACTTGTTTTCTTGAGTATGAGACTTCTCCGGTAGATTATATCCTTATGCTAAAGTGTAAAATCGTTCCAATTTTTAATATCATGGTGTTTCATGAGATACTGGTCCAACTGGCAAAGTGTTTCAAATTTTATCATATGAGGTATAGTTAAAATAATGTTCCACAAACGTTATAAAGAAAATATTTTTTCTGGTCCATGAACGAATCATATAGAAATGGATATGTTTTTTCTATTGACGAACACAATTGTAGACAATGCCGGTGGCTATTTAGAGCGCATACCTCACCATATATTGAAAAAAATGATCATATTCAATTTTGTCAACGGGGCTATTCATATTAATTAGCTAGAAAAAAAAGTAATTAAACTTGTATTAGTAACAGAAAATACGTTAAAAGGTTAAATTAATAGACAACAACGTTCATTTGTTTACCACCATAATTTGTAATATAGATGTAAACTCCGTAATATGCATGTGTTCAACGATGACATTTTAGGTCCATCAAGTTTTGTATATCGCTTTCGGCCATGTAGCGGTGTAGGTAGAGAGAGTAGAGACGTGTTATAATTTTTAAAAACAGAATGTTTAGCTTATTGATTTATGGGTTATTGTCTTAGCATCAAATGATATATTGACAAAAAAAAGTTCCATAAGACAACCATCAATTTATCTTTTCGTCACAATTTTCCATACCTATTTGTAATTTGGTAAACTCCGTCAGTTGTTTCATTACTCAATCAAAACAATATAGAGTATCAGAGATTCTTGTAAATCCAATCTGACATATTTTGTAAGAATCTTTTCGTAATCTAAAAAATTAGGTATATCTGTCTATTCTGATCTCTTCACTAGTTTTTGTTTTTTCTTGACTCTTTAATATATAGTTGGGTTGAAGTTAGTGTTTTATTCACTTTTTCTACGAGCTTCGAATTGGTGTTTTGAGTTTCACTTAATTAGTCTATAAAACTAAAGCGCCACTGCGCCACATTTGTATCCACAAAATCCAAAATATATAGTTTCCGTTAGTACAAATTTTATATCATAAAGAGTCTTCAACTTGTTATTAACCTAAATAAAATAGAGTGATTATACTTTGTCCTACTCTCCATGTTTAATTTTAAAGAAAAAAAATATGAGAAATATAGTGATTGGACCTCAACTCATGAATATTCTCCTAGTGTGTAAGCAAATTTTCTATATTCAATATTTTCACAGAGTATAGAGAGATTCATGGTTGGTTTTCCTTGTTAATGACAATATTTACTTGTTATTTTTTATAACAATGATTATTTTCAGTCGATAGAATCAAATTTCAATCAAAAGACAATTACTCAGATCCTTTGCCTCGGAATTACGTTAGTTAACTCAAATGGTCAACTAAGCTAAAGGCCAACCCAAAAAAGGTGGCGGCAAATGTCTGCCACGTTGGTCTTATTGACTTCTAACTACGTCAATATTTTAATATTGAGCCCATTCACATTTTTTTTTATGAACTAGTTTAGTTGGTTTACGATTCAAATGCACTCTAATTAATTACAGTCTTTTCTTCTCCTAATAACACATGTCATCTTCAACACTTCACTTTTTTCTTGAAATTTTCCTTTGTGGGTATATACTATGAATACATTTACATCTAACAATGAAATCATTCGCATTATTCAAAAAGTTTTCATACTTTGTATAGTTTTTGCTTATCACACACACACACATGCATATAAATATTGATAGCTTACTTTGATATATCTTATATCATTAAACGTTGACAAAAGGAATATATGCTGATCTCGAATGAGCACTTGGAGAAGTTTAAAACTCGTCAATTATAAATCTCCTTCCACGACCGCCTTATTTTTTTTTCTCTTGCCTTATCTATTTTTATAATGTATAGCCAATAATAAGTTATCATTTCAATGTGATTCATCATGATCCCAATACCATATCTATATAAATTGTCTCTACCATGTGCTGAAAAATACACAAACCATCTAATACCATTTTTTCTAAAAGTAACACCTTTCTAAATTGAAATCATTATCACATAACGCATGGCTAACTTGAAATTTTTGCTGTGCGTGTTCTTGATCTGCGTTTCCTTGTCGCGTTCATCAGCGTCTCGACCGCTGTCCCCAAACGCAGACGGGACTAAACGAGGTCGTATGATGAGAGAAGCCGAGGAAGTGTTGAAAGCGAGTATGGAGAAGCTAATGGAAAGAGGTTTTAATGAGTCCATGAGACTCAGTCCTGGAGGTCCTGATCCTCGCCACCACTAAGTCCTAATCTCGTAGTTTTGAATTCGAGGATGTATATTTTTTGTTCTTGATCGAGAACCGGTTTAGAAGAAAACATATCGATCCTTTTTGTTTTTAGACTTGTTTGTTCGTTCGGTGTAACCAATAAATTGATGTATCTTTTTCGTTACATATTTATGAATTGTGCATGCTTTACGTACCTTATACATTTCCACTATATAGTAGTCTAGTATAGAGGACTTTCCATATAAATTACTACTATATAACAAGAAAGGGTAAAGAAATAGTATGATGAGGGAGATTGATTAATTTATTTAACTTATCCTGTTTTTATTCACTGGCTCGTGTATATACGACTTAAAATATGTTTGAAAAGTATGTATTATATATGTACTCTTTTGCCTCATCGTCCACCAATAGAACATATAAAAGAGAGAAAGATAGTGATTGAAGTTAAAGAAAAGAAAAAAAACAGGGGAAAACAGAGATCTGGTTAGAGGAAAATTTTACTTTAATTTTTAAGATCGAAGTCAACGTCTTCAAATAGTGTGACTAAATTGTATTGCAAGAGATCAAGTAATTTGTTAAAAAAGAAATGATTCAAACGTAACTTACAAAACTATACCAAATCAGTTATCTGTGGAAAGAGGGTACCTACAATATCTCTCATTCTTCATGCACATAAAGAATCTCTCATAAGCCGAAGCCATTTGAGTCGCTGTAAACATCGAAAGAGCGTAACCCTTGCAAGCTATTCCTTTCATCTCCAAAACACTAGACCCATCTCTTACAACAGAATCCAACGTCTCAACAAGAGATCTCACATTTGGAGAAAATGTGTACCCAAAACGCTCATCCACAACCACTGTCCCAACAATGCTTGGATAATTAGGTACCACTACAGGTTTCACACACTGCATCGCCTCGATGATCGTCAAATCAAGCCCTTGCGGTCTCAATGTAGGATTCACAAACACATCTAATGCGTTGTAGAAACCAGAGAGCTCTTCTGGTTTTAAAGCTCCTAAAACCCTAACGTTTTCACCTAATTCCGCGTATCTTTTACCCCAAGGACCAGATCCAGCCACAAGCAGATAGACTTGCGGGTGCATTTTAACGAGCAAAGCAAAAGCTTCATAGAGAAGTGGATGTCCTTTGTCTCTCACCAAACGTCCAGACACACCCATCACAATATACGTCCCATTGTCAGGAACACCATGTTTCGCCCTGAATCTAGCTCCCGATTCTGGGGAATACACGAACTTGGTTTGGTCAACACCGTTGACTATAACGTGAACATTTCTCTTAGGAAGCTGATAGATGTTAACTAGAACCTCACGCGCGCTGTTGCTTATGCAAATATGCTGTTTATATTTTGGGAAGAATCTGATTTCGTCGACGAGTCTAGGCATCGTTTGTTGAAGATCTGAGATAGGAGGATCATTGGAAAGTTCTTGGAAAAGATTGGAATGCATAATCTCGTACCAGATTCCATGCCATGTCACAGCTATGTCACCGTTAGGCACCATTTTGACTCGCCAATGAGGCAGAGAAACACTCTCAGTGTGAACATAATCAAAGGGATGATCTAGACCGTTGATTCTGTGGAAGATCTCAAAAGCTTGAGAGTGGTTAAGTGTGCCGTGTTCGTTTGGAGCGAAGTAGACATGGAGATCTCCTCTGTTGTAGTACTCTTCTCGGTTACTTCTGTCGGAAGAAACCGTGAAGACGTGAATCTCGTGACCTCTTGACGCGAGAGAAGTGTAGAGAGTGTAAGCGTGACGCTCCATTCCTCCGGGGATCGAACCAACAGGCCATGACTTGCAGAAGACGGCGAGTTTGAGCTTCTCGGAGATTGGTCCTAGAGAGAGTTTGTTCCAAGGGGATGTTAGGTCTCGAAGATCTCCAGCGAACGGAGGATTTTCCGGTGAAGAAGTCACCGGAGAGCAATCCAATCGTGAGAATAAAATGTAGTAAGAAGAACAAAAGATGAATATTGCTAAGGTAGTGATTTTTGTGAACCTGAGTGAAAATGAAGTGGAAGATGAAGAAAACATAGTTCTTGAAGAATGATTCTTGAAGGCCATTGTTTTGGTTTATTTGATTTTTGTGATTTTGATTTCAACTCTTGAGGTTGATTCTTTGCTTAACTTTCGGATCAGAGTTCATTTCTCCATGATATTGCACATGGCGTAGCTAATTTTTATATGTTTTCTACATCAAATCTCTCTTAAGTCTTAATCAACTGAGATTGTAACTAAACCGGGACATCACATTTTCCGGTTTGCTATTTTGTTTTGTACACGTAGGCGTGTTATTACTCCGTCACACTTTACACATGTTAATTCCCCTAATTTATCGGGTTTCTTTAGGCGCGTGAGCTTAAGCGCGTGTGTGTACGCTATTCTCGCGACGCTGCGACTCAACAATTGCTTCCTAGGGTTTCGTCAATGTTGATGAACCACGGATCCTAAACTCACCGATCTTCGATTCCTTGTTTTGAAATCCCCAATTACTGGTACTGTGCGTAAAAACCCTTGAGAAACCCTAGAATTTTCCGTTCAGTGAAATTGTCAACGAGGGTAATGGCGTCTGGTCCTATATCCGGTGGTGGAGTTTCGAAGACGAAGCATAAATGGAGTGATAGTGGCAACAAAAGCCAAAAACGATCGAAGCCCACGATGGCGAAGTCGAATTCGCTTGGGTCTGAAGATAATCATCAGATGATGAAGATAAGTTTGAGCTCAATTTCGAAGCTTGAAGTTAGAAACTTGAAGCGGAAACTACAAGCTGAGCTTGAAGAAGTTAGAAGCTTGATCAAGCGACTCGAACCACAAGCTCCCGTGCCGAACAAGAAGCTGAAAACAGCAAACGGTGGTAAGAAGAGTGGAGTACATGGAGCTGCTGATAAAGGTACTGTTCAGATTTTGAAGAGCTGCAACAATTTGCTTACGAAATTAATGAAGCATAAGTCTGGATGGGTTTTCAATACTCCAGTTGATGCAGTTAGGCTTGGTTTACATGATTATCACAATATTGTTGAGAAGCCTATGGATCTAGGAACAGTGAAGACTAGGTTGAGTAAGAGTTGGTATAAGTCACCATTGGAGTTTGCTGAGGATGTGAGACTTACTTTTAACAATGCAATGCTGTATAATCCCGTGGGGCATGATGTGCATCATATGGCTGAGTTTTTGTTGAATCTGTTTGAAGAGAAATGGGCGCCTCTTGAAACGCAGTATGAATTACTTAATAGGAAGCAACAACCAGTCCGTGATATCGATCTCCATGCTCCTGTTTCAACAAACACTCTTAACATAGAGCCATTTCCGTTACCTGCTCCTCCTCCTCCTACAGTAGTTGAAAATAGGACTTTGGAGAGAGCAGAATCTATGACAAACCCAGTGAAACCTGCAGTTCTACCTGTTGTTCCCGAGAAGCCTGTAGAAGAGGCGTCTGCAAACAGGGACTTGACGTTTGATGAGAAGCGGAGACTTAGTGAAGACCTTCAGGATTTACCTTATGACAAGCTAGAGGCAGTTGTGCAGATTATAAAGAAGAGTAATCCAGAACTCTCTCAACAAGATGATGAGATTGAGTTAGATATTGATAGTCTTGATCTGGAAACACTTTGGGAGCTTTACAGATTCGTGACTGAATATAAGGAGAGCTCGAGCAAGAAAAAAGAGGAACATGGATTAGACTTAGAAAGAGATGCTGAATCTTTTCACAATAGTGTGCAAGAACCGGTGAGGGCAAATACCTAATTGTTATTCACTTCTCTTACTTTTACCATATAACTCTTACTGGGCTAATAATATCATATTTCTTCTTCCGTTCACAGAACACGCTAGTAACTGGCCTTGAATCGTCAAAACTTACTGAATTAGGTGAAATTTTAATTCTTAAGATAGTATCAAGCTCTTCTATATTGGTCGTTTTGCCCCACTGCAATAACTCTTCTTTAATGTTTTTGACACTTGAAAAGGTCATGTGGCATCTCCTGTTCGACAAGAAGTAAATGTTGGAGGATCAAGTAGTTCTAACAGTTCTAGTAGTGGCTCAGGCTCGGGTTCTAGTGGTAAATGTTGAAGCTGGTTTACATTCTTCTTCCTTGCGAGCATCACAGTTCCAAACATGTTTACTCACATTCCTCATTTCGTTATGCAGATTCTGACAGTGATAGCTCAGGGCATGGATCTGATATCGGTAATTAACCACGATTGTGAAAGTATTTAGTATAGGTGGGAGCCATCGTGTTGTCGACTTCAAAACTTTTTGGTTTTTTTTTTTTTTTTTTTTTGCATCTCTTTCAATAGGTGGGAGCCATCGTGTTGCCTTCTTTTCCAATGTTTGCCCCAATCGGATTGTTTCTGTATTAGGGTTCTTGTTAACTGTATAGAAAAGTGAACATCTTAAGTGTTTTGTTTCGGGCTTGTGTCATCAATTGAACAGGCTTGTTCTGTACTTCTTAAGTGTTTTTTTTTTTGTCTTACGTTCATAATTGTCTTCTCTAATGGCCACTACTGGATTTTCTTCGGTGACCAGTCTTGCTGGGCCAGATCGGAGAATAGTTTGTCCTCAAAACCCAAGCCGAGACCTTTGTTGGCAAAAAAAACAATTCAGTATCATATCACTATTTTTAGATCAATCACCAAAAAAAAAGGACATGCTACCTAATGTAGAAAGATCACCAACTGGTGGTTGCATGGAACAAAGTCATTTTTTGATGCTTGTATGTGAAGAAGACATACGCTTCTTTCAAACATTCAACATAGATTCATGAACTTAACAGCAAGAAGTAGTTTCTAAACGAGCTAATTCTTCGATAAATCTGTTTCAAATGTCCATACAAACTTCTGCAGATTTGCGGATGATTCAGTCCATCTTCCAAGTTGTGCTTGTTACTCTTCTAGTTCTAGGATCCGCGAGATGGATCCTTGATGAACTCAAAAGCAAAGAAAGTCGAATATTCCAACTATATGGTTTCAGACAGAAAGAGGCAGTGTTTGTAACCAAAGAGGATCAGCTTGATGAGAAGCTGCAATGTCTTTGAAGGACAATGGGTTTGGGACAATGTCTCTTACCCTCTTTATACTGAGAAGAGCTGTCCTTATTTAGTCAAACAAACAACATGTCAACGAAATGGACGGCCTGATTCTTATTACCAGAACTGGAGATGGAAACCGAGCTCATGCGACTTGCCCAGGTAAGAAAGAAAAAGCATGTGTTGTTTCATGCTATCAGATCCAAACTTGAGCAGTGTTTAAAACCTCTGCGATGTTTCAGGTTCAATGCTCTGAAACTGTTGAATGTGTTAAGAAACAAAAGACTAATGTTCATAGGAGACTCAGTGCAGAGAAGCACGTTCGAGTCAATGGTCTGTATGGTACAATCAGTAATTCCTGACAAGAAGAAGTCCTTTCACAGGATTCCTCCTATGAAGATCTTCAAAGCTGAGGTACATAAAATCTCATCTTCCTAGGAAGAGATTTTCAACATGAATTAAGAAAAGGCAAATATAGTTTCTTATACCTAAGTGTATGCAATTGATCAGGAATACAATGTATCCATCGAGTATTACTGGGCACCTTTCATCGTGGAATCAATTTCAGATCATGCAACTAATCATACAGTTCACAAAAGGTTGGTTAACCTCGACGCCATTGAAAAACATAGCAAGAGCTGGGAAGGCGTTGATGTTCTAGTCTTTGAGAGCTATGTATGGTGGATGCATCAACCTAAGATCAATGCAACGTAAGCTACATTACGCATAAGCCATATTCGAGTTGCTGTTGCATTGCAAAAGAGCCTATAAGGCAAACTTATATGTATATATGCATATACAGGTATGGAGATACCAGTGAAGTCCAAGAGTATAATGTGACGACTGCTTATAAAATGGCGTTAGAAACATGGGCCAAGTGGTTTAAGGCGAAGATCAATCCGAGAAGCAAAGAGTTTTCTTCACGAGTATGTCTCCGACTCATCTATGGTATGTTCCTTCCAAACACAAAACATAGAAGATATCAAAAACTAACAGATTATAGATAGTTTTTAGAGCAAACCTTTTCAATTTCCAAAGACATGGAGAGTGATTTTGGTGTGTGATATTGCAGGAGCTGGGAGTGGAATCCGGGGAGCGATGGAACCTGTTATGATGAGTTATATCCAATAGACAAAAGATCATATTGGGGCACAGGATCAAATCAAGAAATCATGAAGACTGTTGGTGACGTTCTAAGCAGAGTTGGAGAAAATGTTACATTCCTGAACATTACGCAACTGTCAGAATATAGGAAGGATGGACATACGACTGTCTATGGCGAACGGAGAGGGAAGCTCTTGACAAAGGAACAGAGAGCTGATCCGAAAAACTATGGAGATTGCATCCACTGGTGTTTGCCAGGAGTTCCTGATACATGGAACTGAGATTCTCTATGCATATTTGCTTCGCAGTCACCGCAATTTCTTCTGATCCCTTCTCAGGGAGTGTCAAGCTCAAGTTTATTAAGTTTTACCAACAATGGTTTTCATTTTGGAGCAGATATGAGAGCAAGAAAAGATAGGATAATTTTTGGTTTATTCACTGTCAAAAAAGCTTCAATCTCAGAGCAGATTAGCTCATTTATGTTTAAATATAGTAACAGGAGTCTCACTCAAGATAAAACACAGGCCGGATTTTAACTTGGTACTATATGAAATGAACAAAAATCTCACAATAGCTCCCACTGGGAATCTTCTGATTCAAGTAGCTGTGAGCTTTTGGAGTCTATGGCTTCCACTTGTTTAGAGTCTTCCTTAGTGGCCAGATCAGAACCCATATCCGCATCTCCGAACCAAATTGGAAGCTGCTCATACTCTTTCTCTCTTCTTCTCTTTGAAGTTAAAGCATCCAAGATTTTTCTCTGATGATGATAGAAAAGTTAAAATTAGGCAATGGGAGATAACTAATGCTTCCTTATGAGATAATGCTAAGTTTTTTTAAAGGGTTTGATCATTGACGATCATGGAAACCAAATTTTCAAGTCTAATATCAGTCAGAAAAATCTGTAATCAAGATTAGCATTCACTAACAAGAAACAAGGTTTCGGGTAACTAGCAAGAAACAAGGTTTCAAGTTTATCACAAAGAAATATCTAAGAGAAAGAGGGAGAAAGCAAGGAACCTTGAAGGATCTGAGTTTCTCGGTCCTAAGATGAATGGCATAAAGCACACTGTCCTCAACATAGGGGTCTTCTCGAGATTCCATGCCGCACAGCTCAGCAATGATCCTAGCACGCACTACATAAAGCACACTGTCATCAACATACGAGGGGTCTTTTTGAAATTCTATGCCGTACAATGCACTGCTATCCAATGGAGTAACATCAGATTTGCCATTAATGACATCATCTGAGTTATCTACAGGAATAATAAAAAAAAAGTGTTGCGCATGAAGAGGCTAATTCAAGGTTTTAAAACTTCTAGTGAACAATAGCACAAGCCGAAATGAGTAGAACTTCAAAACTAGAGAAAATATATAATTGAAGCACCAACCTGCATTAGAGGATCTCATGTTTACCACATTATCTTGAACAGGTGTATCTGGAACCTTGGTGGCGAGTGGATTAAGACTTGAATCATCATTACATTCTACTACAGTCCCAAGACTTTGAGTAGATTGAGGTTCTGTGGAAACAACATCTCTGCACGATTTAACTTTAACTTCTACACTTTCCTCGCCTGAAAAAACCAAAGAGTTTCCAGCAGAAGATTTCTGAGAGGTTAATCTGTTAGTGATCCAAGACTCATCATCGGTAATTATTGGTTCTTCATCACCAAGAGTAGTGGCTGGTATCAAATTCGCATCACAGTACCCTTCAAACAATGAAGATGTAGAGAATATTTCTCCATCAGGCAAGGAGGATTCAACTCTAACTTCTTCTACACTTTCCCCGTCTGGAAAAACCGAAGAGCTTCCAGCAGAAAACTTCTGAGTGGTTAAAGTGTTAGTGATCTGAGACTCAGTATCGTTAATTATTGGTTCTTCATCACCAAGAGTAGTGTCTGATGTCAGATTAGCATCATAACTCTCTTCAAGCAACCGCAATGTGGAGAGTATTTCTTCATCATCCGAGGAAAAGGCTGATGAATTCTCTTTAAAACTATATCCGTCAACTGAAGTCTCCATAAAAATGTCGCCTTGAACTCGTTCCTCAACCAGAACATGTCCTGAAATGTCAAAGTTCTGATCTGGTGGTGGATCAGAAGGACTTTTACAACTCGGCGAGTCAATAGTGTCATGGTGTTGCTGCACAATAGAAGCTCCGGAAGAACGGTCCTTTGCGACTTCCTTTGGTTCATCAGAAAATTTCTGAGGTGTCAAAGTGTTAATGATATGAGACTCTTCATGAGTAGTGGGTGATGTCAGATTAGCATCATGATACTCTTCAAGCAATGGAGATGTAGAGAGTATTTCTTCATCAGGTAAGATCTGAGACTCTTCTTCATCAGAGATTAATTGTTCTTCAGCACCAAGACTAGTGGTTGATGTCATATTAGCATCACAGTACTCTTCGAGCGGTGGAGATGTAGAGTCTGTTTCTCCGTCAGACAAGGAGGCTGCTGATGAATTCTCCTCAAAACTATCTCTTTGAACTACATTATCCTTCAAAACATCGCCTTGAACTCGCTTCTCAACCAGAACATGTCCTGGAATGTCAAAGTTCTGATGTGACGGTGGATCAAAAGGACTTTTAAAACTCGGTGAATCAACACGATTATGATGTCCTTGCACATTATAAGTTCCAGAAGAACGGTCCACTGCGACTTCCTTTGATTCACCTCGAACAGACTCGAATCCCGGAGGTTCACTTGATTTCAAACAAAGCGTGCTCTGTCCCAAAGTCCCAACATAAGAAACCATCAGTCATTCTCTATACATTCTAAACATCATTACCTAGAATTAATATGACAATCAAACAATGGACTTACCTGAGAAGTGAAAGAATCAACCTCAACAAGTATAGTTTCCAACTTGTTGTAGATTTTACCAAACCATGCTCTTCCTTTAGATTCTGGTCCCATGATGGCTCACGCTATACGAAAATTATGCAGCAAAAATACAAACTTTGGTAAGGTAACATCATCACAATAAGAAAAGAAGAACTGTTGATAAATATCAAACGCAGATGGATGATAAGAAGATGAAAGTTTCAAACAACAAAAAACAGGTTCTCACTAAGAAACAGCTCAAAAACCCTGAAACTTTTGCCATCATCACTATTCTTTAGGTCTAGATTTTATCGAAATTCAGCTGCTTTATCGGAGAAGATGAATAATTTAAAAAACTAAATACAGCTATCTCGAATTTGTGACCAAGCACGAAGAATCGCAGAAAAAGAGTAACTCATAGACGCATCGAATTACATTAAAAAACGAGACTTTGAGATGAAAAACACAGAAAGTGATGAAAAGTAGATAAACCCTGAAATTCAAAGTAAACAGAGATGAGAGAAACAAGGAAAGGGATTAGAATTTACCTGAGAAAGTAACAAGGAGACTACAACAGAGGAAGAAACGAGAAAAAGGCCTGAACAGAATCAGAATCATACAACAATAAATAAATATTAAATAGCTTACATAAGATTTTGCATATCTATGTATATTGATTTATTTAATGGGTCTACATATCTAAAGTAAACGGGCTTAAAATTTAAGGCCCAATATAATTAAAATAGTAAAGATGGGTCATGAATCATGCACGCCACAAGTGACCGAAACCGAAACATGATCATGTGTACGCATTCGTTTTGAAGAAGAATGATCCAAAATAAGACGACGTGGATTATGCCACGTGGAGGGGAATGGCACAAAAGAGGCATGGGTCTGACGATAAATCCACCTTGGGGAGTGTGCATCTGGATGATCCCTCTCCATCATTCCTTCCATCCAAAATTCTTTTTTCTTTCTTTTTTAAAGAATTTTGTTGAAATTCCATTCACATTTTATGATTTGTCATGTGTGTATATATATGCAACTCTCTCAACACACACATAATATAAATATATATTTACCTACATCAGATTCTTCATACACACACATTGTAATCAAGAAATCATAGAGATTGACATGGCGACTTCTACCTTTTCTTCTCGTGGAGCACAAACCATGAACACCGTATTCTTTAAGTAAGTTTAACCTATAGTGTTGATGAGCATATGCATTTTTGTTTTGTAAATTATGAAGATTATTGAACCATTTTTTGATTTTAGAATGTCATCTTTACGCATAAGCCATGCTAATCATAAAGTTTTTGGTTATTCTTGAATCTTGACAAAAAAAAAAAAAAAGAGTTATGATATGATTGTATAACTATGTGTGCATGTTATATATATATATATTTTTTTTAATGTAATGTTAAATTAAATTCAAAAAGAAAATAACGTTTTTACATCAAGTGCCACTTTTGGTTAACACATGCAATTTGCATATATAGGCCGATGCTAAGGAAATCGATTCACAAGAAGAGTGCATCGCACGACATAGTGAGGGAGACGGTGAAGACAGACGGGGCCGGAACCGGAGAGGAGGTGAAGACGATGAGAGGCTTCTACGGTGCCGGAGAGACGTCGTCTCCGGGGAGTAGTTGGGTGCCACATGAAGGTACGGGAATATACTATCCAAAGGGGCAAGAGAAAGTAATGCAAGATGTGCCTCCTCCTCCAGCTGGCAGCCACGCGGACGAGCTCGTTAATTGGTTCTCTTGATCCATCCACTCTCAAGTGGCTCTCTCAGTTTCCTGTCATCGAAAACTCTATAAGTCTTGTCTCTGTGTGTCTATTGTTGTGGTGGGTAAAACATTACAAACATATGTGTAATTAAGTTGATATGTAATGTCATATAACCAATGATAATGAATAATTAATGATGATTATAGATTGAGTTAAAATACCAATGCATATATTCAAGTAATGTACCTCTCCTTCTAATGAGTAAAAGCTTCTTTATCCAAAACCCACCAAACAAAATTTATATTCAAGTAGTAACACAAGTGGGACCAGAACTAAGTCTTTGTCTTCAAGAACCACAGATTTTGTCACACTATCAGACAATAAACCAGAATGGCTTTAAACAAATGGCTCTTCTTCTTCTTCAATATCTTATCTTGGGAAAAAAAAAAAGGTGGAAGCTTTATATTTGTGGTAGTGTGATTTGGGGGTATAATGGCGCTTACAAACATATCACTGCGTTTCAAATTTCCACCTTTAAAATCATCTTCATCTTCCACATTCAATACTACTAGAAAACCCTCTTCGGTCGTTTGCTCCAAACCCGACGGCGGCAAAGTGGCTAATGACGACGGTGGTGCAAAGCCGCGGAAGAAGTTATCGGAGCAATCTTCATGGGAAGTTAAGGATTCGGAAGGGAAGGATTATCTCTATAGGCTTGGCGCGGAGTCTGATAATGTTAACATAGCCGTTGGGGCACGAAGCGGCATGATCGATGACGTTTTCATTGGAGACTTCCTTGGAAAAGATTGTTAAGTCTCTCTTTCTTCTTTTTGAAATATTTGGATTAGTACAAAGACTCAGGTTTTTTTACTCAGATTGTGGAGTTGACAGAAGTTGTGTTAATTTGCAGCTGATATAGTGTTTGATTACCGTCAGAAGGCGACGAGGTCCTTTGAACATCTTCAAGGAGATTATTACATTGCTCCATCGTTTCTGGTAAATGTTTTATTCTTCTTCTTCTTGTAATCTGATTTTGAAGAAATCAATCAAGCATGAACTTCCATGTCCGAATGATTATCTTCTAGTGTGTCTCCTGCTTGAATGGTGTTGAAACTTAATCCTAAGCTTTAAATTGTGGGAATGTGTTACCAAGTTGCTTATAACATGTGTCTTCTTTTTTTCTTGACAGGATAAAGTTGGTAAGTTATATTGAACTAAAGCCTTGAAGAAGGTTAGAGGAGTAATACATAGGTGGTAACAAATTGGATGATAGGGTTCATATTTGACAGCCTAAAAGTCTGGAACTTTTGATTCATTTGTGATGTTTCTTTCTTCCTTTCAGTTTATCTTAACATGTTTGTTTTCTGCAGCGGTCCACATTGTGAAGAACTACCTTGCTCCTTCTCTAAATATAAAAATCCCATTGATCTTAGGTAATGAATGCCTTCTTCTTCTCTGTTTAGTAGCAGTGTTTGAAATTTTTTGCTACCATCTCTTGAACAATGCCGTGTTATTTTTGGCTGCTTAGGTATCTGGGGAGGTAAAGGACAAGGCAAAACGTTTCAGACCGAACTTATTTTAAAACCATGGGAGTTGAACCGGTTATAATGTCTGCAGGAGAGTTGGAATCTGATAGAGCTGGTGATTTTTTCCACTTTGTTTACTCTCATATCGTCGTGACTATGTAGTAAACCATTTCCTAGGAGCTGGTTGCTTTCACTTACCATTGTGCTATCGAAAGTTCTGATCTTTCTAATATTCCCTAACAGGGGAACCGGGAAGACTCATACGTGACCGCTATCGAACAGCTTCTCAAGTCATTCAGAATCAAGTTAGAAGCTTTTCTTTGTCATTCCCTGTCTTACTACACTTATTTATTATCTATATGGTTTTGGCATAAACTTTGATGATGATTTTGATAATGTAGGGGAAGATGAGTGTTCTCATGATTAATGATATTGATGCTGGCCTTGGTAGATTTGGTAAAAGCCATATTCAAGATAACTTTGAGCGATGTTGTGACTCTGCTTTTATTCCGCAGAGGTAATCTTAACCGAGTTTATTGCTCTCGGTTTAGGGGAAACGCAAATGACAGTAAACAACCAGATAGTTGTCGGTACTCTGATGAATCTTGCGGATAATCCTACAAGGGTAAGTGTGGGACAAGAATGGAGAGAAGCTGACATTGTAAACAGAGTTCCTCTAATTGTCACAGGGAATGATTTCTCTACACTGTATGCTCCACTGATACGTGAAGGAAGAATGGAGAAGTTCTACTGGTAATAATAATACACAGCTTGCAATCATTTTCCTGCAACTGTGGAATCTTTTCTGACAAAAAACTGAAGTGTTTGATGCTAAAAAAACAGGCAGCCAACTCGTGAAGATATCGTAAACATTGTTAGCAGAATGTACGAGAAAGATGGTATATCGCGGAAAGATGTTATAAGCATTGTAGATAAGTTTCCAAATCAAGGTAAATAGTTTACTATTTAAAATGAGAAAATACAAAGATACAGTTTCTTATGCTTTCTATCTTTGTGGCAGCACTCGACTTCTATGGAGCTCTGAGGTCACGCACATATGATAGATTTATCCTCAAGGTAGTAACTTCAGCCATGAACAGCTGATAACAATTAGATCTTTGCAGTGAAATGGCTAATCTCTTTGTTGTTACAGTGGGTAGATGAAGCGGGAGGAATGGAGACTCTAGGGAAAATTCTTCTCAGACGTAAAAAGACCAAAGAGGTTCCTCAATTCACTCCCCCTGAGGTAAATGCTTACAAGCTTTCTTTTAAAACTTTTAAGCTTTGGCTCCACTTAAGATTGATGATATGGTGTGAACAGCAAACGGTGGAAGCATTGCTGGAATCAGGGTACTCACTCATAAATGAGCAAAAACTTATTATGGAAACAAAGCTTTCCAGGGAGTACATGAAGAACATGGACGATTAACACCAAACAAACATCAATTCTTTTTCATTCTTATAGTGACTTTCGAGGAACACTGAGCTGATCCTGATAAGTTGTTACAAAACTTTCAAAATATAACTGAATCACTCTATAGAGTTTGTTTTTTACTAAAACCATGAGCATTGAACCTAAAGCCAATGTGGTGCCAATACAGAACAATTGATTAGATGTGTAGGCATCGTCACATAACATACAATACACAGTTTTCAAAAACGGCAACCTTTTACCTTAAGAAGAAGAACAAAAGCCACCACTTTTGTGCTTTGCTACACACATAAGTCTTTCTGTCCTGTGGCAATGGTTTCAAACGGATTATGTTAATTAGATAAACAGTCCCAGATCATCCGAAGGAACCACGACATTGCTCAGATCCACAGAGACATGTCCTCTGTCCATGTAAAAGGCTACCATCTCTGGCCTCGGATGTAGGAGAAACCCCATAATCATATGTCAATTCTGCCATAGGAGGGATGTGACGCATGGCAAAGAAAGCAATATGGATAACCGATTCACCGTTTCCTTCACAAATAACTGGCTGCCAAAAAACGTTGGGAGAGCAACTATGGTTCATGAACCGAGCTACATTGCCAAATTTCTTGGCACTGATTAGGAGTGGTGATGGAAGATTAAACTCCTCGGGAACTTCATCTGAAGGGTCTTCATCTACAAGTTTAGGCTCATAATTCCACTTAAACGAGTTAAAAACACGAGATGTGTCGAAGACATACTCATCCTCTTCTTGGTTTCCTCTAAGCTTGCCTTTGTCTATGACTTCACCAGCATATTCACATATGAAAGAACCAGCACGTATGGAATCCCAAGAACGTAAACCCCAACCGCGATTTCCTGTCTTAAACACTTCCAGGATGGATTTCAGTCCTGTCTGAATCACTTTGTTTTTGCAACTGGCATGACATGGACACGTTGGGCCACATTCATATATCATCGGCCTCCGGGAAACGAGCATAACCCCATTAAGGTAAGGGAGATCACCATCATTTTTTCTGATACAAGAGCAGTTAAGATTTCCTGGTGCACATGAGCCACTGCAGGAACAACCAATAGCGGGCTGAGTTAGTTTAAAGGACTCTGAGTATTTCAGAGAGGAGATATAGGTAAAATAAGCAGGCCCCTTCTCCTCATCAACATCGTTCACTAGTGAAACAGGTTTACTTTCAGCTCCTGAAGTGAGATCTGGAAGGATTAGGCCTGGTCTTGTAGTCAAACCTGCCTTCCACTTCTGAACAGATTTCCAAACGCCAAAAGCAGGTGGTTGACCAGGTAGTCTCACCAATTTATATTTAAAGGTGTTGCAACCAGATTTCCCTTTCTCTACCCATGACTCTGAGATCGAATAAAGCCCATCATAGATATAGATCTTTCCTGTTTTGGTAGCTGCATCTTCCTCCCCTCTTATGACTCTTACTCCATTACCCTTCCTCAAGCTTTTCTCTAGTGCTAGATTACCCCTTTCAAGCTTCTGATCAGATGCTTGTCCGTTCTTGTCTGCGTTGCCGCCTTGTCCACTATAAATTAATAACTCAGGATCCTGAGCTTCACCTTCATAACGTCCAGATGAAACAATGCTAGTTGCTAAAGGCTCTTCATCTGAACCGGCCTTACTAGTTATATAGTCAATGCCAGCCATAGTCTGCATGTGAAGACCTACTAAACACATCTCTATCCGGGAAAAAAAGATATCTCCAACCTCAATTCCAGGAAACCGTCCCAACTCTCTTCTTCATGTTTGTCCGCACCCCATTGCTCATCAGAGTACCTGCTGCTTTAGAAGTAGCGGACTTTGCAAATTCTACTTGGCTGAGCCGCCTCCTAACTGCATCAAAACGCATCAATACGCTACTTACTAAGTACGCATTTCCATCTTCTCGCTCTGCTGGATTGATCCCACTGTCAAAATCTGAACTGAATCTTTTCACTACCTGAACATCTAAATTAGACTCATTGGCCACAGTCTTCTTCTCTTTTTTCTTCACACTACTAGACCCCTTAGGTCGACCAACTCCTCGTTTAGTTCCACTAGAGCTGCTGGGGCCATTTGTTTCAGTTGGTGTTCTATACGAGCGAAGAGGTGGAACAAACGATGGAATAGGTGTGTCCTGAGTTTGGTTGAGATCTGGAGTATCCTGCGTTGGTTGTTGTGTTCCAAATGGGAAGAAAGGAGAATAACCAGATGAAGAAGGACCAAAGGGTGGACAACCAACAAAAGGTGGACCTTGATTACCATTTGGAAAAACAGGTTTCAAACTTCGCAGCGGTTTTACATCTAACACTATTGACTTGTCATAATGGTTAGGATTTGGAACAGTATTGACCCCAGGAACTCCTTCCATTGCTAAACTCCTGCCAAAGTAAGAAGACCGGAAATAAGAACCAAAATTTGGACTAAAAGTAGTAACCAACGCTTAGATTAGCTTGAAAAATATAGACAGTACAACGTTATCTCCATGTACCTATTTCAAGCTGTCAAAAATAAGATAAATAATCACAACAACACTATTTACTGCATTAGCCCTAGTGTACACACCTTGCAGTGATCTTGTGTGATTATTTCCTGCAAAAGCTGTTCATTCTAGACTTTCATACTAACAAATCCATTTCATATAAAAACCTTTTAATAATCAATTCCCAAAATGAAAACTTTGCTAAACAAGTAATGTATGTACTCAGCTTTCCTCAAAAGGTAAATGAGCCTTTTTTTTCCATAAAACCTAATGCATCTAAAACCGCTTCAGTTTGTTCTTTTTGTTCATAGATTTTTTTCCCCAAAATGTAACAAACATCAAGTCAAAATAATTGAAGCCCACACATTCTAAACACCAGCAGATCTTTCATGCCAAGGGCAACCAGAAAAAAAATAAAAAATCTTTTTTTTGGCATCAAGATGCCTACTTTTTATTTAGACCTAGCTATGCAAGTAGAAGAACCCTTAATCCAAAACTGGAACATAGTAATTTTAGATTCATCAACAAATACGAAACTGTATCTACAGTGCAACATTCGTTTATACATATTCCAGATTTCAATTTAAACACACAAAAAAGGAAAACGAAAAAAGAAGAATTCAAGATTGTCACCAACCTCAAGAAGATGAGAAAACAGAATTAGCCCTCCGAATTAGAGAGAGGGAGAGAGAGACCGGAAGATTATGAAAGAGCAGAGACGATTCCTGACGAGAGAGAGAGTGAAAAAAAGCAAGTGGCAACGTGTACAGGGACCTTTCTTTAAAGCATTTTTTGAGATTTGACTATTGCTGCAAATGAAACAAGCAAATAGACGTTGGTGTTACAGAGAATACGGTCCGTTAGATTCACGTTTGCGTCATCGCCGCCGTCAAAAACCATATTCAGTGTCTTGAAAATGATGAATTTTTCTTACACAACCTATTGTTGTTACCTTTCCTTTCTTTCGGTCTTTGTGTAAGTTACTGTTTCCATTTTTTATTTTCATTTTTCATATCCACCAATACCAAATTACCGATGAACGATGATGGCACAACAATCTATACATGAACACAGTCACAGATCTTGTTATTTTGAATGTCATTTAATAATCTCAATCCCTTTTAATTTGTATCACCATTAATTGAATTTTCTGTCATAAAGAAATCAGAATCTACGTTAACAAAAAGCTCTTCAAGCAATCTGTTTCACTTTCTAATTCAAGTTAACAAAAAGCTCTTCAAGCTAGTGTGAAAAGCTTGCAATCTACGTTAACAAAGGCCCCTCCTTAATTCATCTGTATTGTTTGACCATTAAAATGTCGGAGCATAATCTTTGAGGAACTTGTTGCAGTTCTTTACCTTCTTGCCATGCCTGTCCCACGCATACACCTGGACCGATGTGGCGTATGTATATGACCACACTGTCGTTGAATGGATACGGATGCTTTGCTGCAAAGAAAAAACAAATGAAGCTATGGCGTTTAGAGACACCTTGTCTATATGCTATTCTCAAATATGTAAGTAAGAAACTTATATATGATTAATGTGTTTCTTGTTTTGCTTTACTAAATGCTCCAAGCAGAATGATATTTCAATAGAAACGCTTTGGTTTTATAGAAGGTTTTGCTAAAGTAATGCTCAGAATGGTCAATATGGTCACAGTGGGAATTTACTAATAGTCTTCTTTTGCGAGGAAAGTGGAAGTGGCTAATCTCAAGTAAGTATAAGCAATGAGTCTTACCTGGTCGAGGGAAGCCTTGTGGGCAATCTTCAATAGCAAGAAGCCCATCACCAAATTTGCATGCAACATCGCAGGGTTCTTCTGTGGCCATAACTTCCATAGCTTCTGTGACCTCAAAGTATAGCGGACTTAAAGCATTGGCAAGGGTTGAAACTACCGGTCCACCTGCAAGATGGCATTTCTTGAGATTTTTGTGTAAATAATACAACAGAAGTAATAGCATGACGATCACTTATGTTCATTCATTTATTGCGAAAAGGTTTTGAAAAAGTCATAAGATGTATACAAATCAGAAAATATCTTAAATGCAACGATTGCCCTGGAAAAAGAAATAAATCACACATGTTATAAAATCTATTGAGAGGCAGATGAGCAAAAAGCCTGCAAGCCATTTTGAAAATCATTTGTTTTCTAATTAACTTACTGCATATCAGTTCCAGTGAAAATAAGCTCATATTTGATCTGAACATTGTTAGATAGAGTTCCACATCAACTTATATATGCCTTAATTGTTGATTTTCAACTCTCAGCAACTGCCACTGGAAAACTGATTACTTGTTTATTTTGAGAGAAACATTATTTGGATCAGGACTCACCACAAACTCGCCCATAGATTTGGCCGTTGTTGGAGCGAAACAAAGCCTACCAATTAGCATATTAACTATGTCAAGAAAGATAGCACAGGATATAGATACTGCCGAATGAAATAGGGGTGGAAGTAATATCAGTCCGACTAACCATCTTGAAGAAATTTATCCAAGATACGATCAGTGGACCTAAATAATAAGAGAAAAATACTTTAGATGTTGTAAAGAACATAAGCATCAACATGCAAAACCAGGACATAGATAAAATACAAATACATTTATATTTGTAGGGGCTCAGACCTAAAATGGATTACCCTGACTTGTTCGGCAGCTAAAGTATTCTAGTGAAATTTCCGCATCTCCAGTAGAGAATAATTTGGATGCAGTCATTTTAGCTAACTTTGGATCTTCATACCGAGTGCTTGCTATTTCCCATGCTCTAGATATAAGCCTGCATACATACACTCTCATGAAGAAAACTGTACATCCCAAAACATGATCTAAGTTCTTTTTCCATGTCAACTTCTTTTGCATATGAATCCAATCTTTTCCCAGAGATGTAAGAAAACCACATGACGTCAAAGCTAAATATCGATAAGAATTCAGAAAGAATGACCTCGGCTCTAATAATTGCAGCAAATGGTAGCGCCTCTCTTCGGGGATGTCTTCAATCTTTTTCCTGTACATATCAACTCTATTAAACAGTCATCTTAGTATTTTATAATACGTCAGATGAAATCTAACAGCTATTTTCATGAACTAATGGTAGTATAACTCCAATTGATGATGTCATTATACCCTCGTGTTTTAAGATATGAAACATCATTAATCAACAGGTAATTAAACAGCACACAAATTTGAAAAGCAAAACCTAAGACTATGCTACATTAATCATGGAATAACGCTAACAATCCCTCATAAGCAAGCGAAGAGAAAAAGTAAACTGAAACTGCAGCATATACCTAATCAAAATTCCATGTTGTACAGCTATCACTAGTGTTATGACTAAGTTATATATGCTATCCATCAGCTTAGACTGAATTAATGCTGGAACTAAATCAACCGAAGCAGACTAACCAGAGATAAGCAGCCGGGTTATATGAAGCAGGGTCCAATGGAATCAACTCCTTGGGTGGATCAAGAAACGTCACAACATCAGATTCATCAACGTAAACCCTTTTACCAGTAGGAAGAGTTTCATAGGGTTTTTCATCCCATGGAGATTCATATCCTCTCCCTCCTTGAACAGCCAGAACCACACCACGAGACAACCTGTAATATCCAAAATCTATCATACAAATCCAACAAGACTCACCAAACACAAAAAATACCTGAACTTTCATCTTCTAACATTACTACTAAACACAGTGACCTCAATTTGATATAGACCAAGTTACTACAAGTGTGTACAAGATAATGCGTTCCCAGAAAAAACATTAAATGAAAGCGAAGAGAGCTTAAGCTCACTGTTCGAGAGAGGAACCCAAGCTGCGACTTTCCATTCCGGCGAATTGAGCTGTGAGCCGCCTGAGAAAGTAACCGGAGCCCGTATAAGCCAACTATCCCCGAAACGCCCCTATCTTCATCTCCGACGAAACGAAAATTTTCCCCAACAGTAATTTTATTAAATAAAAAATCGAAAACAAAAATTTGATAAACGAGATTTTATTTCACAAACACGGTTACAATTAAAAGGCCGTCATATTTGGGCCTTAGGTAAGCCCATATTTTACATTATTGGCCCAGTTACATTACCACTAATAACATTCCATAGTTCCTCCTTCGGCTCTGCACAAAGCAACGAGATTACCGAACTGAATCAATTCAGAGGAGCAGCTTCTTGCAAGATATTTGACAATCGTCCAACAGTTTTCACCGCATCTCTCATCGTTGGTCTCATTGCTGGATCTTCTCCGTACAAGTCAGTGCCAGTTCCGTCACTTGGATCACCTGTTCCCTAAAGATTCGAATCCAGAAGCTCGTCCACGAGAAGTGGATCGATGATTGTTGTTACCATGTCCTCCACATTGTTTTTGCTGCTGCTCAATACAGATCTCACCCAGCTTACTAGATCTGTACTGTCCGGGAAGGATTTGTCCCACCGCTCTCTTCCTAGTTACCAGCTCGAGTAACACGACTCCATAACTGTAAACGCGGATTCTCTTCCCTCAACGGTTTTGAAAAGCGTTTTTCTGCAGTTTCAATGGTGAAATTAGCTAAGGCTCCAGAAAAGAAGAAACAGAGTATCTATTACAATTAATTTAACTAACTCCGACAGAATTTATAAACCGGTAACTAACTTGGTTTAAAAACGAAACCAGTTATACCAAGTCTACTAGGTGGTGATGAGAAGATACATTACCTGGTGCGATGTACCCATTGTGCCTGTAACAGTTGCAGTTGAAACAGTTGAGTCATCGAGAAGGCGAGCCAAACCGAAATCCCCATGTGAGGCTCCAAATCCGAGTCCATGAGTATGTTCTCTGGTTTGATGTCACGGTGAACAATCGGGGGATGACAGTCATAGTGTAGATAGGCCAGTCCGTGAGCGACACCGAGCGCTACGTTGTACCGTGCAGACCAGTCTAGTATATTTTCTTTTGGGCTAACACCATGGAGAACATCGAATAGGCTTCCTTTCGGCATATATCTATACAGCATTAAACCGTCGTCTTTCCTAAGCCAAAACCCTTCTAACTTGATCAGATTCCTGTGCCTGACTTTACCGATTGTATCGATCTCTCTCATCATACTCTGGTTAGCGCGGATGTGAGATGCGAAGACAAGTCTCTTCACAGCGTAAACCTTTCCCGAGCCCAAAGACGCTCTGTACACGATTCCATGAGCTCCTCTTCCAATGATATACTTTTCGTTTAGATTGTCAGTTGCTGCAAGAACTTTGTTCAGCAACAAAGATGGGCCTTCCTCCTGGGTGAAGACATAAGCATCTTTTTCTGGTCTTCCTTTGCGACGACGTAGGCAAATGAAAACAAGAGCAAGAACCACAACCAAGACGAATAAAGAGGATAACACCGCTATAAGCACGATTTCCAGGTGCTAAGGCCACTTTTTCTGTTTTTAGATTGATCCTTGCAGTAATTTAACTTGCTGCGGCTATTGTTGCTAACAGAGAAGGAATGTGGAATGCAGAGGTTGGGATTTCCTGAAAACGACGATGGCTCAGATAACAACTGACCCTCCAAGTTTTCTGGTATTGGACCAGTGAACTGATTGTTCGAGACATCAACATGTAGCAATGAGGTAAGACCTTTAAGAACCGATAAAGGTCCGGTCAGATTGTTGTTGGATATGTTGAGTCGTGTTAACTTGTCAAGATCACCCAACTTGGCTGGAATTTCACCTGTCAATCCATTACCGCTAAGGTCCAAATCATAGGTCAGATCCTCTATCAACCCAAGCGACGAAGGAATCTCACCACCAAAAGCATTTCTAGCAATCTGCAGAGTTGACAGCTTTTTAAGCTCAGGAAAGAACTGCGGAATACCTCCTGAAAACCGGTTATCGCTAAGAACCAAAGTCGCCAAGCCTTTCCAGTTACTATTTTGAGGGAATAGAACCGTTTAATGAGTTGAACCCAACATCAAAACGCTCTATAATCATACAGTTAGATAGTTGAGCTGGTAGAGAGCCTTCAAGAAGATTACGAGAAAGATTCAAATAGCCAAGGTTTTGTAGATTCCCAAGTTGTGCAGGTATCTGTCCCGTGAGTTTGTTTCGAGACAGGTTGATGCTCGAGAGATTCCTACAGCTTCCGAGGCTGCGGGGGATTGGTCCTTCAAAGTTGTTGCTATTGAAATCAAGAAAGAAAAGGCTATGATCCCGAGAAAACTCAGGTAGAAGACCTGAAAGGTTATTTTCTCTAAGGATGAATCTCCTGATGGTCTTACAGTGACCAATAGAAGTTGGTATGGTACCGTGAAGCAGATTAGAACCCAAATTGAGTATTCTCAACTTCCTTCCATGGCAAAGATTCGGCGGTATCTCTCCTGTAAGTTTGTTACCAATAAAGTCAATCTCTTCTAAGCTGGTGTTCACACCTAAACCTGGTGGTATCACTCCATAAAAACTGTTGTTGAACAGCGTAGCGATCTTTAGACGCTTCATTGGTCATTTCCACAGGTAGTTCTCCTGTGAGATTGTTTTGATAAACTAGCAACTGCGTAAGACTCTGACTCTTCCATATTTCCATAGGAATCTCACCCGAAAACCGGTTTTCGAAAAGCTCCAAACTTTCTAGTTTCTTAAGCTTACCCAATGTACTCGGTATCTCACCTCCAAGCGTTATTGTTCAGCTTCAACAAGCTCAACTACTACAATTCCCGAGCTCCGCGGGGATACTCCCAGAGAGACGATTCTCGGAAAGGTTTATAACTGTAAGCTTCTTTAACATACCCAATGAGGAAGGAATTGTACCTGACAAGTTACCATCCACAATCACTAGAGCGTCAAGGTTACTGCAATTTCCCAATGCAGCTGGAACACCGCCTTCGAATTGTTGTAGGACAAATCTAAAGTCAACAAATTCTTGCAATTAGATGATCCGAAAGAACGGCCCTTGTAGACTGTTGTTACCAACAAAAGATCAGTGAGATTCCCCAAAAGATTGAGACTTTCAGGTAACGAACCAACTAACTTGTTCCTGTGCAAATACACAAGCTGCAGACTACTGCAGTTCCCAATCGACTCAGGGATGTTACCAGAAAACTGATTCTCATACATACTCAGCTCAAGAAGCTCCTTAGCATCACCAACACTTTGCGGAATCGGACCGGTTAAATTGTTAAACTCAAGATGTAAAATCTGCAACCTCGGAATTCGAAACAAGGATTCAGGTAACTCACCAGTGAGGAAGTTTGTGTAAAGATAAAGCTCCTCCAAGCTCTTCAAGCTATCGAGAGTATCTGGGATCTTACCAGAGAATCCGTTTTCAGACAAATCTAGAGTAACGAGCTTGGTACAGTTTCCTAAACTGGAAGGTATAGTCCCAGAGAAATTGTTAGTACTCAGATCCAAAATCTGCAAGCTTTTGAGCTCCCCAATTTCAGGACCCAATTGACCTGAAACCTTAGAACGAGTGAAGTTGAGAGCCGCAACATTCTTAGAAGCATCACAAGTGATACCAAACCAGTTACATGGAGTTGCTTCAGATGCGTTTATCTTCCATGTCGAAGTTACTTGAGGTGGTACTTTATCCAAATGCTTCAGAAGCGAGAGTAGAGTTAACCCATCTGAGTTTAGAGAAGAAACAGAAACTATGTGGGTCGAGAGAAAGAGACAGAAGAAAAGAAGAAGAATTTTGAACAACCCAAGATTCTTCATCTGAGATTAAAAGATCAAGAAACATGCAAAATCTCAATCAAGATTGAGATTTAAAAGCTCAAGCCTCAGCAGAATAAAGCTTTGTATGAGAGAGAGGAGGAGGAAAAGGACAAGACTTGATTGATGGGTATTAACTGATGATTATTCTTGCCGTTTTTTTATGACGAGATGTTTGGTCTGTATACGGTATAGTGGTATACCAACGATAGTGAGAACTAGGCTGGGATAATTACCCGAACCGAAAATTCCGACCCGACCGAACCGATAAAATTGAATTCGGTTCACAATCGGTTACTACACAAAAAATCGGAGGATGTCAAATAATCTTCGGTTTTCTCGTCGGGTCGGGTCGGTTCGGTTTTCCGATCGGTTAACCGAAATTTTTAACCTAACTATAAATATCTAATTCTAACCCTAAACGACCTAACTCAGCCTCCAACCTCTCTCAGTCTCTCACCTTTGGTCGTTCTCATCTCTCAATTTTCTCTGTCGCAACCTAATCTCTCTGAGACATTGAAGCTCAATCATGTCTTCTTCCTTCAATTCTCAGCCTTTCTTATGTGTTCATCTTTCGTTCTAGCCTTCTAGGCAAAGGTTAGTTCGATTATTCCTAGTTCTCAGACTCTTGTCCGTGTTCATCCCTAGATCTCAGTTTGGGTAAGGATTTGAGATTCAAGATCTAGGATGTCAAACCGTCGTTCTTCTCCGCCGCTGGAACCGCAAATAGAGCCGCCGCTGCAACGCTTCAAAGAAGGAGAAACCCTAATAAATTCGGTTATTTTCGGGTTTTATACACAAAACCGAAATAACCGGTTTCCGAACCGACCGAACCGAAATCAATTTCGGTTATCTTCGGCAACATTTAAAATTTCACAATTAACCCGAAACCCGAACAAACCGACCCGACCCGACCCGAAAACCCGAACTCGCAGGCCTAGTGAGAACCTAACCTTCAACGTGTTTTCTTTTTGCACGTCGTTTCTCATTCAATCTTCTTTTTTTCCGTTTTCAGACACACGTGTTTCTAGAAAAAGTCGTCTCTGTTGCGAATCTTTTGAATATTCTACGACGACTTCGTTTTGAATCCGTCTAATGGCAGCCAAAAAGAGTAAAAACCGTTAACAATACTACTCCCTCCGTCCCACAAGATAGATTTTTTAGAAATTTCACATTCTTTAAGAAATAATGTATAATGACAATTTTAACCTTTTAATCATTAATACATTTTAAAAATATATTATTTATTTGTTTAATGAGGGTAAAATAGGTAAACTGTATTAAATTTGGCATTGGAAACCCAAAACTTCTATCTATGTGGACATTTTTTTTCTAAAACATTCATCTTTGTGGGACGGGGGAGTAATAAATAACGAAACTAACTAAGCATTTCATTAAATAACTGGACTCTTTAGTTGGTGAATGGTCAATTAGTGGTGTTGGACAGGTTTGGGTCCTTCATTAATTTTCATTACCAAACATTAAATATTTGTTTGCAAACGTTATCAGCGTGCACTATCTAAATTTAAATACGATAAAATACGTGTTTGACATTCTTTTTGTTAGTATTTGATAAGAACAGCTAAACGTAAGCTAGAGCTGAGCAAATTGACTTTCAAACTATGACTTTCAAAGGTAAGCTTCCGAGTGGGTAACATCGTAGCATTAGCGAATTTTGTTTTTTCTTTTATTGAATTTTAAATCAGCCTTTTGTATATGAATTTGGATCTCATCAACCGAATTTTTTGTGTATTTTTACTTTAAGCGGCCATAGGAATTGTGAAAAGATATGCAACGATTAAAGAAAAGGAAAAAAGAGAGTATTTGTAAAGTAAAGTTTTTTGATGATATGATGTCATTGGATAATGTGAAAAGTCTGATTATTGTCTAGTTGTTGATAAATGTTGATAAAATTCCGACAAAATAGTTGTTTTCTTACTTTCTAAGAGTGGCGATCCGGCGGAACGACTCCTGAAAACCGGTTTCCGGAGAGAACCAAAGTGGTCAACTCTTTCCAGTTACTAAACTTTGAAGGAACCGTACCGTTTAATAAGTTAAACCCAAGATTCAGGTGACTAAGGATTTGTAGATTCTCAAGTTCTCTAGGAAGATTCCCCGTGAATTTGTTCCGAGACAGATTGATGCTCGTGAGATTCCTACAGCTTCCGAGGGTACGAGGGATTGGTCCTTCGAAGTTGTTGCTATTCAGATCGAGAAACGAAAGATCTTGATTCTTAGAAAACTCAGGAAGAACACCTGAAAGGTTGTTTTCTCTGAGGATGAATCTGCTTAGAGTCTTGCACTGACTAACAGATGTCGGTATTTTGCCATGAAGCCGGTTAGATCCTAAGTTAAACACTGTCAACATCTTTCCATGGCAGATATTAGGCGGTATCTCACCTGTAAGTTTGTTACCAATGAAATCAATAATCTCTAGGTTGCTGTTCAGACCTAAACCAGGTGGTATCACTCCATAAAAGCTATTGTTGAAGAGAGTCACAATCTTGAGATTCTTGAGCTCGGCTATTTCCTTTGGTAATTTTCCTGTGAGATTGTTCCGATAAACTAGCAACTGCGTAAGACTCTGAATCTTCCATATCTCAATAGGAATCTCACCCGAAAACCGGTTTTCGAAAAGCTCCAGACTTTCTAGCTTCCTTAGCTTACCTAATGCACTCGGTATTCCGCCTTCAAGCTGGTTATCGTTCAGCTTCAACAAGTTCAAGCTGCTGCAGTTCCCGAGCTCCGCGGGAATACTTCCAGAAAGACGATTCTCGGAAAGGTTAAGAATTGTGAGATTCTTTAACATACCCAATGATGAAGGGATTTTACCTGACAAATTACTTTTCACAATGACTAAGCGTCAAGGCTACTGCAATTTCCCAGTTCAGGAGGGACACCGCCTTCGAATTGATTGTATGACAAATCTAAAGTTACCAGATTCCTGCATTTGGTTGAACCAAACTGAACTGTTCCTTGTAGGCTGTTATTTGCAACAAACAGGTCAGTGAGATTCTCCAAAAGATTGAGACTTGCAGGCAATGAACCAACTAACTTGTTCTTGTGCAAATACAAAATCTCCAGCTTGCTGCAGTTTCCAATAGACTCAGGGATTGTACCAGAAAACTGATTGTCAAACAAACGCAGATCAAGAAGTTCCTTAGCCTCACCAACATTTTGAGGAATTAACCCGGTCAGGTTGTTATGCTCAACATGCAGATAATTCAATGCCGGAATTCGAAACAAGGATCTAGGCAACTCCCCTGTAAGAAAGTTGCTGTAAAGATACAAATCGGCCAAGCTCTTCAAGCTACCTAATGTATCCGGGACCTTACCAGAAACTGTTTTCAGACAAATCAATGTACACAAGTGAACTACAGTTCCCTAAACTGGAAGGTATAATTCCAGAGAAATTGTTAGAACTCAAATCCAAAATCTCTAAGCTTTTGAGCTGCCCTATTTCAGGACCCAATCGGCCTGAAACACCTGAACCGGTGAAGTTGAGAGACGTAACCTTCTTAGAATCATCACAGATAATACCAAACCAGTTACATGGAGTGGCTTCAGATGCGTTTGTCTTCCATGTCGAAGTTAATTCTGGTGGTACTTTGTCCAAATGATTCCGAAGCGAGAGCAAAGTTAACCCATCTGAATTTAGACAAGAAACAGAGACTATGCGGCCCGAGACAAAGAGACCGAATAGGAAAAGAACTTTGAACAACCCAATATTCTCCATCTAAGACTTGAAAATCAAGAAAGATACCCAAATGGAGCTTGCATGAGAGACAAGGGCAAGGGAGAGAGGAAAGAGGGAAACAAAATAGAACTTGATTGACGCCTTGAAGGATATTGACAGATATTAATCGATCTGATTGACGCCAATAATAGAAAGAAGATCTTTGATATTCTTTTTTTTTTGGTAGAAGATCTTTGATTTCTAGTACCTAAATTGTTAACAAGAGAAGTTGATAAGTTGGAAATTAGATGACCGTTATACAGCAAATTAAGGAGATCTTTGATATTCTACCTAAATTGTAAATATTCCTAAAATACTTCGTCATTTCCTATGATTGTTCATAGTCTGCGATTGTGTTACAAAGAATTAAAGTGGGTGGAGCAGACATTATCATAATTGGACTGAGTTATATATAGACATCATTTTCAAACTATCCTTTATCATTCCCATTAACATCTCCCAAACTCCTCTACCAACTTTGCACATATCAAGTGTAAATATCTCGATCTTGAGGGGCTTAACAAACTTACCAAAAGTGTGAATCCATGACTTGGCCATCGTTCAGTTACGCCAATTAGATTCCTCAAGCTCCACATCCTCTTCCCACCAAGTTGCCGACTGCAAACCATCAGTATCGGACCAGTTTAAGCTTCTATGCGCACATACAAGAGACAAAAACAATCTAGACAATGTGCTAACCTTGTATCCCCTGCGCAGGAACTCGAGTGAGCTTCCTTTCTCTTCTTGTAGTCCCAGAACCTGCAACAGCTCTTCCTTCGTCTGTTTGCATCCACATCAATCAAAGCTTGTTACTTTTTTTCCAGAGGTTGGGTAAAGGACTATATACAAAAGGTTAAACACTTTTAGCGTACATACTTCACCCAGCGTGAAACGAGTAGGGCTTTCTGCAACACACGCATATGAACCATCAGTTGCTTAAGCATCACCTGCCATGGCCCTGCATTTTTTTTTCATATCAGATATGGATAGAGAAAACACTCTCCCAAGTTCAGGCCACTGGAATTGAGAATGATTATGCAAATCTGATAGAGAGACTGAGACAAGCACACATCATGTTTAGCGATCAAGGAAGTCACAATACAAATAGGTACAGGTATGCTATAATTATTTTAGTTTTGTAAAGAATAGTCTAGCATTTACCAGGATATTGTCGGAAAAGTGCTCCGTTGTAGTTTAACACAAATGGTGCCACTGCCACTGTCTTAGCCAAGCAACACAAACAACTATTATGCTGCTTCAATTATGCAAGCAGCCAGGAAAGGTCCGCTGAGAAAATCATCCTTATTGAAAAGTACCTTTGAATACTCTCGTTCGGATAAAAGACGGGAATAAATTGAGAAAGAAACCGGTAGTGCAGATCTTTAGGGGGGAAGCCAAGAAGCCCTAGGTCAGCACTGCACTAAAAATTCAATTGTCACCAGAAGTGAGGAAACCGAGAGGGATTGAGTTACGCAAAAAACTGAGGTCTCAATAGTGATAATACCGCAAAGTATCTAGCTCAAGATTGAACAGAAGAGCTGGGGTTGAACTGGCAAAGGTTTCCTGCAAGTATAGACCAACAACTTACAGATTAAGAACGACATAGAAGGCACAAAGAAAAATTCAAAAATGACTATAGACAGTGAACGTATCTAAACCAAGTTCCATGTTACGATAAGAAAAGATAAAAGGATTCAATACCACAAACTTCTCTATGAAAGAGAGTTCTCGAGTGCTGCAATTGATAAATATATAAAGGGTCGGAGGCTCCTTGGGCTCCCAAGTTCCTGCAGGAACACATAATCCTCATGACTAAATGCAATAATCCATCTGTTAAAATAAGTAAAAATCCAAGTGAAAAAGGACAGTTTTAGCTATACCTTCGTTTTCATCTTCAAAATCAAAGTCCAGGGTACTCCTTATGGACCTGAAGAAATTGGTGACAGAACTACCAGGTATATCATCTAGAGAGCCAATACTTATGCCATCAACCTGATGAGAAACACACAAATAAGCCGTTTTTACGATTCAAGTGGTCAATATCTTACAAGGTTATTCCTAACATATGCAAAAAATGCAGCAAACTGGAATTTCTAATTCTACCGAATCAAATGCCGCTTTGAAGCGTTGCGAAGCCCTGCGCTTCTCAGGCTTGTCAGGAAAAACCTGAAGCATGTTCGATCATTCATAGGTCAGAAGAACCAAATAACAAGGATGAGTAATATATAGAGTAATGAAGGAAATAGATTACAATGCAAGCTCTTGTTTCAATTTTCTCCTGAAGTTTTCGAACAACAGTCACCGCCAGTTGTATATTAGCATCAATAAAGTCGTCTGAAGAACCCTATACAAAGTTTGCAAGTCGAACACAGTTAAAAAAAAATCGCTAAAAAACTAAGTCACAATAGTTACAAAAAGATACCTTGTAAGAAGAAATGCTACTGGGTAAAGGTCTACACATGAACAAAAAGAGCGAAAGAAGCCATTAAAACTACGAACCCAAACACACAAAATTCGGAGAATTGATATAGAGTTAGAGTAAAGGGATTACGGAAAATCGATCTCCAAACGAGATTTTGAATCCTGGAGAGCGAAAGCAAGAGAATTGGCGGCGTCAGTGGCTAGAACCTCGTATGATTTGGGCTTATACAAGGGAACACCTCTCCTAAGATCGGAGTCAGAAGAAGTAGATGAGAGTGCGCCGCCGCTATTAGCTGTGGCTCCGCATCTGATTCTGCTGGTTAGAATCGAAGGAGAAGAGAATAGCGCCGGTAACATCGCTATCGCCATCGCCATTTTTGCTCTCTCTCTCTCTCTCTGTTTAGACGGTACGGTAGTGATGACACTGGCTACAGTCTAATCCGCACAGCTTCATGACACGTGGCTAAATCCTGTTATCTTATCTTAACCGGATTGGACCGGAATTCGATTTTCAGTTATCAAACCGGCACTGTTACAACAAGACGACGACGTTAAGGCGTCCAGAGAGTCAGAGACTGTTGCTAACAGCCGTCAACTATAGGGAGAGCTATTATCCACTGCGGTACGGCTCAGAATTAACTCTCTCTACAACCGTTGATCTCAACTTGGTCTAAATGTTATCGACGGCTGCGATTACTTTTATATCAGCGTTCGAGTGCTGAGAAACACTCTCTATAACAGAAACCAAGCGCCATTTGATTTGAGTCCTCTTCTTTTTTAACTTCTTCTACTCTCTTTCTCTCTGTAACTGAGAAACTTCTCACTTTCCCGAGAAACTTTAATTTTCCATCAGCTCTGAGAAAATCTTCAATCGAAGAGCGAGAATGACGAAACGGATTGATTCTTCTCTTCTCTACACGGCGTTCGTTGTGCTTCTTCTTCTTGGAGTAGTTCCTTGGTCTAATGCAAGGCCACGCGTTAATCGACGTAAGTTTCCGAGAAAGTTTCTGTAGAATCTCGTGTTAATGCTTGAAACATTGTAATCTTTAGCGACGATGGAGTTTTTGATGAGGTTTCGTTGATCGATTTTGAGTATTTGCAAGAAAACGCCTTGAGAGTTGAAAGAAAACGATGATCGATGTTTTGCTTATCCCTAATTTGATTTTGAGTTTCATCTGTTTCATTGTTGTTCTTACTGTTGGAATCTTCGTTGCAGCTCCCGGTTTCATGCGATTCGTGTCAAACGCAACTGATTTTGCGTCGGAGGATTATTACGATTACATAATCGTCGGAGGAGGAACGGCGGGATGTCCACTAGCCGCCACACTTTCGCAATCTTTCCGTGTTCTTCTGTTAGAACGCGGCGGCGTTCCGTACAACAGACCTAACGTGATGTCACATGACGGTTTCTTGTCCACTCTCACTGACGTCAACAATTTTGACTCGCCGGCTCAGTCCTTCATCTCTGAGGAAGGAGTTCCTAACGCCAGAGGTCGTGTTCTTGGAGGAAGCAGCGCAATCAATGCTGGGTTCTATAGCCGTGCTGATAAACAGTTCTTTGAGAATTCGGGTCTTACTTGGGATCTGAGTAGTGTGAATCAGTCTTATGAGTGGGTGGAGAGAGCGATTGTGTTTAGACCTCAGCTCAGGACTTGGCAGACTGCAATTAGGGATGCGTTGCTTGAAGTTGGTGTCCATCCGTTTAATGGCTTCACCTTGGAGCATAAAGTGGGGACTAAGATTGGAGGTTCCACGTTCGATCGTACTGGGAGGAGACACAGCTCTGCAGATCTTCTCAGATATGCAAGAAGCTCCAACATTAGAGTTGCGGTTTACGCAACTGTAGAGAGAGTATTGCTGGCTTCATCTCCAAGTGACTCGGGTTCCAACGTCTCTGCGATTGGAGTGGTTTACCGTGATCAGCTGGGACGTTACCATCACGCAATAATACGGGACAGAGGAGAGGTGATATTGTCAGCTGGTGCACTCGGTAGTCCACAGTTGCTTTTTCTTAGTGGGATAGGTCCAAGTAGTTATCTTTCGACTTGGGGGATCCCTGTGGCTCTTGACCAGCCTCATGTAGGAGATTTTGTGTATGATAACCCGAGGAATGGTATCTCCATTGTTCCTCCGGTTCCAATGGAGAACTCACTGATACAAGTCGTGGGTATTACTGAGGAAGGGGCTTTTCTTGAGGCTGCTTCCACTGTGATTCCGTTTGCATCGCCTTTACATTCTGTGTTCATCAGAGCGCCAGCTTCTCCTTTGTACGTCCCTGTGACAACTATAATGGAAAAGATCCTAGGTCCAGTGTCTATTGGTTTACTAAGGTTGGCGTCAACGGATGTGAGGATAAACCCAATTGTTAGGTTCAACTACTTCAGTGATCCACAGGATCTAGAGAGATGTGTCAATGGGACTAGGAAGATTGGAGAAATACTCAGGAGCCGAGCTATGCAGGACTTTATGATCAGGGAATGGTTTGGGAACCGTAGGTTCAGGTTTGTTGGAGCTCCATTGCCTGTGGACCAATCAAATGATCTAGTGATGGCAGATTTCTGCAGACGAACTGTGAGCACAATCTGGCACTACCATGGAGGCGCTGTTGTAGGAAAAGTAGTGGACTCTGATCTCAAAGTCATTGGTGTTAATTCTCTTAGACTCGTGGATGGATCAACCTTCAATATCTCTCCAGGGACTAATCCTCAGGCTACCTTGATGATGCTTGGAAGGTAAGAAGAAACTATCAAAGTGTATGCTCTTTGAAACTGTGTGTCCTTTTTGACCAGACTTAAAAACAAATTTCCTTGACCATAATTATAGGTACATGGGGCTGAAGATGCTGAGAGAGAGAATGAGATAGAAATGATTCCCGAGATGGGCACTTTCGCATTTTCTGGATTAGTTTGCTGATTCTTTTGCTGCTACGTTCACCTGCAGCTTTCTTCTATCAGATGCTTCTACAGTTAGTTTGTTCATTTGTTCTTTCTATCATTAGACTCCTCGGTTTATTCATGTAATAACAGAGTATAGGAGTTCGTCTATAGTTCATGTAAAAAACAGGAATGAGATATAATGATAAATGGCTTGATCTTACTTCAGAGTAACCATTATGGTAAAAATTTCAAACCTTCCTGTGTCAGAAAGCAAAGGACATGTTCATATTGCATAGAATACATACTAGAGCAAGTTTAAAAATCTTGGTAATGTGAAAACAGGAGGTAATATAATATTCCTCTCAACTTGTTTTTGGCACTATGATGAACACTTTGGAATTTGTTCCATGTTGAATGTTTCTTCTTGAAGTTTTCTGGAATCTCCTAGTTCTTTTCTCTTTCTGTAAAGAAAGATAAGACACAAACACATATATATCGTCCTCTTACATTGCTGTCCTGGAATCCAATACCTTCTCATGAAGCTTGGACGTCTTTTTATATGCGTTCTTGCAAAAGCTAAACACTCAATTCTTGTTTCGTATCAATCCGCAACCTGTTTCAAATTCCAAAAAGCCTCTACTGCAGCAAATAACTAGTTTGGTTCTCCATAGATGGTATCAGATTAATTAGCAGCTTACTCTTTCTAGTAAAACTTTGGTTTCTTAGCATCTTCCCTTGCATCGTGTCAAACTGTCAATCAAACAGCAGGACAGACTCATGGATCAACAACAAGAAGGTGATAAGAATCTGACTGTGTTCGTAGGACCCTGGGGAGGAAATGGAGGAACCACTTGGGATGATGGGATCTATCATGGTGTCCGTGAGATCAGACTTGTATATGATCATTGCATTGACTCCATCTCGGTGATCTACGATAAGAATGGTAAACCCGCGAAATCAGAGAAGCATGGAGGTGTAGGAGGCAACAAAACAGCAGAGGTATGTTCCTCTCTTACTCTGGATTCTGTCTCTCTTTAACTTCCTCAGATTTTGGTTTCTTTAACATGAACTGAGTTTCTGCAGATAAAGCTGCAATACCCAGATGAGTATCTGACTGGCGTGAGTGGCTACTACTCTCCAGTGGTTAACAGTGGCACTCCTGTAATCAGAGCAATGACCTTCAAGAGCAATAAACAGGTGTATGGACCTTATGGAGTTGAACAGGGAACACCCTTCACTTTCTCAGTCAATGGGGGACGCATTGTTGGCATGAGCGGTAGGAGTGGCTGGTACCTTGACTCCATCGGCTTCCATCTATCACGCCCTAAATCAACCAAGATGATCAACAAGCTTCGAAAGAAGATTCACTGGCTCACAAGGATTGTAGCATGATAAAGTATTTTGCATAAAATGTAACACTAGACTCATACGAATAAGGATGTTAGGTTTATCTTAGTCGATGAGACCAAAAGTGACTGAGCAAAACACTCTTTAATGCACAACTCAAAAGGAAAGCATATCATTAAAATGGTAAAAACTAAAAACCACACGAAGGTTTTTTATATAAAGTTATAAACAAAGCATATTTCAAAGTGAGCAATATACACAAATACGCCCGTGTTTGCAGAAAATAGAAGCAACAATTCGATAAGGATCGCGTGCAAAGTGGCAGGTAGTCCAAGCACGGATGATGGTTAGCGCATTTATCCTCTGGCTTTAAGCTCTGCAAGCCTCCTGGACAAATCGTCCTCATCGACTTTCTCCTCTGTCTTAGTAGGAATGGCATGACCAGCAGGCTGAGGAAGTCCCACAGAGACTTCCAAACCATAGTCATCTGCTACCTGCTGCATAAGGCTGTTGACTTCGCCTTCTGGAGTGGACAATGAAGTTGAACCAGCCATAGCATTCTCCATGAACTCAGCTTGGACCTCCATGTTCACAAACTGCTTCTCGAATGAATCCATTGTCTCTGACATCTTCTGTAGATTCCCTGGTGATAAGAAACAGAAAACAAATAAGAACCAAAACTGTTACAACGCAATAAATCAAACTATACTTGTGCTCAACTGAGAATAAAGGATTGTATCACAGAAAGAACATAAAGATGAAACCTTTCATGTATTTCCATATAAACAAAACCTTCTTGATCTATATTCAGAAGCATCCTTCAAGTTTACATTACCTTAATTTATCTTAACTCTTAACTAATACGCCATAAACCATGGTGATCAAACCTATGAGCAGCATACGAAATTAATTTCGGATAAATCAAAGCCTATGAAATACCTGTGGCAAGCGAAGACTCAAGGGACTTGACGATATTGGTCATGGATTTGGTGATGGTGGTCATCTTAGCCTGAGTATCAAGGCGAGCAACAACAGCATCCAGGCGAGAAGCGAGACGGAGATAGTTCATCTGCTCGCTACGCTTACGAATGGCGTTCTCAGCATAGATCCGAGCACCATCCATGTTCCCCTTCTCGATCGCCTTCTTCACCTTCAATTTCTCTGCTTTCTCTTCCTTCTCACACTTCCTTGATTGCCTTTGCAGAGACTTCGACGTGAATTTCAAATCGAATATCTGATTCATCAGCTTATCTGTGTTACCCATGTTGAATCGATTCCTCTAGATCTCCCTCCGGAAAACAATTCTCTTGGATCTATCGGTAGAAATTCGCAAAAACAGAGACTTTAGGGTTTTCTCTGTATTTAGGAAAATATCTCGACGCGTGATTGAAGAAGATAGGAGGAAGCAAGCTAATAAAGTCAAACTTTGGTTTTCTTAATTCAAATCGGACTTGAACCGGTTCAGTATAAATGTCGGTCATACCCGGTTTAAACAGTTACACACACAAGACACACGTGTTAATAGTGACTCAGCATCGTCCGATGTGTCACTCTTTTTTACACGGTGGATCATTCATCATCTGCGTGCCAACTCATAACAAAATTGAAATTGTTTTGGATCTTTTTGCATGTAATTTCTTTCCAAAATTTCAATCTAATTTTCAAATTCAAACTCCAAAGGCTTTGTCTCTTCCATTTTCCAGAAACGTTTTTTGAATTAACGCAAGATTCAAATTCGTGAGAGATACGTAGTAAAAATTCGATCTTTGTTAGAGGAATGTTGGAATCATATTCTTGATTTTTGCAGTGTTCCGACTTTAAAACCCTGATCCCCTTTTGTGGCCCAGAAACCGGAAAATTAGATTAATTACAGGGGAGGAAAAGTAGTTCAGAGAAAAAAAGTGAAAAAAGGTGGAACCTTTGAGTCAGATCTTAGAAAAAAGAGGCGAAAGTTAGAAGCTTTAAGCTACTGAGCGAAGTTTCTTGAAGCAGATACAAGAAATCTCAAATTTTTCTTGTGTGATTCGGTTTTTGGAAATGAATGGGAGTAATGGGGAGGAGCGAGTTGTTCACGAGGTTGCAATGGTGGTACCTAAGAGGGCTCTGGAAGAAGAAGGAGACTGTGTTGAGTTTTTGGTGACTGAACTAAAGAAGAGAGGGATGGTTGTTGATAGAGTCGTCGGTCTCGCAGATGAGTTTCTCAAGGTCGGTCTTTCTTTGACCAATTTACTAGTAATTTTGTGATCACTTAGGGTTTTTGGGTGTGAAAGTCTTGCATTTGTCATACAAAATTACTGATCTGAAAGTCAAGGAGTGTTTGTTCCTGGAGGTGTGAATTTTTGTAGAAATGAGTTTTGTTTGATAAAACTTGCTAAATTATGTCTAGGATTTAACAGATTGGTGACTTTAAACAAAGTATCTAGTGAAGTTTCTTTCCTTATTTAGCTCTAAATCTATCAAATACTTTGAAGAGTGTTTTGCTACTATGAGAGTGATGTTGGAGATAACTGCAATCCAAGTATTTCTTCAGGTAGCAGCTCCTTTGGAGACCTTGGGCAATGCAGCAGAAGAGCTTCATATACGCAAACCTACTCGTCTCGGTAAATAGTGGTTTCCCCGTAGCCTTAAGTTGATAAATGAACATCTTCTTAAGTGGTATCGCAGATATTTCCTCATTTGTGTTTGTCAGAAGTTTGATGGTTATCTCTCACTTCAGGAATTGATCTGCCCTTTGAGATGCAAGGGTCTGAGGCTTTCATTCGGCAACCTGATGGGTCACTGTTCAGCTGGTTTGAACGTTTTCGGTGCTATCAACATCTTATTTACGGAATTGTAAGTTCCATATCTCCAAATCATCTGTCTTTATGGTTTTTATTTATCGCGGATTTAACTATTAACTCGTTTTCGATTGCTTTAACGAGTCAGTTTACAGTGTTCTTGATTTATGACATAGCAAATGAAACTTGACGGCAGAGAGTTTTGTTGGGTAGCAGGGGAATCATTACTTCGAAGGTTGGAATCAGAGGGCGTCATTAAACAAATGTTTCCTCTTCATGGTAAGCTACTCCGTTATGTCTGCTGGGTTAAAAGCAGTTTAGCCTCTAGATGGTTAACAATTTTTGCACAAAACCAATTGTTTGTAGATGAATTCAAGAGGAAGGAACTTCTCCAAACTTGGGCATTAAATTGGTGGAACTTCACAAACCAACCAATTGATCAGATCTACTCTTACTTTGGTGCAAAGGTAGACACTTATAAATCTTAATATGCTATATGTAGCAAAAAGCTGTTGGTATGGAACTCTTAACGTAGAAAAATCACAGATTGGAGTCTACTTTTCGTTCTTGGGAATGTATACGCAATGGTTGATATTTCCAGCCTTACTTGGGTTTATAGTGCAGATGGTTGATTTTGGGTAAGTTCTTAATTCTGTTTCAGTGTCTTAAGTAAATACTAATAGACATGCCGGCACATCCATCATGCCTTGTTTTCAATCTTTCTTTGGTCAGATCCTTGCAGTTTCTTGCTCTCCCAATTTTCTTTGTGAGCACAATACTCTGGGCTGCCTTGTTTCTTCAGTTCTGGAAACGTAAAAACGCGGCCTTGTTAGCTAGGTAGGATTCCCCTACACTGGTGCATAATTATGCAACAATTTGGATTTGTTTTCCATTTTCTGACTTCATGTTTTGTGTCAATTCTCTATCAATAGATGGCAGATAAATTGTTTAGTTGGCCCCAGCCAAGGATATAGATTCCTCGGAATGGAATGGAGTTCCCTTCCGTTTCCAAAGGAGCTTATAAAGAATCTCGGAAATGAGAGATCCAAAGAGAAGGAAGCATATCAAAGATATGAATGGTTTGCTTATCGCAAGAGGTTTAGGAATGATGTTCTAGTTATCATGAGCATTATCTGCCTCCAACTTCCATTTGAGCTGGCGTATGCTCATATTTTCGAGATTATCACATCTGATATAATCAAGTGAGGGCTTACTTATTTTTTTGTTTACAAGCTTTACCAGTCCCATGTGTTAGCAACTTTGTTACAATGATGACAATTTTTTTATGATGGTCTCAGGTATGTATTGACAGCTATCTACCTTCTAATCATTCAGTACCTCACTCGACTAGGAGGCAAAGTATCTGTCAAGCTGATAAATCGAGAAATCAACGAGAGTGTGGAATATCGAGCTAACAGCTTGATTTACAAAGTAAGAAAAGCATTGTTTTGCAGAGTCATTGTTTCTCTTTTCTAATTATGGCTATGGAAAATTTTCGGCATTGCAGGTTTTTGGGCTCTATTTTATGCAGACATACATTGGGATCTTCTATCACGTTCTTTTACATCGAAACTTCATGACACTTCGACAAGTATTGATACAACGGTTAATAATCTCACAGGTAACAAGAAATACGATGCTGTGATTAAAACTCTCCTTTGAGGATATTGTTACCTGCATATGTTTAAAATTCAATGTTTCTGCAGGTTTTCTGGACTTTGATGGATGGTTCTTTACCTTATCTTAAGTACAGCTACAGAAAATATAGAGCTAGGTACGCTCTTTATTCACCTAAGCAGCTTATACAGGGTATGCTCAGAAGTGAACTGTAAGAAATGACATAACTGCTTCCTTTTTCCAGGACGAAGAAGAAAATGGAAGATGGATCATCAACAGGGAAAATTCAAATAGCCTCAAGAGTGGAGAAGGAATATTTCAAGCCTACATATTCAGCAAGCATTGGGGTAGAACTTGAAGATGGACTTTTCGATGGTAAGAAACTTATGAAGTCAATAATCTTGTGTGGTTATGTTTTGATATAGCTTGCAAATGTCTCAGCTAAAATTTCATTTTGCATTGCAGATTCCCTCGAGCTGGCTTTGCAGTTTGGAATGATTATGATGTTTGCTTGTGCCTTCCCTCTTGCTTTTGCCCTTGCCGCAGTGGTAACATTACATTTTCTCAATGGCATCTTTAGCTTTTGGTTTTCTTGAAACCTGAATTCAAATAGCTTTTGGTACACAGAGCAATGTAATGGAAATAAGAACAAATGCTTTAAAGCTATTGGTGACACTTCGAAGACCTCTTCCTCGTGCTGCTGCAACAATTGGAGCTTGGTTAAACATATGGCAGGTAACTTAGATAGCCAAAAAAAAAAAAAGTATAAATATTTTGATCTTTTATCTCACTATTGAGTGATTTCTTTCTTGTGTTTCAGTTTCTGGTAGTAATGTCCATATGCACAAACTCGGTACTCTTGGTATGCTTATATGATCAAGAAGGCAAATGGAAGATCGAACCGGGGCTCGCGGCAATTCTCATCATGGAACATGTACTTTTGCTTCTGAAATTTGGTCTCTCTCGTCTGGTCCCTGAAGAGCCTGCTTGGGTTAGAGCCAGTCGTGTGAAGAATGTGACACAAGCACAAGACATGTACTGTAAACAGCTCTTGAGAAGCATTTCTGGTGAATTAGCTTCCTTGACAAAACCTGAACAAGAACAACAACAAGACTATGAGCGGTTTTGACCAGAAAAATCAGAAACAAAAAATACCAAAAGGCTCTCTCTTTTTTTGTGTGACAGTTTGATTTTTCGTTGCCACCTTTTGTGCATAGAAGCTGTGTGAGATCTTGAAGACTATGTATCTTCGGTTTTGTCTATAACACGTTAACGTATGAGGAAATCATTATAATATATATGATATTATTGTGTCTGGTGTTTATATTTCACATATCACTAACATCAAATGTTGTCCATGTAGTTATCACTTTGAAGTTTCGAACATCTCAAATGTAGTACATACTAGCATTTATGTACTCCATGGATGGTTGCAGTAAGAACTAAGAAACTATCTTATTTCTTGTTTCTTGTTTGATTTTTTTCTTTTTCTGGACAGCGAAACTTTCACAATTATGATAGAAGTCTTGTAAAGATGAAATTATTAGAACAATAATTCTCTCTTTTTGGGTCAAAGATATGATATAATCTTTTTTAAAAGATGGGATTATGTTTTGTCAGTTTTCTCCTTTTTAAATTAGTGGAAAATTCTTTTTTGAATGGTAAGGTTACTGAAAATCTTTTCACCTAATCAAATTATTAAACGTTTTTTTGTCTTTGATTGTAGTTTCAACATTGGTTTTATTTCTTATGCTATAATTTTCTATACAAATATAATTTGTCATATAGAGCATTTCTCAAAACTTAGGATACATCATACATCGTATTACTTCTGTCAGTCATATTCTTGCTCGTTCAAAACTCAAACGTATGCTACAAATTAAAAGAGCCAATTTTTCATGAAAGAATCACCATAAGATTGTTTTAGAAACCCCACCAATTAGTACTTTTTTATTTTTAGTAAAGCTAATAATCTATTTTATTAAATCAAATTAGTGGAGACAGTAAGCAACAGGAACAAAACATAAAAGAGACGTAAATTGTTTTTAAAAAAATTAATAAAAACTAAAATAGAGAAGGTAGAGCAGAAAAAAAAATTGGCCATAGACGGATATACAACTGATTTTTTTTCGTCGTGGCCGATGCATGCAGTCATTTCTCAAATGTGTATAAAAAGATCATTTAGAATTTCCTTAAGATAAAGCAAATGACTACACAAATTATCAAAACATATAGGATTAATGTTTATTATTGTTCTATGTTGTTATCCATTCTAAACCGAATTCCTAATTTCATTTCTAATGTTGTCGTAATGTATAAACAATTATAATACAGTTCAAATTCGAAAATGTATGAGAGTTATAATAAGTTCAAATATATATACTGTATGCATGTTTTTTTTGATAAAAATATACTGTATGTATGTTCACGCGTGACATACTCGTATTACTTGATAGAACCAAACACACACACTTCAAATGTCGTATACGACTATACGTATATAAAGATGTTTAACTATTATATAATAATTATTATTAGACCCTAGAATATTGGACCGCACGATACTTGGGAACTTGGCATGCAGCTTTAGTAAGTGCGATTAGGATTTTAATGGGACATGCGTGACATGTCACAAACAGAAAAGGACGAATCTACTTTTTTAAACTGTTTCACAATCACGAATCAGCCTATGTGGCTTATTCATAAGAACCGCATATAATAATCGTACTAAAATGAGAATTTCTATCAAACTTTGGATTCTTCATTTTTTCTTCTGATATACTCAACGGACACAAGGAATATCACGAGCTTATATTGATGACGATTCTCGGATAATGTCAGTGTTGTTAGGCTATCGAATAAGTGTATGTGTCAAAATATAATTTGTAAAACATGTAGTAGTGCTGGGACCTGGGAATAGTTTTTAATTTTCAGAAATCGATGAATGAATCATCATATCTCATCATATAAAGTTTATTCTTTGGCAAATCGTAACTCTATCACAGCAAGAAGAAATCGTAGAAAGTTTGCAAATCTGATGCAACTTTGGCTCTAATGAGGATTATTTTAATTCTCATTTGTCTTTATGCAACCTTGTTTTTTATTTATTTTTTGGCAAGGTAGCAAAGTATAGGTCTAACTCTTTTTGTAAAGCCTGAACATTTCATTTCTTAATGATATTTACAAGTTTATCAAAAAAAAATATCTCATCATATATATGATACATGCATGAAAGCGTTGCTAGACGTGAGACTCTTCCATAAAACTCATAATCCTAACCATTTTATGAAAATAGCTTGTAATTTGGTCATAACATAACACTTGATTTGACGTGAAATAATATGTCACGAAATAGAAGGGAATGTTTGCACAAAACGTAAATTATCTGAAACTCTTTAATTACGGTTTTAGAACTTTATTATATTATCTAAATCAATAAAAATGCATGGTTATTTATGTTCAAAGCAAATGCGAAAATCACGTTTGCTAAGTTCCGAAAGCTGACGCGTCATGTAAATCACATAGTACCATTGTTATTATTACAAGGCAACGTGTTTCTTAGAGATCTTATTTGGTGGCAGCTTGTGGGTTTAATAGTGTCACGGATCCAACTTTATTTATTTATTGACAACTGTTTTTTCTACAACATTTGTTGATCATTGACACGCACACCTATATGTTTTTTCTTACTATTTTACATTCTCTACTTTCTAAATGATACATGAAAATATTTCCAACGCTTTTTTTTTTTTTTTTTAATTCATCATAGCTAAACGAAATGCACATTAAGTATTCAAATACGTTTCAATAATTTCATACGTTTAAATGAAATTAGTCAAATTTTTAGAGCTAAATATATATAATTCAGTCTTAAACCGTGGACCGCCTGTCTGTTTTTTTGGTAAAATATGGTTGTCTAGTTTTCTTATAGTACAATTAATTAGAAAAATGAGTGTTGATTATAAAGGAAGAAATCAAATACAATGAAAAAGCATGTAGCCACCGCAAAAGGCTGCTACTTAATTAGGATATTCTTGCAAGTGCCTTCCTATCCAGTTCCAATAATCATATCAGATAAAATAAAGAAATCTCAAAATACCATAATGCTATAAGAGTTACATTTTTGCCAAAGAATTAACTAAATGTTAAGATTTTAAAAGAATACAACAAAAACTATATATATCCAATAACAATCAATTTAAAAAAAGTTTCTAGATTAATTAATTATTAATAAAAGCAGAACTAAATTAGGTTTGGATTATCTAAAATTCCATTATCAAATCTTGATTGAAGAATACAGAATGTCATATGATGTGTCGTCAACATATTATTCAACATCTCTTACAAAAATTATCTTTTTTTTTTTTTTTTGTCATCTTACAAAAATTATCTTGTATAGTATAGTATTGCTTTTAATTATTTTCCTTCATATATATTTATTTGAAGTAAGGATATATTTTGGTTTCGGAATATTCTTCTCTTATTCCCGCGTTACCTCCTCCTCATCTTTATTACACAACCCACCCGGAAACTTCTAAAAAGGCAAAAAATCATCTAAGAGCTCTCACAACCGTTGGATCTCCATATAAGACTCATGTTTGACCCGTAAACGTCATCAAATCCAACGGTTCACATACGAAATCAAAAGGATTCTAAAATTTTCTTCCTTTTTGTTACCTTGAGGGTAATATTCCATTGGCATCTCCGATAAAATCCTCCATTGTTTCTCTCCATTCATTAGTATAAATACCTAACCACATTTCTCTTCTCATCCATTCACAAACCAACAAGAACTCAGAGAGAGAGAGAGAGATCCATCAATTAGAATCACTATTTTCTTTTATTTTCTAGAGAAATTTTCTGAGTCATGGCTTACAATAGCAATAACAAGAACAGCAACAACATTGTCGTTGTTTTCGACTTCGACAAGACCATCATCGATGTTGATAGCGATAATTGGGTAATCGATGAACTTGGCTTCACTGATTTGTTCAATCAACTTCTCCCCACCATGCCTTGGAACACACTCATGGTTTGTTCTACCTTCTTCTCTCCTCTGTTTTCTCATTTTTCTTTTTGAATTTCGAATAAACTCATCTCCATTTTTCGGTCGTCTATTCGATTATTATCTTGCAATTATGGTTGATATAATCCCGTTATCGAATAAAAACCCTAAATGAAATTATACAAAATAACAGGATCGTATGATGAAGGAGCTTCATGATCAAGGCAAAACCATTGAGGAGATCAAACAAGTCTTGAGAACAATCCCAATCCATCCACGTGTCGTCCCTGCCATCAAATCTGCTCATGATTTAGGGTAATAATCTTCATTATTGTCTTGTTTGTAACAATCAAATTTTACAAGTCTAAATAATTAATGTTCTATCTCTTGTTAATTAATCAAATTATTATGTCTAATGTTAGACAAAACCCACCGTTTCTGATCCGATATTTACGGTTCGGTTTCCAGGTGTGAGCTGAGGATAGTGAGTGATGCAAACATGTTTTTCATCGAGACCATCGTTGAACATCTCGGGATAAGTGAATTATTCTCTGAGATCAACTCGAACCCTGGATATGTCGATGAACGTGGCACATTGAGAATCTCTCCCTACCACGACTTCACTAAATCCTCTCATGGCTGCTCTTGTGGCACTTGCCCTCCTAACATGTGCAAGGTACTTTTACATTATTTTTCTCTTAATCGACTTTATAATCATTTGTTCATTTTACACAAAAAGAAAAAAGTGTTTGACATTTGGAAATTTTCCAATTTAAAATTATGTTTTGGTCATTTGATGACCAAATCAGTCAAAACATCATCTCTATGGACCCACTTTGGTCGTTTCTAATATTAAGCCATGTTTTAATCATTTATTTAGGGCTTGATCATTGAGAGAATTCAACAATCTTTAGCTAAAGAAGGGAAGAAGAAAATGATCTATCTAGGAGATGGAGCTGGTGATTACTGTCCAAGTTTGAAACTAAACACTGAAGATTACGTGATGCCACGTAAGAATTTCCCGGTTTGGGATCTGATTAGTCAAAATCCGATGCTAATTAAAGCAGCGATTAGAGAATGGACTGATGGTCAAAGCTTGGAGATGATATTAATAGGAACAATCGAAGAGATTATATTGGAGGAAGAGAAGGAGAAGATGTTGACTAGTGCGGAGAATAATTGCAAGTTGCAGACTATCTCTGTCGGGATTAATAATGTTCATCTTGAACCAATATTGCCTCGTGCTCTTCGTGTGTCTCAGTCTAGTTAGATGTTTTTGAAATAGTGGAGGAAGAAGATTATAAATCTGTGGTGATTCTTCTTCCTCATATGCTTGATTTGTAGTATTCCAAAAAGATTGGAATTTATCCTAGATATTGGAATTTATCCTAAATATTGTGTGTGTTTGACGATGAAATTGCAAGAAGATTGTGATTTTTGTTTTTAACAAGTATTACTTCGTTGGTTGATAACTTGATTTAACCGCTTAAATTAATATTAGTTAATTACTTTGAAGAAAAATAATAATTATGGAGTTTTGTTTAATAAACATATAATTTCTTGTGGAATGAATCTCGTCTGATATTACGCGCTGTTTTGTCATTCATCACGTGTATTTTGTCACCCTAGCTAGAAAGTAGTTTAATTACGATAAATCTATCATAATTAAGTTCATAATTAACAATTGTTTTTCTTCATGTTCCAAATCCAAATTTATAGAAACCACGTGAGCCATGCGGTCCCAACTATCCAAATACTGATACAGACGGAATCATATTTCGAATTATCCGACACGAATATTCTTCATGGTGTTGCAATAACGATACGTGTATAGGTTTTCTTCATGGTTTCAAGAAATTTTGTGACAAATGTTGAAAGCGGATGCTACCAAGTTTCTAGGCCCTATAGAAAAAAATTCTACTGACTTTTAGTTTTCGACATCCAACATTTTTCTACTGATTGTATGTATATAATTTTAACTATATTATTTTATTTTCAATTGTTTACTCTTACTTTATATAAAATTGAACTCATACTGTAAAATATATATCAACAACACTTAATTTCATCTAACTTAAGTAACTTCCAATTTTCAAAATTAATAAACATCCAAGCATGAAATTTTTCATTTAACAAATAATTATCGGTTAGTATGATTTAAGGAAAAGTGAGTATAGGAAAAATAGTAATCAATTAACTTTAATGCCCTTAATAAATAAATTAACAAAATACTATCTAGTTGGGTCAGAACTTTTCACGGCTTTCTTTATATGATAATTACTCAGCCCATTACAGCCCATAAGTTTTATATACACACCTCACATTCCACACATGCACATCCACTGAACAAATAATCGGCCCATTTATGGTCCATTATCAACATATATCAACATATATATATATATACACACACGAGACATTTTCAACCCAAAAACTTTCAGGTCGGAGAAGCCGTGGAAACGACGGCGAGATTCTGTAGATTTGATTTAACGACAGTATCCACAAACATCCTCGTATCTTCTTCCGTGTTACCTTTTGGTATATCAACAATGTAAGACTCCAAAACCACACTATACACTTTCTTCTTATCTTTTTCCAAGACGACGAACTCGTTAACCGATGTAACCGACCGGTAATTATTTAACCGGTGTTCTCCTCCAAGAACACGAAAACTCAAGATCCGTTTCTCTTCGTCAAGAGCTTCGAGTATCTCAACGCTTGTTGACGCTGGAAGACCAGAGACCACGCTAACTTCCCTTATGGTCCCAACTTTAATCTCTTTGACGCCGTTACCGTTACCTCTGATGGTGCAACTCTTGATGAAGTGTTTGTATTTGTTCGGATTCGCGAAGTCTCGGACGAATCGCCATATGGAATGTGCCGGTGCGTCTACGCGGTGTGCAATGAGAGATGTGCACGTGTTTGGCGATCTTGGGAACGTGTGGTGTGTTCGGATGATGGAGTCTAGTGTTGAGAACTCTTCCTTCGTTAATCCGTATGGTGTTGACGATGATGTTGTTGTTGTTATCGATGATGATGGATTATTGATTGGAGGAAGATTAAGGTTCATAGTTTTGGGTGTACTTTTGAGAAGAAAATTGTGTAAGAAACTAGGACTATTTCTCTTGACTAGGTATATATAGAGATATAGAATGTGTTATTATATTATGCAAGTGTATATTATAATGGAGAAGTGAGATATTGATATATGTTTTGACTAATATTGGAGTTGGGATGCACTAAATTGCCTTTGTCATTTGCCTTTTTAGAAAAATTGGTGTTAAAGTGTGAACGTGACATCAAATCTCATTATTGTATGACTTATTGGATCCTTGAGGAGCTACCTATAGATCATCTTTTTGGATTAACAATACAAAATGAAGCATCAAAATGGAATCTAATTAAATTTGTTAATTGAATATGAGATGCAAGACGTAGAAGAAAGATCAATGCCCCTATTAGGGTGTATATGTTTATATGGTGGAAGAAGAGTTGTTTCTGATTTAGAATTTGGTATACTATATTTTCAAAGTCTAATGTGTAGTCAGTATTTTCTTAATTTTGAGAATATGAATAATATTTACTTCTTTAGTTAACAGAAACAAAAATTGTCTTGATTATTCCGAATGAATTCCTTTGAAAGAATAGGTAAACGACAATGCAAAGTGGAATAACACCAATGCAGCATCATGGGCATTGGTTTCTATATGCAAGTTGCTTATATTTAAAAAAAAATTTACAAAAAAAAAAGAAATTAGAAAAAAGATTAGAAACAACATTCCTCAGGAATGGCTTTTCTGAGTGTTAATTAATTTCGGATGACAAAAAGATTAGTGTAACTTTGAGTTGAGCCCATGTCCAATATTACACCACAACAATTGGTCTTGAGCCTTCTTGACCCATTTAGTTAGCATTTTTTTGTTTGACTTAGTCCATACTCTTATCAACACGTGATGTGCACGTGATAACGAAGTAGTGATGTTGTCGTCGAGCCGTTTACTTTTCCGGCCATCGCGCGGCTTGAATTGCCGGTACGATAGCGATAGCTTCTTGAACCAATATGATAGTTTCAGGTAGCTTGTCCTTTTCAAAATTTGGGCTCTTGAAGGAGAGGACATCAAGTTAGGAAATTGATTGGTACACTTCAACTTCTTCTTGTTGTGTATAGCAGAGACACTTCTTTAGTGATTTTGATTGGTTTGAAATTGCAGTCTGTCTCTAATGTGGCGATTGTCTCCGTCCGTCAGGTTTCTGTGATATGCAAAACCCGGCATTAGTTCGCCGGAACCGATGTCTCCCGCTTTAGGAGTTGACATTTGCTAAAACCGGTTAAACTTTTTTCCGGCACGAAATCGGTAGAGCCGGCGAAAGGACCAGAAAGTGCTCGAGCCGGCGCAATTTGCCAAGTCTAGTTTTTTGCAGAAGAGGGACGATGGCGATGACAAGCAGGCGTAGCTGGCCATCAACGGGAAGACAAACAAGACATCAATTGGCTTTTGTGTTGCTCCTGGTTCTTGTAGCTGTCGGAAACTATGTGCCCGTCTTAGCTCTTCCTTCATTGTCTCTACCTCCTGAAATACCTGGGGACGAGAAGGTAAGCATGATTCATACTTCAGGGCTTTCTACTAATTGCTGTTCTCTTTTCTTTGGAACCAAAATCAATGTGGAAGTGGTGAGAGATGAGTTCAAGTATTTGTGTAACTCCCGTTGTACTTTGTTTTTTCCACTGCTTGAGTGGATCGCTTACCAAGAAATTATGTGTTATATGGTTCTCATTTCATCAAGTTCTTGACTTTCATTTTAAAAATTGCAGATGATAATGATGTCAAGGAAGTTTTATATCAAAGATGACAGTTTTTGGAAAGATGGAAATCATTTTCAGATCATCGGTGGTGATTTGCACTACTTCCGTGTTCTTCCTGAGGTACTATCCCTTTTTCTAGATGAGATGTCTTTTTTTTTTAGAGTAATCCATATGATTGCTGCGTAAATGTTTAAATGATTAATGGATTAATGCCAGATTGTGGATGCAGTACTGGGAGGATCGGCTTCTAAGAGCCAAGGCTTTAGGCCTGAATACTATTCAAGTATACGTTCCTTGGAATCTGCATGAACCAAAGCCTGGGAAAATGGTTTTTGAGGGTATTGGTGATCTTGTGTCCTTTCTCAAGCTATGTGATAAACTAGATTTTCTGGTTATGCTGCGGGCTGGACCTTACATCTGTGGAGGTTTGTGTTAATGTTTCTGGTGTGATTTTTATTGAGTTGATACCAAAGTTCTTACCGCATCATCTGGAAGATTTGCTTTTACACATAAACAAGTGCTGATACATGTTCCCATCTCCATGACAGAATGGGATTTGGGGGGCTTTCCTGCTTGGTTACTTTCTGTGAAACCACGTCTCCAACTAAGGACATCAGATCCTGCATATCTTAAGTTGGTAAGTTATCAGTTAAATGAACCAAGTAGTACACGGTTAATTAGCTTGCAGTGTGCAATATTAATCTAAGATATATACACATTCATAGTTTCATGTTTGCCTCTTTAAGTTGTCGTTAGAATCACCTTAATGCTACAGGCCTGAGTTTTCAAGTATCTTTGTGCAAATTAACAAGAAAAATGTAATGGTCTGTGGAGAATGGGTAGTATACTTTTGCACAGTTCATAAAAGAGAAAGGCTGTTCTTATGCAAACTAGCAAGAAAAAGTCCCCATTTTGTTTAGACTGTTCTTATGCATTATGTTCAAAGTAGAGTTGTTCATGACAGAAACATATTACAGGTTGAAAGATGGTGGGATGTTCTGTTACCGAAGGTATTTCCTCTGCTTTACAGCAATGGGGGTCCTGTTATAATGGTTCAGGTACATGATCAAAAGCGATGTTCCACTATATTCATATATCCTGATCTGGTACTCTAGTGATTGCTTGATGGCTGCAGTTGATAAGATGTGTCGGCTTCATTACTGAGTTGATCTTCTGAAAGGATTTTTTAAATAAGATGTCTTCATGTATAATTTCCTTAGACCTGGAACACTATGGTTGACCAATGTGAAGCTAGCTAGAGCTAAATCCCTGTCATAGATCTTTTATATTAGCATGTTTGTTACATGTTGGCTAATTTTTGCAGATTGAAAATGAATATGGTTCATATGGAAATGACAAAGCCTATCTTCGTAAGCTAGTTAGTATGGCTAGGGGACACCTGGGGGATGACATTATTGTGTAAGACTTAAATTCTGCCTTCTAATTTCTACGGTTTCTATAACTCTCCAGTGAACTATGCTCCTTGTTACTTTCTGTTTTGGCATGCTTAGGGTGAACTTTTATATATATAAGAATTGCATCTCATGTCTAGGGTCTCGTTTGTCAGTGGTATTATCTATTAGTGTTTTGTTCTGCACCTTAAAATCATTGTCCTGTGAAAATAGATTTTGTTGAATTTACAAGTTATATCACTTAACTAGCAGTTTCTTTGATTAATTGGGAATGTTTCTTGTTGCTCAAAATGATCTTCAGGTACACAACAGATGGAGGGACAAAAGAAACTCTTGAGAAAGGAACGGTCCCTGTAGATGATGTCTACTCAGGTAAAGTATATGTTTCCTCTGCATCCATGATTCATAGTAAACTGAAATAATGGTCTGTTTCTGACTTTGATATATAACAATGACGAGCAAGTGCTTTCTCTGATAGCTGTTGATTTCACAACCGGTGATGATCCTTGGCCAATATTTGAATTGCAAAAGAAGTTTAATGCTCCAGGGAGATCACCTCCACTTTCCTCGTTAGTCTCTTGTGCTCCCAACCCTCTTCTGTGAGTTAATTTTGTTATTTAGATCCATTGAGTTGGTTGTTACAGGGAGTTTTATACTGGTTGGCTAACACATTGGGGTGAGAAGATAGCAAAAACCGATGCTGAATTCACGGCAACTTCTCTTGAAAAAATACTGTCTCGAAATGGTTCTGCTGTGCTTTATGTATGTGCTTAAATTCTTTATCTCTCAGCGTTTACCAGTTGGGGATTAACGGATAATAATGAGGATTGTGTAATGTGATGTTCAGATGGTGCATGGAGGAACAAACTTTGGTTTCTACAATGGTGCAAATACTGGCTCTGAAGAATCTGACTATAAACCAGATCTGACCTCTTATGACTATGTAGGGAAATTTCACATCATTACCTGTTATTGCAAATCCTTAACTATATTCCAAAGTAGTAACTAGTAACAGTTTTGTTTTTGTCATTTCAGGATGCTCCGATTAAGGAGTCTGGTGACATAGACAATCCAAAATTCCAAGGTTTGATCTAATGATTGCTTTTAGCGATTTTTCAGTCTTACTTAATTTTCTTTATTAAACTTTGTTCTATTTGCAGCTCTTCAGAGAGTGATTAAGAAGTACAACGTTGCATCACACTCCATTATCCCCTCCAATAAGCAACGGAAAGCATATGGTCCTATCAAGATGCAGATGACCACTTCGCTGATTGATTTAGTTAGTATGACAGATCCTGCAGATGTGATCATCTCCGCCAACCCAATTTCAATGGAATCTGCTGGACAGGTATGTAATGTCAATAGTCTTTATTCCTTATTTTTGACGGTGCAGCCTAAGCATCTCCCTACTCAGTCACCATAACATGGTCTAATTTTATTGTCCTTTGTATAAACTGATTATTTATTGTTTTCTCCCAGATGTTCGGATTTCTTTTATATGAATCTTCATACATCGCAAAAAAGAGTGGGAATATACTAAGAATTCCCAAGGTATGTTCCTTTTTCATCTGAATCCAATGGGCAATGGCAATATGTATAAGGGTCATCTTCTAACATGATGAGTTGCAGGTTCATGACAGAGCTCAAGTGTTTGTTTCATGTCTTTCCCAAGATGTGGGAGTACTGAGATACATTGGTACAACGGAGAGATGGAACAACCAACCTGTTTCTCTTCCAACTGTTGAGTGCACTACAAACACTAGCTTATTTATCCTGGTAAGAGATTCTTTACCTCTATATTAATCTGTAGAATGATCAGTTTATACCATTTTCGTTAAGCACATTGTTATTTGGGTCATTGGTCATTACTTTGCTTCTGTTTCTTATAGGTTGAAAACATGGGTCGTGTAAATTATGGGCCATATATCTTTGATGAGAAGGTAAGACTTATGTTACAGACATTTATTATTCTCACGTATGTGATAAACTTTTCCAGATCACTTTAGCTTATACATTACATTTGCTCTCGTTAGTTCTTCAAAGTTGGTTACCTTTACCAAAATGAATGTGATATTCATAGGTTCAAAATTTCGGAATCCACGGTAGCTCGTTCAAAAGGTCTATTTTTGTATTACTGTTCAGGGTATTTTGTCTTCGGTTTATCTAGATGGTCAAATTCTCCATGGATGGAAGATGATACCAATTCCTTTCCACAACCTGAATCAAGAGCCAAATCTCAGTTTCGAGATGCAACATACCAAAAAGAGAAGTGAGAAGTTCAATCTTACTAATGGTCAGTGCCCTTAGTTAAGTTAAGCATGTCAATTATTGAATTTCCTGTCATCTACAGATGCTTTGTAAGGGACATTAATGAAACTAATTGCTTCTTACGCCGATAACTGTAGATGTCGGTCAAAAGGAACCAGCTCTGTTTGCTGGTGAATTCTCTATCAACACTGAAGAAGAAATCAAAGACACGTATCTATCATTCAATGGTTGGGGTAAAGGAATTGCTTTTGTCAATGAATTCAACATCGGAAGATATTGGCCGGTAAAACTCTGTCCTCTCCACCTCTATAAAGCTCATCCAATGTACATTTCTCTTACACATGATTCTTTTTGCAGTCTGTTGGACCACAGTGCAACCTCTATGTTCCTGCGCCGCTTCTTAAGCCTGGCAAAAATACTTTGGTATGTCAACATGAACATGAGATTTGACCTTTTTCTTAGTTAGGACAGGGGAATGGAAAGAGTCTCCATCCATACTTATTCCATTTATCCATTACTTAGATTTGTTGAAACTTTTGCAGGTGATTTTCGAGTTGGAATCTCCTCATCTCGAGCTTTTACTGGAGGCAGTGGATCAAGAAGACTTCGTATGCGGTTCATATGATTCCAAAGTTAATCAGTAGTAGTCGCTCAGTTCATCCTCGTTCCATCTATCACTTCCTTCATTAATCACCCACAGAAGTTACAGATACAACCAAAAGTTACAGTGTTAACCAATCATATGTTGATGATAAAGAATTTAAAGTTACCTAAAAAAAAATTGTGTCCAAAAACATGAGCATTTAAAAGTCCAGATTCCAGACCCGGTAAAAAAGATTTTTATACTCGAAAAAACAATTTCCAAGTCAAATCCAAAAATCTGCTTTGATGTTTTTTAAGCAATTCAGGGCCTGATTGGTTCCAGCTGTAGCTGTAGATTTTTGACTGTAGATTTTAGGCTGTAGATGTTTTGGCTATGACTGTAGATTTTAGTGCTGTAGTATTTTTGCTGTAACATTTAAAATTTTGGAAAGTTGAAAATTGTATGCTTTAGAAAAAAAGGCTTTCTACAGCCAAAAAAATTAATTATGGAAATATTTTGGCTGTGAGAAAAAAAAGGAAAGCTAAAGCTTCTAAAGCTTGATTGGATCTATTTCAATGCTTTAGAAATTTTATTGCTTTGTAAAGACTCTAAAGCACTTGCCAATCAGGCCCTGAATCCACACAAAAAAAAAAAAAAAGCTTATTAACGCCACTCCAATAGTAAAAAATAACTCAATTAAAAGTTAAAACAATGATAACTGATCAGATACTCCTACAAATTTTAGATGTATCTTTGTTATCTACAAATAAAATAAAAAAATATGATAAATACGTCCCTCTTTGTTATCTTAGACAAAACAGAAAATCCAACTAAAATCTAGAAAAAATAAACTAAAATCTGATAAAAATATAATTCCTAACAGATAATATCTGAAAATACGTATATATATTTGTACAAATCAGAAAATGGCGCTATTGTTAGTACTTAACTAACAAAATCTCTCTCAAAGATAACCATCCCCGAAAGATTCTCTACACACAACTCCGAAGAACACCACAACTCCGAAGAACACTCTCCACGATCTTCTCTCTTTCTCCTTCTCTTAAGGAGAAAATCAAGGAACCTCTGGCCAGGCAAACCCTAAACTTCCATATATCCTAAACGCAAACCCTAATGTCCTTAAGAACCTTATCCGGTGGTTCCACCCCAGCTTGCGCTGCCTGCAAATTCCAAAGAAAAAAGTGCAAGAAAAACTGTCTTCTCGCTCCTTATTTCCCACAAGATCGCACAAATCAGTTTACAAACGCTCATAAACTCTTTGGAGTAAGCAACATCACCAAGATGCTCAAAGGAATCGAAGAATCTCAATATGACATCGCTATGGAGAATCTTATCTACCACGCTAATGCTCGTGCCCTAGATCCAGTTGGAGGGGTTTACAGGACTATCTGTGATCTTAAGCGCAAGATCGAGATCGTTCAGGCTGAGCTTAACTTTACTCGTCAGCAAATCGCTATGTGCCGCTCTCTAGCTCAGCAGCAGCAGAGGCAAAGGCAAGATCTTCCATATGGCTGCTATTCCCACGAACATCTATTACAACAAGATGAAGATCAATACGTTAATGTCGATGGTTTTGATCATCAGAACATGCAACAACATCAAGAGATGCAGCAGCAGCAACCGAATCCGATAAACTACGAGACGTTTTTGGAGATGCCTGAACAAACAAGCAAGGTAAAGCTTGAGGAGGAAAAAATCTCTGACCAGGGATAAAACAATCTCGTGAGGCAGATACTCATGTCGTCAGCAATCATTTAGTTCAGGTTTAGGTTTTCGTCATTATCACGCTTTTTCTGCTTATCTTTCTTGAATTGTCATAGAGTTCCGACTAGTAATCTTGATTGGTTTTGTTCACAAATGTTTTTTCTTTTATTACTAGAACAAATTACTGAGAGGAACATGTGTTTATGAATCTGTTTTAGGTTGAGAAATTGTGAGAGTGAATCAGAAAACAGAATCAGGCCATGAATGAATTGCTAGATAGTATTGAAACAGAAATCATGATTAACTTTTCACACAAGCAACATAGCCGATTGCCCAAAATAGGGTTACACAGTTCATTAGACAATATGATCCTATACTTCAATGAATCGAATATCAAATAACAGAGAGAGAGGAGAGGATTCTCCGACGCAATTCCACAACAGAATTATCTGCTACGAATTTGTCTACCATAAAAGCTCAATCTGCAAACTAAACACCAGCCTTGTTTCCAAGTCTCTTCCTAAGAATCTTGACTCCCATGTATCTGCAAAGATTGACAAATCCTCTGTTTATATATTGAATTTAAAGGAAACCTCCAATTCATTATGTTGGTAATGATTTCGATTTACCTTCCCATCATCATCATCGTAGCTTGAGGGTTGGTTCCTGGAGACTCGTCAAACGTTGAACCATCAATAACTCTCAGCCTGTCAACACCAAGAACTTTGCGGTCAGGGCTCACAACTTTACCCACAAGACATCCACCATGGTAGTGCCAGATTGTGACAACAGTGTCTTTGCAGAACTGAGACATTGATTTGGTATCGTTCAGTTGCTTTGGCCTTAGATTGATGTTTGCCTTAACACTTAAGCTAAGCATCTTGTGTACGTTTTGCTTATCGCACTGTGTGTAGTTTAAGAAGCGCTTAGACGTCACCACTTTGGAAACCAGACGAATGGCTTCAACACAGCGTTGGAGATCTACCGGGTGTTTGAAGTAATTGAAGGTGACTGAAGGGTTGTCATCTACATTTGTGTTCACCAAGCTCAAATGCCCTCTAGAGATGGGGTAAGCAAGTTTCTCCAAGATGAAACTTCCATTGAATGCTTCGTGAAGTTGGTATTTGTTTCTTGTGATGTAAGCTTGTGTTGCTTCTGGTCTTCTCTGCTTTGCAGGAATGGTGGAAAACAATTCATTCTGCATACAAAATCAATAGAACATTCTCTCCTTAACATCAAACCACATTCTCCTACAAATACACTAACAACAAAGTTATGTACTTTTCGTTACCTTGTTCGACATAATCCCATAGTGAGTATGAATACTCTCAGGGGATTGCCCAAAGCCAGTGCTGGCTTCAACATACACACCCATCTTTGTAATTCCAACAGTCTGAATAAGTGACTGCTCTATAGGCGCCTTTGAAGGTACCAAGATCGTGTTCATCGGGTTATCAGCCATTCCTTTCCCTACATGCTCATTCACTAAAACCACAGGAATCTTCAACCTCTGAAGCTCCTTCTTAGGTCCAATCCCACTTAACATCAGCATCTGTGGTGACCCAATGGCTCCACTAGACAAGATCACTTCACTTCCCTTTCTATTCGAGAGTAAAGCCTGATGTTGATTACCGTTCTCATCTTTAAATATCACTCCTGTTACTCTAGGCCTTGTTCCTACATCCAAAACCAAAAAAAAAGTTAAAAACCTCCTCACTCAGGAATTTCATCGAACAGTTGGAAGGCACAAAAACTTATCAGTACCCGAAGTGTCAAAGACGATTTTTTGCACAGTGGCGTAGATCAAGACTCTAAGCTTCTGAGGATTAGCGTAAGCGAGAAGCTCCGCGGCGGTGTGACGACGGCCAAATCTGTCGAAAATTGTGCCGCCGATTTTGGTTCCGGAGACGTGGTCGTAAGTGAAGCCATTGAAAGGTCTGACTCCAACCTCTAAAAGACTGTCTCTGAGAGCTTTCTGCCATAACGTTAACTTTGGCTGATGAACGATTTCTCGCTCCACCCATGGATACGACTCCTTCACCAGCTTCGGATCCCATCCTGCCCGCTTCACGAACCTGAATATTGTGTGACAATTTAAAATTTTAAATCATTTATATTTGGTCAAAAAATTGTTCTTATTTTATTTAAAAAAAATACTTTAGCCAAAAAATAAACTGAACAAAAATGAAAGAAAAAAGTGTTGCAGATTTTCTGAAGAAAGAATTAATTAGTTTTGTGACAATAATCATTTATTTTTGGGGTTTTTTTTTAAATTTATAAAAATAAACAATTCGGTTTTTTTCGGAAAAAAAGAAGAAGAAAGTAATGCTGCAGATTTTACTAAAGAAAAGAATTTAGTAAAAAATATTTTGTTGATAAGTGTGAAAAATTAAGAAGAATTAAAAGATTAAGGTCCATGGCCTCCAAAATTATTAAGAAAACACAACATTCTCGATCGGTGCGTTTTCATAAATGTAACAAATCCATTAGAACACGAGGCATCGATTATACCAATAAAGCTTTTTATATAATTAAACAACATATTTTTGTCTTAAAAATTTATACTTATAGATAATTTGTACTTACGCAGCATCGGCTCTGGAGTAAAAGCCGGCGTTAATACAGGAACCGCCACCGAGAACTCTAGCACGAGCGTTGTAAACGCCGTCAGTGGAAACAAACGCTTGTGACGCGGAAGAAACTGACGTGTCAGCAAGTCCGATGTGAAAATTCCTGAGGAAAGAAACGTTTGCGTTTGTAAACGGAACACCACCTCTTTCTAAAACAAGAACGCTGAAATTCTGCGACAGCGTTGCGGCGAGAGGACACCCTGCGGTTCCACCTCCGATGACTATGTAGTCGTAGGACGAATCTTGACCGTTGGATGAAAATGAAGATGACGAAGATGATGAGAATGTGCTTGCTTTATCGATGAATGTGTATCTGTATGGATTAAACTTTGACTTCTTCTCTTTACCTACAAAAACATTGTTTTTTTAGTTATAGACAATAAATAAAACAATTATGGGTAGTTGGTAGAAGTAATTACACCATTAATGTGTTTAGCAGAACATAACCCAAAAAAAAAAACACTACAGTTTACGCGTAAAAAAGACTGTACTGTTTTAGTGTCCTGATCACTCAAGATTCGGTCATGATGAATCATGAAACAGAGTCTTTAATATAAAAAAGAATCAAGAAACAGAGTTTCTTGAAGGAGAAACATATGTAGATATGAATGTATATGTCTATGAATATGTTGGGACATAAACTAATTTCTAAAAATAGAGCTCCACAACTACACAGAATCATAAACGACCAAGAGAAAGATAAAAAACAGAGTTCGCTTTAAACCAAACACTAGTAAGTCGAACTTTGTAATGAGAGCATTGTGTTTAAAGAGAGAAAGGGAAGTGACCTTTAGAGGCAGTGGAGGAGAGAGAAGTCGGGAGACAGAGAAGAAGAGCAAAGAGAAAGAGCTTGAGAGCCATTGGAGACTGCAGAAACCAAAACTGAAGAGCTTTTTTTTTTAATGTTTTTTTTTTTTTTGTTATAATTGCTTCTGCATCAACTTCTTATGTGGCTTTTCATGAATGGTCTTGTTTTGTGTGTTTTCTTCTCCTATAAATAACACTAACGATCCAACAGAGCAACTATATTAATTACACCCACATGTGTCTCTATATATTGTTACATATATGTAACCATTTCTACGAGTTATATACTTATACGGATACATTGAATTTTGGTTAGACAACATTCGGTAAAAAACCATATAGTAAATAAATAAGTTAATAAATAGATGGTGGGGGTGGTCTACACTAAATCGTAAATTTGATTTTAGGTGTGTCCCATTCTGTCGAAAAGAGCAAATGAAGAGGACATGTGATCATCTTACTCAATTAATTGTTCCCTCATTTACTCATAAAAATAGTTACCTACTAATTTATTTTACTAGCTAGCAACTTTCCTCACATTAGACTTATTGTTACAGAATTATTTGTTGAAAGCAAAAGAAATTAATGATAAGTACTTCATTACAAAGAACAATCACTATCAAAATTACATTTTTGGATTTATCTTGAAACTAAGCCTTAAAAGGATTTGCTTTCACATTTTTTACCTTGGTGATGATAATAAGAATAATAACTCGTTTTCTTTTGTACCATGATTCTGTTTTGACTTTTGGGACCAGCTGCAAAATAACAATCTATTAGTAGTAGTAATAATATTACTGTAAATTCGTATAAAAACAATATAAAGATAAAAAGGATAGTAGTACAGCTTGTCTGTGTCATTAATGGCGATATGAAAACGGTTGAAGTAGGAGATCTGGTAGCCGTTGGATCAAGTCTTCATAGATTCATAGTGTATCAATTAATCATCTTCACCTAACCAAAATCTAAGAACTACACTATACAGAGCCATGTTTTTGGCAAGTCATTTAATTATTATTAGTCATAAACCTATTAATTATGACTGTTGGTTTGGTTACTAACATAAATCTTCACGGGTTATGTTTTTGCCTTTTTGGCAACTAATTTAATTGTTCTTTCACCTAACCAAAACAATATCTTTCGTTTTATTTGGTTGAGTGTGAATGAATGTGATTATCGGTTACTAACAAAGCATCTTGGATTAGTTAGTTAATCATAAGTTTAAGTTTAGTGTTGAATGAAAATGTCACATCGCGTCACGTACGATGGTCTGCTCATATAAGATTACATGAGATTTTCTCTGACTTCAAATCAGTCACAACTATAACTACATTGTTTCAATTACTAGTTAAGAAGCCACATAAACAGAATCATGATGTCGAGATTAACGAATATTTCTTGTGTGGGAAAATTAATCTCATTTAATATGCAGAAAAATACTTGATTAAAATGTGAATAGTTTAACGCCCATTAGACTAGACACAAAGGCTTTGGACGGTTTTTATAAGATAAATTGTAGAAATTCATTTTTTTTTAACTTGTAGTGATTTGAAGTGTATAATTGACAGAGTTATTGGGGGTGGATGTGTATAGAAATGATGATAATAAATACACTCACCAATCCATGAGTTGGATTCTGAATATATAAAATATTTTTAGAAAATGGTTATTAAAACTTACCCACTCAGCAGTTAATGTTAATATTAATTTTTGCTCACTTTTCATGGGATTGGTATCTTATCCCATGCTTCCACTTTCGTGATACGAGTTATTGTAGAATGTACATATATTAATGGTTCTTCAACTTTTTCCTTTTGGTTTATGTAAAAGAAAAATATTCAAACCGATTCAAATCATGCCACAACGTTTTTAAGTTTTAGTTCACTCGTAAATCGTAATGTATAAAGAGAAGTTCTAAGACAGAGTAAAAGGTCCCTATAAACGCAGCGTTTTGGACTCATGAGTAAGGGAAAAAGGGGGAAAAAACGCCAAGTACTGGAGATCAAACCTTTGGAGAGTAAGAAGATTGTTTGTTTCTCTCCTCTTTAGTCCTCTTTTGAGGAGCTTTTTTGATCTGGTGGATTTTCTGATGAAGAAGTGTTGTTGCTCGAACGACGGTTTTCTGGATTAGCTGCAGGAGGGGCTTCGCCTTGCGCTGCAAGGTTCTTGATAAGGTTCATTACTGTGGGAACAAACTTTGCTGATATCGATATGAGCCCTGGAAGCTGAAGAAACCACAGGTAGTAATATCATAAGAGTATTATTATCAAGACTTCTTGAATCTTGAATCTTGAACTTTTCTCAAGTACATGATTCTTGAAAAGTTACTACTACTTTAATGGGGTTTGAGAAGATTGGCAAACACTTACTGCACCATTGCGGAATTCGCCAGGGATATCCAATTGCGTCCACAGTGCTTTTGCCAGAAGGAAAGCAACAAAGATGACACCGAGATAGAGAGGGTTTCTGTTACATTAAAAAGGATTAAAGAGATTTCAGAATGGTACAAATACCATCATTCGATATGAAGCAATCAATACTAAGCTTTGATGGACCTTAGAAGAGTCATGAATTCGTTGAATCCAAGCACGATCAATGCAAGAATTGCCCATGGAGGAGGTAACCAGTTATTTCCACGCCTGTTCGCCTCCTGAATTAGTAAAACACTTTATATAAGTATTCATAAAGCAGAGTAAAGAACTAAATTATGAGTGAAGTAGTCATGCCTGTGCAGATATGGCTTGAGTTACTGTGTACTCTGTCTCTGTCTTGAACTGTCTCCATATAGATTTACATTGCACCGGTGTGATCAAAGTTCTTGATGATGGAATCTATAAAAGTAATGGGATCATATCTGTTAAGATCAAGAATCAACTGAAGTTGAAACACATCGAAGCAGAGTTATACACACCTCATCCCAAGTGCTTGAAGCCAGTGGATCAGATGTTGTGATGCTTTTTTTAGAAGCTTCATTCTTTGTTGAATCCAACAGAGCAACATTTAGTGTCTTCTCGATGTTATCGGGTTCATCCCCCAATCGAATTACAGCCATTACTGAGAGCAACTTCAAGGACTGAAAACAAGAAACCATAAGAAGGTGTTTGGACTTTTTCAAGCCTATTAAACAACATGTAAAGAGGAATAACAAATCGTACAGCAGATCGAGCTGATTTAGTAATGGCGCGAAGATCCTCTTTTCCGGTCCAAACACGTGGCATTGAATCAGAATCATGGCTGAAGATTGTAGCAAACCTGGAAAAAAAACAAAATTTAGTGTTGAATTAAATTCGTTTTGAAAAGCTTGCTATATCTACCTTTCCTTCATACGCATCAAAACCCGTCCAGCTTCTTCTTTTGCCTTAGTTTCAATGACACCTCTTGAATAATCCTGAAGGCTCTTCACCATTATATCTCTTGTTTCTTCTTCCATGTCAAAACCAGCTAACGCACTACTGAGTCCAGAAACTGCAGATTCAGTTTCACGCCGATGAAGCTTCTTTACTGTTGTCCACGTTTCATCGTTGGCTCCTTCCAACAGAGCTTCCACTGGTTCTGATAATGCTTCATGAACTTTTGACTGCAAATTAAAGGCTAAAAATCAGTAACAAAGCTCAATTTTCCAAGCTTTCTTTATTTTTTCTGTTACCTCGTATAGACTGGTAAGTTCAGATAACTTGGAAGTCCGCACAGAGGAAATGTGAGCCTCGATGTCACGGACGAGCTTGTCCCGTACTTTTGATGTGTCCCAATTGGCTTGTTCAATGATGGCACATGCACACTCTTCATCGAATTGGGTCATGCAAGTCTTGAACCAATCTTGGGAAGCTGAAGAAAACCCTTCACCAATGCCTAAAGCCTTATCAAAAGAAGCCTTAAACTTCTCAAGCATTCCCCATCTTATATGTCCCAATACATCTTGAAACGCTGGATTCACAAGCTGTAAGGTAATATTAAAGTAAGGAAAGCAAAGTATCGATTTCCAAGCGTGACAGAAACAAGTTAAATTCTATTGAAACATTTGCATATAGCTTTAACAACATGCTCAAGAGATCTTGGATTGTATTAATTACTTGAAGAAGCTTTTCTTCAAGCTGTTGTCTCTTCGAAGATCTGACACCTTCATCGAAGAATGTAGCCTCCCCGTCATATCTAATAAAATAGAGGATTATGAAGATCAAACCCACAAGAAAGATTTAAGAAACAACAGTAAAATCTTATATGAAACTACTGATCTTGACATTCATATTGAATTCAACTACAGTGTGTGTGTAGCTTGATTAAAATAAATGTGCTTACTCTGATAAGCAAGAACCGAGAATGGTAGTAAGGCTCTTTCCAAAATTAGAAACTGGACCAGCTTGCACCTCCTCATCAAGTTGGCGCCAGTCCTGTAAATGAAGCAACAAGGTTAGTTAGTGATTATGGGACTTACAAAGACAACTTTCAAACAATGAAGAAGAGTGAAAGTTTAAGATATGCAGAACCATAATATTACCCCGTTAGTAATGAAATGCGCAAACTTCTCATTTGCAATTTCTTCGCAGCGCACAGTAGCCACCATGACCTGCGAGCAGAATGAGCTTAGAGGGAGGTTAAAAAATGTTGAAAGCTAGCACTATAAGATACCTTGTGGGCTGGAAGGTCAAGATCCTTATTTTCTTTGATGACTCTCCAGATTTGATCTGCACTAAATGCAAAACCTGAGGCTGGAATCACTCCTCTTCTGTCTCCAGCAAGACCACCCGGTGCAATAGAATGCATGAACCGTTGTCTCAAACTAGCAATCTAAGTTCCAAAACAAAATAAAATCTTACTACAAATACATGCAATTTGAAATGAAACACACAACATAAGTCTCAGCCATCTGTAATAAGCTTGGCCTCTCAAATACACACACCTGCTCTTTAAACTGTTCTTCCTTCTCCTCATAACTGGAAAGAGCAACAACTTCAACCTAACCATCAAAGAGAGAAACAGCATGGCATTTATAAAAGTTGGCAACCATTCTTGCTAATAAGTCTAGTTGTAGCATAACATACATTGAAAAAGTCACTTAGAGGAGTTTCCTTGTGTGCTTCAGGCTTTGGAACAGAATCCCATATCTGCCACAAAGAAGAACAAACAACCGGTGATCATCTGCCTATCTTTGAATGTCAATTTGGAATTAGATGAAAGTCACTTCTCTTTCACCTTCTGAATATCTTCTCTTAAGACGGGCTCTAAATTTTCTAATGGTGTCTGCAGCCAAAATCATATCAACAAAACAATGTACCAGTTAGCAGTACAGATTTGCAATGTAAGAAGGATGATAAAGAAAAGAGAAGAATGTCTACCCTGGTTTTATCTCGTATCACAAACAGCATTGTTGTTTTACGTGGACTAAATAATCGCATCATAACCTGTCAAACACAACTCAAAAGATTCAAACCCAAGGGTAAGAATATATTTTTTTATCACAAAATATACCTGAAAGACAGTTTTCAAGAGAGGTTTATTCGCAGCTTGTTCACGGCCAATATCGTGACACCACCTAAAAGTACAAGCATTGAGAAAATTTGTAACGAAACACTCTCATTTCAACAAAGCCGAAAGCTGCATATATTGAAGTTTCTCCTACAATCTTACATGTTAATCAAGACGATATCCGAGATAGCAAGAGCGAAAAGAGCACTCTGTTTTTCGAATGCCGTATCATCCTGCTTGGTCAAAAGAGGACACCATTTTTAGAAAACTTATGTACAAGAAAGTCATTCAATACTGCAAACTAAACCAAAACAATGAGACAAAAATTACCTCTCCTCGCTCTCTTCCATCGGTGCCCTCCAAATCCATTACAAGGGTACAAGGCTCTATACCGGCACATCTTGCAAGCCAGATACCTTTCGTGGTCTGAGACCTATAAACGAGTTCCTAATCAGGCAACACACTTACACTCGGAATTCAAAAGCAAATACTATCAAATGAAATCATACCTTCCCTTAAATGCATCCATCTCCATAAAGTTTGTTCCGAACAAATGATTCAATAATGTACTCTTCCCTGTCAAATCACAAAAGTTTCTGTAAATGAACTAACTACTTTCAAACAAATTCTGAGTATTACAAAAGTCCCTCTTCTCTAAAAGAATGCATACCGCTGCTTTGAGGACCCATAATGGAGACAACAGCATAAGAGAGACCACAGTCTGCAAGTTTCACATCTTTAATGAAATGATCGATGCCAGAGACATTGTATATACCATCACCGTCAATAAGCTGTACAGAACAACATCCCTCGCTCTTATCTGCATCCAATATGGAATATGTAGCTTGTCATGGAAGCCGTTAATAAACAATTAATGGCTCCTAATGAGATATTCGACAATCGAATCAAACCATTCTGCAATGAAACGTATTTACGCATGCAGAGGCATTACTTTCTGAAACCAATAACAACGACATTCTTTCTTAAGAAAGCAGAGAAAAAGGGACTCATGTATATATCAAATCACATGGATCTACGTTGCTAGCAAAACAACAAAGAACCAACAACCATCAATCAAAAAGCATAAATCTGATAAAAGGAAAAAGCCAGACAGGGAGAGAAATGGTACCCATTCTTTGTCTTTCTCAGACAGAAAATCCTCAAAGTGACAGTGAGAAAAAGAAGATCAGAGCTTTCACGCTTTTGGGATCTCACTCTTCAAAAGCTTCCCTTTCTCTGTTGTTCCATGATAGTAGTCATTTTAGGTTCCAACTTTGAGTTATTATTCTTTATTCCTTGGAAAAGACAAAAGCAAGGAATGAAAGTTAGGAAATTTAGATCTCCTCTACAAATTTGTTGGGCACATGGAAACATCAAAACCCAAACTTGAAAAAGAATTTGTATATCATTTAATCCAATCAAAGAATAATATTCTTCTATACACCAGTAACCCACTCCAAAAATAGACAAAACATTCCTATTTCTAAGCCACAATCACATCATACTAAGTTTAGTCATTCTTAACTTAATGTACATGAAAAAAAAAGAAGGGATCGGCTTTATAAAAGTGATTCTAACAGTTTCCCCTAATCAGATCTACCACATAGACAACCTAACCATTCCATGGCAACATTCGTTGCCCTATCCAAAGACAGCTCGAACGCAGCAGAAATGTCTTTCTCTCTGAAGGCTAATTGTCTGAAGAGTCCACGAACATTCTGGAATCTCAGAAGCTCTACTTCATAAACAAGTTTTATGCCAGAAGAAATAAGCAGCTGCTTGTCTTGTGTAGTGATGATAACTATACTCCCTGGACCGAAACAGTTAAAATCCTCTGCAAGAGCGTCTAACTGTTCAAGCTTATTCACATCGTCAGCCACAAGCAGAACCTTTTGGTTCTTGAGCCTTAATTTACTCAAGCATTCTCCTTGAATCCTTATCATAAACTCTTCATGAAGATGCGACATGTGACGATCCTGAGAAATCCTTTTCACACTTTCCAAGAAACAATGGCTATCAAAGTGTTGACAGATGTTCTGATAAACAAATTTAGCTAGAGCCGATCTACCATTGTATCCTCTTGCCCAAATCCCAATCACTCTCACACTTTTCTTAGAATTCAAATTCAGTAATCGGTGAAGAGCTTTCATGTGTGCAGCAATCCCCTCAAGATCACTCCCATTGCGTCTTGTTGTATCAATCATCAGCTCTTTTGATATCCTGTCAGTAATTTCGTCGACCATCTTCGAGTCATCTTCCCTACAGAGAAAAAAAAAACCGAAACTTTAGAATCGATTTACTCAAATCTAACAATAAAAACTCGACCTTTATCATCAAATTCAAAGGTAAGAAATTTCACCACTTCCCTGAACAATCGCCGGAGATACTTGCCAAATTGGTCAACGCTTGTCTCCATGAAAGCACTTTCTCATGATCTTCTCTACTCTCATGCTTCTCAAATTGTTCAGCGACTACTCCGATCTGCCTCCTCACATGACACGGATCTACGCCGTAGAAGATAGGCATCACGGTGATGGAACCCTTGTTTTCGAAATCCATGATCTTCACGAGCTCCTCGAGACACCAACGAGACGCAGCGTAATTCACGGAGACCACAACGACGGCGAATCTCGACCCCTCAATGGCGCGTACGAGCTCCGGCGAAATCCTCCGGCCATGCTTCAACTCTTTATCGTCTTTGAAAGTTCGAATGTTTCTTCGAACCAGGTCTTTGTAGAGGAAACTGATTAAGTTGCGGCGAGTGTCGAGTCCTCTGAAACTCAGAAAAACATCAAACTTTGGGAGGGTAATTGAAGTATCTGACATTTCATTGATGATTGATTCAGTTTGAGAAATGGAATCAATGGGATATATAGCTGCGTGGGCGCGTAACCATGGGAGGTCACTCAGACTCCTTCAAACGTAAATTTCCTGGCATTTTCTTTAGAAAAGGTCAGCAGCCGGTTATCAAAGTCAACTAAATGACACAAACACAAATTCCTCTAAATTATTATTTTTTTTTTGTTAAAAAATTCCTCTAAATTATGTTGTCGAATAGCATCTAAAATTGATTTTACTAAGAATAAAATTAGATTTTGCAAGAATATTTATTGTCATGAACTCATGATATAACATACTCCCTCCGTTTCATAATATAAGTCGTTTTAGGTTACAGCACGCCGATTAAGAAGATCTATTTTTTAAAAGTTCAACCAATTATAAAAAAGACTGCATAATATAAATAATCATAAAATATTAAAATAATATATAATTTGCATTGAAACTCGAAAACGATTTATATTATAAAACAAAAAGTTTTTTCCAAAACGCCTTATATTATGAAACGGTGGGAGAAAGAGACTTGTATGCTCTAATGACATCGTGTATATCTTAGTGGCCTACTCTTATAAGCAAATGAGCTAAATATAAAGAGGACACGTATGTAAATTATGCCCATGAGACGTAAAAGGCTAAAAGCCCAAGAAAGAAGCAAACAAGGATCAATCAAAAAGCATAAATCGGACAAAGGAAACTGCCAGACAGAGAGAATTGAACCATTCTTTGTCTTTCCAGACAAAAAAAATTCTCTAGTGCCAAGCAAAAGAAGACAGCTTTCACGTTTTTGGATCTTTCTCTTCAAAAGCTTCCCTTTTTTTTGTTTTGTCATGTTAGACATTTTAGATTCGAACTTTGAGCTATGATCTTTATTCTTTTCTCCTTGGAAAAAGCAAAATCAAAGAATGAAAGTTATGGAAACATCAAAAACCAAAACATTCATATTTCAAAGCCACATTTTAACATTCTTCTTTTTTTCACAACTTCCTTAGATTAATTAAACCGAAGATACAAAAGCACAATTAAGCACGAAACTCTTTGCTAAGGAGCTCGCTTCTACACGATTGGAAAGGATAACAAGGTAATAAAAGGATAGGATGGTATCACAAACGATAACCGGAAGCTTCTTTGGGGAGGCTTCAAACTTGATCAAAACTTAATGCCTAATTGCCTATGAAAAGGGATTTAGCTTTAAAATTGATTCTAACACTTTCCCCTAACCAGTTCTACCACTTAGACAACCAGACCATCTCGTGGCAAGATTTGTTGCCCTGTAGTAAACCAACTTGAAGGCAGCAGAAATGTCTCTCTTTTTAAAGGCGAATGTTCGGATGAGTTCACAAACTTTCTGGAATCTCAAAAGCTCTACTTCATAAACAAGCTTTATACCAGCAGAAACAAACAGCTGCTTGTCTTGTGTAGTGATGATAACAACACTCCCCGGACCAAAAGAGTTGAAATCCTCTGCAAGAGCATCTAACTGTTCAAGCTTATTGACATCATCAGCCACAAGCAGAACCTTTTGGTCCTTGAGATTCTGTTTACTTCCTTGAATCCTTATCAGAAACTCTTCGTGTAGATGCGATAAATGGCGACCATGTGAAATCCTTTTCACGCTTCCCAAGAAACAATGGCTGTCAAAGTGTTGACAAATGTTCTGATAGACATATTTAGCTAAAGCCGATCTACCATTGTATCCTCTTGCCCAAATCCCAACCACTCTCAAACCTTTGTTGGAATTCAAATCCAATTTTCGGTTAAGAGCCTTCATGTGTGTATCAATCCCAACTAGGTTACTCCCATTGCTTATTGTTGTAACAATCATCAGCTTTTTTGATATCTTGTCAGCAATTTCGTCGACCAGCTTCGATTCATCTTCACTACATAGAGAAAACGAAATAAAAATCGAAACTTTAGTAACGATTCATATCAAATCCAACAATAAAAATCCAATCTTTATCATCAAAGTTACGAATTTGCACCATTTCAATGAACAATCGCCGGAGATACTCGCTAAATTGGTCAATGCTCGTCTCCATGAAGCTACTTTATCAAGATCTTCTTCTCTAGCCTCGTGCTTCTTGAACTGTTCAGCGACATCTCCGCTCTGCCTCCTCAAATGACACGGATCCACACCGTAGAAGATAGGCATCACAGTGATCGAACCCTTGTTTTCGAAATCCATGATCTTCACGAGCTCATCGAGACACCAAGGAGACGCAGCGTAGTTAACGGAGACCACAACGACGGCGAATTTCGACTCCTCGATGGCGCGTTTGAGCTCCGGCGAAATCCTCCGGCCATTCTCAAGCTCCTTGTCGTCTTTGAAGGTACGAATGTTTCTTCGAACGAATTCTTTGTAGAGAAAACTGATGAAGTTGCGACGAGTGTCGAGGCCTCTGAAACTCAGAAAGACATCGTACTTACTCGCAGTAAGAGAAGACATTCTGATTTCTGATTCTCTTTGAGTTAGTAGAAGTAAAGAATTCAAGGAGATTTATACGCACCACCACTAAGACTAAGAGGAGTTGAAGTAAGACTCGTCCTAGTGTATTTCCTGGCATTTTCATTTTTTATTTGTCAGCTTCTGTTTCACTAAACTACTCAGAAAGAGGGGATTGTAAAAAGAGAAATAGATTAGCAGCCAAAATAAGAAAATGAGCATGAATAAAATAATATTAACGACCAAAAATTGTCGTCTATTACTTTTCTGGTGAACTGGCATTTACTGGTTTTGATTGGAAGTCTAATTTGATTGGTTGAAAGATTGAACTGTTTGTTTGATTATCGATCAAACGAATGGATAGAAATGACGGACTTAAAATGGTGATTGATAGAGGTTGTTTTAAAAAACGAATCGGTTGTGGGATACTTGCGTATTTCGTGTTGTATTGCATCTTCGGGATGCTGGCAATCTAACATTAGTTAGCCTGAATCTAAACAACTTATTCGACCTAAATCTACACTTTGTATCTAAAGACTATGTACTATTGCATTTATTCTTTCTCTAAGTTGACCTCTGTCACACAACAAAGTGAATATATATATATATGGTCAAAAAACATGACCTGAAAGATTCATGGCTAGATATGTAGACTGCTCGAAACCAACATGATCGTCTCTTTCTTTGAAGGCATCTGACCTAAAGAGCTGAGGAACTGCGTAACAGCTCAACTTCGTAGACACTCCTCACTACTGATGAAATAAGCAATTTCATGTCTTGTGTGGTTATGATGATTATGCTTCGAGGACCAAACCAGTTAACTTCTTCAGCAAGTGCAGAGGAGGGCTATGGAAAACATGAGATGCGAGGGACAACCAAACTGCCTTTGAGAATTCTGTTAGAGTCCCACATCGGAAAGAAATAAAATCTTTGGGCAATATATATAGTATGAGGCAAACCTCCTCCCTTGAGCTAGCTTTTGGGTGTTGAGTTAGGTCCATTACTAATATGGTATCAGAGCCCAAGGTTGGCCCAACAAGCAAATTTCCCACAAAAATGGTTTTCCACCTATGTGGCCCATATAAGTGGCATGTCTTGTTGTATTTCCGAGATGTTGGGTTTGGGCTGTTTCCCGTTGAACCGTTTCCCACCCACATCTCGAGGAGGCCTATTAGAATGTCCCACATTGCTTGGGATTAAGATCTTTGGGTAGTATATAAAGGATGTGGCAATCCTTAACTCTTGAGCTAGCTTTTGGGTTAAGTTAGGCCACATTCCTAATATGGTATCAGAGCCAGGTTCAACTTTCTCGAAAGTGGGCTACCATCCGTGGATGTCCAGTCCCACAAACTTCACGCTTCAGATGGGCCTAACTCAACACCCAAAAGCTAGCTCAAGGGAGGAGGTTTGCCTCATACTATATATATTGCCCAAAGATTTTATTTCTTTCCGATGTGGGACTCTAACACACCCCCCTCACGCTCAGGACTGGACATCTGAAGCGTGAAGTTTGTGGGACTGGACATCCACGGATGGTAGCCCACTTTCGAGAAAGTTGAACCTGGCTCTGATACCATATTAGTAATGGACCTAACTCAACACCCAAAAGCTAGCTCAAGGGAGGAGGTTTGCCTCATACTATATATATTGCCCAAAGATTTTATTTCTTTCCGATGTGGGACTCTAACACACCCCCCTCACGCTCAGGACTGGACATCTGAAGCGTGAAGTTTGTGGGACTGGACATCCACGGATGGTAGCCCACTTTCGAGAAAGTTGAACCTGGCTCTGATACCATATTAGTAATGGACCTAACTCAACACCCAAAAGCTAGCTCAAGGGAGGAGGTTTGCCTCATACTATATATATTGCCCAAAGATTTTATTTCTTTCCGATGTGGGACTCTAACACACCCCCCTCACGCTCAGGACTGGACATCTGAAGCGTGAAGTTTGTGGGACTGGACATCCACGGATGGTAGCCCACTTTCGAGAAAGTTGAACCTGGCTCTGATACCATAATAGAGAACATGAGCAAAGAGAATCTGTGAATCGTTTTCTGTATTTCTCAAGAGTAAAGTTGTTACAAATGTAATCTTATATACATCTAAGATTAAACCAACTATACAGTAAACCGTAATCTAATTAACTTAACCAAGAATAGTAAACCGGTCTATATACATACTCTAATAAATTCGGGTATTCAAAGAACAGATGGTCATGGGAATCCCAAGAAATTATACAAACTTTGTATACTAGTTTTTAAGAAAAAATAGACTCGAGTTCTTAAGAGTGTAGAAGGACTAAAGAGAGACACACAACATTTAGGTTATAACTAAAATAAACAGATCATTTGAATTTGTATATAATTTAATCCAGTGAAGAATGATATTCTTCTACACCCCAAGCAACCCACTCCAAAAATATAGACAAATTAAACAATCTTATCTCTAAGCCACACATCTTATTAAGTTTAGTTAACTTAATGCAATATGACTAAGGGATTTAACTTATTAAACTGAATCGGTCACTTTCCAATAAGCAGATGTACTACTTTGACAACAAAAACATTCCGTGGCAAAATTCGCTGCTCTACACAAAGCCCACCGGATCTTAGCAGAAATGTCTCTCTTTTTAAAGGCGAAGAGTCGACAAACTTTCTGGAATGTCAAAATATCTACTTTGTAGACATCTTGTATACCATAAGAATCCAACAAGTGCTTGTTATGTGTAGTGATGATAACAACACTCCCCGGACCAAAACTGCTGAAATCCCCTGCAAGAGCTTCTAACTGTTTAACCTTATCGACGTCGTCTGCCACAAGCAGAACCTTTTGGTTCTTGAGACTTTGTTTGTTAGGGTTTTCTCTTTGAATATTTTGCAGAAACTCGTGGTGTAGATGAGCTGAGTGGCGACCCTGAGAAATCGTTTTCACGTTTCCCAGAAAACAATGGCTCTCAAACTGTTGACACATGTCCTGATAAACATATTTAGCTAGAGCCGATCTACCATCGCCTCCTCTTGTCCAAATCCCAACCATTCTCACATCTTTGTTGGAATTCAAATCCAATTTTCGGTTAAGAGCCTTCATGTGTCTATCAATCCCAACTAGGTTCCTCCCATTGCTTATTGTTGCAAAAATCGTCATCTTTTTTGATATCTCGTGAGCAATTTTGTCGACCAGCTTCGAGTCATCATCCCTACAGAGACACAAAAAAAAAAGAATTCGAAATTTTAATTAGCATCGATTCAAATCATCAAATCTAACAATAAAAATTCAATCTTTATCAGCAAGTTACCCTGAACAATCGCCCGATAGTTGCGCAAAAGCGGCCAACGCTTGCCTCCATGAAAGCACTTTCTCATGATCTTCTCTACTCTCATGCTTCTTAAATTGTTCAGCGACTACTCCGGTCTGCCACCTCACATGACCCGGTTCCACGCCGTAGAAGATGGGCATCACGGTGATGGAATCCTTGTTCTCGAAATCCATGATCTTCACGAGCTCATTGAGACACCAAGGAGACGCAGCATAGTTCTTGGAGAAAACAACGACGGCGAATCTCGACTCCTCGATGGCTCGTTTGAGCTCCGGGGTAATCCTCTGGCCATTCTCCAGGTCTCTGTCGTCTTTGAAGGTTCGAATGTTCATTCGAACCAGTTCTTTGTAGAGAAAGCTGATGAAGTTGCGGCGAGTGTCGAGTCCTCTGAAACTCAGAAAAACATCGTACTTAGTCGCAGTATCACAAGACATTTTGATTTCTGATTCTTCTATGGATAACTCTCAAGGATATATATATAGCCACTACCACTAGAGGAGTTGACTATAAAGAGTCTTCCTGCTGCTAAGTGTGTATTTCCTGGCATTTTCTATTTTTTTTTTTCTGTCAGCTTCTGTTTCACTAAGCTACTCCGAAAGAGGGTAGAGAAAAGATGGGCCGCCAAAATAAGAAAATGAGCATGGATAAAATATTAACGAACAAAAATCATCCTCTTACTTTTCTGGTGTTTTGGCATTTAGTGGTTTTGATTGGTTGAAGATTCAACTGTTTGTTTGATTATCGATCAAACTAATGGTTACAACTGAGTCAACTGTCGCACGAGAAAGATGATTGTTATGGATAATTTTAAAAACAATTACAAGTTTAAAACGAAAATGTTACATCTAGTTTATTACATCTAAGAGGGGAATCATGACATGTTTTGTTGCATAGTAGTCGGGCGTTCACAAACATTAAAACTAAATCGGGAGGCCATTTTCTTTGCATTGTCTGGGCGGTGGAGAGTATGGTTAGCCACAAAGTAAAAAGAGTTGTCTTTGTTGTAGAGAATGTCGTTCTAGTTGGAGTGGTTAATAGGCCTCAAGTTTGGCCATCATTCAGGTTTCAGTCATCTCAAATATTGTCGATGTTGAGTTTAATTTTGGAATGGAGAATGGTTGTGGAAACTCCGAGACATCGAATAAAGAAGCTTCTCTCATCGCACAAAGTTTCACTAAGGATTCTCGTCTTAATTCTTATGTTGCTTGTAGCTATCCTTTTTGGCTTGCAGGTCTCTTTCGTGATGAGAGATTGTTTTCCTCTTTATTATGATGGTTTGTTTCTAGTGTGTGGCTCAGTTAGGCGGTTCTTTCTTTTGTAAAGGCCGGTTGACTCATAGTTTAGTGGGTCGACTAGTAGCTTAGTGAGTTCTATACTCCTTGGTCATGACTTTTTGGAGACTTTTCTCAAGTCTGTTTGTAATGTTCGAACTTGTATAAAATCCATCGGTTGACCAAAAAAAAAGGCTCACATTTTCATTAGTGTCTGTCTGTGAGTGAATCTTCCAACTTTCCAAGTACCCCCAAAAAGCATAAATCAGAAAAGCAGATGAGAGTTTCTCATTATGAGGAAAGAAGCGAGAAATTTATCAGTGGCTTTGACCAGTATTAAGTAGTATTGGAGGACAAATCATGTAAAGGGCAAAAGCAAAGCTTTTTCTTGTCTGTTTTAGACCTGTAGATTCTAACTTTTAAAAGTTAGCAACTTTGTGTCTCCTGTTTTAAATTTTAAACACCCAATTGTACAGACAAATCTATAAAAAAATGGTGTTTTCTTTATTTCTTTTAAGGGAGAACAGTATTACATACAAAATGTACAAAATGGCTTAACATGTTAAAAACTAAGGAACAAATAAACACATCAATATAATATTCCTGAATCTAAACACTATCTTATTTGACCTCTAAATCTACACTGTGTATTGAAAATCAAATGAATCTAAAGACTATGTACTATTGCATTTATTCTTTCTCTAAGTTGATCTCTGTCACACAACAAAGTGAAAATATATCTCAAGGTCAAAAGTACATGACCTGAAATATACATGGCTCGATATGTAGACTGCTCGAAACCAACAGGATCGTCTCTTTCTTTGAAGGCATCTGACCTAAAGAGCTGACGAACTTCGTAGCATCTCAACAGCTCAACTTCGTAGACACTCCTCACCACTGATGAAACAAGCAATTGCCTGTCTTGTGTGGTAATGATGATTCTGCTCCCAGGACCAAACCAGCTAAATTCTTCTGCAAGTGCATCGAATTGTTCCAGCTTGTCTACATCGTTCGCCACAAGAAGAACCTTCTTGTTCCTTAGCCTTGCTTTGATCGTCTTAAGACACCTACGACAGCTCTTTGTTGTCAAACCTTCTCCTTGCATCTTCAAAAGAAGCTCATCTTGTAAGTGAGATGTATTGAAATGTATCGAAATCCGTCTCACGTCTTCGAGAAAGCAATGAGCTTCGAAGTGATGTTTGATGTTTTGGTAAACGTGGTTTGCTAGTGCTGATCTACCAATACTTCCTCTTCCCCAAATCCCAATTACACGAACATCTTCATTGGAATTCAGATTAAGTAGTGGATACAATTCCTCCATGTGTTGGTCGATCCCAATTAGGATATTATCATTCCTTGGTTTTTCCGAGAACAACTTTTTTGATATCTTCTCAGTAATTCCGTCGACCAGCTTCGAGTCATCATCCCTAAAACAGAAACAGAGACAAAGATCCTAACCATGAGAAACAGAGACAAAGACCCTAACTTTGAGAAACAGATAAAAATCGAAACTTTGAGAAACAGAGACAAAGACTCTAACTTTGAGAAACAGAGACAAATACCCTAACTTTGAGAAACAGAGACAAAGATCCTAACTTTGAGAAACAGAGACAAAGATCCTAACATTGAGAAACAGACACAAAAATCGAAACTTTGAGAAACAGAGACAAAGACCCTAACTTTGAGAAACAGAGACAAAGATCCTAACTTTGAAACAGAGATAAAACTCGAAACTTTGAGAAACAGAGACAAAAATCGTAACTTTGAGAAACGATTCAACAGATATAGATCTGAAATTCTCGACCCGGTTCATAAATCTGTAAGGTTTTGGAGATTTTACCAATCCTTTGAACATTCGCCGGAGAGATTAGCCAATTTGTTCAAGGCTTCCTTCCACGATTTGACTCTTTCTTTGCTTTCTCTCTTCTCATGCTTCTTGAACTGTTTCGCAACTACTCCGATCTGTCTCCTCACGGCTGAAGGATCAATCTCATAGAAAATGGGTATCACAGTGAGCAAACCCTGATTCTCAAGTTTCAAAATCTCCTTGAGTTCTTCGAGACACCAGAACGAAGCAGCGTAATTCACAGAGACCACCACGACGGCGATTCTCGACCCTTTGATTGCTTGGAGAAGCTCCGGCGAAATCGGACGGCCTCTCTCTAGTTCCTTGTCGTCTTTGAAAGTTCGAATCCCTTTTGATTCTAGCGCCTTGTAGAGAAAACTGATGAAGTTCTTGCGAGTATCTGCGCCTCTGAAGCTTAGGAAAACGTCGAATATTTGAGGAGTGAATGAGGAAGAAGACGAAGAAGATAGTGACCTGGATTCGAATATTCGTAAAGATTTAACCTTTTTCTTAAAACACGATAATTTTTTTAAGATCGTGTTCATGATTTTTTTAGTTTTGTTTTGTTTCACTCTCTTTATTGGGCTTTTAAGTTTGAGAGCATTTAGCAAGTGTATTAAAAAGGGAACAACGAATTAAGTTTGCTTTTATAGAGGAAGAAAAGAAGTTTGACAAAAAAAAGTGAGGAAAAAATAAAAAACAGTTTACGGAATGAAATTACCATTAAATTTCCAAGAAACTTTCTAAGACTATAATTGTTTGATGATCATAATTAGATTAAATCTATAAGAATATCTCCATTTATACTCAAATTTTATATATATAGTTATAGATAACTCCAGGCTCCAGCCGCCCACTCTGAGTCTTAAAGCTGCTTAGCTAAGAAGAAGTTGAGTTTAGATTTCTTTGGTGAATGTATTGCTTAATCATTTCATGGAAATTTTAACAATAATATTATATATATATATATATATATACACGTGTGCGTATATTGTTGTTTTGGTTCAAACAGAAATAAATTCAAACCACATATTAAACTAAAAATATAATGAAAGAAATGTCCATATTAACCAAGTGTTCTTGGTCTAGTGGTTGCCACTTGCGGAAGAGTTGCCATGTTGGTCTAGGCCAGGGATCGATTCCCCGCAAGCGTGCAATTGTTAGATCTCCACTTGGCCACATGGATATGGGCCCTTGCTTTCGGCCCATTTGCATACCCGGAGAGAGAGTCTATCTGTGGGCTGCACCTCCCCCAGGGGATTAGTCTGGTCCCTCCATAGGTCTGGGATTCCTCTGAATTATCAAAAAAAAAAAAAAAAAAAAAAAAAAAAAAAGAAATGTCCATATTATATTTGCATGGCAATAGACGGCCGGTACATCCTGCTCGATCACGTGAAATTTACGCTTAAAAACCGAGTTTATCTTTTTAATCACCAGCGAATTGTTCTTACCTTTGGAGACATGTTTACGTGTAAACGCCCATATAATAACCATCCTAAAGTTGAAAAAATAAATTTGGATAAAATCTTGGAATTGTTTTTGTCGCAATCATATATTCTAAAGTGATTATTTAATTTTTTGTATAACACATGCAACGTCACAGATTCTGGAGATTTGTGTACTTTGATTTGTACCTTAGAATTAATAAAAACGTTTTGTTTGTTGAAAATATTCGCCGTTGAAAGATTCTAACATATTTTATACGCTATTGTCGTTGTAGACAATGTAGTCATCGAGTTCGCAACGTAAGTAACGTATGCTACTCTACTTTGCCTAGTCATATGTTATGTTCGTCGACCGTCAGACCGTGCGTACAGTAATTAATCTCCACCAAATATTTTTCATTATCTATACTATTATCAGTTCAATTTAAAGTGCCATGACAAATTTCTTCTTGCTTTTTCAATAAGTCAAAACACAATTTTTTTGGTTGGATATGTTGTTTTCTTATTCAAGAGCAAGAGTCAGAGCTATTACCAACTCAAAAGAAGAAAGAGTCATAAGCTAAACATTTGATCTGATTTTTAGTTTGAAATGTCGATAAAGTTGTAAAATATCTCTGTAAATTTACTAATTTACTTTTGTAGACGTGTAGATGGAAACTGAGAAAAATTCAAACTAGAGTAATTAAGTAGACAAGTTATAAAAGTAAATTTGGAAAATGGTATAAATATTTAATATTGATATATAAAAAATGTTACAAAAGTGTTCGTAAGTATTTTAAAAAATAAAAATGGCAAAATGTGAAATACAAGTTTGATAAGATTTTGACGAATAACTGAACATGAAAAATACTAGCGGATAAAATGATTTTGGCGATTCCAATGCTATTTAATAACCGAATGTAAATAATGTTTTCTTGGATTGGTTTATTTGAGCCATCCAAATAATATAAAGTTGTTCGAAAAAATACTATTTCTTAATTAACGAGTGATTTCAGAAGGTGAATTGGTTATTAGATAATAGCAATTTAAAATCTTTGGTCAAAGCAGTGTATTATGGAATATTCAATATTGTTTGGCGTCCGTAACTCCGTATAGGCAGACTTTTTTTTCTTGGTTTGCAACTTTGCATCATCCTTATGGGCTACTTAAGTTTGGCCCAACACTTTTCCTAGCAATGCATAAGAGTCTATCCAAATATGAAAGAGAACAAATGAACCATTCTTAACTTTGAATTACATTTTGTTCAATTATTATTTTATATCTGTAAAGTTCTAGAAGTGTTTGTAACCAACTGTTAAAAGATCTAAAGACTAAAAGCAAAAGAGAGCCAAATATTCAGACAACTAAAAAAGTATTTTGAATTCGTTAAGCGGACTATGGATAAGGTGAAAAAAATAAATACTCCAATTCGTTTCACTTTACAACGGTTTATGCATTCCTTTTTTTTTTGATAAGATGTGTATGACTCTTCTTTTGGGTCAATGTTTATGTTTTCCTTTAAACAATGAATGTAAAAAATTATCGAATACTCGAATAATTATCACGACGTGACGATCACTTCAATTATCAAAACTAAAGGAGCTAAACCTTTGACATTTTATGATTACGAAGACAATTATCACAATCACTCCACATCTCTCGTTTTGACATTTTCTAATTCGTTTGTTGACTTTCAGATCCTACAATATAGTTTGCCATTCTTAATAAAGGTTTAAATCATCAATCATTAATATGCAACGATAAACTAAGAAAATCAATTATTAGTTGGAGTAAGCTACCAAATAGACAAACTTACGGCTTGATTGGTTCTCCCGCTACCACCCGCAAACGCTGCGTTTGCGGGCGGTTGCGGTTGCTAGCGTTTAAAACCAATCATAAAAAACGTTTTATACCGCTCCGAACCGCTCTAGACCGCTCCGAACCGCTGAATTCAAAAGCTCCTTCCCGCAAGCGTTTGCGGTTGCGGGCGGTAGCGGTTGGCAAATTTTTTTTTTTTAATTCAAATCCTATATATATATTAAAAAATACATAAATAACAAATAAATTAAAAAAAAAACTGAAAAAAAATTTAAAAAAAAATTTATCAAACCCTATATATATTAACGTTAATTCTCAAAACCCTAATTTTTTTCTATTTACCAAAATTATGGCGTCAATCTAAACTCAAGAAGCACAAAATACAAACAAAGTATTGTAATAAAATTATTAATCCAGAGGATCTAAGAATTCAAAACATCTATTTTTTTAGTTTGTCATATTATTTTTTTTGTAATTTGTTATATTACTTGATGCTGTTTTCTTATGAACCAAATGCATGAAGTAATAAGCACTTAACTATGAAATATATTATTTTAATTATGTAGTAATTTTATATATTTTATTATTATTAATTATATATAAATTGTTTTGTATTTTATCATAATAATATAAATATTTGGTGTTTTTATACTTTATTATATAATTATAAATTATATTTCTTTTGATCATTTTCGATTTAACCGTTGTCGCATCCGCTGGTTAACCAGTCATAAAACTCCCGCAAACGCACCAATTTTCAACCGCTTAACCAGTCGTTCAAAATGCATCATAACGCTTGAAACCGCAACCGCCCGCTTCCGCAAACTCCCGCAGACGCAACTGCACCCGCTGCGTTTAAACCAGTCAGGCCCTTATAAATGCTAATTTTATCCTTCCAACTATAAATTTTAATTGATGACAAAAAAAAAAACTATAAATTTTAATTTACTAGTACTCCTAATTCAGTAATAAAGCATTGATGACATAGTGCATCTAAACTCAATTAAGTCAAAAGGCTATTTTTGACAAAAATAAAAAATATTTAACTAGCATATGATCTAGCAACAATTAACATTTTTAAATTTTCAACCAACATGGTACTATAATGTTGTCGGTTCAAACTATTTTTTTCCAATATCTTTAAATGTATGTCATAATTCTTCTTATTACATCTGATAACTGTATAATTATTAGATGTGGACCATTTATAACATGTTTCATCTTTTTGACCATAGTAAGATTAAAACAATTAATCTACTTAAAATATATAAATTGATCAAGATCTATATGTCTTAATGCATAATTAAATTTTTAATATTTACTTAGCAAAAAAAAAACAATTTCCTAATTTCCTATTGGATGTTTTCGGATTGAATTTTAATAATATTATTATTGTCTGAAAAATAAATTGCGCGTCACTGTTCTTCTTCTTCTCTATCTAAGCGGAAAAATCAAATTGTTACAGTTCACAAGTAATCTCTTCTTCAAGCTTTCTCTCTCTACCAATTAAAGTATCTCTCTTTTCTTCTCTCTCTCTCTCTCTACGAAAACTCCGTTAGACCCGTTCTCTGTTCTAATTTTGTTCTTCTTCTTCTTCGTGTTCTCGTTAGGGTTTTTGATTCTTTCAACACAAACCCAAATCAATCTTCCTTTCTTCTCTCTTTTGTCTACGATGACCTCGAAGAACAATGGTTTTTCTGCCGCGCTTGTTTCGAATCTCCAAGATGTGCTTTCGAAGAGAAAAGTAGGGAACGAGGAAAAAGTTGAGAGCGATGGATCGGCGGAGGAGGCTCCGTCTACATCTGATTCCGTTGATGTTGCGGCGGTGGAGGAAGAGATCGATGACTCTAGACCTATTGTTTTAGTTACGAATGGTGATGGGATTGATTCGCCAGGGCTTGTTTCTCTCGTGGAAGCTTTGGTTCTTGAAGGGCTTTACAATGTTCATGTTTGTGCTCCTCAAACGTAAGGTTTCTCCTTTTGGTTGTTAATTTGATTTTGATTTGTTTATATTTAGTTTTGGTTAATCTTTTTTTGTTAAATTTCTGAACTTTTGGTGAGTCTCAAGGCCTGTGAATTGGAATTTGCAGGGATAAATCAGCTTCTGCCCATTCTACGACTCCTGGAGAAACAATCGCTGTAAGCTCTGTTAGTATCAAAGGTGCCACAGCCTTTGAAGTTTCAGGTATGCGGATTTTATTGAAATGATTATTTATACAGTTTTCTGAAGTTTCAAACATTTATAAGCTTGACAATTAAGCACATGGAATGTGAAAGTTGGAGTCTTTGTTGAAATAAGAAGATTCATTGATCTTGTTTTAATACATGTGGTGTGAGTACCGTTTTTGTTCATAGGCTTTGAAATTATTCTTTGGTCTCAGGGACTCCTGTGGACTGCATTTCATTAGGATTATCTGGAGCGCTTTTTGCTTGGTCAAAACCTATACTGGTTAGCATTTTTGACAGTCTCATTATTTGACTGTATGACATTTTGGTATTACTATTTCGTAATTTCTGTATCTTTGTTATTACTTATTTTCTTCAGGTAATTAGTGGAATCAATCAGGGTTCAAGCTGTGGGCATCAAATGTAAGTGTTTCGGTCTTGTATATAACTGGTTATTTCTTTTCTGCCTGTCTTCTATGCGTTTCCTGATTTGAGAATCCTCCAGGTTCTATTCAGGTGCAGTTGCTGGAGCCAGGGAGGCTTTGATTTCTGGAGTACCCTCTTTGTCAATATCGTTGAACTGGTGAGTATATCATGCGAATGTGTGCTGATACATATTTGGAATTGTTGGCCATAATGTTTCATATCGATTATAGGAAGAAAGATGAAAGCCAAGAAAGTCACTTTAAGGATGCTGTTGGTGTCTGCTTACCTTTGATAAACGCAACTATCAGAGACATTGCAAAAGGCGTTTTCCCTAAAGATTGCTCTCTCAATATAGAAATTCCAACATCACCCTCATCAAACAAGGTTTGTATCTCTAACAACACTCCACTAGGCAATGGTATAGGGAAGTTGATGCTTCGTGTACATATGAACAGGGTTTCAAGGTAACAAAACAAAGCATGTGGAGGCAGAGTCCTAGTTGGCAAGCTGTTTCAGCTAACCGTCACCCTGGTGCTGGGAATTTCATGTCCAACCAACAAAGTCTAGGTGCTCAGCTTGCCCAGCTTGGCAGGGATGCTTCAGCTGCTGTGAGTTTATTTCCTGTTCAGGAGTTTCAAACCTCTGACTTTGTTGTTTTTATATTAATTGTTGGTTCAGAAGGTCCAAGATTAGTATATTCGACTCTGATATTAAGATATCTGGCAATCTCAGGGGGCAGCTCGTCGTTTTACCACTCAGAAGAAGAGTATTGTGGAGATTGAATCGGTTGGTGTTGCTGGTAAAACTGATACCCGTGTTAAGAAATTCTTTCGTCTAGAGGTAAAGAAAACTTGAACCGTTCTCTTCACAAATCCTTTGGATAATCAGTGTCTACCACTGTGTTTTTGATTCCGACTTATATATATTTGCAGTTACTTGCTAAAGAACAAGAACACACAGATGAAGATTTGGATGTCAAGGCTCTAGAAGATGGTTTCGTAAGTTGGCATGATCATACTCTTTTTTGTATCATTCATTCATTCTCCTTTTCTGCATCCTGCTCTTTTCTGAATCAAAACTTGCGCTCATCATGAAACATTTTGTTTGGTTAAAGTCTTAAGTCTGTAGATATTTCTAAGGAATATATACCTGGATTTTAAATTACTTCCTTTTGGCAATGGCAGGTTTCTGTGACTCCATTGTCTCTACTTCCAAATATTGATTCGGATACTCAAGCTGCAGTATCGGAATGGATCTCCAAAGCCCTTTAACTCTGATCAATTAAAAAGGTCATAATCGTAAATTATGTTACATGATTTGGCCAAAACTCTCCCAACAAATCTGATTTACTGGATTCTGCATTTGTTTGTTCTTGTGCTCTTGTTGTCATTTAACCCTTTTGTTTATTTGATCTCCCTACAAGTCTGGGTTACTCTTGTTGGCTTGTTTGTTTGTCAGTAGCTGTTTTACCTTTGTAATTGGAAAAAAGGTCGGCTTTTTCTCTATTTCGAATTCATACATTTTGTACACCTTTTGATTGAGAAGAACAACTTTTACCCAAAATACTATGGCTGATAGTATTGCCTCTGCCAGTTTTTTGCATTAAACGCATCTCTTTGGAATGTGAATGAAATATGTGGCTATCGGTTAAATCTGAGTAGAATCATGTCACTGATTTTAATCTCAAATAGTCAAATCTCTGTCAAGCGTCTTGTCTCTGATTTTATCTTCTTCAATCTCAGTCCTTAATGACAACACCTACAAATCACATTTGGATACAAGAATTATAAATGTAAATTACAACTTTTGCATTGATGCTTGCACATTTGCCCTATCCAGGTTATACAACAGGGACAACACCACCTTTTTTCTTTCCTGCTAGTCTTATTGAACGCTGAACAACATCAGTGTAACGAACTATCAACATAGATGACAGAAACATCAATTTTATTGTATCCGGCACATCGAGTAAGCTTAGAACATGTAATTATTGGCCTTAATTTTGTTCGTATCCATTATAGGAAGAATGATGAAAGCCAAGAAAGTGTGTTTAAGGATGCTACTGGTGTGTGCTTACCTCTGATAAACGCAACTATCAGAGACTTATTAGAGAAAGAAGGGTTTCCCTAAAGACTGCTCTCTTAACATAGAAATTCCCAACATCACCCTCATATAAAAAGGTCGGTATTTCTAATAAAACTCAAGTCTCAGAAACTGATTTTGTGGCTTTGACTTTTGTATGCGAAGAACATGATATATGCAGGGCTGTGGTGATGATATTCTGTGATGGTGAAATATGAGCCTCAGTGTTCCATGATTTAGGGGAGTTGACATTTTGTCTACATATGAATAGTGTTTCAAGGTGACAAAACAAAACATGTGGAGGCAGAGTCCTAGTTGGCAAGCTGTTTCAGCTCATCGTGACCGGGTGCTGGGTATTTCATGTCCAATCAATAAAGTCTAGGAGCTCAGCTTCGCCTGCTTGGCAGAGCTGCTCTGAGTTTATTCCCTATTTAGGAGTTTTATACCTCGACTTTGCTGTTTTTATATTAGTTGCTGGTTCAGAAGGTCCAAGATTAGTAAATTCGACTATGATGTTTAGATATCTGGCAATCTCAGGGAAAGCTCATCGATTTACCACTCAGAAGAAGAGTATTGTGGAGATTGAATGGGTTGGTGTTGCTGGTAAAACTGATCAAGGAAGACATGGTTTGAAAGAATTGAATAACAAGCAAACGAGAAGGTATTGAAACTGTTTCAACCAAGTTCGGTGGAAGAATAAGAAAACAGATCGCTAAAGCGTATGAAACAAGAAAAGAAAGCTAGGCTTTCGGTTTGATTCGGTTTTTCAAGCTTGAAAGTTCTAATGCCTTCCGTCTTCTGAATCCAACGAGTGTTGACGAGACTTAGCTGAATCCATCCACATAAAAACACAAAAGAGAAAATAAAACAAACACACACATAATAAATAATCAATACACAAAAGAGTTTAGTGACGAACAGATGTCCTTGTTCGTCTTATTCAACCACTATTTGCACAACATTACTTTTCAAACAATCCAAGTGAAGTCGACACATGAACAATGATCATTCAAGAGCCAAGCAATATAACGGGAAACAATTTGCTTCATCCACTCCAATGTGTCGATCCACTTTGATCGGACGTCTCGGTGCATAGTCATCTGCTCCGATGTAACTCTTAACCTCTGAAGCGTAGTTATCACGTGATGCTTCAAGTTTACGCAATGTACTTTCCCATTCATCTATTTCCCTATTGCGTAAATACGATCCCAACACTTTCAGGGCCAGAGGAAGACGATTAGCGACATGGACAGCCCGAAAAGAAAGACTTTCGAAAACAGGGAGAGGACTGCTCTGCTTGAATGCAAATTCTGAGAAGAAAGCAAGAGCTTCCTCGTATCTCGGACACTCAACCTCGTAGATGTGTTTCACTCCACATTCAGTAAGCAAAGACCTTTCTTGAGTGATTACAATGACCCGACTTCCTGGACCAAACCAACTTGCGTCTTTCGTTATACCTTTAAGCTGCTTAATGTCATCAACACCATCAGCAACAAGCAGAACCTTCCGGTGCCCGATCATTTCTCTGATGGCACTATCAGAGCTCCCGCGGAAGCTACTTTCCTTGAAAGTTTCACTAGCAAGCATATCTAGTAAACTGAATGGGCACTGGGACCTGTTAATGACATTCTTTATATATATATGGTGCTGAAATCGTGGTGCCATCTCCTCGTAAAGGTGCCTAGCAAGAGTTGTCTTCCCAACTCCTTCCATTCCACAAATACCAATTGCTCTAGACTTTGCGCGCAATATTATATTGCGCAGATTTTCTAGGCTACCATTCATGTCTAGGAGGGGGAATTGACTGAATGTAGACAGTGAGATCGGTGTAAAAGCTGAGCTTGGTAGCGACAACGATCTCCAGTGCATAAACTTGCTTACCCTGAACGCACTTTCTAGCTTCAAACTCGGAGCCGGACTTAAACCAGTACTTTGATAGCTTGATGTGGAAGATTCCAGGGTATCAGAAATGAAACTCGTAATTTTATCCACCAGCTCGGAGTCGTCGTCCCTATCATTCATGTCAAATAAGTTGTTTTTTTGTTTTGTTTACTAAGTCTTGAGACCAGGAACAATTCTAGTTTATAGTATATCACATCAAAACAATATTTGCTGAGTAACCCAAAAAAAGGAGAGCAATATATAATAGCAAAGAGTGTACCAGTCATTGGAATGGAAGCTAGGTTTACGGGACACCTGAGCGTACAACCACTTCTTCACCATCTCCAAAGTCTCATCCTGCGTGTCCGCATATTTTTCTGTTACGTGTAAGATGTCCAAAGGACTAACTTGGAAGAATATAGGAATTGCCGTCAAAGTTCCTATCTTCTCACACTCTATTATCTTTCTCAAATCATCCATCCACAAGTCAGAAATCACGTAGTTCTTTGATATCACGGGGATCGCAACTAGCGACTGTTCCATAGCCTTCAGATCCGGGTCCTCGAAAGGATCAGAGACTATGAAACTTGTGATGTTTTTGGTCGTGAACGAGCTAAGAAGATGGCTCACAAAAGTTTTGCGCATCTCCTTTCCTCGGAAATTCAGGAACACGTCGTGCGTCATGATTAGGAGAAAGGCAAAATTAAGGAAGCTAAGTTCTTCTTTCCTTCTTTTTGAATTTTTTGCAAAGAAAGTTCTTAGGTTCCATGGAAAGATTATAAAGCAACTAATGAAGTCGTCGCTTGCACATCTCTATTACAAACACACGCGAAACATTCCGTTCTTTGAGATAAGAAGATAGATTCTTACATCAGAATGATATTGACATGACACTTTTTAAAGTAGAGGAATATACGAGTATATGTCAGAATTCCATTTGACTCAGGTATTTAGAAATCAAGTTGCTTAATCTGTATATGTATTTTATCTGCGTATGCTCAAACAACGCAAAAGAATTCTAAAGTTCTATCACACCGATACCAAAAAAAAAAAAAAAAGAGTTCTACTATTAAAAAATAATTCAGAGAACGGCCAGGCGTATGATTGAAATTCAAGAGCTATATTATGTTGCCACTGATGATTTTATAATATAAGCCAATCTGTCACAAGCTTGAAAGATTCAAATCACAGTTTCAGGCGTGTCGCGCCTATGTACAACATGGCAGTGTGTAACTAAACACGTTGACCTCCTTTATCTTTATGAACATTCTTCGATCAACATTCAAAAAACAACGGCCTAACTGCTTATTAAGGCCCAAGACAAAAATTTAATCTGCACATATACACATTGTTCCGATGGAGTTACCTCGTGTTGTGAAGCAGTACGATGTGTTCCTCAGCTTCCGAGGGGAAGATACCCGCAAAGGCATAGTCAGCCATTTGCACAGAGCATTTCTTGCCAGGGGTATTGACAAAATCTTCAAAGATGATCAAACACTTGAGATTGGCGACTCCATTTCCGAAGAAATCAAGGAAGCTATACATAATTCGAAATTTGCAATCCTAGTTATCTCAATGAACTATGCTTCCTCGACTTGGTGTCTAGACGAGCTCCAAATGATAATGGAGCTTCACAAGGAAAAGCAACTCACTGCCGTTCCAATCTTCTACAACGTTGATCCCTCCGATGTACGACACCAGAGAGGAACCTTTGCCTTAGAAAGGTACGAATGTTCAAGAGTTATGCTACTATTTTCAAGCAAGAAAAGAGCAATGGCGGCAAAGATTCAGAAATGGAGAGAAGCTCTCAGGGAGGTCGCAGGAACATCAGGCAAAGATTTGAGTACTTGGTGAGTTTTCGCTTTTCAGCTGCATTTTCCCTGTAAATCACTAATACTTAGCATCCTCTATAGTGGAACCAAACAAAGCTGATATAGAATAAGTTGTTAGTTATTACTCAGAGTGATGAGAAATGACCATGAAAGCGGATGAAGAATATCAAACATTTCCCACAGTCCTCTGAATGAGCCTTACTGTCGTCTATACTTCATCGTACCCGTGCCCATTAGCTTATATATGCATGCCACCTCCATCTTGGTTCTTCCTTGAGTCATGGCATTGTCTTCTAAGTCATATATCCATATTCATCCTTGCTAAGCTGTTAACATAGTCTAATAAAAATATTCCGATGCTTATTAGGGTGATGTAGACAAATGCAGCCATCATTTTGCTGGCTACCTTCTTTTTCATTGGTCCCTTCCTTCCTTGGCCTCTTCCTCTGCACGAAAGTAGTTTTTAATTAAAAGAATATATATATATATATATGCTTTGTGAACAACTATATTTGAAGTTACCTATCTAAAGCGACATCTTTTTCTTTCTTTTTTTTGTATGTCCTCCACATTAGTAAGGACGAGGCCACGATGGTTGCCGATATTGTTGGGCAAATTTCAAAACAAGTGTTCTCAATGGAGCCACTAGACTTCAGTGATATTGTAGGGATGAAAGTTCACATGGAACGACTGAATCCTCTATTGAGTATTGAATCTGAGGATGAGGTTCGTATGATAGGAATATGGGGAATGGGAGGCATCGGGAAAACCACCATAGCCAAATGTCTCTATGAAAAATATTCACGTCGATTTGTTCATTATTGTTTCATAGAAAACGTTAGGATTGCTGCAAAGAATGGCCTCCCGTATTTGCAGAAAAAGCTTCTTTCCAATATCAGAGGAAAGAAACAAGAGACCCTATGGTGCGTGGAGAAAGGATGCAGTTGTATCAAGTCGAAGCTTAAGGATAAAATTTTCCTTGTCCTTGACGATGTGGACAACGTGGACCAGCTGCATGCCCTGGCAAAAAATACTGGCTGGTTTGGACCAGGGAGTCGAATCATCATAACTACACGAGACTTTGGCTTGCTCTACTCCTTTGGAATGAGATTATTATACCATGTTAGCTTTCTGGACACCAATGATGCCATCCAGGTCTTTAAACAGGTTGCTTTTGAAGGAGGGCAAGCTCCTTCTGATGTCTACCAGCAATTCTCAATCCGTGCTTCTAGGCTTGCTCAAGGTCTTCCTTCAGCCCTCGAAGCTTTTGGCACATATCTCCGCCGGATTACCTGGATAGAAGGGTGGGAAAAGGCATTGGGTATTCTTGAAACAGTTCCCCATCAAAGTATCATGGATATTTTGAAAACTAGCTATGACGGTTTAGATGAGCAAGAACAGGCTGCGTTCCTTCACGTTGCATGCCTCTTCAATGGAACCTCTGTCCAGCGTGTAAATGCCCTTATCGATGATGGTGACATAAGGACAAAAGCTTTAGAAGCGAAGTCTCTCATAGAAATATCACCTGATGGATGCATCACCATGCATGTCTTGATAGAACAAGCAGCAAGAGAAATTGTGCGCCAAGAATCTGGCTCCATGCCTTGGAGACAAAGAATTTTGTGGAAAACTGATCCAATCATCTTTGTGCTACAAAAGAACACAGTAAGTGTTAAAACACATTTTGATTAAAAAATTTCCCTGGTTTTGGCCATATTTATATTGTCTTCATGTCAACTGACTCCAATTCTCTCATCAGGGTACAACAACGACTGAAGGTGTAGCACTACACATGTGTGAGATGCTTCAAGCGTTGTCTATCGAGGGAAACGTTCTTAACGAGATCAACAATCTAAAATTCTTCAAAGCCTTTATGCATTTGAATGATAAAGAGTCCAAACTGAAGTTCCTTCCAGGCACAGATATGCTTCCCAACACACTCAAGTTACTACATTGGGATTCCTATCCTATGACAACTTTGCCTCAAGGATACTATCCGCATTGTCTAGTTGAACTCAATTTGCGTTACAGCAGTCTTGTGCATCTGTGGGATGGAACACTGGTAAGCTATCAAAACACGTTGGTGTTGAGTCTGTTATAGCAACTAAAAGGTGTCACGATCTACTAAAAAGTATCTAAGATTTCACCGTCTTCTTTTTTTTGTCCTATATTCAGGACCTCAGTCAGTTGAAGAGACTAGATGTTACTGGCTCAAAGAATCTGACCGAAATTCCAGATCTTTCAAGGGCCGCACTGCTGAAGGATTTAATAATGAAAGGCTGTACAAGACTGAAGCAAACTCCAGAGTCCATTGGAAGCTTATCTTGCCTGCGGAAACTCGATTTATCCAATTGTGATGGCTTAACGAATCTTCAGATTCATATATCAGAAAAGATTGTCCTCCGAGAACCTGGACTCAGGCGACGGCGGCAAATCATATTGAGACTTCCCAGAGCAGTAAAGAAACTACATTCTTTGGCAAACCTATCCATAGAGGGGAAAATAAACATCGGGTTGTGGGATATCATGGGCAATGCAGAGCATCTCTCCTTTATTTCCGAGCAACAAATTCCTGAGGAATATATGGTAATTCCAAAGGAAAGACTTCCGTTCATCTCAAGCTTCTATGATTTTAAATCGCTAAGTATCAAGCGAGTTAGCTACAGCGCAGATGGTGTCCCCTTCCGATGCATTAGCTTCTCAGCTTTCCCGTGCTTGGTAGAGTTGAATCTAATCAATTTAAACATCCAAAAAATCCCAGTCGACATTGGTCTAATGCAGTCACTAGAGAAACTGGACCTCAGCGGAAATGATTTCAGGAGTTTACCCGCATCAACGAAGAACCTTTCGAAGTTGAAATACGCGAGGCTCTCTAATTGCATCAAACTCAAGACATTTCCAGAGCTGACTGAGTTGCAGACGCTCAAGCTTTCCGGCTGTTCCAACCTCGAATCACTGCTGGAACTTCCTTGTGCGGTTCAAGATGAAGGCAGATTCCGTTTGCTAGAGCTTGAGCTTGATAATTGCAAGAATCTCCAAGCATTGTCAGAACAGCTTAGCCGTTTCACCAATTTAATACACTTGGACCTAAGCAGCCACGACTTTGAAGCAATCCCTGAAAGCATCAAGGAGCTGTTATCACTGGAAACTATGTGCCTCAATAACTGCAAAAAACTCAAATCAGTGCAAGAGCTTCCACAAAGCCTCAAGCATCTCTACGCACACGGCTGCGATTCCCTGGAAAATGTCAACCTTTCCCCAAATCATTCTATCAAACACCTCGATCTTAGCCATTGCTTCCGTTTGCAACAAGATGAGCAACTGATTACACTGTTTCTAAACGACAAATGTAGCCAAGAGGTAAGCTTCTTGCTATCGTTAACTGCTATTTACGATTCTTCTAATCCTCTGTTATGAGACAATTCGCTTTTAATTCTTTCTAGGTTTCACAACGATTTCTTTGCTTACCCGGAACTGAAGTGCCCAGAAATTTCGATAATCAATCCCATGGAACATCTACGAAGATCAGCCTCTTTACACCGACAATTCTGGGTTTTGCTGCTTGTATCTTGATTTCTTGTGAGAGGTCCTTCAATCTCCAATTCCCAGCGTTTAGTTATGACTGGAACAGCGAAGCTGATGAAGTAATTTGGATTAACCTCAAACCAAATCTCAATCATTCATCGGATATTGAGGAAGAAGAAACTGTTGCATCACATCATCTGGTTGTCATCCACCTACCGAGTAGCATAAACACCGAGAAAATACAAGAGTTGCGACTCGAATCCCATCTTCAATTTCCAGAGGAGAAGTTTCAGTTTCCGCCAGGCGAGATAAGAGCTTGTGGAATTTGCATTATTGACGAAGAAGACTAAACAACTTCGGCTTGGTTTGGGTCAATTTGAGGTTTATGTTTATAATCGGTTTGGTTGTTTTTGGTTCTATTGTGTTTTCTAACTAAAACCAAAAATTAACCAGCGATGGGACATCATTCCTAAACAACCTGGTTTTACAACAAACAGAGCATGACTGCCTTGATTTTTTTTTTCCTTTTCCTAATAACATCGCAAAATTCTTGTTTTGGTATGTTACTACTTACTACTACCTTTGATTTTCGTTTCAGAATCTAACGTTTTGATTGACGTGAGTACTTTTAGATTCTTAACTTTACGAAAGTCACTCTATGCAGTATTTTGCCTTCTATTGAGCAAGTTTGACCAAGTTGTTACCTCTTTGTACCATGGGCGTCTTTATTGATTAGATTAGACAAGCCCAGAAGAGTTCGCTTTTATAGTGAAAATGCTACATCAAACATTATGAAAATACATCTATCACATGTTCACATTTGAAAAAGCAAACACCTTTTCAGGTGAATTTTTCCTTATAATCATCACTAAATGAAGAGATTTGCTCCTTCTCATTTTCGATTTTGTAGCTTTTCTTCATAACTTTCATTATAGTTTTCTCTTGGTCTCCTTCAAGTTTTTGCAGCTCCTCCTCCCAACTCTTTTCATCCTTGCCATGTAAAAACGAACCGAGAATTTTAAGAGTCAGAGGAAGGAAACTGGCAATCTGGATAGCACGAAGGGAGAGTGATTCAAAACTGGTAGGAGGGTGTTGCTGTTTGAAGGCAGATTGAGAGAAGAGTTGAAGGGCTTCGTCGTATCTCAGGGACACTTGATAGACATGCTCCATACCAAATTCATCTAACAAATTCTCGTCCTGTGCGATAAGGATGATTCTACTTCCTGAACCACACCAACCAACGATCTCTGCTATGTCCTTTAACTGTTCGATATTATCCACACAGTCAACCACAAGTAGACCTTTTCGGTGTCCAACTGCTGATTTGATCACACCTGCAGTACTTTTCTCATTTATTCCCCTTGTCAGCTTTTGAAACCCCTCTCGAGTCTCTCTTGATGTGAATGTTTCCCGATTGTCTTGGTGATAGATCTTTTCGGTGTTGTCTAAAAACATACGGACATGGAAATTGGTAGACAGTTCTTCGTAAGCGTATCTCGCTAGTGTCGTCTTGCCAACGCCTCCTGGACCCCAAAGGCCGACCAAACGAACTTCCTTGTTAGATTTTAAATTCAGTAACTCATATAGCGCTTGCATATGACGATCCAATGCGACATTTCCATCTGCTTTGGTTGTTGATGGACTATTCGGCTTCTTTGAAACCATAAGCAAGATTTCATTCGTAACCAAATCTACCATCGTCTCTTCTTTGCTCCTGTGATTGAAATAAAAAAGTACCATGTAACAAAGTGTTAGCGTACAACTAAGGCCTAAAGTAATCACTATTCATGTGGTTTTAATCATGTTATGAAACATAGTTACCAAAAACGTGAATCCAGGCTGGATACACTGGTGAGTTTGGCAAGAGCACTCCTCCATGCTTGAACCTTCTCAGATGAAAATTCTTCACCAAGTTTTCTAAAAGGTTCTGTGTATTCTCCAGTCTGTTTTCTTATATTCGACAAATCAACTCCGTAGAAGATGGGTAGGACAGAGAGTTGACCTTCATCGTGAAAGTTTATGATTGTTTGAAGCTGGTTGAGGCATAGAACAGAAGTTGGATAGCTCTTCGAGACCACTACAACGGCGAGTTTTGACTCTATGATACATTTCTTTAGGTCAGAAACAACGGAGGAGTCTTTCTCCTCCAGCTTTTCATCTTTTTGATAAGTTGTAATGCCTTTTTCTGACAACGAGCGGTGAAGATCTGATACAAATATGTTGGTGGTGTCTTCTGCTTTGAAACTTAGGAAGACATCAAACTTGGGGATAAGAGATGAAGAAGAGGAAGACATTAAGAAAAGTTGTTTAGATGGTCTTTCGCTGAAGAGATGAGAATTTCAGAGACTAAGACGGGGAGATACACAGTTCGGAACAGAAGAAGAGCCCCTACTTGGACATAGTAAACGATGGATTTTTTAAATATGAAATTGCTGCGTCAAAATACAATTTCTTATGTTGAACGTGCAAGGCAGTTCAATTGGGTGCATTAAAACATAAAAGGGAAGTGGTCAAGTTGGATTAATGTGAAAGTAAACGCTGACCTTGGCACTCTTTCCTGGGCTAGCTAGAATCCAACCCCCAGTAATTCTAACATTTATAGAAGAGTAGAAATAATTTTCCAATTTTTCAGATAGAGAGCTTTCTTATAAGTCTCAAACGCCATAATATTCGGTGATGGCTTCCTCGTCCTTGTCAACTCTTGTTAGGAGCAACTATGATGTCTTCCTCAGTTTCAGAGGGATAGACACTCGGCGCACCGTAGTCAGCTTTTTGTATAAAGATCTTATACGCCAGGGAATTCTTACTTTTAAAGACGATCAGGGGATCGGGAAAGGATCCGAAATTAAGGAAAGACTCATCGAAGCCATAAAAACTTCACAGGTCGCTATTGTCTTCATCTCGGAGAACTATGCTACCTCGAGATGGTGCTTGGAGGAGCTCCGATTGATAATGGAGCTTCATAGCGTGAATCGGATTCATGTGGTTCCCATCTTCTACAGAGTCGATCCTTCTGACGTGAGACACCAGACAGGAAGATTCGCGGCTGACTTTCAAAGGCACGAAGATAGGGAGCCGAATAGGGCTTCCCAATGGAGAAGAGCTCTCAACCAAATTAGTCATATATCAGGCATTCATTCCACGGAATGGTAATCTTTCTTTATTTATCTTCAACTGCTTCGAATGTCTTATTGATGTCAAGAGAGTTGGTACAATGTACATAGACTAACTTACGTTTAACCTAATTAGATTAGAAAATAAATATAAACATAATAAGTAAATATTCTAAATCTCTTAATCTTTATCACAATAGTATTTCTAGAATAGTCTTCGGTCTGGGCTTCACGAGTTCACTTCATAAACGGACTTTGACGGTCCATAATAGTTGGTCCCTAAGATAGCACCTTACTCCCTAAGGTATCTCCAATAATAGTTATCCTTAAGGAGAAGACAACACCTTAAAAGTCAATTTTAAGCCATTTACAACCTTTCCAATTCTCCATTGCTAGTCTTTAATTAACTTCACCGAATAGTATTGATCCTATAATTTAAAATCAAGTTAGTGAAGGGAATCAAGAAATAAATAAACATATGTTGGCTTCAATTGGTAACCATGATTTAAGAAAAGAATGAGAAGAAATGTGATATTCTTCTTTGTTCCCCAATATTTTTACCATTTATAAATAATGTTTTTTCCACATTATCATTCCTCTACATTCTTCACCAAATGAGGAACAATGGAACAAAAATTTTCTTTTCCAAAATTGATGAGGAACAAAAAAAAAAATATATTAAAATTCGGTTTTTATTAAAAAAAAAATTATTTATCAATAATATTTGTATTTTAGTATATACTAATTTCATATCTTCACAATATTAACAGGAAAAATATTTTTGATAAGAATTTCATATTAAACTACTCTTAAGACTTCATTTGAAAATTATATAAATAATAAAATAAATTTAAAAATATTTATATTGTAAAAGAATAATATCTTTTAAATTACTCTTACAATTTTATTTTATGTTCATATTAACTATTATTATTTAACATGATATTTATAAATTTTGTTCTCAAATTTTAGTTTCAAATTAAATATAAAAATATTAGTATTTTCATTAAAATTTGATTTATTTACTATTTAATATATTTTTAAAGATATTCTTATTGTTTAATTATCATTCATCATAATGGTACATTTTATTCCTTCTCTGAATCTTCTTGTTCCTCAAAAATTGTTTGTTCCTTTACGTATTGTTTTTATTATTTATTTTCTGTTTGTTCTTTTAATGGTTACCAGTTGAAGCCGTTAAGTTTATTGGGTTTCCAACTCAAAAGCAGTTGACAGTAGTATACCGGCTCATATCTCTTATATATTGTAGAATATAGTAGTTTAGCACCATCCGATTAACCCGATTTAAACCAAAAATAAACCAAGTATCCCACATATTCGGTCCAGTGGTTGGATCGGCTTTACGTCAAAAGCACGATTAACTCGGCAATAATTAACTCCAACCGACCTAACAAAAATGGAAGGATTAACTCTCCCAAAGAATAAGGAAAAAAAACATATCCGAAAACTAGGATACCCTCGGTATAAATAGGGAGTTCGGCCATCGAACAAAGGATCGCTAATTGACACCTCAAGAACCCTACATTTGTTACTTGCAAAGAAACCCCTAACTTGTTCCTCAAGCTTGTTAGAAATCTCTTGTAATATACTAGGGATTAACCCCCGCTACGCGGGGGTTTGTTGTTATCGATTGATTTAATATATTTTTGGTTTTAGTATTTATTTAAGTAGCTATACATTGACATTACTAATAAAAAAATACTACAATATTTATTATTTATTCTTTTTTTAACATAAATGTTCTTATTTATATTTTTAGTATCATTTACGTTATTTAAAATTTTGTTTTAATAAGCAAAAAAAGTTTATTGGATAAAATTTGGTATAAAATATATTACAGATATGATGTGTCATTATCTCTTACTTGTTTTATACTATTCAAGATTTTGCTATTAGTAAAGCAATTATAATATTTTAACAATTACCTCATTCATCCTAAAAAGACCATCAGAGCATCTCTTATACAAAAATGGCTCATCCCAACACTGTGAGAAACCTCGCCATCAAGTTTCAGCTACATATAAACAAAATGTTGCCATAAAGAGGTCATGTCATAACTGTTTTCTCACTTTCTTTCCATATTTGATAATCCAAGTTTGTCTTATGGTGTCAACCGCATTTCTCTCTTTTTCTTTTATTTTTTTACATGGAAATCAACCCTTATTACCTAAATTCTGACGTTAATTGTTCATAATGCAAGGAAACTGATCTCATCAATTAAATTTATTACTTTTGTTACGTCTTCCTAATTCATGTTTTGATTGAAATTGGTACTCTAAGAAGAACAACTTTTTCCATAATTTCAACACAAGTCTTTATACTTTTTCTTGGTTAGATATAATCCAACTGAAAAAATATACAACCTAAGTTTAAAAAAAAAACCACGCAATAAGTTACCTCATTAGCCGTAGACATCTTTCACAATATTGGCTTAGACACTTTTCCCAAGAGAGCTTCCTTGCACGGTCTTACATGTATGTTCCTCAACTCTCACCGCAACCACCACTTTTCTAGATTTATTATTGTATGGGGACAAACTTCGACGGCTTTCTCATTTTGGTGTACGCAAATTCACTATTGTTCTTCGTCTATCTTCATTGTATTGGTTAGTGTAGCTCTTCTAAATATAAGATTCTATACAGAACTGTACTCATAAGCTTATCTATACTTTATTTTTAACAATTCATATTTTTTTACATTCTTTTCAATATGTATATGAATTTTCGTGTTCACAATTTTTTTCCGGAGAGCTATCACTCTTTCTATATTTTTGCAAGCACTCCTTTCCTTTATTTCATTCTCTATTCCATTAGCACATCTACCATTCACAAACTTAGCTGGACTCTTTCGGTTCTACTCTTACCAAAACAATAAAAACTACTTACAGTCTCAAATGACAAACAATCTAACAAACAGAAGCATAATATGTTAGGTGGTGGTGCAGACATGCAAGTAATAAAGTTGTTGATCTCTATGGGATATAGCGTCTCGGAAGGAGGAAAGTTAGATCTATTAGGTGTGGATGTAATGTCGAGTGAATCATACACAAAAAAAAAAACGTTCGTAACAATCAATGATATATGAGAATAAAAAAAAAATCATAATATATATATTAACATTTTAGCTAAAAGCATGGTTATGATTTATTAGCGACAAAAGCAAAGATAAATATATTAAATTGTGAGTATGAGAGGAAAAAAAAAATAGAAGTCCAAATATTGCTTCAAGTGGCAAAAGCGATGGAAAAAATATAATATGTGCCATTAAGAGTATTAGACTGTGGGCTTCCAACTCAAAACCCATTGGCTATGAGTGAAGAGCCCCATATCTTATATATACCACTTAAGATCCTACTCAACTTCCAGTGTGGGATATTGTTATCCCTTATACGCCCGCTCGAGATGATGGCTCTTTTACCCATTGATCTCGGTATGTTCGGGCATGGATAGGCGGACCAATTATTTTGTTAGGCCGATGTGGATTGGGTTGAGCATTTGCGGATCGGGCTCTGATACCATATTAGACTTTGGGCTTCGAACTCAAAACCAATTGAGTGTGAGTGGAGATGTCCATATCTTATATATAGCATTTAAGATTTTACTCAACTTTCAATGTGGGCTATTGTTATCCCTAATAAAGAGTAGTAACCAACCCTAACTGTTACCGACAATTCAAATATTGTTATCCCAATTAATGTTAATTAATGATGACTATGACTAATTACGATTGGTCGTTTAGAAAATATGACAATATAATCAAATTTTTGAGATAAATATGAATTATTTTATGTATTATAATAACAAAATTTATATACATCTTGCTTCAATATATTGTCATAGTTTTTTCTATCTTTAAATATTTTTAAAATAAAAGTCATAAATTTTTAAAATATCATTCAATGAGATATCTATTGTGATTAAATGGCTATTGTTATTGAAGATAAAGTACTAATAAATGTAGTAAGACTAAAAATAAATTCTGTATTTTCGTTTAAAATTGTATAAACTTAAAAAAGATAGTTTACATTTTGATAATGTTTATATTATGTATTTTGATGACAAAATATTTAGAAAATTTTCCATATTTTCAAATATTTCTCTTATTTATATATGTTGCTTTTTCCATTTATACAAAAATCTTAAAAAAATAGAAAATAATAATAATTTCAAAAACGTTAACTAATGACATGTCTAACCGTGATTGGTGGTTTAAAATTCCATGTGGACGGCCTCAGAAGCTTATAGCCTCGACTTTTTTTACCATTAAAAGTACTAACCAACCCTAATTGTTACTAACGGCTTGAAATTTATAGCTTAAAAATTATAATCAAATCAGATGCCTCCGGTTATTATTTATATTGAAAAGATCTAGAGTTAATCGAATATGTTTTTTGTCAATATTCTTTTTTTTTGTTGGAAAATTAGAAAATTAACAAAATAAGAATATAAGTTTAACGTATTCCATATATTGTTTTTCAAAAATTTACTTTTTCTTGTATATTTTGATTTTCTTATTTCCATATGTTGTTTTTCAAAAGTTGACATTTATATTCTTTGCATATATAATTTTTTTTCTTTTCTCATAAATATATTAATATATAAAATATTATAATTTTATAATTTAATTAACGTGATGTCAAAAAATATTAACTAATGTCAAAAAATATTTACATTTTTTATTATTTTCATTTTATATATTTGACTTCAGAATTGTTTCATATTTTTAGATATTTCTATATAAATTTATAATCTTTAAAAATTAAAACTTGACATTTTGATTATAATTAGAAATATTTCTATATTTTCAAAAAAAACACAAGATTATAATTAGAAATATTTCTATATTTTCAAATATTTCTCTTATTGTTTTTCTTTTCCTTTTTACTAAAACTTTAATATAGAAAATTATCATAATCAAAATATGTTAATTAATGACATGTCCAATCCCGATTGGTCGTTTAAAATCCTATGTGGACGGCCTCAGGAGCTTATAGCCTCGACTTTTATATAGTATAGATTTCAACATCTGACATTTTCTCTTCTTTACATATATATTGTTTTTTTCTTTTTCTAATATAGAAATTATTAGAATTTAAAAATGTTAACTAATATGATGGTAGAAAAATGTTAATTAATGAGATGTCTAACCGCGATTGGTGGTTTAAAATCCTATGTGGACGGCTTCAGGAGCTTATAGCCTCGACTTTTATATAGTATAGATTTGAGTTCGGTCTTGACATTAATATATGTTTTACTCACACTTATACTATTGTAAGTTGGTTTACTCGCACATATACTATTGTAAGTTGTGATGTGAAATTTTTCTCCACAACAAAAACTCCAAAGAATGAAAAAAAAAGCGATGCTGCAAGAAATACATGCTTGATGTATACCTTTTGTTGTTTTGGGGGAGGATTAACTTACTTGTTTTCCATATTAGGGAAGATGACGCAGCGATGATAGACAAAGTAGTTGGAAGCATCTCAAAGCAACTGCTGCTAAGGATGGAGTCAACTGTTTTGAACAGTTTAGTTGGGATGGAAGCACACATGGTTAAAATGAATCTCATTTTGAATATGGGGTCTGAAAACCAGGTTCTCTTTATAGGAATATGGGGTATGGGAGGCATAGGCAAAACCACCATTGCCAATTGTCTATATGACCGATTTTCAAGTCAATTCTCAGCTCGTTATTTCATTGAAGACATTAAGAATATTTATAAGGACAAGAGTCCTGCGTACTTACAGGAAAAATTCCTCTTCAGAATTTGTGGTGGTTTAGATATTGGTTTTCGAAGCCATGAAGCAAGATCCCAGAAGATAATCGCAAGACTCGGGCACCAAAAAATACTTATTGTGCTTGATGGTGTGGATAAAGCAGAGCAGGTAGATGCACTGGCAAAAGACACGAGCTGGTTTGGTCCAGGGAGCCGAATCATCATAACCACACGAGACAGGGGTCTGCTCAATTCCTGTGGAGTAAACAATATATATAAGGTTAAGTGCTTGGACGATAAGGATGCCCTCCAGGTATTTAAAAATTCAGCTTTTAGAGGAAGACCGCCACCAGATGGATTTGAGCAACTATTCATCAGAGCTTCTCGGCTGGCACACGGTCTTCCCTCTGCCCTTGTGACTTATGCCACCTATCTCAGTGAAAACACAACCATAGAGAAGTGGGAAGATGAATTAAGTTCACTTGAAACAAGGCCTCACAAGAATGTCAAGGAGATTCTGAGAAATAGCTACGACGATCTAGATGATCAAGACAAGACAGCCTTCCTTTGTGTTGCATGTCTCCTTAACGGATACCCTTTCAACCATGTCACTTCCCTTCTTGATGACGGTCGTCCTATGATGAATCATTTAACTGCAAAGTCTCTCATCAGCATATCAACGGATGGATGTATAAACATGCATTTCCTGGTCGTACAAACAGGAAAGGCAATTGTGCGCCAAGAATCCATGAATAGGCCTTCCAGACAAAAGTTTCTATGGGATCCTAATGAGATCTATGATGTCCTGGATAACAACATAGTAAGTTTGTTTCCGATCCTTTCGATGATCTGGATATGTATTTCTTAACCTTTATGACAGTGACTTTGACGTTTCTATCAACAGGGTACAGACGAAATTGAAGGTGTGACACTGCACATGTGTGAGATGCCTGATAAGTTACCTATGAGTATTACAGTATTTAACGTTATGCATAGCATCAAATTTCTCAAGTTCTTCAAGCACTTGGGTGATGAAGAGCTCAACGTGCAACCCAGGCAAGATGGTTTTTATTTCCCCCCTAATATTAGGCTACTACATTGGGATGCCTATCCGTTGAAAACCTTGCCATCCACGTTCCGACACCACCACCTCGTCGAACTCAATCTCCAACACAGCAACCTTGAGAGCCTCTGGGATAGCACGGTGGTAAGCTAATTTTATAAATCATATATTTGATCACTCTTTAATACCACCAATGAATAATAATGTTTTTCATTTTGGCGGTACTGGTTCAGAACCTTCGGAAATTACGAAGACTGGATGTAACAGGCTCGAAGAATCTGAAAGAACTTCCAGATCTTTCAACAGCCATGAACTTTGAGGAGTTGATAATAGAAGGCTGCATGAGGCTACGGAATATCCCAGAGTCCATAAGAAGATTACATACTCTCACGAAACTCAATGCAATCCACTGCTTCCAGCTTAGGCGTGTCGAGTTCAGTGTTGAGTTAAATGACAGCTACGTATGTGGAGGCAGCTCCGGAACTTCCTTGTCGTTTCCGAATAAGGCAATGATGTTCCCATTTCTTAAAAATCTATCAGTCGAAGGCAATATATATATAGAGTTGTTGGGCCTTAGCGGAAAAGCAGAGCACCTCTCTTTTGGTTCCAAGCAACAGCCCCCTGATCAGTCGATGACGATAGAAGAGGAACCAGGAATGCCTCAGCTCATGTCAGATTCTAACAGTTCAAAATCGCTTGAGATCAAGCAGTTTAGTTACAAGGAGTATCGTGCTCCTTTCCGTTGTTCCAACTTTCAAAATGTTCTCTGTTTGACAGAGTTAAAGCTGATGAACTTAAACATCCAAGACATCCCGGAAGACATAAGCCACTTGCAATTCTTAGAGACACTTGACCTCGAGGGAAATGATGTCATGTCTCTACCACGAACCTTGGGACAACTGCCCAAGTTGAAGTATCTCAGCCTTCGAAACTGTCGCCAACTTAGGGAACTGCCACAACTTACTCAGGTGGAGACGCTCATACTTTCTGACTGTGTGAAACTCTTATGGTTGCTGGAATTTCAAATTAAGGAAAAACGGGCCACATACTGCTTGCTTGAGCTTTGGCTTGATAACTGCAAGGATGCTTACTTCGAGTCACATTATTCCGATCATTTCACCAATTTAACATATTTAAACCTCAGCAGCCATGACTTTATGACAGTGCCTTCAAGCATCAGAAAGCTTTCATCCTTGGAAACTCTCTGCCTCAATAATTGCAAGAAACTCAAATCAGTGGAAGAGCTTCCACTGAGCCTCAAGCATCTCTATGCACATGGCTGCGATTCCCTGGAGACTGTTTCCCTTTCTCCAAATCATTCAATCAAACACGTCGATCTTAGCCATTGCCCCCGCCTGAAACAAGAAGAACACGAGCATCTAATGAATCTGTCTTTATATGACGGACATAGTCAAGAGGTAAGCTTACTGCTATCTCGACCTGTTTTTTCTTCCAATCAGTCTGTTTTTTTGGACATTATGAATGTACTCCCCTTTTTGTAGGATTCACGGCGATGTGATTTCTTACCGGAACCTGTAGTTATGAGCGTAATTGATGATGAAGTCCCAGGGACATGGAAGAGGATCAGCATCCCTCTCATTTGGGTTACCCTAGTTGGAAACTTTTTCCGGTTTTTCATTTCATTCTTTAGAAAACATTGATCTTGACCACTGCTCTCCTTGATTCCTCTATGCCATGAGACCGCCAATTCTGGTAGGGTTTCCATCACAGCGCGCTTGCGTTCACCTTCAAACGATCAATCCAAGAGGAGTTTCTCATTAATCCGCCGCCTCCAGATTCAAGTGCTTCTCTAGATTTGCCTGGCCCTTCTCTTGATCATTTTGTTTACTGCTTAATTTGCTGCTTCTCTGTGAAAAACTCCCGAGTTTATTCGCGAGTTAACTCATTAACCCAGATCTTACTGAAGTTTGGTTTAAAAATTCCGGTTTGATTTGGTTTACGAATTACAACCAAAATAAACCAACGGCGAGGAAATTCCTAAACAAACCGGCTAATCTCACATTTGGTCTGCAACAAACAGTGTTGGGTAATGGGGTTACTGCGACTTGCGAGAGTCGTCTTGCATCTGCAATTCTTGTCATCTTCGCATTGATTAAAATTTGGAGATCTTGATGGAGTCACTCGAATCCACCTTGACCCCGATTTCTTTCATCGTCCAAAGAGTTACATCAGATCGCTTGTTTCTCTTCCGCTTTTTTCAAGAACTCTAAACAAAGAAGTCGACAAGTTCCGCTTCGAATCCTGTCAGCAAATTCTCAGATGAGTTCTTTTTTCTTATCTACACCCGGCGAGTTAGTTACTATAATAATGTGGAGCTCACTTAAACATAGACCAGTATTTTCTTGGTATTTTTAATGGCTAGAATATTCTCCGCAATAAGTCACTAGACAGTGCTCCGCTTTTACTCAACATGCTTGCCATACTGTGTATCTCTGACTGTGTGTTGCGTTTCCATGGAACGTGTGCTTCCTAATCTATTTGTCTTAGGCTAGTCATGGAGAGACTGGAAATTTTGAGACAAACCCATAAAAGTTATGTTCACACTGGAAATGTTAAATCATATATCATGACAAACATACTAACACTTGCTGAAATTGTTTTTCACATTGTCAGATTTTCATATAAAAACCCTTTGTTAGCAAAAAAAAAAAAAAGTTTGGTATGAATGTTAAGTCTTTGGTAGCAAATTTAACATCTTCAAGTAATCTTTCTTGGGTGATTCACCCACTAATCACTTAAGAGACCAGATAAAATAAGGATTTGGTCTTCCTCAGTTGCTCTTGTCCAGCTGCTTTTCATGACTTCTATAATAGCTCTCTCGTGGTCTCCTTTGATTTTGTTCCAAAGAAAGGTGATTAACTTTTGATTTTGGTCCATAGGGGATGATGAGTACCCAGTACCCACGTGTCCTAATTCTCATGGATCATTCAAGGGCTTAAAGCCCATAAACATAGGGAATAAAAAAAGTGTTAAAAACGAATTAAGAAAACATGAAGTAGCAATTATTATGTTTTGGTTGTTACTTCCAAGGATAAAGGAGGATGGATGACTATGCTTGACTTGCACTAAAGCTTTATTTCATTGCAAAAAAGGTTAGGTACTTGATTAAGAACCCAACCTAAGTTTTAGTATTATACAATCCTTATTCCCATCTCATTTTACATGCTTACACTTTCCTTAAACTACTATACTCAAGGAAATTGGTTACAAGTCTATAACTTGTAGATTAAAATTGTTAATGTAATTCCCATAAGAAAATTGAAAGTTTATTCGAAAGAGCGTGTGAATCACGAGATAAGGAGAGCGTCTGAGACATTAGTATGGGGAGGGGGCGGCTAAAGACTAACGAGTAAAGACATAAGGGAAAATTAAGGACGGTTCAGAGTTTCAGAATTTTTTTAGTCTGGAAACGACAACACACTTTGGACAAAAAGCTAAATAACATTTTAAAAGCTTCACACAAATTAAAAATATAATTAAACAAAAGCTAACGTGGCCAAGATAGCTAATTACTTTTTGGAATCATTATTAGAGATAATGGAAATTAAGAAATCATACAGCCAAAACAAACCTTAGTTATATTCGAAACATGGGGGAAAAGTTGATATAAAACAAACCTTATAGTATAATACATTACTGCTAAATGTGATAAAACAAACAAAAAAAAAGTAAAGTGCTTAACGGATTTGTAGAGATAGGAATCATTAATTTGGAGAGAAAAAAAAAAATCTTGAATTGTACGTTTACCTTTCCAGAATTACATTATTTATTGGCTTTTAATTGTTAATCATTTTGTTTTTTTCCCCAAATTAAAAATTTAATAACTTTGTTAGAGAATTTAGGAATCTAATATAGTTGGACGATTTTATATGATAAAGAATTTTTAACAAAAGAGTCTTCTCTAATTTTTATTTGGGGGTAATTGATTCTATAAGGTGAGGTGGGATAGCCAGAGAGCCTTATTCTGTGTTTTGGGTAAAGGTGAAACCAATAAATTAAGACATTAAATGAATAATTAAGAGCACTTAAGACAATAATTAACCCAGAAGGAGAAGCTGGTGTAGTGGTGGTTCTCATGGCGATGTTGGTTTCCCAGGAAAGGTAAAAGACACGGAGACGAACCAAAAGAAAGAAGATCTTACATACGAAGACCACTCTCTGATTCACTCTGACAGAAACAATCGGGTTTACTTTGGTTCTTTTTTGGACAAGGAGACATGCAAAAATAAATCTCTGTCCCTTGTTCTTCTTCTTCGTTGCTTCATCGATTACTCAAAGGTTTCTTTCTCTATCTCTTATCTCTTTCCTTGTTGCATCTGTAGTCTCTTTGTTCTAAAGATGTTTAATTTCTGTCAAAATTTTCCCCTTTTTTCTTTGTTCGATTTTTGGTGTATCTGTCTTGTGGCGTGCGATTACTGATTTTGGAAAATTCTTGCTAAAAAATTCATCTTCAAGTCAACGACTTTTTGCCCAAAATGATGACGAGAAATACAAATTTTCTCTTGGTCGGAAAATTACTAATTTTAGCCAATCGTAGCGATCTCTGCAATTGATTTGGTTACCCAAGATAGTACGATCGAATCAGAATTCGTTTAGATAATTAAAAAATTTACACAGTTATAGAAACTTCCAACTTCTCTTTATTTCTATTCTGGGTTTTTTCACCCACTTGGATTATTAGCTTTAAAAATCTAATCTTTGAGTCATCTCTGATTGTTATTTAGGTTGTTGATTTTTGAGAATTAGCTTGTTAAGGAAGAGGTTATGATGCATCAGATGATGAATAAGAAAGATTCAGCTACTCATTCCACTTTGCCATACCTTAATACTAGCATCTCATGGGGACTAGTTCCAACTGATTCCATTGTTAATCGTCGTGGTTCTGCTGAATCACTAAGCTTGAAGATGGTTACAAGGCCTGAACATATACAAACCACTAAGCAAATCAGTTTTCAGGACCAGGATTCATCTTCAACACAGTCCACTGGTCAATCTTATACTGAAGTTACTAGTAGTGGAGATGATAATCCTTCCAGACAAATCTCGTTTTCGGCTAAATCAGGTAAGTTTTAATGAATATCCGGTTTTACTCAATCCTTGTTATAGACTCTGCTTGATGTTTTAAGTTGATATTGGTTGCTTGGTATATATGTTTAGTTCTCATGTCATTCACAAGAGAATCATCCTTTTGCCATAAAGATTGTTATACTCTCTCTTACTTTCTCAGTTGTTTGTCTAGGATCTGAAGTAACTCAACGGAAGGGGTTTGCAAGTAATCCTAAACCAGGCTCGATGACAGGATTTCCGAATATTCACTTTGCTCCTGCACAGGTATTTTTGTAAATCTATGAGCCAGTAATCATAGCAAAACTTCTGATGGTGGACTGATATCTTATGTTTATACATGGTGCAGGCTAATTTCTCATTTCACTATGCTGATCCACATTATGGTGGTTTATTAGCTGCTACTTACCTACCACAGGCACCGGTAAGTACTCCCTTCGTTTCATATGTAAACAGTTCTCTTGCATAGGAAATGCAAATCCCAAGTGGGAGATTACCTTTCAGTTTTATCTGTCCTTCAGATCTCAAGTCTCTTAATCTCTTTTGCAGACATGCAATCCTCAAATGGTGAGTATGATTCCTGGTCGTGTTCCTTTACCAGCGGAGGTCACTGAAACTGAGCCAGTCTTTGTCAATGCAAAGCAATACCACGCAATTATGAGGAGGAGACAGCAACGTGCTAAGCTTGAGGCTCAAAACAAACTAATCAGAGCCCGTAAAGTATGTATCTCTTTACCTTATGAGCCATCACAAACAAAAGCATTTCATTTAAAATTGCTTTGCTCATCTCTGTTTTTCTTATTGCAACAGCCTTATCTTCATGAGTCACGACATGTTCATGCTCTTAAAAGGCCAAGAGGATCCGGTGGAAGATTCCTAAACACCAAAAAACTGCTTCAAGAAGCCGAACAAGCTGCTAGAGAACAAGAAAATGGCAAGTCGGACCAACAGGAAAACAGAAAGACAAACATGTCTAGATTCGAAGCTCATATGCTGCACAGCAAAGACCGTGGTTCAACCACTTCTGGCTCAGACATCACCTCTGTTTCCGACGGTGCTGATATCTTTGGACACACTGAATTCCAGTTTTCAGGTTTCCCAACTCAGACAAACCGAGCCATGCTTGTTCATGGTCAGTCTAATGACATGCATGGAGGTGGAGACATGCACCATTTCTCTGTCCATATCTGAGACATTGTATCTTGGTGCTGTGTTCATGTTCCCACCAAAAGGGGAAGTCATCCTTGGCTACTACTAGTTCTTTCGACTGTTGTAACTTAGTGTTTTTATTCCACATTATGTCTGTGTTAGACATCACAAGAACGACCAAGATCTTCATTTTGAACACTCTATCGCCTTTTTATCTTCTGTGACCATGTATCTCTTGTGTAAACTAGTAATATGATTGCTTTAATAAACTTTAAATTCCTCTTTTGTTTTTTTCATGATTTATATATGTTTGTTTTGCTTCATTTGTGTCGTGTCGGCAATGAAGAAGTCTCCTTATTCTGTTTGAAAAGATGAAGAAAAATACAGATTCTGCTTCCACTCCATTGATCTATGTGATGAGACACATTCGGATTCTTGTAGTATTTTACAATTTAGTTGACAATGTTTGAGAAATATTTAATGAAGAATCCAGTATATATTAGATTATGTCTTATTCTTGATACACTTCTAATAATTAAGAAAAGAGGTTGAAAGATTCTACTTTGAGTCTCATTTATCTGTCTGAGAAGATGTCATACACTTTAAGATACTTGAAAATACTACCATTTCTTCCACACGTTCATGAATATTTTTGTCAAAATATCAAGGCCGTCTCTATGCATTATATCCTATTTAAGAAATAATAAATTTCTTTTGATAAGGTAAGAAGAAACGTATATTTCTGCTCCAAAAAACGTTGACTTATGTGACAGACACACACACTTGTGTTCCTGAAATACTAACAAACTAGGATATGACCCGCGGTACACCGCGGGTTAATGATTTGATTTTTTTAATCTTTTATAAACTAATGATTTTATTGTGTATAATATTTTTTTGTTGTACACCGCGGATCACATGCGTTTATAAAAATTTCGGATCCGCGGTGCCGAGATTCTAAGTGGTTTGGTCACATGCGTTTATAAATTTTTTTGATGTGTATCTAAAAAATAAAATTTTTAAGTTTTATTTGTTTTGTTTAGTGTTTAAGATTGTATAATTGTATTTTGATTTGTTAATTCTAGGATTTCACCCGTGGTATATTGTCCCGTATTAATATCGACCCAAACCCGTCCACCATATAATCCCGTCCTGTGAAATTAAACATCATTTTGTTATTTTTTTATAACACTTTTATTTAAAAGACATATAATTCGATTCAATTTAAAAGTTTGCTTTCAAATGGTTTTCATAATATATATATTTTTAAATTAGTATGTGTTTTTGGACCAACCCGTAAAAACAATTTACAAGTGTATTTTGATTTGTTAATTTTAGGATTTCACCCGTAATATACTCTCCCATTTTATATAATTGTAGAAATTAAGAAAAGATCCGAATGACTCAATTTCGGATCAGAATAAAAAAAACGACATGATTAATTGTGCAATTCGTTCGTCAAAAATGTCAATATAAATTGCACACATATTTTTTTCTTCATAAATTGAGTAATATATATCCGTTTGAAAAAATTTGAATCATAAAATATGCAGAAAAAATACTAAAATTTATTAACTATATATATTTTATAATAATTCAAAATAATATAAATATAAGATCAAATAAAAGTGAAATGAGAATCATATATTTATGTTTCAATTAGGTAGAGAGATTTTAGGAAATTAGCTCAAATTTATTATATTAGCATTAAATCATCATATTTGATTTTGTTATCTATAAAAATCGTAAAGAATATACCATAAATAAAGAGTTTAGATATAGTAATTAGTTGAAAAATATATATATTTTAGATTTTATTAATTAATTTCGTTTTATAATTTTGCCAAAATTTAAGGAAAGATCCGATTGAAGATTTCCGGGTCACAATCAGGAAAAAAAACCCGACCCGATTAGATAGCAAAAATGTACTTCAAAAATGTTAAGTAGATGATCATAATTTAACTTCTGTAAAGAAAAAGACAGCATTGTGAAATATATAAAGTCACAATCCTGTAAATCACTTTCTAAGTGATTCATGAATTACTAAATATAACATTGTTGCCAAATCAAATTTTGTCTTGTGTGCTTATGGATGTAAGACTGCAAATTGCCAAATAAAGTCTTACAAGTCATCTTTTTACATCGCAAATATCATGTCGGTTTAGTAGCACGGTTATGGTGAACCGATCCAATCCCAGAAACTGAATCCAAACCGAATCCAAGCGAACGAGGAAATAACATTTATTTATTTAGAAACAACTGAATTTAACACATTCCTTACATATGACTGGAAACAAATGAAATAGCAGAACAGCTAGACAAAGAACAAGATAAGTAAGAAAACTAGAGACATTTCCATAAAAGATTCTTCTATGTGGATTCTCAGTTGTTATCACTATGATTTAGAATAAAACCCGTCATGGTTCTTAGCAGAAAGCCGTTTCAAGAACTCGTAGGTAGTGATCATAGTTGTTGCAGACATTGACATTGAAGCACATCTTGGTCCCAATCCTCTATAACAAGCTGTCCATCCACCTTCTCTAACCAAGTTTCTTACAGTCTGTCCAATACTCGGTCCACGCTTCCCGTTGTTACTACTATCTTCCGCATCAAGAACCTGCAATCTCGTCTTGATTGTGTCGAGTGGCATTGTAATCAAAGCAGAAACACTTCCAGCAATCGCAGCACTAACTCCTTGAACAGCCATTATCGTTTTAGAGTCTGGTTTCATCGTGGTACTATTGTTCCCACTTTCTTCGTCTTTCTTACAGACATAACACCCAATTCCACCCCAAACCATCCGCTGTGCAACAGAGTAAGACGCCCACCAAACTGCATTAGACGGGGCATAAGTCAGAATCGATATGCCAAACCCTCTGTATAACCCCTTAGGTCCATCAGCGCGAACAATCTTTCTAAATGCATCAAACCCGTTAACATAATTACACCTCGATGCATTGACAAGACCAGCACTTCCTTGAACCATAAGCCTTTGGCTAACCACATCAACAGGAGTCCAAACAAGCTGTGCAGCCATGGCAGCACTCAAACCTCCAACCGCATTAGCAACTGCAGCAGCTTTAGCCTCTGTCAACCCCAAGCTGACAGCAGCAGAGCCTACGTTACTCTTAGTAACCTCCAAGGCAGTCATGTATAAAGCACGAGCAGGGATAGTTCCCATCAAAGAAGTTCCAAATCCTCTGTACAATCCCCTTAAACCTTCATGTCTCACAAGGGTAAACGCAGTTCTGATACAAGAACCTTGCGAATGACAAACTTGTTGCCGAGTTTTCATCAAAACCGCAGGATAAAGAGCTCCAGATACCCCTGAAAACAAAGCAGCGCCTAAAACGAAAAACTTGGATTTATCAAGCATCTCCCAATTGATATCAGCTGGTAAATGAATCTCCTGAGCCGATTCTTCCTCGGCCGCACCCAGATTCATCTTCGCCACTTTCTAACCAACCCAGAGAAACAAAAAAAAAAAAACCCCTTTTTTAAACAAGAAACAAAAAAATGTTCCTGAGATGTGTTTCAGAGCTCAATCTATACCTGTACAACTTTTCCTAACCTAAAAGTCACGACGCCGCAAATTTCTATTTACAATCGGAGACTGTAACCTATCCCCAGGATTAGAAGACCAAAAATTTCTAAAAAAGGATTCAACGAGCACAAAAGAGGAAAGATTTCAGAAGACAAATCTCAAACCAAGAGACGACGGCATTTTTTGCGTCTGTGGAACAACGTCTTCGATCCAAAACGATCACCAAAACCATGCGGATCTATCTCTAACAACAGCATCTTCGAAAACAGAACCGATTAATCGACTTTACCGAAGAAACGATCATCCTCGCCGGTAAGCGATAAAGAAAATCTAACCGCGAAACCCGTTTCCTTCGCCGGAGATATCCAATAAGCACCAATACGACACCGATGTAGAAAAAGGAGAGAGCTGGAGAGAGTAATCGCGACGAGAGCACACGAAAATGAGACCTTATACAGTTATACTGTTACGAGCGAGTCTAGGGTTCCGGTTTTTTTATTCATGTAAATTAACCAAATTGAGATACCGGTATAGATTATAAACCGGCTTGTAGTTTCCGATTCGATTAATTAGCTGATTCTCTATGTAACTCAATGCCATTTACAGTTTTCACCCAAATTTACCGGTTAATTGACCTAACCGAAAACAAATAAAGTGGAAATTGTTTAGTTTTTGATTCAACGATGTATAATCAATGGATTTTATATTGTTTTCATATTGTGCAAAATGTAATCAGAAATTGATCACGATGTACGAATTTGTTTGCTTATATTTAAGATTGAATTACAGATTTTGATCGAATATTAAAGGATTTATTAAGGAAATAAGGAAGATCTGGTAAAAACAGATGCTGGCAGGTGACACGTGTCAATCATGACTAAGGATAAAAGAAAACGACAAAATGGTAGCACTCTTAGAAGAAGAAATCGACGGCAGAGATAGAAAAAAGCTAGTAAAAAGTAGCGGCTGAGATCTACTTCTCGGATCAGACCCAACAGAGGAGAGAGAAAATGGATCCGCTTTTGCGATTTGGATAAGATGACGTGGCGTCCATATCCTTGGGCCGTTGGGCAGAGAAGAAGAGAGCAGAAGTCAGTGTGAGAGGCACGTGATCTGTCACGTGACATCCGATTCTTTTTACAGTTCCACTTCCACTATCGGCTTGAGCTTTTCTTTTTATAAATTTATAGTAGAAGTTATCAGAGATGCTAAATTTCTAGGAACAGTGGTGGTCCTTGGACAAGATGATACCAAACACCAACAGAAATCAATTTTCTGTCGTTGTATCATTTACTGACATAACTTGGAAACAAATATATTAATTAGCTTTGGGAGTTTCACATATTTTAGTATCAAATCAAATACTATAGTATTTGGAAATGCCCACACTACCCAAACATATATACATTTCTTTTTCTGTGCACGTTTAGTTGCATCGTTAATCCTTATCTTCAACAGATTAGATGTTAAAGTGAGTAGACAAGCTTAGACTGATTCCATCCATGTGATTTGATTCCAAAAAGAACATTATAACTGTGATGGGCTTGAGTGACCAACAACAATGTTGGTTTTGTATGAACTGATAATGACCATAATTTCAGCCCACCACAATTTGTCTATTTATAGGTCCACTTTGGTTTGGTTGGTTCAGAATAGTCTCCATGTTTAGTCACCAAGAAGCCGTTTTTCAAAGAAAAATTGGATAACAAAAAAAAAAAGTGATCAGAAGTGGGAAATACGCACCAATCTAATAATCTTAACTTCACAAAGAACAGTAATAATGAAAAGTTTTTTTTTTAGTTTTTCATAGAACAAGTGAACAACTGCTTATTTAAGGCCAATGTTGATGATATCCTTGTGTGTAATGTTTGAATTCTCTATTTGTCATCATAACCTGCCTACATGCTTGATATCATTTGTATCACATTTCATGTTAGGTTTCAACAAATTAAACAATGATGTATTAACGTACATTGCCAAGATAGAACTATCCAGGCATAGAAAGAGATAGGGTGATGAATATTTTCTCTAGGTAAATAACAGCATGAGAACAGAGAATTAAGAATCAAAAATCAAGATTCAAGAATCTATACCCGTCCGAACATTTTAGACATGTAACAGAGAAGTGAATTGTGGCTATAATTGAAAAACGTACCTTACTCATTAGATATGCAATAACTAAGAGAATGGCAGTGGATTGCATTTATGTTTACGAGCAAACAAGATACACAGCTTGGAGATAAAGAGCCAAAATAGCAGTTTCCGCAGACTAAAAACCAACAAAACCTATGGAAAGCGTTTTATCGAGCAAAAGATCACGAGTCACATAACAAAAAAGTAGTCGAAAAGGACCCTCATGAAATCGAGTTTCTCAAGTTATCCCTAATTCCCTATAAAAAAAAAGCTTAAAATCACTGAAAAGGGACCCCTTCTCATTTATTTGTTTCTTGTGTCGTTTTCTCCCAAAAGCCAAAAACACTATTCCCAAAATTTAGAGGAAGACACAGCGGTTAATTGTTGATGTATTCATCTTGATTCAAAGGCTAATTGAAGTCTTTAAGTAAGCTTATTGGGCTGGTTTTTCACATTGCTCATCCATTTACTGTATCTTTGACCCAATCCGTATTAGAGTTTCTGTGAAGAAAAAAGAGGGTCCATAAAGTGGTGTCCTTTACCTTCTTTCTTTTTTCCAACTCAAAAAAAGATCATAACTCCATACATACATTATGAAGTGTCCTCTACTTTATGAAGGTCTCTCATTATTTAGTTTTATCATTAACTTCTTAGAATATGTAAGTAACACACTTATGTTAAAAGGACAAAATTTTGTTTAATAAATTTTGTTTTGGCGGCTTGTAATATGATTATTTGATTAATAAAATGAGACGAAATCACAAATTATTAGAAAGACAATCCATACAAATAATAACATTTCACTCATAAGAATATATATACTTCATGTGAGACACATCACACATGCTTAACCCTTGTGCATCTCGTAAGAAAAACACTACTTTACTCAATAGAATTATGATGGCTGAATCCATACATTTTTTTTTTTTTTTGCATAATTTGATATCTAAACACATTGTCTAAGATAGAAGTATTCACACATGATTTATGAATGTCAAAGATTCATTTCTCCATAGTGCATTGACTGCATTCTCTACCACCAAAAGATAGTGCATTGACTGCATTCTCTACCACCAAAAGAAAAATCATCACTATATAATATATACACACATTATTTATTGGGAATTTGGAATGACAATGAAAAACAATAAATGAATACTTTCGTCCCAATATTTTTTAGGTTATAAATAAATTTCTTGTGACTTGTGACTTGTGACTTGTGACTTGTGACTTGTGACTAAAGGTGTCAACATTCTTCTCTCCAATCAATATCGCCAAACTCTTCAGTACTCTCTCTCTCTCTCTCTCTCTCTCTCTCTCATAATGGCCTCATTCTCTCTTCTCCACTCAACCACCTACTTTCCTTCCCACTCTGAAACCTCACTTAAACCTCACTCCGCCGTTTCCCTCACCGTCCGATGCACCTCCTCCGCCTCAGCCTCTCCCGCCGTTCCTCCACAAACTCCGCAGAAACACCGCCGTTCCCCCGAAGAGAACATTCGAGACGAAGCTCGTCGTCGTCCTCATCAACTCCAAAACCTCTCCGCACGCTACGTCCCTTTCAACGCTCCACCTTCTTCAACCGAATCCTACTCCCTCGACGAGATCGTCTACCGTTCACAATCCGGTGGTCTCCTCGACGTCCAACACGATTTCGCCGCCTTGAAACGTTACGACGGAGAATTCTGGCGTAACCTCTTCGATTCTCGCGTCGGTAAAACCAATTGGCCGTACGGATCAGGCGTTTGGTCAAAGAAAGAGTGGGTGCTCCCCGAGATCGACGATGACGACATCGTCTCTGCTTTTGAAGGAAACTCAAACCTCTTCTGGGCTGAGAGATTTGGCAAACAGTATCTGCAAATGAACGATCTTTGGGTGAAACATTGTGGAATCAGCCACACTGGTTCGTTTAAAGATCTGGGCATGACTGTTCTTGTTTCTCAGGTTAATCATCTTTCATAAAGTTGTCAACTTTATAATCATCTTTGATAAAGTTCACGACTTTACTTTATATATGATGATTCTTGTTTCTCAGGTGAATCGTCTCCGGAAAATGAACAAACCAGTCATCGGAGTTGGTTGCGCTTCTACTGGAGATACCTCCGCTGCTCTCTCTGCTTACTGTGCTGCTGCTGGAATCCCGTCGATCGTTTTCTTACCGGCGGATAAAATCTCGATGGCTCAGCTTGTTCAGCCAATTGCTAATGGAGCATTTGTGCTTAGTATTGACACTGATTTCGACGGATGTATGCATCTGATCAGAGAAGTCACGGCGGAGCTTCCAATTTACTTGGCGAATTCTCTCAACAGCCTCCGTCTCGAAGGACAAAAGACGGCAGCGATTGAGATTTTGCAGCAGTTTAATTGGCAAGTTCCAGATTGGGTCATTGTTCCTGGAGGCAATCTTGGTAACATCTATGCGTTTTACAAAGGGTTTCATATGTGTAAAGAGTTAGGTCTTGTTGATCGTATCCCTAGGCTTGTTTGTGCTCAAGCTGCTAACGCTAATCCACTGTACTTGCACTACAAATCTGGGTTTAAAGAAGATTTCAATCCATTGAAAGCAAACACTACATTTGCTTCTGCGATTCAGATTGGTGATCCTGTTTCGATTGATAGAGCTGTGTATGCGTTGAAGAAATCTAATGGGATTGTTGAGGAAGCTACAGAAGAAGAGTTGATGGATGCAACAGCTCTTGCTGATTCTACTGGTATGTTTATATGTCCACATACAGGTGTTGCATTGACGGCATTGATGAAGCTGAGGAAGTCTGGAGTTATCGAAGCGAATGATCGGACTGTGGTGGTGAGTACAGCTCATGGATTGAAGTTTACGCAAAGTAAGATTGATTATCATTCTAAGAACATAAAGGAGATGGCTTGTAGATTGGCGAATCCACCAGTGAAGGTTAAGGCAAAGTTTGGTTCAGTTATGGATGTTCTCAAGGAGTATTTGAAGAGCAATGAATCTAAGTGTTAAATAACCTTTGTCTGTTTGTTTCTTCTTAAGCTCTTCAGATCTTATGATGATATTGTTCGCTTGTTATGAGAGGAAGTAATAAAATTGCGTTTCTTTGGACTTGTGGAATTAAAGGAGTGGTTGGTTCTGTGATGCTTGCTAGTTGCTTCACATCAAAAGCACAAAACTGACTTTAACATGTGCTAACAAAAGTACTCACGACCTGTCTTTTTCGGATCATTCAAGAAATCATAAACTTATCTAGAAAATAAACTTAACTAGAACAGAAGAATTTATTTAATCTTCTTTGAAACCCAAAGAACTGAAAATTGAGTTTACATTAACATTCAAAAACTTAACTAGAAAATAAACTTAACGAGAAAGAAACCACAGAGCTTCCTCTTCTTCTATGTAGTCTTTTTACTTGAGGGAGTAAAACTTAGGTACGAGCAGTCTCTTTCTGCGCCATCAAAGCCTCAACAGTACCTACAACGGCCTTGATTGCCACAACGGCCGGGAAAAGGCCAAGTACTTCCACTGCGTATCGGTTCAGCCTTACCAACTACAAGATTCCATCCTCCCACGTCATGTGTACCAAGTTCCAAAGCCTTGTCTGCTCCTTCTTTCAGATCAATGTAAGCATATCCTAAGGAACCACCGGTTCCGTGGCTTGGGGGAACAAATACGCGTGTGATCTCCCCAAAAGAACTGAAATATTTACTCAATGCGCTCTTGATATCATAAAGAGGAAGTGAAGAGTCAAATCCCCTAACAGAGATCGTTTGGACATTGCCACCAAGAGAGGATGAAGAACCTTTAGCAGCTGGTTTCTTTGCAGGTTCCTCATCAGAATATGCTTCATCCTCCGAAGAAGTGTCCATGTATGAGTCCTCGCTGTCATAAGCAGCCTTAGTAGGAGGCTTCATGGCAGGAATTTTCTTACCCTTCGCTGAGATCAAAATCGCCTCTATTTCCGCCTTTGTTGCCAACAAATCCACCTTTGCTTCGAGCCGCTGAAGACTATCAGCGATTCCTTTCATGATAGCCTTTGTCTCAGATTTTTTCTTCTTCTCGAAAGAAGCAATCACGTCTTTCTTCGGCTTCTTCAGATTTACTTTGGTCTCCGAATCATCTTTCGTCTCCCTCTTACCTTTCTTCAAAGACTTCGTGGCCTTAATAACAGCAGGAGTTGCTTCACTTTTGGTGGCGGATTTCTTGCTAGAGCCGGCCATGGAGAAGATGACAAGAAAAGAGAAAGAACGATTCTAGGTTTTCGGGAGACAATAACCCTAGACAGTTGTTTAAGAGCATATATATTATTAGGTTAAATAAAAGATGGCATCTTCGTAACGCAACATAGTTTAGGAGAAAAAAAAGGAAAAAAATAAATAATTGTTTTTATTGTTAATGGTTTTGTTAACAAAGTTTTTTCATTGACTACCCTTTTGCTCATCTTCTTTTAAAATCCTTTTCGGGTTAGCAGAGATTTGGTTGTTAGTTTTAGCAGTTAAGTAGTTTGGCCTCTCTTCTTTTCTTTGTGCCTTGCCTTGTGCTCTTTCAGCTTCCTTATGAATCTCGCATATGTCACTTTTATCAATTTGGAAGCCATGAGTATCTTGTTTTACTTTCAGCCTTCCTAATAGTTTTGGAAAATTTTAGGTTGGAACATGTAAAATTTGGTAATGTGATTTTAAAAATATTGTTCCCAAAAAGAATATTACCTTGAGAAGATTTTGCTTGTTGCAGAAATATCCATTCAAATATTACTCTACCCTGCTATGTAATTCCAAGAATCCTCAATAATTACAATCAATCAATCTTGTATATTAGATAATGATATAACAAAGTTTGGTTCAGTTTATGGATGTTCTCAATGAGTATTTAAAGAGCAATGAATCTAAGTATTAAATAAGCTTTGTTTTGTTTATGTCTCAGACTCTTCTGAAAGGATTATTGTATCTTCAGGTCCTATGATAATGTTGTTGCTTGTCATTCCTACCAAAAAAAAAATGTTGTTGCTTGTCATTAGAGGAAGTAATGAATTTGCGTTTCTTTGGACTGGTTAGTCGTGATGCTCACCCACATCAAAGTACAACTGACTTTTACATGTGCTCTACCAAGTACTCACGGCCTGTCTTTTCCTCTACAGTCACCAGTTAACAAGTACTCACGACCTGAGTTTTTATTTCTTCTTTAAAACCAATAGAACTCAAAATTGAGTTTACATTAACAATGAGACGAAAACTTAACTAGAACATAAGAAAAAACTCCCAAGTAATAAAAATGTTGCATTGTATCACAAATTAAAACACCACATATCTTCCTCTGCTTCTAGTTAGTCTTCTTACTTTAGGGAGTAAAACTAGGTCTGTTTCCACGAGCAGTGTCTAACTCCACCACCAAAGCTTCAAGCCTTCAACAGAAGGTACAACGGCCTTGATTGCCACAACGGCCGGGAAAAGGCCAAGTACTTCCACTGCGTATCGGTTCAGCCTTACCAACTACAAGATCCCATCCTCCCACGACATGTGTACCAAGTTTCAACGCCTTGTCTGCTCCTTCTATCAGATCAATGTAAGCATATCCTAAGGAACCACCGGTTCCGTGGCTTGGGGGAACAAATACGCGTGTGATCTCCCCAAAATAACTGAAATATATACTCAATGCGCTCTTGATATCATCCACAGGAAGGGAAGAGTCAAATCCCGTAACAGAGAACGATTGACCATTGCCACCAACAGAGAATAAAGAATTATTAGCAGCTGGCTTGGCAGGTTTGTTTGCAGGTTCCTCAGCAGAAGATGATTCATCCTCCGAAGAAGTGTCCATGTATGAGTCATCGCTGTCAGAAGCAGCCTTAGCAAGAGGTTTCATGGCAGGAACTTTCTCACCCTTGGCTGGGATGAAAAGCTCCTGTATATCCGCCTTTGTTGCCAACAAATCCGCCTTTGTTACCAACAAATCCACCAACAAATCCACCTTTGCTTCGAGACGCTGAAGACGATCAGCGAATTCTTTGATCATCTCCTTCTTCTCAAAGTTTTTCCTGACGAATCCTTTCGTGATCTTTTTCTTCTCGGAAGGAGCAATCACGACTTTCTTCGGCTTCTTCAGATGTACTTTGGTCCTTGAATCCTGAGACTTCGTGGCCTTAATCACAGCAGGAGCTGCTGCTTCACTTTTGGTGTCGGATTTCTTGCTAGACCCAGCCATGGATAAGATTGACAAGAAAAGAGAAAGAACGATTCTAGGTTTTCGAGAGACAATAACCCTTGACTGTTGTTTAAGATATACACATATATATATACTGTATTAGGTTAAATAAAAGATGGCGTTTTTGTAACGCAACACAGTTAAGACGCGGTGATGGTCCATCGTCATTTGTAAGCTTTGTAGCCGCCATATTAATTTTTTTATATGTCCTTTTAATTGCTTTTTAATTAATATATTTAATTGTTAAAGATTTTGTTAACAGTTTTTTTCATTAATTTAGAAGGAAAAAACAAAAAAAGTGGAATTGTAGAGTCATTAATCAACTAAAGAAAGGCAAAGAACGAAGTGGCTTTTTCAATTGTTTGTGTTGATTTGCTTGATTATTTATTTTTGATTAAGAAGTTCACTTAATCAAATTAAATATTTATAAACAACTGTCAATTTGTTAATTGTTTGATGATATAAAATTAAAGCTATAGTATTTTTTCTTTTGTTTCTAAAAGTCTTAAATATATTTTTCAAAGCTATATGTTCTCTACTATCCAAACATAGTTCAAAAAAAAAAAGGAGAATATTACAAGAAAAACTAGTTGCATTTCAAGTATAAAGATTTTTTTGGTTAATCCTAAGATTGGCTAAAATCTATAAAAAAAACGGATACTAGGAATTGTATACACCACAAAATTACGTATAAGAAAATTAAACAAAAGTAGGAAAAACCCAACACAGTGTAATCCAAAAATGCAACAAAAAGAAAGATCGATGTTTCAAAATCCAAAAGTAATAACCACTATTCGCTTGGGCTAGGCCTATAACCACTATACGCTTGGGCTAGGCCTATAACCACTAACCCGTTTATTAAGACCCGGATTCATTAAGTCCGGGTTCGGGTCCTAAATTGGATCTCCCTCTTTTCACAGAGTTCATCTTCTCCAATTTGAGTCCAGCTCTGAATCTCGCGATGAAATCATCGGCTTTGGTATCTACGTCGGGGCTTGGACAGAACATACTCCCGGCGGTAGCCTTACCGTCAGCTGATTGAGCTACTTCCGGATCATCAGGTTCGTCGGAGCTTATGCTGATGTCACTAGCCATCCTGACGTAATCTCCACGCTTCACGAATTTCCAAGCCGGCATTTTAAACGGCGGAGGAGGAGGCGGCGGCGGGATCGGCATTAATGGCGATTCGCTTCCTGTGCCTACGAATTTAGTTACTCTAGCTGGCGGATTTGGTTTAGATGTCCGTGATTCCACCGGAGCTTTCCGAATCTTCGTCATTGATGCGCGTGATTCATATCTCCGTTCAGGTGGTGGCGGAGGAGGAGGCGGTGGATTTGAATTGGTTCTTTTGCTTTTACCTTTTTTGGATGAGAATAGCCCTTGGAAGAAAGGTGGTGGAGGCGGAGGTGGCGGTGGTGGTGAATAGACCAATGGAGGATCGGAGCCGAAGAGTAAATCGAGTCCATCGATGCTCTGTTGTCTCTGCTTCTTCTTCTTCCTCCGTAACGCAATTAGAAAGTCTTTCGTTGCTCCGCCTTTCTTCTTCTCCTGTTTATTGCTCTTTTGATACACAGTCGCCGGAGCTGGAATCGGAGTCATCGGCGTCGTCGCTACAAAATCACCACTCTCCTTCTTCTCTTCCTTTGGAGGAACATCTTGGTACACTCTTTTGGTCTTCCTCTTCGCTTGCTTAGGTGGTGGAGGACGTGGCGGAGACGGCGGAGGAGACGGAATATACGGCGGAGCAGAAGGCACTGTTAGCTCCTCTACTACTTCAGCTTCCGCCGTCTCAACGACCTCAACTTTCTCAGTTTCGGAACCGCCGCTATGGACCTTTCCTCCTCCTTCATTACCACCGTCCTCTGTTTGATCTAAATCTTCCGGCGGTGGTTTAACTTCCTCTTGCCAGTTTCTGTAACTTTGATTTGGATAGATCGGATCTACATCTTCGTAACGACATTGACTTACACGTGTATCATCGTAAAATCTCCACCGTTCATCGGCTTCGTATTCCCGGAGCCTCAGATCTGGATACGAGCTAACACTCCGTAATCTACTAAACCTCTTGTACACCGTCTGGTCACCGCCGCCACCACCGCGATCATCGATCCAATAACGAGGCGTGGCACTGTTAGATACACGACCTCCTGATGGTAAGTTCGAGAATTTGTTACTAATGTCTTCTTCTTTGTTATGATTGGTTTCGTCATTATTGGTGTTGCGGCTGAGGAAGCCGCAAAGGACGGCGAAAAGGACGAGAACGAAGTTGAGATAATCCCAGCTTTTACGGACCAAATGAGGTCGGGAAATTTGTGAAACAGAGGAAAAGAGAGGAGGGATAATGAAGAAGACTATAAGGATTGCAGCTGTTCCGGCGAAGAATATTTGAGTGGCGATGGTGGTTGCACGGCCGCTGAGACTTGCAGTGCGGCGGAAGTAAGTGTTATTGCGGCGTGATTGAAGCCAAAACGGCGTAGACGCGTCTCCATCGTCTTCTTCCATACTCTTTCTTTTTTTCTATTATTTGGCTTTAGAAGACAACTTTTTAGTTTGGGAGTGGTTGGCTTACGATGCTGTAATGTGTTGCTTTTATGCTTTGCTTGGATTGATATTTCTTTTAAAATGCTTGGGGACTTGGGTTTGGTCATTTTTATATGGATTTTTTGTGTGGATTCCTACTTTAATTTACACCTTTTGTTACAACAAAAAATATGTCTCTGTCTTGGAGTATTTTAGACATATTTTATAGGAGACAAGTAATCGGATAATTGACGTAGTTTTGTTGAATATATGCAAATTCATCAATACATGGAAATACATTTCGCATTTTACGTAGAGGATATCTGAATAAATTGTATAATGTTCAAATTAGTACTAGTTGACTATACACAACTTAACTCGGTAGATCTGACCAGTTCTTGAGTTTGTGTCTCGGCAACAAAAAAAAAAAAATTGTCATATATCAATCTTTAAAATTCGAACCAGACTTTGGTCATACCTAAAAAAAAGGGGTCAATTGACACACTAAGTTTTTGTGGGGAAATTTTTTAAAGTTTGAGTGACTTGTTAGATAAGCTGGAAAATGGTGGTATTTGCTTGTGAAAGTTGGAAATTGAAATTCAAAGGCCCCTACTAATACAGCTGGATTACATGAAGCAAATACATACTGGTACGTCAGATAATCAAATTGTTCAAAGGAATCATATGTCTAACGTGTTAATTAAACACGTTTTCTATGTGAAGTCGAAGCTATAATTAAGTCTTTTAACATTTATATCACCAAAATAAGTAAACTAGGATTTGGGTCAATGGAGGAGAGCCGGTGTTGTTGTCGTGTCTTTTACAATATATCTAACCAAGTCTTGTCATCTTGATAAACTTATCTAAAAATAATAAACTTTCTTTCACAAGCTAGATCTTAGTGCCATTGCCAATGATTAATAGCTTTCTAAGATTGATTTCACTTTCGGTTTCACACGTCACTTCCACATTTGTAGATAGAGATTGATTTCTATTTCTACTCAATTAAGGAAAAAAAATGATTAACATTTCGTAAAGACTCACGGTATGTATGTAAGATGATTAAAGTAAGTTATGGAATATATGGATGATAACTGTAAAAAAAAAAACCGTGAACGGCAGGATTCGAACCTGCGCGGGCAAAGCCCACATGATTTCTAGTCATGCCCGATAACCACTCCGGCACGTCCACCTTTTGAATAAAGTTCTGGTTATTTACTTATTAAACTCAAACCTTAAAAACAACATTGAATCCCTAAGATCCAGAACTCTCGTCTCAATCAATGTTAAGTTAATCAATAGAAAAGGATAGTAAAAAGAAAAGAGAAATGCAAGACGGTTAATGTGACATAGTTTCAATTACAATTTCATTTGCCACATCTCTCAAACTATTACAACATATTCATTCAACTACTTCAATACCCAAAAAAAAAGCATTTCTTTGCCTACTTCTTATACATACGAATTCCAAGTTCCATGAAAAAACAGGAATGAACTTATATAATTAGCTATGCATCATCTTCTTAATCTTCAGTCTTTACTTCTCCTCCCCCAACCCGCATTTCCATTTTTTTTTCTTATTTTTCTTCCCTCTAACAATATTGAGTAATTAATATGTAAAAACCTGTCGAAATTAGATCCGTAACGATCTAAAATATACGAAAAATCGAAACTTACCCCCAGTAAAAAAAAAAGTAAGTAAGCGTACTGTTTGTAATTAAGCTTCAGGTTCTGGTCTTGAACTTTCTTTGAGCTTTCAAGTCAATCACAATGATGGAGATGTTGTCTTTACTTCCTTTTTGAAGAGCAAGCATTGAGAGGTAGTCAGCCGCGGCTTGGCAAGCTGGGTCTGTTCCTTTGCCTCTCTCTGCTAGAGGCGGTGCTCCGTTCTTCTTGTGCCACATCAAGATTCGTCTCCTTGCTATTTCGCAAACTTCTTGGTTGTTCATTACATCCCAAAGACCGTCACTGGCTAGTATCAGACACTCGTCTTCTCTTGACCGAGGCATGAATGTCACTTCCGGTTCTGGGATCACATATGGCTTCAGATATCTGTCACCTGCATTGGTCCAGAGGAGGAAAAAACCGCAGAGGATCTAATGTTTCATGATGAAGGGCAGTAAATACATTATCAAGATACGTTTTTGTGATGTGCATGTGAAGCCACCTAAAGACATTCATAGATGCATTTCTAGTCATCGAAAGAAGCATTGCTTACCGATGGACCTAGACATGGCGAGAACACCAAAAACACGTGCGCCTTGCCATTGTATGACTTTGCCTCCAGCATTTTCTATTCTTGCATATTCATCCTCTCTATCTGGCTGCAGAAAAATGGAAAGAGGTAAGAAAACAATTCATCAACTATGTACTTTAGACTGGGTAGAATCTTGGATGTAAGGAAAAAATTACTTTGTGATCAACTGATAAGGGCATGGCTTCTTTGCCACGGAATAAAACGGCCCTTGAATCACCGCAGTTAGAAACTACTATATGTGATGAGCAAACCAAAGCAACCACAGCAGTTGATCCTACGGTCTCAGAGGCAACAGCCTCAAGAACCTTATCAGAAGAACCAACAACGGCTCTGCCAATTTTTCCTTCAATCTCACCATCGACGGTTAGAAAACAACTAGTGAAGACTTTTTCCCACTGGACCTGCCTACCCTCTCCTGTGTTCCTCTTGCATAATTCGTCCTTTATACGTTCTAATTCTTCAGCCAAAGCAAAATGGAGTCTATCTCGGCAATAGTCAGCAACCTACAAGCCATCGTACATTTAAAATCTATGAATTAAGGTATTATGGATTCAGAGAGGTGTAACAAACTCCGTTGCTAAAATAAATTACAGAAAATGTGAATATATCATACCTTATGGCCTCCATGACCATCATAAACACCGAAAAAATGACCAGTGAGATGTGTGAGGCTTGGACTCATACCCTCATGGTCCCCCATTAGCATTTTGATGGGCAATTTCAGAAAATGAGGTAACACGGCAAAAGCATCCTCCATCTCAGATCTATTACCTTGAATGGAAACCGTGCCCCAAAGCGGTATACAATCTAGTTCATAAACACTTCTCCCTTTCACCAGATGATTACTATTTTCTTCTGGCAATCGAATGACAACCTCCGAAGCCGTTACACCTGAACCATCTTCTCTATTTGTATCCTGATTCACACCCGCGATAAGAACTTCCGCGGTGGGAACCTGCTCAATGCTTGATTCGCCTACGATAATCGCTGTTGCAAGCACTCGCCCATTATCTATTTCCATAGCTGTATCAGACAAGCTTAATTCAGAGCCTGCATCAACAACTAACAAGCCCTCACTTATGACAGCACTATTATCCTCCACAACAGACAATACCTCGTCTTCATCAAAAACATTAGAAGACCCGCTTCTCGTATCGGATAAAGTTTTCAACAAATCAGGTTCACCTACCTCTTCCATAGCGCATTCAGTCCCTCCGTTGCAAAAGCTTGGATTTTCTTGATCAGATAACAAGTCAGCTGCATCAGTAACGTTCTTAAGCTGAGTGATTTCCACAGGCGATGATTCACACATGGTGTTAGCTGCTAAGCTCAGAGTCATTGCAACTGCCGGTGTCATCTCCTCCATGAGCTCTCAAAAATCAGAGATTTCCACACCACACCACAACAAAACTTCACTGCTTCAAAGATGTACTTAGGATCATGATGATGAAGAATCCTTGTTTCATTAAAGTATTTGTCAGCGACCCAAATGCCGCTTTATTCATACACTAACTTAGCATAGTTAAAGGACCAATCAACGAGAGTTAGGTAGCGGAGATAAACAGATCTGACGGATCTATAAGACGGATCCTCACTCACTCTCCTGGTCCCAAGTCACAACAACTTGGTTTGATCTTCGCACAAATCTTTATCTCGATTTCACCCTATTGAGAGATCACAAAGCACTAATCAAAAACTCACGAATCATTCATTATCCAAACGGTCATGTCAAAAACCAAAAAAAAAAGAGAGGGAAAATCAGCGAAATCAATCACAAGAAAACCCTAAAGAAATCGAAACATTAACAACCAGAATCAAAGTAGAACATGGGTTTTTCTGGATCTAAATAAAAAAATCAGCTTTAGCTTTACCCAGAAATAGAAAGATGAATTAAAAACTTTGTTCTTAAGAAAACTAAACACAAAGCTCAAAACAACAACATAAAGAAAAAAACAAGAGAGATTCGATTCATAATAACACAAATCCTCCGATGAAAAAGCTAACTATATAACGCACAAACAACAAACAGAGAAGACAACATAAAAAATCAGGAAAGAAGAAAAAAGAAGAGAGAACTAACCAGTTGATGAATCTTAAGATATTCGCATCTACCAAATTTTTTTAAAAGAAAATCAAAGAACAAAGTAAAGATGTTCTTCTTCTTTTTTTCTTCCTTGAGGATTATTTCTCGCTCGAGCTAAATTGCTTAGAGAGAGGCTCTCTCTATCAGCGAAACAAAGAGAGAGAAGAGAATATTGTGTGGTTTGCTTTTTCTCTCTGTTTTTTTAATTCCTTTTTTTTCTTTGGTTTTGTAAATTAATAAAAAAAACAGAAAAGAGTATTTATTACAAAAGAGGATTAATAGAAGGACACGTATACACAAGTCTTGCATCATTTTGAGAACTTTGTCCTTTTTTTTTCCAACTTTTTGTCCTTTTTCTTTTTTCTAAGGTCGCTTCAGGCAACACCTGTCGATCAGCTAACAACAGATGTTTTTTTTTTAATTCTTTTTTTCCCAATTTAACTTTTGTTTCTCTGAACCAATATGTTTTCAATGGAAATTGATTTCTTTCCTTTTAAAAACAGAAATCTTATTATATAAGATAGAAAATATATAAATGTTTCCATAAAATTTTGACATGTAATATTAACCACGAAAATGAGATATAGATAAGTGAAATATAAATGGGTGGCATAAAATACAATTAGACTTGTAGGTGTCATGTGTATCTTAGTTGTAATTGTAAATAATATAACTGTAAATTGCATATTAGTGAATCAGATATGGATGAATGAAATCTTGACGTGTGATATATTTGGTTCAGAGAATTCAAAATTTTTCCATATATTTTTTTATTCCAAATGATTAGATTTTAGTTTTAAAAAGATATGAGTGATTCAAAAAAAGGTTTTCTTCTATGTTTATTTTTTTTGAGAAATTGTTAAAAATGCCCCTTTTTCAATACCCCTTTTCAAAAATGCCCCCTTTGAGAGTCCATTTTTAAGTTTGCCCTCTTTTATTTTTTAATGACCATTTTACCCTTATTTGAAACAAAATTAGGTCCACAAAATACAAAATATTTTTTGGCGGGAAAAGTGATCACGCAATTTTCCCGCCAAAACACTTGTAAAAAACCTTTAAAATACCTTGTAAAATTTTCCCGTAAAAATTTTTCCCGCCAAAAAATTTTTTTTTGCGGGAAAAGTGATTCCGCAATTTTTTTGGCGAAATTTTTTTGGCGGGAAAAATTTACAAGGTTTTTTAAAGGTTTTACAGAGTATTTACAAGTGTTTTGTAAGGTTTTACAATGTATTTTAAAAGGTTTTACAAGGTACTTATAAGATTTTATACGGTATTTATAACTTGTAAAACCTTATAAAAAACTTGTAAAACCGTATAACTTGTAAAACCTTATAAAATTGCTTGTAAAATCTTATAATATCTTATAAATACGTTGTAAAACCTTTTAAAATACATTGTAAAACCTTATAAATACCCTGTAAAAAACCTTTAAAATACCTTATAAATTTTTCCCGCCAAAAATTTAACCCCAAAAAAAATTGCGGAATCACTTTTCCCGCAAAAAAAATTTTTGGCGGGAAAATTTTTTGGCGGGAAAAAATTTTACGGGAAAATTTTACAAGGTATTTTAAAGGTTTTTATAAGTTTTTACAAGTGTTTTGGCGGGAAAAATTGAGGGATCACTTTTCCCACCAAAATATATTTTGTATTTTGTGGACCTAATTTTGTTATATTTCCTTATATATTTGTGATATATTTTATTAAAAGAAGGGTAATTTAGTCATTTTGTACATAAAAAGGGGTATTTTTAAAAATGGACAGCCAAAAGGGGTATTGAAAAAGGGGCATTTGTGTGAGTCTCCCATTTTTTTTTTGTTAAAGATTGGTTTTATGTTTTTTTTTTTGATTGGTTTTATGTTTATTGTTGAAGGACTCTTATTAGGAACTTGTCTATAGAACTCTCAATAAGAATCAGCCTAAATAATTGTTATCAATAAGAATCAACCTAAATAAAATTAACAAAAAAAAAAATCAACCTAAATAAATTAAAAATATATGTTTTCTTTTCGATAACTTAAAAGTATATAGTTTTTTTTTTTTTTGTCAACAGCTTAAATAAAATAGACGCTCAAAAGAGCCATTCCTGGGGAATGCTGTTTACATAAGTGATGTGATGCGGTTCGGTACGAATTTTTCGTGCCAAATTATCTGCTTTAAAAAAAAAAAAAAAAAAAAAAAAAAAAAAATGTATATAGTTCTCTTTTAACAAAAAACAAAAAAAAAAGTATATAGTTCTCACAATCGTGTTTATAATGGAATCGTCTTAAAAGTAAATAATCTTTCGAGAGACGTATAAGATATGGTGTTTCGCGAAGAAGAAATAAAGATGGAAGACGACAGGCCGAGAAAATTATATATTTGATCGTTACCTTTTTTTCTTTCTTCTTTTTGGATACGTAAATCAGAAAATGCAACGTGTGTTTGTTTTTTCTCAAGTCAATAATCGCAATAATTTCTATTTTTCTACCACCCGCCCACGTGGCTATCTGATTGATCAGCTAAATTTATATATTTTTATTTTTATTTTATATATATATATATATATTTACATTTATATTTTGTAGTTCATAAATTCAAATTCGTAGATATATTGCTGTTGCATTATTATCTAAACTCGAATTCAGTAAATGTGTGTAAATTGAGATGTGCGCTCATGTTAAAACGCAACATTTATATTCGCTAGAATAATTGAATTTCATTTTAATCAACTTAATATTTTGATGATGTATAATTGAATTTCATTTTAATCGAAACGCGTACATTATTGTAAGCTAGGTCTCACCAGCAACTTCCCAAAAATCACTCTCTAAAGATAAATTGAGGGTTGTGAAAATTTCCTTTTTTGTTTGTTTGTTTCACAAGACTGTTGAGAAATAAACCCTCCAAAATTAGCAAAAATGTAAAACCACTTGAAGCTTCATCATTCACAATACAAAATTCTGTTTCTTTTTATCGTTCATTGTTTCTTCTCAGAAGTTTCGGAGCCAGACAAAAGAAAAACAACGCAATCGATTATGGTTTTTGGGTGTAAATGATAAAGACATGAGATGATTCATGAGTATTATGGTTTGCTTGTGAAGCAGGTTATCCAGATTTCTTGGGAAGCAAGTCTCTAACATGTCTGCAAGAAGAGTAAGAGGGACCTCGGCGGACTATGGCCCAATCACGGCGATCGCCATTGATAAGGATAAGAACAGCCAACACGCCTTGAAATGGGCCGTTGAAAATATCATTATTGATACTCCACAATGTGTCCTTCTCCACGTTCAACGTAAGCATCTCTCGCTCTTCTCTTCATCATCGAAACTACAGCATCAAAGAGCCCTAATCAGGAATCTGTTTTGCAGTAGGAAACACAGGAGGACATTTTCATCAGGACAATCAGGACGAGGCGCATCAATTCTTTCTTCCTTTCAGAGGATTCTGCGCTCGAAAAGGAGTTAGTGATCGATCATTTCAAATCTCCATTCAACAACAGATCACTTATAATGATCACATATCATGACATTATTGTGTATACACGCTTTTCAGATCATAGCAACGGAGGTTATTCTTCATGATATTGACATCTCCAATGCTATTGTCAACTACATCACCAACAATTATTACATTGCAAATCTTGTTGTTGGCGCATCTGCACGCAATTCCTTCCTCAAGTCTCTCCTTTTCTCTGTTTCATGCTTGGTACCATCTCAACTTTGGTTACACAAAATGCTAATATTCAAATCTTTCTTTGTGATCAGAAAGTTTAAGAGTCCAGATGTACCAACCACTCTGCTTAAGACGACTCCAGAGACTTGTGCCGTCTTTGTTGTGACCAAAGGTAGGCTTGTAAAAAGCAGATCCGCGAGTCACCCTCATAAACTTTCCAGACAACAAAATCTCTCTTCTTTGTTGTACAACACAACAGGCTCCATTTCCAGTGACTCCGAGAGGTAATCTCAACTCTCTTCTAACCATTGGCCATGCTTTTTCTTTTCAACAGGATTTAGTGAAGAGTGCCTTCTTTTTTTGTTAACATTTTTTACAGTGAATCATCATCACCTGTATCTACACAAACCAACAAACCAAATTCAGATTTCTTCCAACCCGATTCACCTCGCATATCACCACCGCCATCTATGAGTGAGATCTCTCAGTCAGAGACTGATAATGGCAGTAGTGATATGGTATCAACTGTGAGTTCTTACACCGTCTCTGAAAGTTCCACTACCATCGGAAGCTCGATCTCTTCAACGTCAACGGTTAGTAGTATATCATCACTTTCTACTAAACGTTCAGTTTCTTAGTGTTCTGACATTTCCGAACTGATGCACAGGAAAGTCCACATGCGGGAAATTTCGTGGAACAACAGGTAAAGTTTGTCAGGAACATAAATTTGGTCCCGGATTTGCAGAATGTCAACATGATACTGATATGGACTATCTTCTTTGCCAGAATCAAAATCTCGAAGCAGAGGTGAGGAAACTGAGACTGGAATTGAAGCAGTTTAAGATGGACAAAGACACTACAAACCAAAACGAAAACGTAAGATATTGTTACCTTCCATGTTGATGACAATTGTTGTTGTGAATAATAATCATTAGATATTACATTATGTAGTCCCAAGAAAGCCCAAGGTCAGAGGAAAAAATAGAGCTGCCTAGAGCATTGTCTGAGAGGGAAAAGCAGAAAAAGCAGTCTGCAATCCAAGCAACTGAAATAGCAAAGCGCATAGCGAAAATGGAGAGCCAAAAGAGAAGATTACTAGAGATGCAAGCCAATTTGGACAAACAGAAGATGGTCACTACGGTGTCTTACAGACGTTATAGTATCAAAGATGTTGAAGGTGCAACCTATGGTTTTTCTGATGCTCTAAAGATTGGGGAAGGAGGTTATGGACCTGTTTACAAAGCTGTTCTCGATTACACTCCTGTCGCCATTAAAATCTTGAAGTCGGGTATCACAGAGGGACTAAAACAGTTCCGACAAGAGGTAGTGTGTTAGTCATATTGTGAAATCCTTATTTTACTTTTTTCTTTTCTTCTTCTTCTGACTCATACATATGTTTCTTCACTAGATTGAGGTTCTGAGTAGCATGAGGCACCCTAATATGGTGATCCTTCTCGGTGCATGTCCCGAGTATGGTTGTCTTGTATATGAGTATATGGAAAATGGAACACTTGAAGATCGCCTCTTCTGCAGAAACAATACACCCCCACTTTCATGGAGAGCAAGATTCAGAATTGCTTCTGAGATTGCCACAGGACTTCTTTTCCTTCACCAGGCAAAACCTGAGCCCTTAGTTCATCGTGATCTGAAGCCAGCAAACATTCTACTCGATAAACATCTCACTAGCAAAATCAGTGATGTCGGTCTAGCTCGCTTGGTACCTCCCTCTGTGTCTGATAGCTACAGTAACTATCACATGACTTCTGCAGCCGGTAAGAGACTTATCTTTCATCTCTTTTCAATGTCTTAACATCGAACCAATGTTGATGTATGTTTCCCATTTTGCGTACGGGAACAGGTACATTTTGTTACATTGACCCTGAGTATCAGCAAACCGGAATGCTTGGAGTGAAATCTGACGTCTACTCTTTTGGTGTGGTGCTTCTGCAAATCATAACAGCCCAACCAGCAATGGGGTTAGGCCATAAAGTAGAGATGGCTATTGAAAATAATAATCTGAGAGAAATTTTGGATCCAACTGTATCAGAATGGCCTGAAGAAGAGACTCTGGAGTTGGCTAAATTGGCTCTGCAGTGTTGTGAACTGAGGAAAAAGGATAGACCTGATCTTGCCTTAGTTCTGTTACCAGCTCTGAACAGGCTTAAAGAGTTTGCTACAGAGGATCATGAACGTATTCAGGATAGAACATCTCATGTGTCACATGAACACAATTCAGTTCCGCTTTCCCCGAGTCCTTCCTCTCAGGTTAGTTTCTTAGAACCGTTCTTTTTAAGGGATATTAGCTGCAAATAGAACTTTAGGAAATTCCACACACACTGCAACAAAAGATTTACTCACAATAAGCATATCAATATTAACTAAACCTTTCAATTTATGAACATAGCTGAAAACGGATTTATCAAAAAAATAGCTGAAAACGGATTTAGATCTTAGTTTATCAAGAGGACACTTTTTGTTTTGTTCTGCACACTTGCAATGTATCACACCAAGTAGGGTTTTAGATCAGGCAGAATCATATTTTGTCAAAAGTAGGTAAAGATGTTTACTGCAGAACTTTCTCAGTTCATGAATATTTCTCTGCCATGTAGAGAGAGGATCAATTGAGAAAATCATATTGAGTATTGATAAAAAAACATGGAAATTCGACGTAGATCAACCAGAAGCTGAAAGTAGCAGTACCTGAGATCCACGACTATCTTGATCCGTCTGAGACCCGTAATCATCCCGTACCAAGGAGAAGTCGACCTCCAAGATCACATACAAGCCGGTACAAAGGCAAGGGTTGGTCTTTCATGAGTTGTGCTCCATCCAGAGTTCAGTGGGGTGATCTCCCATAATGTGTGGGAGTTCCCTTATCTTTGTATATGAAACATTTTTTTGTTTTGTTCATGTCAAATGTTACAATTTTAAAGAAGACTTGCTTATTAATCTAAAGACCCTCGATCGAATCAAGAAAATCAAATCAAATGTCGTTTTGCAGCAACATGATCTTCTGTAACAAAAATATTTTCTAAGCAAACTGCAAAACTGAAATTTTTAAGGCTTAATATATGATGACATTGTTTGTTTCAGCAATAGCAACGAGCTTAGAGAATAGACATTGTTTGTTTCAGCAATAGCAAAGAGCTTAGGGAAGGTTTATTACACAATATGACTGAGACATGAGAGCCAAAAACCACAAAACAAAAAGTGACTGATCCCTCATCATAGCTTGTGAAATCTTACAGACAAAATGAATAGGTAAGAGCAGAGAACAGTCCAGAGAAATAGAACCAAAGGGAAAAATAGGTAACAAATAGGACCATCAAACATCAGGTTAGCACTCAATGAGATAAACAGAGTATACAATTATGTGAACATACTACACCATCCCAATTAACAAAATGATAAGAAAAAAAACTTGAGAGAAGAGCTTCATTACAAATGTAATACAACACATCCGTTTCTCAACGAATCAAGAAAGAGTTAACATTGATCAAAAACAGAAACATAAAACACTAACTAGAAGAAACACACTCATGACAAATTAAATTACCAATCGGCAAAACATTTTATCAGTATGAATATAAAAAAAGGTTTGCAGGTTATTCTTCAAAGTGAAACTGCATTATGACTGACAGACATACAGACTTGTACCTCTAGAAACCAAATAAAGTTTTCATTTTTATGATTCCAAAGACATACCAAACCTATCAAATTCTCACCATTTCCCCTATCAAAAATTTCAACAACGACGAAACAGAGTCTTCCAATTAGACTCTTGCAGTCTTCAAATGGGCACATACCGCTTCACAATTTGCTTCCCAGCTACAACAGCTCCAGCCGCAAGTCCACCAAGAGCACCAGCCACAGCCGCAGATCTCACTCCTCTAGCCGCTCTACAAACAGCTCCGGTCCCAAGACCAGCCACCACACTGGTCCAAACATCATCTCTATCCGTGACAGCCACAACACCACTCTCGATCCCTGCGTAAACCAACCCAATGATACCAATCCTATTACCCCAAGTTCGACCCGTTTGACCAGAAGAGTTCAAGATCCTGTTGATTTTGAGCTTAGTAGTGTCGCCAGATTCGAAGCTTTTGACTCCAGTGATAACTCCAACAGAAGCTCCGGCAACGGAGCCACCGAGGTAAGCTGTTCCGGTGTAGAAAGTGAGATTCTCACCCCAAGATCTACGTTGCCTTAAAGACTCCTCCGTGAAGAGAAACTCAGGAGATGTTGGAAGCTTGTAAAGGTACTGAGATTTGTTGATTGGGACTTCGTAGTTTTGGTAAGGATTGTAAAGTCTTGTGTTTTCGTCTGACCCATGATCGGATCTGTTATTAGCCGCCATGGATTGGAGTAAAAAAGTCTAGGTTTAAGGGATTTTGATGGTGGCTAATGGCTATAGAGAGACGACGGAGGAAAGAGAGAGAGAAACGTGTGATGATGTGTTGTGTTGTGTCTCTCTGAATGTTTGGTTGGTTGCCGAAATGAGAAATGAAACCAAACAAAACTAAAAATCTATGTTTAGGGTTTTTAGGGAAAGACTCAGTCCAGTTGTTTCCAGATTCGCCTCACTACCAGATTCGCTTAATACTCGCGTTTGCGTTTATTCGGTTTTTGCCCCATTTGTTTTGATTTCTCTAATTTAAACCCAATTTGGTTTTCTCTTGCCACCACACACTGTATATGCTGATATTTCGAATTTGACCCCAGAAGTTTTGTTTTTACAAAATTAACCTCTTTAACATTGGACTTTTCAAAATCACGTTTACATTACTTGCAAATTGCAATCCATCGTGACAACAACCAACCATTCTCGAATTTTCATGTGTTTCTTATAATGTCAAAAATATTATTCACTAGAAACAGTTCACATTTCTATTTGTATTATATTTATAATAAATAGGTTTATTTTCATTATAATGGTTTGTTATTGGTAATTATTTATTGTTGCGGTTCAAAGTGTAATACTTTCTGTACCGTTACTTCTATCCGTTATTTTGTAACCGTTTTTAATTATTTACATATCGCTAACCATTTTATCTACCCGCCAAATTTTTTTTTACTATTTTGTGTTATCATTCAAAAATCCAATCGATAAACAACCATAGAAGCATCAAATTAAAAATTTGGCAAATAGCAATATATGGGCTACGATTTAGTGAGGATATTAAAATAAAAAAATTAAGGATTCAAATCCAAAGTTTATTTGTTTTTAATTTGAGTCAAAAGGGAAAATAAATAAAATTAATTTCGAGAGTAAAAGCATAAATTTGCAAAGTAAAAAGCCCCCGCAGTCACACAACTGCGCAGAGCCAGAACAAACGAATCCTCCGGCGAAAGTTACGGCGAAGAGACGTCGTCTAACTCCGATTACAAGGAGAAAACTCAAGGAAAATTAAACAAGGGTGAGATGGGAAACCAGAAATTAAAGTGGACGGGAGAGGAAGAGGAGGCGTTACTCGCCGGAATTGGAAAGCACGGTCCTGGTAAGTGGAAGAATATTCTCCGGGATCCTGAATTCGCTGATCAGCTCATCCATCGCTCCAATATCGACTTAAAGGTTTCTCTTTTCTTCATTGACCTCTTTAAAATCACTCTCTTTGAACCATATAAAACCTAGACATATCGAATTTCAGACTAACCCGGAAGTGCATTATGAAGTCGGTCGTATCTGATTAGTTTAAGATCCATAAAAATTTAAACTTTTGGGAATATGTTTTAGACCAGATTATAAACAATCTTATTAATGCTATCTCTTATCATTGTTCATAGGATTAGTTGAATCTTGGAATATATATGAACCCTATAAGTTGTTCTTTTAATGATTCAAGTGTACAATAAATAAAGCAAGCTTGGTTGAGCAGTACTTTCCTTCATTTTGCAATGGATTTTCTCTTTTACTTGGTAGCCTTATGAAGATGAATCTGTAATTATTTGTGTTTCAATACTTTATAGGATAAGTGGCGTAACTTGAGTGTTGCCCCTGGTACTCAAGGTTCAACTAATAAGGCACGACCCACAAAAGTCAAAGAGGAAGGCCCTGCAGTTGCAATTGATGATATCACTAATCCACCTCCTAATACTATCCCTACTATTCCACCTCCTCCCAATCAGCGTATTTTACCTTCTGAGTTGATCCCTGATGAAAAAGGTAACATTGTGGTGGATACAAAGAATGTTCCCAGGTTTGTCTTTCTTTCTTCTCGGTTTCTTATGCTTGAAATGCCCAGAAAGTATGATGAGAGACCAGTTCCATAAATGCTAGCCTATCAACTCTGAGTAATAATCTTCATCATCTGTTGCTAAACTTCTGATATGTCCCTATTTTCAGGTATGACGGGATGATATTTGAAGCTCTCTCTGCTTTAGCGGATGGTAATGGATCTGATGTCAGTTCCATTTTTCATTTCATTGAGGTTAGACAATTTCTCTCTGCTCTTTATTATGCACAGATCAGAATGTTATTTGTGCTCGATTTGTAAACTACTAAACAGATTATTAGAGACATCATCTTATATATGGGGGACGTGTAGTTATGTTATTGGCAATTGTAAACTGTATCTACATTGACTTGTGCAAATGGCTTATTACTACTATCAACAATCTTCCTAGGATTGTCCTTCGCAAATGAGAACACCGAATTCTGAATGTCAAGTCTGATACTACTAATCATCTTTACTTTGAAGTTTTTAGTATGATGATAGTTGACGTGAAGCTGTCCACTATGCCTATCTGAAAAAATGTTATGCTCTTGATTTTACTTAAATTTGGGTCACTCTCTGTTATTCTTTTGTCCCATTTGGATATATAATAGCCTTTGTTTTGGACCTTTCGACCGAGCAGCCTAGGCATGAAGTACCGCCAAATTTTAGGAGAATCCTTAGTTCAAGACTGAGGAGGCTTGCAGCTCAGAGCAAACTTGAAAAGGTTAGCACCTTCAAATCTGTAAGTCTTGAAGCTCACTTTTCTTGTGTTTTTTTTTTTTGAGTTCACATTTCCTTAATAAATTCTCGAACAAAACCATCTTCATCAAATGGCGTTTACAAATATCTGGTCCATATCTGTCTGAGCCAATGAAGCATGGTTCAACATAAAGAATCCACTGAATTAATAACAGAATCAGTGACATTGTTCTTTAAAGCCTTCTCATGCTATGTCTTTGTCCTTTTTTTTTGTTCTGTGTTGTTCAATCCAACACATAACAGTTGCAGAACTTCTATAAGATACCGGATCCATCAGGAACAAAAAAACCTGCCCCAAAAACAAAGGAGACACATACGAAGCTGCGCCAAGCAAACAATCAGGCTTCTGCTATTTCACTACAGATGATCGAGGAAGCTGCAATAACCGCTGCCTGTAAAGTCGTAGAGGCAGAGAATAAAATAGACGTAGCCAAACTAGCAGCAGAAGAGTTTGAGAAGATGAGTAAACTTGCCGAAGAAACCGGAAAACTCCTGCTGATAGCTAATGAGATGCATGAACAATGTAAAAAGCCAGACTGTTTTCTCATTTCTTAGCAAACAAAACAAAACGTCTCCGGGTTTCAATGTCTTAACTTTGGTATTACATGTCTGTTTTGCAGGTTCTGGTGGCGAGCCTATGCTCTTGGCTTGAGTCTATGGGACATTCCTTGTAGCTCACCAGTCTCTCCGTTAATATATAAACAAAATTAATTTACTAGACGTTGGCTCTGTTTGTGAGTAATTTCAGAGTCTGCTTTTTGTTTTGATTTCCGGAACCTATAATACATATTACTTCAACTTATTAGCGAAATTACTTTCGTATAATTTTCTTTAAATTTCTCTATATCGAATAATGTTATTTTATGGGACCAAAACATTAATTTGAGTAGTAAAATAAGAAAGTTTCTTCTTTTGAATGCAACAGAGAGTGAAAAAAGTGGTAATATATAAAAAGTTAAGAGGGCAAATCGGGAAAGAAGATGTTTTCCTTTTCCTACTTTGAAAAGTAAAGTAAAACCTAAAAAAAAAAAAAAGAGAACACGACCGTAAGTAGTTAGAACGGTGGAGGTATAAAAGAGCAGTCTTTTTCTTCTCCAACTCCACGGCGCAGATCCGAAGAGTTTGGTCTTGTCTTTTTTCAATCTCTCTTCAATTTGCTAACAGCAGGTTGGTTTGAATCTCTCTTCTTTTATATGTTTTGTGTTTGGATTGTCATTGTGCTTTTATAGAAATTATAGGTTTTTTTGTCTTGTTTGATTCATCATATACAATGCTGATTCGTAAAGGATCGATTTTTGTACAAGGATGATTTAGATGTTTTATTAGTGCGCCTTGGTTAGGTTATGTTTACATTAATTGAATCCTTTGGATTGTACAACAGTTGACTTTACGAAGATGAATTTGTAGTTACATCATGAAACTTTATTTATGCTTGATTTGCTTCTGTTCTCTCTTGGTGCTTGTATCATATCACTTTTTGTCTTCGTACGAGTTTGTTATGGGATCTGAGACAACGAGTTTGATTATAAATTGAATGTTTTTGGGTGATATTCTTGCTCTCTTGAAATCTGTTTTTTACAATGTCGGTTTCTTTTTTTGTTATGCTTCTACAGTCATGGCAGGAATGGCATCTGATGGAACACAATATGATCCTCGTCAGTTTGATACTAAGATGAATGCCGTGTAAGTTCAATTTTAGTATCTAATATCTAAATTACTGGATAACAACCAAGAACTGAGTTGTGTAATACTTTTCAGACTCGGCGAGGAAGGAGAGGAAACATTCTACACTAACTATGACGAAGTTTGCGATAGCTTTGATGCAATGGAATTGAAACCAGATCTTCTTAGGGGTATTTATGCTTATGGTAAGTCAGATTTTTCCTTTGAGAACACATTCTATACCTTTCATTGCATCTGTTAAGTGTTTGTTTTCCTTTTGATTGTTTCACAGCGTTGATGTATTCTTCTTATCATTAGGTTTTGAGAAGCCTTCTGCTATTCAGCAGAGAGGAATTATTCCATTCTGCAAGGGTCTTGATGTCATCCAGCAAGCTCAGTCTGGAACTGGAAAGACCGCTACCTTTTGCTCTGGTGTTTTACAGCAGCTCGATATTAGTTTGGTTCAATGCCAAGCTCTTGTTTTGGCGCCTACCCGAGAACTTGCCCAGCAAATTGAAAAGGTTATGAGGGCACTTGGTGACTATCTTGGCGTCAAGGCTCAGGCTTGTGTTGGTGGAACTAGTGTTCGTGAGGATCAACGCGTTCTTCAGTCTGGTGTTCATGTTGTTGTTGGAACCCCTGGTCGTGTCTTTGACTTGTTGCGTAGACAATCCCTCCGCGCTGATGCAATCAAAATGTTTGTTCTTGATGAAGCTGATGAAATGCTCTCTCGTGGTTTCAAGGATCAGGTTTTAAGCTTGTTTAATCTCTCATTTACTATTTCATTTTCTCTCTAATAAGTGAAATCCTTTGTTCTTACACTTTGATTTCTCTGTCAGATATACGACATCTTCCAGCTTCTTCCTTCCAAGGTTCAGGTCGGTGTTTTCTCTGCTACAATGCCACCCGAAGCCCTTGAGATCACAAGGAAGTTCATGAACAAACCAGTCAGGATTCTCGTCAAGCGAGACGAGCTGACTCTGGAAGGTATCAAGCAGTTTTATGTCAATGTAGACAAGGAAGAGTGGAAACTCGAGACACTATGCGATCTCTACGAGACACTAGCCATCACGCAAAGTGTCATCTTTGTGAACACAAGGCGTAAGGTTGATTGGCTAACCGACAAAATGAGAAGCCGTGACCACACTGTCTCAGCCACACACGGAGACATGGACCAGAACACAAGAGACATCATCATGCGCGAATTCCGCTCTGGATCTTCCCGCGTCCTCATAACCACTGACCTTCTTGCTCGTGGTATTGATGTTCAGCAAGTCTCTCTGGTCATAAACTTTGACCTCCCAACCCAACCGGAGAATTACCTTCACCGTATTGGAAGAAGTGGAAGGTTTGGGAGAAAGGGAGTGGCAATCAATTTCATGACAACGGAGGATGAGAGAATGTTGGCTGATATTCAGAGGTTTTACAATGTGGTCGTTGAGGAGTTGCCAAGCAATGTTGCTGATCTTCTCTGAAGCCCCTTTTTTTCTGTTGCGGCGGCCGGGTAATTTTCTTCTTTGTTTTTTACTGAGAAAATGCTGTTTTTACCCCTTTTTTTGGCAGCTTTTCTATGCTTTGATTTTTGTTTTCAGGCTACTACTTAGATTAATAGTTCTTGGCAAAAAGAGAACAGAACTCATTACATGATTTTGCTTTTTGGCAATCAAAAACTTCGGCATTATTTATAACTTTTTGTTAACGTGACTTACAAGGAAGGATACTCTATGACATATCTCTACTATATTCTCCATTTCATTAGCGAATTTTTGTTTTCTACCTTTGAATTTACAATAAAAAAAAAAACCATAAGGTTGGGGACAAACCCCAAAAAACTTCCCTCGAATCATGAAGTGAGAAGCGGCCATGTGTAAATCCAAAGGACATGAGATCTTACAAAATTTTCTTGGGAAAAATAAACATGCAAATCTGTACTAGGTGCAGTGGTAATTAATCTCTAGCACTGTTTTTTTTAATTAATGTACCAAACATATCTCATCTTAACGAATATACAAAAAGAAACTTCGATTACCTAAATAGATATTGAGGTTGTAATTACTGCACTAAATAATGAAAAAAAACTACACTTGATGTCCCATTCTATAAATATGTCAAAAGTCACAAGAGACAAAAAGCAGAAGAGAAAGAGGTTGGAGATAAAACCCAAAAGCAACAACTCTCCTTTTTTCTTCCTAAAAAAGCAAAGCCATCTTTTTTGAGGTTTGTTTACAAGTGAAGATGTTCAGATCCAAGTCATGCAGAGAAGAGATCAGAAGTAGCAGCATCACCCACAAGTACCATTGCTTCAGTCATGGAGGAAAATCAGAAGCAGAAGCAGCACCAAGCCCAACAAACTATCAGCCTCCAGTGATGATGAGATCTTACAGCACATCAACTTATAATGCATACAAGAATCCAACAATTGTGAGAGACAATTCCAACAGTAAATCCAAGAGAAGCAATAAGGTGAAGAAGAAAGGGTTCACGGGTTTGTGTGAGGCAGAGATTCAGAGAAAGAAGAGAGTGGCTTCTTATAATGTGTATGGTGTTGAAGGGAGAGTGAAGGAATCTATGAAGAAAAGCTTCAAATGGTTTAAGGAGACTTGTTCAAATGCTGTTTATGGTTTGTGGTGATCCAACCACAAATCTTCTCTTGTTGCCGCATTGCTATGTCTGTTTTCATTCTTGTTCCAAGTATGATGATTGTTGTAATATCTTAAGCTACGATAAATACAAGTAAGAGCCTTAATTGCATTTACATTATACTTCATTCGTAGACACCAAGGATGAAGTATGACCTAACCTGCCATCTCGCAGGTCATCTCAAGGCTCAACTTGACAAATGACATAACCAGAAGCTGCTACTCTCAGATCCTCTTTAATGAAAAACAGTACAATTATTGCTTCGGTACATTAATTATAATTTCTCCTTTCACTCAATTTTTACCATATGCTGAAACATGAGAAGATGCCCTTTTGAAACATGAGAAGATGCACAATAAAAAAAAAACTTTGCTTTTGTACTTTTTTTTTGCAGCCTGAGGAATAGTTCTAGGAACTTTAAACCTTTTTGAGGAACAAACGATTTTAGCTTTGCAGTACTAAACAAGACAAAACACAACAGAGACAGTATATATCAAATGGGGACTAAAAGTGTTAAAGAGTCTTAAGACTCTTTGATCTCACCCTCTTTGAGTTTGTCTTTCTCTGGAATCACTGCTTCAGAGTCTTTTCCTTATCTTTGTTATTTGAGTGTGTGCTTACAGGCACAAGTAAAGTCTCCCTCCCTGTGAACACAAATGCACGTAAAACATGGGGAGGGCCTAAGAGAGGTTTTCTTTTGTCTTTTAATTTACACTTGTCCCGGGGTTTCAAGATCATTCACTGGCCCCAACGACTAAAAATGCAGACTCTCGATCCCTTTAAGATTAGCCTCATAGTTCTTCATGACTGAAGTAGTCGCCCTTGAAGGTGACGATAGCTTGTTGATCTCAGATGAGACAATAGGGGAGCTTCGACCAACAGGGATCTTTGAATTGGAGCCTGATCCAGCTTCAATGATTTGAGGGTTTGATAGCTCAGAATCAGTTCCCAGAACTGCAGCCTCGCGACTACTGGATACAGCAGCACGTCTTGATGACCCAGTTGCGCGGAGAAAGCTAGAGCTCGATAACTGTCACAAGAAAAACAGCTCAGTTACCATTAATATAAAGCACAAGAAATCAAAAAAATTCAGCTGCCAATCCTTGTGTATACAACCCGTGGCTGAGTCTCAACAACTTACAGAACCTTATGTTTTTTTTTTTTTCCAACTCAGAACCTTATGTTTATTTCTTCAAATCAGGGTCTAAGGAATTGGATACCTGTAACATGGGGGCAATTTTATGTACTCACCACTACATCTTTAGATATTGCAGGATCACTTGAAACTGGTGCTTTTTGTTTAGCTAAGCTTCCTGAGTTAAAAATTTGTCCAGAACTTCGTCTAGGGATTCCTGATGACCAGCCAGAAGGTCTAGCTTCGTCGCCACCTGCAGTGGAACCAAAGAACACATCAGAAGGGTGAAAACCATGTCGCTGTAGAACAGAGTATCATAGCCAAATGCCTAATGAAATATGGTAAGAAACTACTCGAAAAGATAGAACTACCTGATGGCCTCTCAGCACTAGTAATGGCAGGGGGGAGGCCAGAGCTTGGCCCAACTACAGGACCCTGGAAGAAAGGTATGTATTCAGCAGAAGTGGGATGATGACATTCGGAAAAGAAAAAAAAAACTGATTCTTACATGATGACGAGGAGGAGGAGTAGAAATCTGTGATTGCTGATACTTCAAGATCGTCCAATCAAATACATAATCAAACTGGAAACCTAAAATATAAGCAGAGGACGTAAACTCAAATTAACATGTTGATTGACTGTCCAAGTTATATTTGCTTCACAAGACTAGGATTAACATAAGTGATTGAGGAGACCAAACCTTCACGAATAAACAGGTCACGGAAAAGCCGTTTCAGGTAGGCATAGTCTGGCTTGTCGTCGAATCTCAGAGAACGGCAATAATGGAAATAAGATGCAAATTCAGATGGATAACCTCGGCATAAAGCCTATAAGGAGAATAGAATATTTAATCAGTATTAAGCCATAAGTGTCACCAACACAGGCATCGGAACATTATTTTACCTCAATAGATGTCGATACTTTCTTTTCACTGATTTTCTCATACTTTTGCTTCTTATTTCCAGCTTTCAGTCCTTGCCAAGGAAGACTGCATTTAAGTGGATAAGTTAGCCAAAGACCGCCCTATAAAGAACCAATAGCAACATGCCAACATGTACGGTAAGAGAGGTACATACCTTCCTTTTAAGAAGTACATGAGAACAAATCCAAGTGACTCCAAATCATCTCTACGACTTTGTTCTGTAATAAAATAGACCATTAACTATCTAGAATTACGTTCTTTAGATAGTTAAAAACTTAGAAACTAAATGAACTGGTATTACCAATGCCAAGGTGAGTGTTCATGCTAGCGTATCTAGCAGTTCCAGTCAAGTTTTTGTTTTCTCTGTGATACACAAAATATTAGAATTATAATTGCAACGCAGATACATCATATACTGCAATCATCGAAAATGTTGCTACTTTGGAGCAATACATTAAAAATGATTTTCTCATATACTAATGCATCTTTGTAAAAACTGGGAAAGTAAGCTAACTATCTGAGTAAGAGGCTATCCAAATACTAAAACGACAGTAATCCTGTAAAGACCTTATTCCAAATGAAAGAAAACCTAAAAAAGACTCTTATTTTGTCTATAAACACTTATAACCACGACAACACAGGAGAAGCAATCATTAGAAAGCCAAGGAAACTTAGATCCACTTTTCTAGAAAGGGTAAAGCTCTACAAACAAACAGGTAAAAGACGTGAGACAGGCGAAAATATTTAAATAACCACACTGCAAAGCCTATTGTAAGCATTAAATGTCCCTAAAACACCCTTTAAATCGAGGATAAAGATGACTCCACCCTTTTACAGTGATGTATTACATAGAAGAATCTTAAGTTAGATAACAGTCACACAAGCTAGATAAAAGTAAAGCCTACAAAGGCGTACATTAGTAACAGACACAAGGAAAATCATAGGGTTATGGCCAACCTGTAAGGAATATGCTGATGATTTGAGTCTCTATACTTCTTTGCCAGACCAAAGTCGATGACATATACCTGTAATCAGCCAACACATTGTTTAACAAATATGTGGAGAATAAACAAATCTTACAAACAGCCCTTCTCAACATCTACCTGATTTGCGCGCCTCCCAAGACCCATCAGAAAGTTGTCAGGCTTGATGTCCCGATGTAGAAATGACTTCTGATGGACAAACTCAATGCGATTGATCTGAAAAGAGGAACAAAAATATCCTAAATGTTTATTCAACGTGAGAAAATTATTTCCAGGCTATAGACAGGATCCTACCATTTGATCTGCAAGCATTAGTACAGTCTTTAGTGAGAGTTTCCTACTACAGAAATTGAATAGATCTTCAAGGCTAGGCCCCAACAAGTCTATCACGAGGACATTATAGTCCCCTTCAACACCATACCATTTAACGTTTGGAACGCCAGCTAAAATCAAGGAAAGGAAAGCAACCCTCTTGGATAAAGAAAAAAGAAATCACAAACTACAAATGTAAACAAGTACAGAACTAGGTCCTTACTTCCTCCTTGTAATACTTTGTACAATTTTGATTCGTAGAGCAACTGAGGATGCTTGGTTTTCACATTTTCCTGAAAGAAGAAGAAAAGATGCCGTCAGAACATATACAACAAACACAGCAGCCAAAATAAGATAAATCTGTTACATTTCAGAACGACAAAGAAATGTGAAACAAACATGAGGATTTGATTTAACATACTCAACAGTCAGAAGCAGTACAAACAGGTAACAAAAGAAAAGCAACGGCCAATGTTTCAATACAGTAATATGTATAGCTGTCAGCCTCATAATTCTCCATTTGTAGGCCACAACAAATTTTTCAATAGGATGGCCCCACCAGTTGCAGGTAGTTTTGTCGTGGACTCTAAGAATTGATTCAGCATTAATTAGACAATCTTCTCAAGAATCAATAATTAGCTCTCAGTTCTTACGAAAAGTCAGGTTGAACCCAGATTTAAACTACAAAGAAATTGGTTTGATCATGTTGAATACTGGATGAAAACAGTCATAGATAATCAAGATGAAGTTAAGGAAGGACTAAACTAATTTGCTACAATCGCATACAAAAAGCAGTAAACTGGTTAGAGCTGTGTGTGGCCTACTAAATAAATTCTTTTCCTTTTTCGTCTAAACACAGTATATTAATGTTTTCATTCTAATCGATTTTATCATGTAAAAGGAGAAGCTCCAAGCTAAGAAAGACCAAGCAATAACAGAAGTCTTTCTACACACATGCTACAACAATCAAAGCTTTCTTCCTACTTTCCGAGAAAATTCAATCTTTATTTAATGAAGATATACGTACAGACTTCAATGATCTCTGTACTACTTCAATTAAACACTGAAATTGGTAAAACAAAATTCACTTTTGAGTAGGAATACTTACAAGTTTAATAGCCACTTCTTCATTCGTCTGGATATTGGTACCTAAAATCAATTCAAACCCATGTTAAAACCAAATACTTATAATCATAGAGACCACAAACGAAGGTGAAATCAGAATCAAAGACATACCAAGATAGATCTCTCCGAATGATCCACCGCCGATCTTCCTTCCAAGCCGAAATTTGTTTCCGACTCGCGGCTCCATCAAATCGAAAGCTGATAAAACCTTCAACTACTTCTAAACTACCGAAATCGATTACTAGCCTCCACCAGAAGCTTTACCTTTCGCCGGAAAAAAAAAAACACAAACAGAAGAAAAAAACAAAAACGAGACTGGACCTGAAGATTTGAAGAAGTATGAGATAAGTAGAGGCAAAAAAAATTCAAAGGGATAGAAGGAAGAAGTAGGGATGGATTCCGATTGACTTCCGGCGAAAGAGAGTCGACATATCAAATCCACGCGGCGAAAATATCCCAAAAGGGAAGGGATAGACACCAGAGATGATGCTTCACTAACATTAAAAGCAAATCGCTCTTATTATTCTTCTCCAAGGAAAATATTAATAATAATTGCGGATTAGTTGGGCCGTACCCAAACCATATTGGGCAAAACCCGGCCCAGTATAATAAATATTAGTATTATAAATAAGTTAATTTATTCGCCAACCACTTCAACTTCTAAAGTCACTAGAAACTAGAAAGTAACAGACACGCAAATAAGTTAGAGATTTCATTACCTAAAACTAAAAGCCAATTGGTGGATACGAAACCATTTACTAAAGCAACTATTTATATAGTATTATTTCTCTGTGGAAATTTATCAAATGGTACTTATACAAATGGAATAGTCACATAAATTCATTTCATTTCAATCATTGGCTCATTGCTATTGAGGGTTCTTTCTCAATTTTCTCTAAAGTCAAGATTCTCTAACATATGTGACAGTGTGTGTTGTATAAATGACCAATTAAATGTTAAGAGGCACAGAAGAGGAACAAAGGAAGATTCTTTGTTATGTTTTTTGCATTCTGTCCTAAGTATACACAAAACCTAAGTATAATGTGTACAAAAGAAAGAAAAATTCGAACCAACAAGTAGAAAAACATCAGAGCTACTCTTTACATGATCTCACTCTATAATAAACCCCTCAACAAAAAACAGCATCAACACCTGTCTCCAGAGTCTAATGCATCTTGGACCTGCAGAAAAAACAAACCTATACAAGGCTACAATGATCTAGGTGACATTGCGTCTTGAGCTGAAAAATGAGAGAGATTTGACTGTTTCTTGTTCAGTTTCGACCGTAGATGCCTGATTTTTGCATCGACTCTAGCTGTGAACCCGATCTTTGTCTTTTCTCGAGCTTTTGTACGCTCTCGGGTCCACAATCTCGCGTCTTCAATATCTCTTCCGTAGTATTTGATCTCTTGGATGATATGATGATCCAATGGATTCAAGAATCTCTGGAAAGCAATGTGAGCAACATAAGGAAGAACTGCAGCCACTGTGACCAACAATGTAGCCATCCAGTAAATAGGAGCAGGAGCAAGAATCTCATCAAGAATCCTGTATATGTTTCCAGAATAACTCGGAGGCATCATACTGTAGATCGCCACAAAGAGATACCACATACCGATGCTTCCCCAGATCAAAACGTGTTGGATCCAAGTGAAATGGGACATGGTTAATGCGATTTGAACATTGGCTGCCCAGATTATGCACGTGAACATGGTTGTGCCAACAGCATCCATGTCAGCTGTTTGCCCATTGTCTCTGAAAGCTTGAGAATAGATGATTCCGATGTTGAGGAAGAATATGACAAGAGATGCGTAGACGCCATTGCACATCCATCCAAGTATTCTTGACCAATCAAAGAAGAGGTTCTTTGTGCCTTGTTGGTATAAAGCTGGGAACTACACAACACAAGCGAAAAATACATTAATTTTTGTTGATGATCAGCAGAGATCCGAAATAGCTTTTCAAGATTTAGTTCTCAGGGAAGATTTATAAAGCTCACCTGTAAGCAGATCTCCGAGGAAACATCCTGTTCAAAGACACCAAGAGCAATCACTGGCAATGAGGTAAGAACAACATTGAAGAGCAACAAGTAGTAGTCATTGTACACTGATTGCCCAGAAAACCCAGTGAAAGCCTCAAAGTAGAAGAGAGTGAGACCAAATGCTATGTTTTTGTAGAAGAAATAGCAGATCTGTATGTAGAACAACATAAGGTTAGAAACAAACTAAATGTAAGAGTAATTATAATGGCCACAAGAACTACATATTACCATTTGAGCTATCCTTTTGTAGCACCAGTGTCCATGGACGACGAGTAATCGTTCCAAAAACCGGAACTGGGCAATCGAAAAGTCACTAGCCATAACAGCCTGCAAAAGTAAGAAGGATTAGCAAAAATGTCGACATGGATTGATTCTCTATGAACATTCTACTAGTCAAGAAACAGAAAATATAGCTTGAGAAAGCATGGTGCTGAGAGAAAAACTGAACCTGCATTCCTTCAACTCCACTAATTCCTACACCAATGTCAGCTTCTTGAATCATCCCAACATCATTTGCACCATCACCTATTGCCAATGTGGTTTTTCCTGTTCCCTCTTTAACCAACCTAACAACCTTGTATTTTGGAAAAAGCAAAACAGATAAAATTGAGGATTCTCTTTTTGGAAGAAGTTTCAGGAGTTGCATAGTCAAGGAGGAATGCTATGAAACGAATAAGGGAAGGAAGATAAATATATATACCAAAGCCTTCTGCTTGGGAGACACTCGACAGCAAATGACTGATGCACAATCCACTGCCAAAGCCAAGAATTGATACTTCATATCATCCTCCAAGGCATAAGTTAGAGTTTTCCCGTCAATAATCAAAGCAAACGCAGCATGCGGATCCTTCTCAAGCTTCACCATTTGTACAGCTTTTGTGAGTTGATTCAGAATGTTCTCTTTCACAACCTGACACATCAATAGAGATATAAAAGTCAGGTTCGAAATTTTAGTTGGAGGAACTTTCAATTAATGCTTTAGCAATATGCCATCATGCAAACTCCTTTAGACATACCCTTTTTGAATCTTGGGATCCTCCTTCTGAATTCATTGATGTTATGCAGATCTGTCTCATGCCTTGTCGAAGTAAACTACACGCGAATCTGCAGTTCATAAAAGGTAATTTGTTCACAAAAATCACTAGGTAAAAGCAGATTACAGATCTAATTTCTAGTTTATATTCAAGGTAAATCAGAGATTCTTACCCAATGTTGATTGCTGTTTCCATTTTGTCTCCAGTTAAAACCCATAACTTGAGCCCAGCTTGAGCAAGTTTATCTATGCATTGGGGCACCTAAGTCAGATGAAAAGGAAAAGGAACTCAGTTTACATAGCAAAATTAAATATGGCATTAGTGTGTCTGTGCAATAATACATACCCCTTTCTGGAGTTTGTCCTCCACAGCAGTAGCACCTATTAGGATAAGTTCTTTTTCAATCATATCCGCTCCCGTCTCAAGCAGCTCATCCCTATCAGATCCTATTGAAGTTTTGGCCTTAAGAAACTCAGAGTTCCAAGCTGCATATTCATCCTCGTCAAGCTTTCTGTAGGCAAGTGCGAGTGTACGGAGTCCAGCTTCTCCATATTCAGTTAAATGCCTAGTGGTAGGTCCCAAGTATGTCTTTCCATTCTTCGCCAACCGCTCAAAGATGATGCTGTAAAATTCAGGAAAAAAACAGTTGATACCAGTAAAGGTTGACTGTATATAAGCTTCTTCATATGGTCAATATGACAAATTGCTTGCTAACCTGTCAGCTCCTTTGCATAGTAGAAGAATCTGCCCCTCCTCATCGCGTACAATTACTGTCATTCGCTTTCTTTTGCTCGTAAATTCCAACAAATTCAGAACTTTATACTCCCTGCAATGTTTTTGGTACTTACTCAGGATGCTCGCAAAAAAAAAGAAAGCTAAACTGATAATCAGAGATTTACACATAAAACATCTTACTAATTCTCACCTTTCGATTATTTGCCCTGAACCAGAGAACCTCTCGCGGATAAAAACGCTTGACTGGGTTCTCTTGAAGAACTCAAAACCAAACTCTCTAGCAGCAGCAAGAAAAGAAGCCTCATCAGGTGACTCTGCTTCATAGGTGTACTTGCCAGTCTCCTCGTTCAACTCGGGAATAGCTGTGTGACAAATAGCTAATATGCGGAAGAACTGCAAAATGTCATTTGGTTGTGATTCCCTCAACCAATTACCATTCATAAGTCTGCTATCCTCAAAACCAAATCCCTTTATAGGAGCTCTAGGAATATTATAGTTATTATCCCCTTCCACCTCGATTTCTTGCGTACGGCTACTGTCCCATGTGCCATACACTTTAGTCTGAGACTGAGGAGTACTTGATATCTCTCCGTGCTCTTCAAGATCCACAGCCATCTGCTTTGCAGCAGCAAGTTCTACTTCGCTGGAACGCACACCATAAGAAGTGCCAGCAATGGAGCATTTCAAGAAATCCATCTGATTACACGTCAAAGTTCCTGTTTTGTCAGAGAGGATAGTATGAACCTGACCAAGCTCTTCGTTTAGATTCGATGTGCGCGCTTGTGCAGGGACTCCACTCTCATCATCATACATGTGTAAGTCTTGATTGATGAAACTTGCTTGCCAGACTTTGACAACCTCGATCGAAACATAAAGAGAGATTGGAATCAAATATCCATAAAGCAATAGAGCAGTGATCAGATGAACAACCCCAGCGTAGATTGGATTGATCGGATTTGTAAAGTCTATAGGCTCGCCAGGTCGTAAGTACCACATTTTGGGCATGTGAAACTCTGTCTCCCAAGCAAATCCTGATGAGCTGATGCAAGAGATTAAAATAAGTAGGACAAGAAGAGTGTAGATAATGTAGTCCATTGTCCTTTCGATTCTGCTTCTCTTGGAAGGCGATTTTGTTGAATTCTGCATAACTTTGGTATCAAAACCAGTAAATACCACGACTCCATAAACATAGGTTGTATTCCTAAGCTTTGAGTCTCTTAAGAGAATCTGACTTGGATCCAGAGGAAATGTTTGCCTCTCAAACTCTAGATTGCCAACAAAGGTATAAAGATTCGGGTTTGGATCTTCACATCTTATCGTCGCCATGAAATTCTTGAAAGAATCATCATCATCTAGTGGCAATGACACTTCCAAAGATCTTTTCACTTTCAAGTTTGTTTCACCATCTAAGTTCATAGTCTCAACGTAGCAAATCCCATCCTCGTAACTCGATGACAAAAGAAGCAAATCAGCAGGGAAAAACTCATCCTTCTCCACTTTGACAATATCCCCAACGCTAACCTTCTTCCACTTTCTCTGACGAAACACACCGTCACTTTTATGAACACAAGTTTTCCGCGCATTAATCTTCACGTCTTGCATAAACCTACGCCAATCTTCTAGAGCCTCTTTTAACATACTAAGCCCAACAACAAAGACCAAGGGAGCAATCATACTCCATTTGTTGAATGGTGAGAGTGGAAACACCGAGAGAATCGCAGCTACCAAGAAGTAGAGATTCGCAGCACGGTGGAACTGCTCGTACAACGACTTAGGAAAGAAAGTGATCAAATTGTACCTCGTCGTAGAAACATAATTAGAACGATATCTCAAAGGCTTCTTCTTGTGCATATGAGGCTGATTACAGAACACAGTCCGGCTAAAACCCGGACCTTGGATTGGTTGAGAGTCTTGACCTTCAAGCGTGTTAGGCCT